GTCGGATAGTATGTGGTGTAATCGTAGGCGGTAAATGTCATGCAAGCTCCATCGAGTGCACACCAGAACAGCCTGAGCGCATCAGAGAGATCTCCCCCCCCCACAAAGCGAGGTGATCATCATCGCCGCTAGTTATGGTACGGTGGGCAGGCCTTGAATGCTAGATGTGGTTCACGGGCTTTTTGTGGTGGTGATGGACATGCGAAAGTACAGTACTGTTCATGATGGCAATATGGATCAATATTTTACGGTAGGACTATGCAATAAACAACTCCAGTTCCCGCATAGCCAATCACGCCAACTCCACCACTTGACCGAATAGTCCGTATCACGGTCGTAGGTGACAGGGCCTGGACTGCGGGGAAGGGAGATTATGTGATATTTTGTTCGATGGCAATAATACTATAGCCTGCAGCAGATGTGGATAAGTCATTGCCAAAACAAGTCAGTCGATCTCGTTGATCGTTCTCGCCATAGTATTAGTAGTCGTTCTGGTTCGCAGTCACGCTGGAGTAGTAGATAAAGACGGACTAGGTGCTCCGTGGTCGGCTAAGCCGCGAGGCGCCCCAACTGTAGTACAACAAAGGCGCTTGCTGGTATAATGTCGGCAAATCACTTGTCCGGGTAAGCGATATTCCAAACAATTCCACGCTTCTTTTCACCAGTCAGTTGAAGAGCAGGGGCCATGAGTCCATAACAGCAAATCCGAATCTACGTACCCCAAACTTGCAAATAGTCTGTCTTTTAAACAGATAGCAATGACCTACTATTAGATTCAAGCCGCTTTCCAATGTCCTCCGCATTCCCCAGGTTGTGGCAACTGGGTGAATATCTCTGCATGCACCAAGGGTCCACGGGCTCTTGGCTCTATGCTGACCCTTGTAAACAGGAGGCGACAGAACAGCCTTCCCCTCCTTGGCTGACGTGCGCTTCTCCTAGACATGGCCTAGACTACATCCTGTTGCGCTTTTGATGGATTTATTCGCAGGCTGTCGCGGGTGCGAGCAGTAAAAATCTAAGTATGAGCATATATGGGTTGTTGCAATGTACGGAAAAGGTTCCGTCATCCATCAGTGATTGGGTTCATTGGAGTGGGCGGTCGGTGATCACGAGATATGATTGCGGGTGATCGCTATGATGACAACTGTAATGCCATCATGCCAACTGTTATTTTCTTTTTTCTTTCTTGGGCAAATCTACACACAGACTATTTGCCTCGTTCAAGGAAAATCCCTTCATGCATTGATCTCCAGACAAATATCAGTGGGGATAGTATCGTGGGGACACTTTGTCCCGGTTTTAGGATTCCAGACCCTGGCGTCTCGTCGGCCAGCCGGAAGCTTGAACAAGCATCGTCCTGAAGCCGTTATCGCGACAAGTGTAATAAGAAAAGAATACTACCTATGTCCGCACGCTACTTGGTATGGATAGATACACAACACACCTGGGCCTGGGACCAGGCTCGCTCATCTCGCCGAGCTGAAGGGTCACCCCCCAGTCCAGCCCCAAGCCCCCCCAGGGCCCCCAGCTTTTCAGGCGTCGCTGGCAAACACACTTTCATTTCTTCTATCACGAGCCGCTACCGAGATTACCCGATGGACACGCCAAGCTTGTGAGTGCTGCGATGGTCGGAGTTATGCGGAGGCGCGCACAAAATTTGGGAACTTATGTGTGTGTTCTTTCAACAGTCATGACTTGAGAGCGCTCAGGCTTTTGATCTGCAAGAGGAAAGCTCGCCGCTCGAGCCCTTTGCATGATTAGATATTCACACTAAATGAACATTGAGCAGTGGGAAGTTTTAGATGTGGAAAAAGACAAACCCGTAAACAAAGCACTGGCTTTATCGCGGGTTCAATTTTGATACCAACGTGAGCTCGGGACCCCGGGATAAGCGAAAAGACCCCCCGGGGAGAGTCATACAAGCATCGAGCCAATTAGTTGACGATCAACGTTCCCCAGATGGAGATAAACTGCGCGATTAGCAGTGTGTTGGGTCCAAAGGGACCGTAAGGCCCTAGATAATATGCCGAGAGCGGCGCGACGGCTCAAGAGACGAAGCCGTCTTTTCTCGCCGAAAACTATCGATTCTAGCAGCCCGGCCTGCTTTCGGCATCTTTTGGCCGGCAACTGGTAGACTCGCTGTAATTTGCGAAACTAGGAACTCTTTCCCTTTCGCTCATGACAAGGCCACGTTTGACTCGCGGCAGATTTTACCTGCCTACGGCCAAGAGCCAGACAAAAACGACCTATCTGTTCCCGTCGTCCATTCCACCACAAGCTCCAAAGCTCCAACTCCAGCGCTGTACCTTGCAGGAAGGGGAAAGCCACGCTGTGTGTTGGCACATGTAATGTATGCACTACGGGAGTGTCAATTCTTTTGGCGGGAGGGCAGGGCAGGGCACTCTGATTATTATTGAGCTAGGATCTCGATATCGTCCGGGGGCCTCCCCAAGACAGACCAATCATGCTGCCCGAAACCTCCTCCACGTTGCGGGCGTCAGCCTTCTTTGCTTGACACATATCTGGAGCTGAGGAGATATGCTGTACGTAAAGCTGGGGCTGCCTCATCGATGTCGTGCTTTGGGCTACGTACTCACCACCACTACTCCTACCAGATTCATCATTCCACAATGCAATGACGCGGTTCATAAATATACACTCGTTGAAGAGACACACAGATACACTTGAGACCTCTAGACTTTCCATGGTCAACGTCATACGTAGCTTTTTCTCCCCAGTTGCAGACATGCTGGAAATGAACAAGATGACAGGTGCCGCATGGTGGTCCAATATGATGATGATAATAATATTACACGGGATCAGGGCCACATGCATCGGCAGCAACTTTGCGAGAGAGAACAAAACATCGTCGGTGACCCCCTACGGCACTGCATACATGATACGCAGTAGGAGGGGAGGGGGGGAGAAAAAATACCTAGCCTACACTGTCCCCTGTTATTTTTCTTTTCTTCTTCCAACATGAGTCTCATCTGCCCCCCTCAGGTGGCCCGGTGGGGTTCTGTCGGCGTCTCTCTCGGTTAACGCAAAGGCATCGCGACCTGAAGCAGCTTTGGTTGGGGCGCCTGGCTGCTTGCTGCGTCCACTGGACGAACCTAGCAGAGGGCGGAATTCCGTCGGCGGAACTATCGCACGAGATCCCCCGAAGCGCCCCCGGGGGGCCAGAGAAGGCAGCTAGGTCATGTACTCTGTAGCCCCAGCTCCTTGGTCCTCTTTCTCAACTATTACTGTTAAGTTAATGATAGTACTATCGGCTGCACTTTTATTAATTATGTAGCAATCTACCAGGTATATAGAGAGTCCTTGCAAAAAGGGACGACTCGTTCGAGTATCTCCTGACCTTTCCTGGCCTCTTGCATCTTGTGGGGTAAATCACTAATGTAAGTAAGAAGATAAGCAAATTCGATCAACCGATTTTCCAAGGTGAGCAGCTTTCCACATGCCTCCAGAGCTCACATTCATCACACTAGAGAGACTCTAGCCTACCAAGAAAAAAAAAAGGTCTCCAGGCATGTATGGGAGGGGGGAACAAATGCGGGGGCCATAGATAATGATGCCCAGATGATAGTTGCAACAAGAGGCCGAGAGCTAATAAAGCACACAAGAGAAAGAGAGAAAAAAGTATCCATATCGTCAACCCCGACGGCGCGAGATTGACTTGAGTGGGCGCTTGCTTGTTGGAGGCTCGCGCCTTCGCCTCGTTAGTAACTGCTTTTCTCGGCCTTATTTAGCCTCTATTATTTTTTTTTTTTCCAACTGAATTTTTCTTTCCCCTCCAGACAACCCACGGGGTTCTGCGCTGGAGATTGGGTGATATGACCCACCACCCTACCTGGCAATCATCAGGGCCGAATTCCAGATGTCCACTTCTTTGAACACTGGCTGGCTGACTTGACTGGGCGGGTGCGGGTTCACCGAGCTTGACCTTGGCAAATACCGGATGCGGCAGGCTGAGCCTCAGAGAGAAACTTGCTCTAAACACTAGCGGATAGCTACTGATTCCCGTCGTTTTAAGGCTGAGGCTCCAGCACATTGGTGGCCCTCTGCCCTCTACCCAAAGATTTTTTTTAAAGGAAAAAAAAAAGACACGGACGGCAAGTTGCCAACACTTCCTGTTCCAGAGTTTGGCAGGAGTTCTGTATCTTACCTTTGACCAATTAGATAATGTAGGCTTGATTGTGATGAACAGTGACAAGAACCACCACGACTGGCACTCTGGGTAAAGGCTACACCGTGTGCCACTGAACTACCTAGGTAGCATGGCCCAGCACGGTCGTGGAAATAGTCAACCCCGGATTAAGGGGGCTCCTTTTTGACGATGATCACTGCATCGAGCATTCAGACTTCCCACCGGGAAGTGAACAACTGCCGGTCTGTCCCCTACAGGAGACTATCAAAATGATTTGATGCGCATGACATTGGGCCTCACAGAGCCTTGGGGGACAGGCCATGGTTCAGCACAACCACATGCATTGCATGCCTACCAGGCTGACCTGGGTTGAAGACGCAGCCGACATGGAAGTCTAGAAACGAGCCAACAAAACATGCCCACCAACGCAAAATCAACACATGCAATGCAAAACGTTTCGCCCAAGCCAAGACCGAGGTAATTTTTTTTTTTTTTTTTTTTTTTTTTGATTTTTTTTTTCCCATATACGTAGTCTAGTCATAGTGGTCTCAGGTATACATATGGGAAGAATTAAATGGTGACGTCGAAACAAAAATTATGAGGCTCCAATTTCAAAGCTTGGAGATCGATCTGTCTACCCCACCCGTGCCTTAGACCGGGCCGCTTGGGCGATCATCCACCCCGTTCCCGGTAGGTAGGTACAACACAGTACATGCCACCTACCTACAATACAATCTCGTGACGCGGGACCGCTCCCCCTTCAAGATTACCTGCTAGGTACGATAGGCGTTGGCAGCACAGGTGAAGCGCTCGCAGCACGGGCACTCACCACCAGAAGCCAAAGGTCCTCAAGATGGAATACCAGTCTATCCACGGTCAGGACATAGCCAGCTTTGACCTGCCTTCCACACGTATGTGTTCCCCTCCCTCCCACGAGGACGAACCAGGGACAAGTTGGCTGATGAGAGATTTGGGCAACAGATCGACTTCCGACAGTGTCGGCCGCAGATGCGCTGGAGGAGCTGGGCACTGACCCCAAACGCTTCCTCTCGACGGGTCTTGACGAGCTCGACCGGGTTCTTGCACCCGAGGTCGATGATGGCTCCCAGACTACGGCGAGACCTGGAGGCTTCCAAAGAGGCCAAGTTGTAGAGATTTGGGGGCCTCCTGGCCTGGGCAAGACTACTTTTGGGTAGGTAGGCAACAACCGAGAAATGAAGCGGTTTTCTTGACAGACAAATAAGAAGACATCAATGCTGATTATGTACGTGCCAGCTTGCAGCTCGCGTCCGATGCTCTCCGAAAAGGAGGCAAGGTCGTTTGGGTAGGTCAGTTCTTTTTGCACGTATCTATCCATGTACCTGTTTGAGCCCGAGAGTGTCTGCCCGCTCACTCGTTTGCCCATGTGACAATGTTTCCGTCGACTAACTCAATAAACAGATGGCTACCGGCCTGTGAGTGGCAGGCGTTTGCATCAAATTCTTGATGCTCCCAATGCCGAGGGATCCTCAGCGGCAGAATCAGGTTCATCACAACCGCCACATATCCCTGACTTGGTGCACTTTACATGTCCAACCATCGCCCATTTTGTTGCTCTGCTATGCAAGCCTACATCGTCCTGTGTGCCGGATGGGACGTCACTGATTATAATTGACTCGTTCTCGGCCCTTGTGAACCAGGCTTTCCCCAAGACCCAAGAGCCACGCAATGCTCCTAAAGGAGGTATGTACATGGCTACGAAATACTCATGAAAGCCAAGATCACTCGCTAAGGAGTCGTCAAAAAATCGCAGTGCCAAGTACATCAACACGTCGGCTGCAGATCCTGCAGTTGATCATATCGAGTATGCAGAAACTCGCAGCTACTCGGGATATCACGATTGTAATACTCAGTCACTGTGCAACCCGCATTCAGGCTGAACGAGGCGCCGCGCTCATCCCCGCCATCAACGCCACTGTCTGGGAGCAGGGAATTGCCACGCGCCTGGTCCTATTCCGCGACTGGTCACTTCATAAGGGGCACATTTCTGGTGTTCGTCTTGTGGGCATACAGAAACTCAATGGCAAGGCCTCGGCCGAGAGCATTGGGCCCGTCCTCGCGTATGACGTGCACGAGGTAGATGGCGACCCTTATCTTCTGCAAGGAATTGATTTGCTGACCGACCAGCAGAAAGGTTTGGTCCCAGTCGAGCACGATGCAACTCAAGCGTCAGCCATCCTGTCCTCGACTGCGCAGCCCAAGAGGAAACTCGGCTCGACAGATTTCGAGATTGCCGACAGCGAGGAAGAATACGGCTGGGATGATGAGGACTCGAGCGAGCTCCCACCCAATCCGTCGCAGTGGCAGGGCAGCGAGGACATACTCATCGGAAACCACGACGAAGATGGAAACCGCAGAGACGAGGATTCAGACGGCGGCGGATCTATACATGACGGGGAATCCGAGGGCTGAGTCATGACCGTTTGCATAATTTTGAGGCAACGTCGATGAGCAGACGAAACGAACCGGTGAAATGCCAAAATCGCAGCACATCACATAGGAGGCAGTATGGTAGGACAAACAGTATCATGACAAGCCCTGGGAACGCACCAGCCACTGGGTTGGGAAGGTCTCTTACGTACATAGGAACCGAGTATATTTTGACTGTCATGGTGTTCCCCCTGGCAATGACACGGACAGGCGGACGTTTGCGTCCTTGCGAGTCGTGCCGAGGTCGTCATGAAAGTCGGCCCAACGTCGGCTTGTTCCTTTCTCAATGACCCCAGTCCAATGCTCCACACCTCGGCCGTACCCGGCTTTATTGTAAACGAGAAGGGCCGCCACAAAACTTGCGGGAAAAGTGGTGAGGCCGGCGACAGCCGCGAAGAAGCCCCGGGATTGAGAAGAAAAGAAGAAGGGAAAAAAAATCTTTGCTGCTGTTCTGTATTTCCACATGCCCGCCCCATGGGTCTAAGTGGGAACGGGGGGTCGGGACTTCGCTTTCGTCTTTCCCCTGCGGCTCTGCGATGGTCAGAATCTGGGAATGAAAAGATTGGAGCTTTTTTTCTTTCCTTTTCTTTTTTTCCCCAGCTTGTAATAAAGACACACCCAAGAGAACCTCCTTGTTGATACGGACAAGTTGCAACGATTATAATGCTGAACCCTGTCCAAGTCGATATGATTCGATTCTGTCATCATTGGCTCTTGATCTCGAGGTTTACCTTGCCAGCCGTGCCAATCGGAAAGTTTTGTTCTACTACTACTACCTAGTTGGATCTCATCCAAGTGATAGGTTTTGTCGTTATCCAAGACCATGAATGGGGGCTCCCCACCCCCCCCCCCCCCCCACTTTCTATAGTCGTATCGCAGCGCTCCGTTAAAGCCAATTATACGTTACAGCGCACTTTATCGTGACAGTGCTAATAATATACACAACTCCCCGGGTGCTACTTGAATATCATTGTCCTTATAATCTTGATATCATGTAGTATTTAACTTGGCATTCCAATGCAGCATCAAGTTCTAGAGCTCTTGGCTGCAGCTGCACGCATCTATACAGTTGCTGGTCAGCTTAATACATTCCCAGAGTATACGCTACTACAAAACTTGGTTTTGAGTTACCCCTCTTCCTTTAATCCACCTCGAGAGAAGAAAAATCCAGTGCAGAGTGGGCAACATATCAGTAGTTCGGCCGAGAAGAAGCCTGGAATAGTGCTCACCGATAGAGAGATAGAGAAGGACTATGAATAGGCTGAGAATCAAAAGAACCCACCCCCTCCCGATCCCCTCTCTGACGCGTTTGAATAAGTATCGCATATTCGTCACCGGCGGAGCCCACACCATTCAATCGATTGCAAACACCCGCGTCCACCGGGGAATGCCTGCATGAAGAAGAACCCATAGCATGCTCAAAACGAGAAAACAAAAATTACTCTCAAGTGTGTTCGTGCCCAGGTACAAGGCTGGGGGCGGGCGGGCGGGCGGGCTCGGCTGGCTCCTACCGAGCCGTCCCGGGTGGACAGGAAAGAAAAGAACGCAGGCAGGAAGCTTGATTTGCCCAAATGATGGATATGGATGCTATTGATCACATTGCTACTACTCTGATACGCGGCACAAAGGTTTCCAAGCATGGAGGGCACCTGGAAATACTATGCACAGAGAGGTCGAGAATGTAAATCGATTGGCTGTCGTAAGAGGTGGCTTGCTTTCAATCGAATCATTCTCGTTCCATACATGGCGCGGAGAGGGAGGGGAGCTTGGATTGATAGCCTATAGAAAATGAGAGTGCGCCTTGTTTCTCTGGCCTTGTACACTCTTTATTCACCTTTTTCTTTCTCTACCTGGGTACCGGAAGGGAATGACAGCTACAACCAGGTACAAATGTTTGCACTGCCCAAACCACTACTCATCGATACTATATTGTACACAATCGGGGGCGGCATATTGAAAAATGCGAGAGAACGTAATTGCATCATAAAAGATGCAAATGCAAAATGGATCTTGATACCTGGACACTCAACAAAGATCCCTATCGGCACGAGTCCTGCCGTAGGCCAAAGCCCAGTCACTGTGATGAAACCACCCGGCCCCCAGGAATCCACATTGCGTATCGATCTTGCCCATGTCGCTTATAAAGTACTGGGTGTGTATACTTTGCGAATGGCCATAATTGCAGATACTAAGTCGGCCTTACATTAGTGACTTATCCATTAAAGGTGAGTGGACACAGTCAAGCTACTCTAGTGTAGTGAATCCCTGAAGATGTATGGCAATCGGGAAAGTTGCTCACAATGCTATTACTTCTCCCAAAAGTGTCAGAGCTGCCCTGCCATCAAACTGGAAGCCATCCCAATCGACCTAGAATTGTTGTTCTACCGGGGTCGGGTTCTCTTTCAAGGCAAAGTTGTTGCATTGGGCCACGTCGCGACGAAGTAGCTCAAGTCTACCCTGTCGCTCGTCGGCGTCACTTGGGCCAAGGTCCCTCAGAGGGCCAACACATTCGAATAGTGCAAAACCTGTCTCGGTATCTATGGTACCATTGAGTATGTAGCGACCATCTGGTAAGCCTTTGGGAAGAGAAAGACTCAAGGCTGCAACCCTTGTGATGGCGATGAGACCAGAGAGAATTGCTACTAGATGCATTCCGACGACTTTTCAAGACTATCCGAAAATCAGATGTGAGAAGTAGATATTTTTTGAAGACTTCCATCCACGCCGGAACACTCGATATTTATATTTGGAGAAGCAGATGGTACGTATCACATGCGCGAGAGAACGCCTCGTAAGTCCCCCCTCTCTCTTCACACGAGAAATACTTGAATTTTCATTGTTCTCTTATTAGTAACATGATGAGCTGGTTCTCCAAATCCCGGTCTTGACCTACGTGATGCCCAAGGTCTTGTAGGTTATCAAAATATAGTTTAACGCAAGGTAAACAGCATGCTAGTTTTGAGACTCTTAAACGATGAATTTGGAGTTTTTCTTTGCAAGCAAAATATTATCATGTAGCAGGTATAGACTTTGTAGCCTCGTGCTCAACTACATCAAAAGAATCTTTCACCATGGGATTTGTAGTTTACATTGACACTTTCGGGTTGAGCTTCCAGCCTCCATTCGCAGCCCCCCAACAAGCCCCGACGATACTCATTGGTCGAGTGTTATGATTCAGCAGTCCTATCCTTTGTTGCAACATGCCTGCTTGTTATAGTCTTGGTGCGATCTAATGCCACAGGTCAAATGTATAATGGAAGTTCTCAGTCATGCTACCTATATCCCTTCTGGTTCTAATATTGACCTAGTGTGCTTGTTGAACCAAAAGCTAGGCGAGCAAGCTGGCCGATTGATCCGACATTGTCAAACGTGCTAAGTATTATTCGAGATGTGCATCTTTGGCCAACTTGAAATTTGCTTGCTATTGATCGTATGCTTTTCAGTATAATCGAGTTTGGTCTGCCGCATTGGAGAATGTTGTGCTTCAGGTCGAAACCAGGAAGATTCCAGTACGCAGGATTGTCCGCCTATTACAGGTATGAATAGTGGAATTGATTGTGCTTGGGTCTGATGATGTAACATGCGATAGGGCCCTACTTTGACATTGAGAGACGTGATGGGGCTTTCTATCACTCCGTCCTGAAAATGGGAATATTTGTGTCCCGGTCACAAAGCACCTTTTCCGGTATGGTCCAGTTCATCCTGCTAATGATTGGATCTAGCTGGGAGGACAAATTAAATAGTTTCACACTTTCTCGTTGTTCTACAGGGTCTTATAGTTATGCTTCATGATCAGTGGATTAGAGTTGTCTATAAAACATTGTTCATGGGTAACTAGTGTATCGGAGTCAGGCAGCAGTTAGAAACAATCAAATGTATGCGTCGCATTTAATCGCAATTATTTATCCATATTTATTTCTAGAAAGACAAAGTAGCACCAAGTTAGCACTACAATAATTATTGCCAAGTCATAGTACGCTAGGAAACAAAACATTGTTCCATGGTAACCAATATAGAAAGCTCAGTCAGCATCCATTTGCATATATAATCATCTGTGCATTGTAATGATTCTAAACAAGACACCCGTAATAATTGTATTTAAGATCAAGGCGCCGAAAGAAGACAAATCGAGTAATACATAGAACATTGGGTATTATGTCTAATCTAGGATTACAAAGGTCTCTCTCTCTCTATTGTCATTTCATTCTTCATGGCCGCGGCGTCTGATCACCCTCATTAGGACTCGGGGGGTCTGATTGGGCTGGGTTTTGCTTGCCCTTATTTCCACTTTTGCCCACGATCTTCTCGGTCCAATTCCAGACCGGACTGCCCGTTCTCTCAATAGACTTGTTCTTCTCCTCATTTGTAGCCTTCTTGCCGCCGTAAGCAAGGTGCTGGTCCATATCTTCGCTCTCATCCCCGCTGTCTGCCCAATCTCTTTCACTCCAGGTCACGGAGTCGAGCCTATCGAGACTTGGACGAGAAGCGGCATTGGAGGGGGACAGGTGGTCATAAGATGCAGAACTGTGCATTGAAGCACTTGGATTCGGCAGATCTGGTACGGCATCTTCTGCCTCACGGCTTTCGGACAGTGTGTGAGCTGTCGCAGGCGGTCGCTCTGGTGAGGACACCTTCTGAAGATCTGCTCCCTCATTCTGGGAGGTGGCTTTGCTCTCTGGATTGCCATTTTCGATGGCAGTGTCAGATTTGGGCTGATCTTGTGGCTGGTCCTGTGTTGTCGTTTCAGCGCCAGTCGTGTCGGGGTTCTGACTCATTGGTTTGGCACGCTCCTTGTTCTCTTCTTTTTGATCCGGGATCCTGGCAGCGGCCGCGTCGCTGAAATGCGCGTCGACAAGATGCTTCACTACCGGCCAGCCATGAGCATTCGCAAACATGCGTCGCACAATAATGTTATTGTGGGCGTCCGGCTCCAACTTGACGAGCACTTTGCGCCAGCTCAGACCCTTGTGATAAGCACGTGCAATCTTTTCCTCGACACTCATGTTGGAACTATCAATGACCTGATTGGGATCATGATCAGGGCTCGTGTGCAGCAGATCGTCATAGTCTTGCGTTGACAGGGCAGAATCCTGATGGGCGACACTAGGAGTGGGAGTCAAATAAGGGGAAGAGGCAGAACTGTCATTCCGCTCTATCGATTTGGCCTTGGGAGTCGACGATGGGGTGCGTTGACCAGACTTTCTGCGCATTGAGAGCGTTCCAGTCGGACGCTTCTTGAGTGGCGGAGACGGTATGTCTTGGGGATGATAGACACGATCATGAAAGATTGTTCGAGGGCGTTTTGACGGATCAATGAGGAACTCCATTGGCGGAATCTTGGGATTTAGTATATCTCCAGCTGACTCGAAAAAGCTCGTTTTGGGAGGCGCAGACACATTGCTTTGTTCGTTGCCTTCCAATTCATGGCCAGTCGATACCTTCGAGGTGCTGGAACTTGCTGATTCATTCTCCAGCAGCTTCAGGGTTTGGCTTCGCTTGAGAACTTTGGTATCCTTTGACGAATTGGCTTTTAAGGGTTTCGATGCCGGGGGTGGTTGTGGTTCTTTGTTGGACTTGAAAAAGTTCAAAAAGCCGCTCAACGGACCATCGTTGTTAGTGGTGTGAGACGTTGGAAGAGGTGGTGGATGCTCCTGAACTGGGCTCGAAAGGTTGAGACTGCGCCTATCGTCTTCGGCAGTGGCATCTTCCGCTGGCTGTGGCACTTCTCGGGCGTGCTCTGGCGGCGTACCCGGCTCAGATGATATATTTGATGGCGGCGGCGGAACATCCTGTTGAGGAACCGTCAACTCCCCAGCCGATGGTGACCAGGGGCCTCTCCGCGGTGAGGTTACGTTTGCACCTGTAAGTTCGGCCCATCCAAAGCCAAGGACAGACTCTACCAGTCCAGCCTCTCTTCGAGCCTTTTCTACACGGCCAAGGCCTTGCCAATCCAGGAACAGCAGACAGCTTGTGCGTAGAGGCACTATGCCATCATTGACCACATTTGAGTATACGGTTCGATTCCTGAACTTTTTGAGTGCCACATGGGCGGGTCCGGTCGGTAATATCCGCAGTAGAGGCTTGGACTCTGGCTGAACCTCTCCCATGACCTTCTTGTGCGCGCTCTCGCCCAGCGTGCTTACAATAGCACCCCAGCCACTCCTAGCAATGGTGGGCGCCCTCCATGTGAGGCCAAGATCCTGTCCCGTCCTGCCAACTAGTCCAAAGTCTAGAGCAAACTTGACGTACATGGGATTCTCATTGCTGAGTCCTAATAACGGCGAGGCCATCGCAATGAAGTTGATCGGCCTGATAAGGTCAAAGAACTGTGGTGAGTGCTTTTGTATGTACGCTATGGCATATGTCTGCACCAATCCACCGAGGGAGTGTCCGACAAAGCTGATGCTCGTGATTTGAAAAGCTCGGTGTGGGTTGTGGTGTTTTGGCTGGTGTATCGTGCTGTGCCTATGCGCTGGCTTGTCACCCTTGTCTGCCTTATCTCCCGACTCTGGCTTGAAAGCCCCAGCGATACTCTCGGTCGCAGACTTGATTGTGGGCAGGAAGGGTTGGTCAGGGTATGTCATCGAGAGAACAAACCGAGCCAGCCTCTTGCCGAGAAACTTGATGCCCCTTTCTGTGCGGGTCGCATTTCCAGAAAAGCCCCTGACTACCACCTCTTCATCGTCATATTCTTCTTCTTCTTCACGTGAGATTTCCGGTTTCAAGTCCTCATCGCCCCCGGCAGTGTCGTCGGCATTTTGGGCTTGGTTCTCCTTGCGCTTTGCCTCTCGCTCTGCCTTTTCTTTCCGCCTCCGTTCCCTTGCGTCAATTTTGGCCTGTTTAGCCGTGGCATCGATGCTCTCCTTCAAATACAACATGTCGGCACCCAGATTGCTGTGGAGCCCATGGGTCACGACCACGAGGTGGACCTTCTTGGGCTTCTTTTTGCGCCTGGTAACGTCGTCCTCATCTTTGGCTTGCTTCACTTGGTCCTCGCTTGCATTTTTTGGGGGGCCTACAGCCTCAGTCGCTACGTCGTGACCCATGCCATAGTTCTTGTGCAGGTGGCCATGGGTCCATTCGTCCCATCCCGGCAGTCCTGGCGTATTCCACAGGCTGGCAGTATCCTCTACTTTAAGCGTCACGGCGCGTGAGAAGACCCCCTTCATCTGTGCCGGGTGGTGCCCGTCTTTGGCGCCAACGCTTTGTTGGAAATCGCTCACGCGACCGGGCTGGGGCACCTGGGCCTGGTTGCCGCCGAGCACGGGGGTGCTGCTTCCCAGGTGCAGACTCTTCTCATCGCGTGCGAGCAGGACCTCGTAGCCGACGGCGGCGGAACTGGAAAAGATAACCTGGCTCGCGACCTCGATCACCCAAGTGACGCTGCTGCAATCCTCCCACTCCTTGCCGCTGCCAAAATGACCCCTTGACGCCCCCAGACCGGCGCTCTCCCGTATGTCCTCGGGCACGACCAGCTCGCACTGCCATGACCCGCCGGCCTTGAGCATGGGTTCGAACTCGGGCACGCCATACTTTTGCGGGTTCTCGAACTTGACGTTTGGGTCGAAATTGGCCGGGTAGGCGGCGACGTCGAGGCTGTAGGGCCCGTGGACAAAGGCGGCGCGCAGGGCTATGGCAGAGGTGTTGCGGATGCGCAGGTGCAGGATCGAAGGTGACGGCAAGATGCGGTCATGCGAGGGAGTGTAGGTGACAGTGTAGCGCACGACCTCGCCAATCTTGACGGAGCCGACCTGGTGGAGGAGCAGCATATTATGATGTCGCTCTCGTGGGGGTTGTGTATGGGCGCCGGAAACCCAACAAGCAGTAAGAGAAACGCCCAAATCGGTGCGAGAATGCACAAGAGGCTGTTCGTCGGTTTGGTCGTTGGGGCAAGACTGAACACGGCTATGACGTTTCTCCTATAACTTCATCTTTGTACACCCATTAATCACAGATAATATCGGTAGATGTCCACGATAGGGAGGTACCGTAGGTAATGTGAACAAGGTTGGCGAGAAATATTCTAGTGTAGACAACTCAAAAATCGTAGTAGGGTAGAAAATGTCCAAAAAAGAAACGAAACAAAAGTCTACAAGAAGCCCAAACAGGACAAGAAAGTAGATTTACGCAGCAGTAGTCGGGAATCCTACCAAACCAACAAAGCCACACATTTCTCTCCGTGACGTCCGAACATGACTGATCACGAGCCCCAAATCATCTAGCGATTGGGGATTCCCAATGATTTTGGGGGCGGCCTCTCAGTAGCTGTGAAGTTTGGCCCGCTAGACGTGTCGCTGATGTCAAATGATCCACAGCGCATTTCATTGAGCGATAGCGGCTGGGCAGGGGCAAGGGCCAGGGGATTCGGGTCGTAGTCGGGGCCCGGGGCATTGGTTAGTGGTCTCCTAGCGACTGTCACTACTAGACGCTCCCCACATGTGCCACTCTCAGTCGGTGTGCTGGTCAGTGGAAGTGTTGAACGTTCAACCATGAAACATTGCCCCTGATTCGTTGTCAACTGCGTTGTCATGGTTGTGAGTTGACATTGGCCGTATCAAGATCATTCCATCAAGCACCAAAACTATTCCCAGCTTTGGTATGTATGTTTGACTGTCATCTCTTTTCGGAGAGATTCGCTCAAGACCATCCATCCGTATAAGACGTTATTGATGGACTCCGTTTCCCCCTCCAAAAACACCCTTAATATGGTACGCTGGTGTCATGAGTACCTAACCAACCACAGGTCACGAGGGCATCTGCAATTCTGCAATGTGTCGGCTTTCTTCACATGAGCAATCAATCCTACACGTTCCATCTCGTTGTAGGCCGCGAAATCCACAATGTTTGATGCAATTGCTATATTGAAAGTCCAGGTCATCGTGACTGTAATAAACAGACTACATCATGTAACGCCAACCCACAAATATCAAGCAGATACAATACATGCTCATACCACGGCCGCCATATCTTACAATCAACCCCGAGGTCTTCCATGTGTAAATAAACAGAATGCAGAAACAAATCATCAATCAGCTGTAGTCTGTTGCCAGTCATGGCTTGATACTGTCGTCAACGAGTCCTTGCGAGTGCTCCATGGCATTGCATCTTTCAGCGAGCCGTGACACTCTGTCTCTCGGGCTCATCAGGGGTTACATAGTACCTCCATTCATCGACGCGATTCATGCCACTGCCCGGGCCTGTCAATCCAGCGAGCATTGAGCTCCTGTGTGATAGCCGCTCTCTTTCTCTGGGTTCCCTGGTTTCCCTAGGCCGTCTCCGGCTAGGAGGGCTCTGGTAACTTATATCGTCTTCAAATTCAGCTGGGCCATGCCCTAGCATAATCCGCTCCGAGAGCCTCGAGTGTGACATCTCGTCGTCCATGGTGTGTGCTCGCCTCATCCTGGGGACGCCCGGAGGCGGGTAATGCATGTTACCCATGCTGGTCATGCCCATAGGACTCATGCCACCCATTGGCATACCATGAGAAGGCGGCGGAGGCGGATGAGGCGGATGAGGCGGCATTGGCATTGTGTACGACATATGTGTTGGACTAGACCCGTGTCGTGGCTCGGAGAACCTGTCGGCCAGACGCCTTTCCATGGAGCTGGCACGCAATCCTCGTGCTTTCTTCACGCCAGTTACGTAGTCGCCATTGCCGGTCCTGTCGACGGCTTGCATTGGAGGGGAAGGAGCAGGTGGTACTATCCGCGGCGCTCTTCTATAGTCATCATTCATGAAATGGCCAGCCGAATTCCCAAGGCCAACGATCTCACCGTATTTGTTGTGGATATAGTCATCCTCCTCATCGTCATCGTCATCGTCATCGTGATCATCATTACCGTTATCGTCGTATTGTAAACGTCTCGCAAAATCTTCATCTTGTTGCTCCTGTCTGCGACGAAGAGACATTTCAGTCTCATACGTCTGCGGAACGCGATGCCGGCTGCCGCGTTGACGACTTCCTCGAGTCATTGACCCATCGCGCTCCGAGCTGGATGTCATGGGCATGTCCATGTAGTCAAGGTGATCCTGTTCAGCGGTTTCGTAATTAAACCAGGGGCATTCACACGTCTTCCACTGGAGCCCGCATATCATGCAAAACTCGGCACCACAGCGACTATAAATGTTAGCCAAGTCGTTCATGACGGAACCAAATCCTGACTCACCATGTCATGTGGTTGCAGCCTTCTTTGAGTTCAATCATCTCCAGGCAGCTGTAGCACCTCTTCCAGCCATTCTCTTTTGCCTGCTTGAGGATTTCATTCGTTGCCTCATCCCTGGGGCAATCCTTTCCCTTGTGCCATCTGCCATTGCAGGCACAGCATACCTCTGTTTTGCATGAGCCACAAGTAGCGCGTTTGCGACCATCCCTCAGTTTATGTATCCGTTCGGGCTTGATCCAGGCGCCGCATTTACTAGACGGGCAGTAGATGCGATTCCGTGTAGAATACTCAGCAAACTTCTTGTTCCAAGTCTTCTTGAAGCTATTCTCAAAGAGTGCATCAACATGTTTGATTGGTATCGGGTCTTCCGTGCAGCACTTGGGCGGCATATGCTGAGGGTCCTTGATAGATACCTTGAAGACTCGTTTCATGCAGGAGTGGCACATATAATGCTTGCACTTCAGCTTGGCTGCCTTTGACCGTGGTGTATCCTCATCCATGCACGCAACGCATTCGACACTTCACATGGGTCAGTTCAAGCTCATGTCATACGCATGGAGAGTGTCTCACGTTCTAGTTGGTTTGGACTGTTGAGGCGATTTCCCATACATGAATTTGGTGAGTGCAGTCGAAGATCGCCTAGACGAAGCCACACTCGGCGTATTCGTCATCTGCGAACTGGATGATCTGGCGAGCTTGGGCCGCTCCACGTAGACATTGACGGAGTCATGATACTTCTTGTGGCTCCTGTCCTCAAATCAGTATGCCAATTAAATCTGTCATCTTTGATACGTTTACGCACCGCTTAGAGCTGGGTAGTTTCACGACCTCATCGTGGTGGTCGTGATGATGGCGATGACGCCTACGAGAACCACTCCTGGAGTCGGATTGTCGTTGGTGGCGATGCTGATGCCTGGGCGCTCCTTTACTCTCAACGACGATAGGTATGGCATTTCGGGCTATTGGCGAAAGCTCTTCTTCGTATATTGGTGGCTCCCTTTCGGCATGTGTCTTGCGATGCCGCCGACGAGGAGTAGTCTTGGTGTCTAGTATCACTTCAATTTCATCAGATTCATGACGTAGTTTCTCCTTGACTCTGCCCTGTGTAGACAATGTGGATTCGGAATCTGAGCTCCGGGACCTGGCTCTTGAAGGACTCTTATGAGAGCGTCTCGAGTCAGGAGTTGCATTTTTAACGCGGGTTGATCTTGGCGGTGTTGACGGTGTCATCACACGTTCGCCTCTGCTGCTGCTACTCCTTTCTGAGCCTGATATCGACCGTGAGGGTGACCTTGCTCTATCTCGTCCTCGAGGCCTCGAACGACGTTCGCGAGGACTCGGTGATTCCTCATCGTCATCGTACGCCATTGGCTCTCTAGCCCTCCGCTGTGGCACGGCGCGTGCTCGGTACGAGGTGGTTGTTGTCGGAGGCATGATCTCGTGCGAGTCTGAAGATGCCCGACGGCCTCGATGGGACGAGGAGGAGACAGACTGTCTCGCCCTTCTGCTAGTGCTGTCGGGCATCTGTATATCGACGTCGGCAGTGCGGGACCGGGTTCGGTAGGGCAGCGAATGGAGGGTGGAATATTCCTCTGGCTCCCAATCAAAGGCGTTCGAGAGCGAGGGGGAACGTGTTTCCTTTCGACGCCTGTGTCGGTGCTTGCCTCCTCCATCCTGAGAGTATGCCATTCGTCCTCGCCTTGATCGTGGTTCTGTCAGCCCTCCTGATGGTGTAGCAGGTTCAGGCTGTCGGAGACGCTGTAGGTAGGCAACCCATAAGCTGGCTGCCGGGTTCCTTCCGCCCTAAAGAAGCAGCAGCGCAAGCAGCCCAGATAGGACCAACAGCGCTGCGAAGTGCGGAGCTCGAACAGCTGGTTGTCTGTGAATGGCTATCTGCAGGTGAAGCGTGAAGCTGCAACCCCTCCCTCAACGCTGATTGGTTGTGGCTTCGGAGTGCATGTAGGTGCGTACAGCTTGCTTGGGCGGGAGGAGTTCCCGGGATAGACAGACCTGCAGCGCAAAAGACAGGGCAACAAGACGCGGTTCAATGAATGAATGTATGTATGTATGAATGGGTGAATGAGATACTAGGCAGGCAGGCAGGCAGGCAGGCAGGCAGGCAGCAAATAGTCGATTTGGTAAAACCAGAGATGAAGCGACCGTTGGTGTATATCATCAGATTGTTGCCCAACACTGCCAATTTCCAGAAATGAATTGATTGACGGGATGATACAGTACTGTGCAGCACGAAGAAGAAGCAGGTGACGCGGAGAGACAAGTGAGCCTCCCGTCGACTGACTTCTCTCCTTCTCTCACCTTGGCCTCACCGTAAACATGTGACCTTGATTCGTCTCGATCGTGGGAAAAGAGGACGGGCCTTTCCTGGTCTACCTACTTGCTGGTAGGTGCAAGTATATTCCGAACCCAGTTTCAGTCAAGTTCGGATGATTGCGACTCGTGCTTCCATGCCCCTCAACAAGTGCTCCAAGCTGGAGTGGTAGGTACATTTACTATGTAGGTGACACACACGCGGGAGGAGGGGCAAGGGCACCAGGCAGATCCATGGGGAGGCAGCATAAGGTGCGTGATGATCACTGATGGCCCCGCGCCACTAACAGAAATATAGTGCTGTAAGATCATACGCCAAGGTCTATTCAGTGGTTGGTCGGCCAGCGCTGTGTGTCCAACCAAAATGGACCCCTGCCGCCCTCTGCGACCCCCAAAAAGAGCCCTTGCCTCTTCCCAGACAGTCCCCCTCTCTACGAAGTACCATACACACACGTCTCGAGGTACTGACCACGGAGTATCCATTCATCGATGTCTTGTCACACCCACAGTCGGAGCCGCAGCGAGAGTTTGAGCGCCAATCGATCAATCACCAGGTAAACCTGGAGGATTCGCTGAAGAATCTAGGACAAGCGATGTCTCACGTGGGGTACTGTAGCACGAACACGAATGACAATCTAGTGCGGGATGGCTGATCAGCAAATGCAGGATGTAGTTGGGCCATGACCGCGGCTGGGTTAGTCGAGAGGAATTCTTCTCCATAAATTCCCGTCTAAACTCGAATTCAATCAAGCTATTAAGCATCATTGATCATATGTAGAAGCAAGGCGAGTCATGTTTCGCTGAAAACTGCCAAAAGGCCGACTCCTCTTGTTTTTCGGTGCCTCATTGGTTACCGCAGCCGCTGCTCTCCGATGTGTTTCAACCCAATAATTCAAGCCGGACATCGTGGGATTGGGCTGAGCCCTATGATGTTTGGACAATGCGAATGAATTTGAGATCCAATGCAACAAGTATATGAATTAGTTCCTCTTATTCTTTCTTGAAGATTACGGAGATTAGGCAAGTCGTTCCTCGTGATTAAAGGTGCGGCTTGTGTGCATCTGCCTTCAATTGTGTGAGTGAAGCTTGATTCAATACCAACTCTCGGCGTTTTTACTACTGACAAGCTGAATTGTCCTGGCGTGTGTACAGCCTCACACCCGTTGCTTTGCAGTAGTGACCCTGCCTGGCGCTAGACTTGCATATTGACGCAAGACCAATGTCTCAATCTCGTCACAAACTCAAAAAGTCTTACACCTCGGCTGGTAAGGCGGCGGTATCCAGGTATCTTAACAACTACTAGATAGTCCAAAGTATAGCGATTTTCATGTCTGGATCAACTTGCGCGCATAGCAGATGACCGTCACAAATGTCATGATTGCTCGCAGCTTTAGTTTGTCGACATGTTTGGTGTCTGTGCATCACGATTTCAAAAGAAGGACTTGTCCAACAGATAGAGTTTATTCATCCACCTAAGCTAAGCAATGCCCTAAATGCATTGCTCTTGAGAAATTGGGGATTGTTGTATCCGACGGTGAGATTGCTGATCCAACATGTGAAAAGAGAGAAATCCACATCTCCAACAAGGTCGTTTCTCCGAGGGCTCGTGTCCAACTTTGACAAAAGATTATGGGCTTGACTCTTTTTGAAGCGGCGGGGAGAACTCCTCAGTCTTTTATATCCTTCTCACACATGCGAGATCTTTATTCCTTGACGACGGCAACAGCTGATAATTCCGAATTAATCCCTTATTCCGCAGAGGAGGAGGCGCGCCGTGCTTTTTTGCACTTACTTTGCTGCTGGATGATGGTCTGGATCTGGGGGACCAAGGAGGCGTCGATGAACTGGCCCAGGTCGACGCCGCCAATGTTGTTGATGAGGCCAAGGTTGACCTGGTTCAAGGCAAAAGAGCTCAGATCGAATCCGCCCAGAACACCGAGCTGCTGGAGCTGGATGAGGTTCTGGATCTGCTGGAGCTGGATCAGGCTGTTGATGTCAAAGGCATTGTTGGAGAACAAGCCCGAGAAGTTGTTGAGGTTCAACCCGTTGACGGTGGCGAGCTGCTGGAGCACGTTGAAGTCAAGGGAGTTGACAACGCTCAGGTATTGCAGGTCCTGGCTGTTGAAGGCAAAGTTGTTGAAGAGAGAGGCATCGATAGAGGCACGAGGCTCCTCCTTCTTGGCAGGGGCGGCAGACGCAAAGGCCGCGAGGGTGGAAACGAGGACAGCAGAGAACTTCATTTTGGCGATGAGGGTGTTGTTGGATTATTAAAATTTAAAAATCGGTAATGGAGCACAGCTAGACCGCCTTGTTAGTTATCAAGTGAGTTGAAAGATCCTAGAAAGCATACCTCAAATGTTCAAACGAAGGTATATAAAGAATGGAACGAACAACGAGCACAGCTGGGTGGTTGAGTCAGTAGAGGACCAATATGATGTGAGTATAGAGCGATATCCAACATACCTCTGAAGGAATGAATGAAAGAGTAGGCTGAGTATACTGAAGATCTTGTAGACTGAGTTGGGATGAAGAAACAGAATCACATCTACGAAGTAAATGTCGAATTATATATTAGTTGGAAAGGCTTGTGGCGAGCAGAACAAGACGCGGCTGCATGAGCACTGGAAACATTGCCAAGGCTTTGCTCATGTATAAATTCCTTCGGATACAATTTGAAGGAGGGATCCGATGGTATCAGGTCGTCTGCGTTCCTGTACCGACGGCATCCGGAATCGAGCGGGATGTAGGCAGTGGGTAAGAACAAGGAATTTCAATCAAGCTTCCGTGCAGATGAGCTTGTTCGGCGGGTACCCAACCTATGGGGTTGCGGGCACTTGCTGCTGATTGTCATGTAGGGCAAGGGACTTGCGTAGACTGCTCCGGTCAGGCGATGGCGGACCATGCTCAACCAGGCCATTCTGTTGACGAACGACCGCCTGATGTGCTCTGCCAAGCAAGAAAGATCCAAGAGCGACCCTAGCACATTTGTCGTCTGGCTTCAAAAGGCAATTGGCTTTCCGGACAAGGTCTTCTTGAAGGGAAGGGGGAATGCCGCAATCTGGGTCTTGATTGATCAGCAATTGGGATAATAGCCTGTTTCGTGTTGTTTTCTCATACCTGATTACAAGCACAGAAGAGCCCACGAGCGATGTTTAAACAATGTTCACCTATGAGATTCCGCCCCCTGGCGCCTTACCATACTCTTCTATAGTCAAGATCCGGGCTTCTGATTGGTCAAAACTCTACGACGTTCTCACGGGTGTCCAGATGAAAGGTCTAGGCAGCCTGGTAAGCATTCACGGCTTTTCTCAATCAGAAACGCCTTGGCATACCCGTCGTAGTCTGATCAAGGCCTAATTCGGATCCATCGTGCCAAATGAGCCGCAAAATCCGGGGGTGCAAAAGAAGGTTTTGCTGCAGCGGCGGGCTGTCAACTCAAGATGCCGGGGGTTGCATTGCCCAATCATTGAGCGGCATCCACGGCGATCGCACACGTTCAGGGGTCGCACTGCGTGCAATGCTGTTTGAGTGCCCGAGTGCCAACCAAAGTTGACCCTTGTATATGTTCGTGAGCATCAAAAATTTCCGCTGCCGAGTAATAGCAAAGAGATGGGACTTGATTGCCGCGAAGCCGTTTTACCCGGAGCACGAACGATTTCTTGCAATCCCCTCATCCGGACTGATCATGACCCGTGTTGCCGTCTCATGCACTAGGCACCATGCATCAATCACCTGAAGATTTCTGGACTTGACGTTTGTCTATGTCCAGATGACACTGCGAAACTGTCATGTTGACATTGACTCATCTCATGATTGCGACGACTGCTGTCGTTCTCCAGATCAGATGTGATAGTGTTGGCTGTGGGCCGAGGCGGGGCCAAGCGGAATCATACGTCTTTACGGAATATAGAGCACTGGATACCATTGCTCAGTCATGGTCGCTTTTTATCCGTAGTAGAAAAGAACATCCAAGTAGGCACATATTTCATCATCACACCGACTTGTTTTGCCCTGGCCCAGGGAAATCAGGGGCTTGGATTCACCGTTTCGAGTTGTCTCTGCAGGACTCATTGACTAATGCCAAACAATACAAAAGGCTGTTGGAAATTATATGGCATGGTATGCACTTTTTGCCGATCAGGATTTCTCAAGCACTGGATAAGTACATTTGTCTCATGTCCAACGCCGGGAGATCATGAGTCGCTTCGGCACGTTCGTTTCCCTGATAAACTCTTTTCTTCTCTCCGGCACTGCTGAAATCTGGTCATCAACTGTCGGGTTCGTCCTTTGCGGCTGCAATTCAAATGAAGGTCTGCGTCTTCGACTGTAGTTGGGGACAGACAAACAATATGTCTCCAAAGAAAGAGTCCCAAGAGCCCGCGGAAAGCCCATGTAGCATTTTCCGGCTCGGATGTAGATTTCTTGCCATACAGACTTGGAAATGTACATATTGTATGTAATGCTTTTATCTCTGTTCTTGATGTTACATTGTGATGTACAATCTATTTTTCTTTGATTTCCGATTCCCAATGCAATGTTTATTTGAAGTCGTATCACCTGTCGTCTCGAGACTGTTCGCTGTCTGTTGTCGTTCGATTGAAGCCCATAAGCCCACCAAGGACGCCCGAGGGTTTGGGCACTGGGCATTCTCTCTTTGCCAAGCCCTTGTTTGCTGATCTCTCAAAGTCTTCACTGCTGCTCTTGAATTGAGCTATGCCATCCTGGACCTCTGCTGTCTCGGTCCGCCTCCTCCGCCTCCGCCTTGTGCCGTCGGCTGTGGTTTCTGAGTCGGCGAGTTTGACCCGGGGTGCAGGACAGGGCAGAACATGCGGGAGTCCTACTACGAAAAAACTGGCTGCGACCGTGATTCCGAAGAGGGAGGAGGTCATCCGCGACCGAGGATGCAAGTGGGGAGGCATCGTCGCGGGTTTGCACGGGAAAGCGATGCGCCTAGTTGAGCGGTTATTTGGTAGTTCTTGGGAGCCACAATGTGAGCGTGGAGCTACCTGTTGAGACCTGCCTATGATCGAATCATGACGCGGGGGAAACCAAACGCGATGATTCCAGGTTGTCGAGAGGCTGAGGAGATGCCACAGCGTTGCGTGATTGAGGTGCTGGGCGCGCTATCGTCGTACGATGGTTGCGATGCTATGAAATTTGACTCGGGTTAATGCACTGAGCTTCAAATCCTCAGCTTCTCATTGAACGACGCCTGATTGACCAATTGGAACCGGCCCAGAGAGACCAGCCGCCACAATCTCGGTACGTACTGGGCTGCAAGGGACCCCACCCTTACCGTCTTTGTCGGTGGATACCAGCCACAGACTAGCTGCCAGAGTCCTCTTGTTACAGGGCCCAGGCGCCAATCTGCCAACTGAAATGTAAGAGACAAACCGGGGACGAGCCGCTGATTGTCGTCATTTTCCACCTTCCAAGCCACATCTATTTATCGAAATTTGACCCGCGACACGGATGCACGCGACGAACGCCGGAGCATCGTGAACCCAAAACGAAACCCCACAAACCCCGAAGACCCTCAACGGTGACCACCGGATTAGAGTTTGTGCAGCCAGGAGCCCGAAAACGTCAAAACGTCACACGCCACCATTCGTTTGACATGACCTTGTTGTCGTGAACAAACTCATCTGCAAGCGCTCCGAAGAGGCTCAACCGACACTGCGTGTCGGCGCCTAGACTACTCCCGAGCCTCCAGAAATTAATATTGTCGCAAACATGAGTGATCTCGATAAGTACGTTTAGCTTCCATTGTAGATCGCTCCGCAAGCATGTCTCGTTGACAACTTTCCATGTAGTGCGATCGCCCAGCTCCGGGCATGTCGACCCATCCCAGAGGCCCAGGTCCGCGAGCTCTGTCACAAGGCACGCGAGCTCTTGATCGAGGAAGGCAACGTCGTCACGGTCGCAGCACCCGTCACGGTATGCGCGCAATCTCGAGACCCCGACTAGCTTCGCCAGCTTACATTTGCGACAGATATGCGGTGATATACACGGCCAATTCCATGACTTGATGGAGCTTTTCCGAGTTGGTGGTGATCCGCCAGACACCAATTACCTCTTCATGGGTAAGTCCTGAACGAGCAGTCGCGCATAGTCTTCTTCTTCTTAAGCTCTTGCTAATATATGCAATACTCAACTGAAGGCGACTTTGTCGACCGAGGTTTCTACTCTCTAGAGTCATTTCTTCTGCTGCTTTGTCTCAAGGTCCGATACCCGGACCGTATGACCCTCATCCGCGGCAATCACGAATCACGCCAAATCACGACCGTATACGGCTTTTATGACGAATGTCTACGAAAATATGGAAGCGCAAACGTGTGGCGATATTGCTGCGATGTCTTTGATTACCTAGCTCTCGGCGCTATCGTGCTCGGCGCATCCAACACCCTATCGCCACCCAACGACAGAGTGTCTAGCGAAGCTTACGAGGAAGAAGAAATCGAGATAGAGGTCTGCAACGCAGATGGAGAAGTAATGAGCAGGTTCGGCAGACAGGCTGCCGAACAAAAGAGCCCCAACGGCATTCCGGCAAACACGGGCCCTCCAGGTTCCGGCGCGTCAGGATCCAGCGGCGGGAGTAACGGAAACCCTACCGGTGCAGTGCTATGCGTTCATGGTGGTCTCTCTCCGTTGATAGATACGGTGGATAAGATCCGCCTGCTTGATCGGAAACAAGAAGTGCCTCATGAGGGTGCCATGTGCGATCTGCTTTGGTCAGACCCCGACGAAATTGACGGTTGGGGTCTTTCGCCGCGAGGCGCAGGCTTCTTGTTTGGAGCCGACATAGTCAAGGTCTTCAACCACAAGAATGACCTTTCGTTGATTGCACGGGCACATCAACTGGTGATGGAAGGGTTCAAGGAAATGTTCGATGCCAGCATAGTGACGGTATGGTCAGCACCCAACTATTGCTACAGATGTGGTAACGTTGCCGCTGTGCTTGAGCTCTCTGAGGACGGGGGTGGCGAAAGCATTATGATGCGCAGCAATGGTGATATTGGGCGGTCACAGGACGCCAGGGGAATCCTGACCGACACCGACAGCCTGATGAAGAGTGGCCCAGCCAGGCGGTACAGGGTCTTTCAGGCGGCGCCGCAGGACTCGAGAGGCATGCCGGCCAAGAAGCCTGTGGCTGATTATTTCCTTTAAGACAAAAACCCCTGATTGTATACCAGAGGGGTGATCTTGTGTCCAGCGCGGACGTGAGAAGCATGCAAGACTTGCCATCTAATGATCTGACTTTTTTGGGCGCGAGCCGGATCGCATTTGAGTCTTGGAGTTGACCGTTTAGGAGTTCGGAGGCTTTTGGAGTCACGTTTGCAATAGTATTTTGGGACATTGCTTCGTATGCTGTATAGGTAGGTAGATACTCAAGCCTTGAATACGACCTGAGAGGCAGTATTGCCATCATTACTCTGATAGCTTAATGTGTCAACCGCCTACAAGGACTAGCTTTGGGGAAAAGCAGGCCGTGATTTGCGCAGTAGCATGCATCTTTTGTTGAATACGATGCATTTGTCTAGATACTTTCACATGCTCGCTAGCAAACAGCCTTAGTACCTCCAAATAGCATCGGCCATCTTGACAACCTGACCCATTTCCACGACGTCATGGACCCGGACAATATCCGCGCCCATTTGCACGGCGGCGGCCACGGTGGTGGCGGTGCCAAAGATCCTATCCATGGGCTTGGGCACACCAGTGACCTTGCCAATGAAGCTCTTACGGCTCGAGCCTAGCAGCCAGGGGAAACCCTCGAGGCCGGGCCAGTTGCGGAGCTCGTCAAAGTGGCGGAGGACCTGGAGGTTCTGCTCGCCGACCTTGGCGAAGCCCAGGCCGGGGTCTAGGATGATGCGCCACCTCCGGACGCCGGCGGCCTCGGCCTCGGCAATGCGCTCGAGGAGTTCCCGGGCAATTGTCGGAATCAGCCCGTCCGGGTAGTCATTAAGCTTGCTCATGGTGGCGGGGGTGCCGCGCATGTGCATCAGACAGACCGTCTTGCCCAGCCTGGCCATGGTGGAGAGCATATCCGGGTCCAGCTGCCCAGCCGAGATGTCGTTAATGACATCAGCTCCCGCCTTGGCTGCCGCCTCGGCTACGGGCGCGCGATAGGTGTCTACGCTTATAGCAACGTCCCTGGATTCCGGCATGCTCCGTATGAGCTCAATGGCAGGAAGAACCCGACTGATTTCTTCCTGGGCACTGACGTCGGGCGTGCCGGGAGCGCTGGATTGGCCTCCGATATCTATCATGGTCGCACCGCCGCGGATGAAGCTGAGTATTGTATCCCTCATTGAGTCGAATGTGTGGATGCCACCATCGGAGAAAGAGTCTGGCGTAGTGTTTAGAATAGCCATGACATGAGTTTTTCTGGTGGCTTTGAGTGCGTTTAATGGACCAACCGAGGGAGAGATCGGCGTCAGAGTGGAAAGAGGTTCAGAAGATGGCGGGAGCTCGTTCAAGAAGTCTTGGACTAACTTCCATGGCTTTGATGGGTAAATTGCCTTTGTTGGGATCAACTCGGCAAGCGGCCGGAGGACGAAGTCTCTTTCCGGGATGCCAATATGAGGCACTTGAAGCCTTTCATGGTTCACTTCCTCATCGCCGTAAAGCAGAACATCAAGATCGATATTTCGTGGTCCTTTGTCTATAAGCTTTTTCCTGCCCATGGTCTTTTCAATATCTTGTAGTTGATCTAATAGTGCCAGTGGTTCAAGCTCAGTCTCGACCTGCACTCTCGTTTTAGTGAACCACGACTGTTATGGGCAGGGCTTCAAGTAAGGCGACGCACCTCGCATGCTCCGTTCACGAATCTATCCTGATCTAAGACGTACATGGGCTCGGTTTCCCAGAGATTGCTGGTCCTCTTGACCTTGATGCCACGAGAGTCCATTTCATGGCAAGCCTTCTCAATCTCGGTAACCCTGTCGCCCAGGTTGCTTCCGAGTGCAATGTAGGCAGAGCGTTTGCCACTGCGCTTTGCTGAAGCACAGCCACATGCTGCCCTACTTGGCTGGTCCATCTTCCAACGGGTTGGCAGGCTTGTTGACCTCGAAGCTGCAGCAATCTTGTTGATCAAGTTTCGAGGGAGGTTAGCGGGATGCGATTGGCGACCAACAGAGCTCCATGCTCGAGGCAACAAAGCAAAGCTCATTGAGATGAGACTTCTGACATTCGATTTGCACCAATTAGGATATACCCCGTCGATCCTGGCCGGCGGCGCTGTCGTTGTCTAAAGTACGCACCTTGGGACACTTGCACTCAGAGGCTGACATAAGCGTTCAGGGAAAAAAAAAAACCAACTGCCTTCCAGGGGTTCTAGGCTGTCTGGGTACTTTAGACGCGCTATCTTAGCCTTGGGATAGATACATTAAGGTCACATCGCTGAAGGCGGCCCGCATGGATCGAAGCTCATGTGGGGTTTTGAGTGAAGCCCGCCATGATTTCATATTTGTTCCTTGGTAGACACAAGTGGTTATTGGAAATAAACAAGGAGGAGTGATCGTATAAACCTCGAGGACATAAACCGTATTCATGATTCCTAATTGTACTACCAATAGAAACTGTCGGCAGAGTTGCTGTTATGTATGTATGTTATTGTTTGAGGCTGCGCAAGGACGAATCGCATGTTCAAGATGCCACACCACTGACAAAGTGCCTCGGCAACTTTGATAGCGGGTCTCCATACCTAGGTTAGCTTGCCCGGATCAGATTAGCCCGCGCAGGGTACCCCATCACGCTGCATCGCCCCTCGGCGAACTTCCCCAGACTCACGGCAAACGGGATAGCTTTTGGCTGGGGAAAAAGGTCTGATCTCTTTCCCTTCCCTGTCCTGGTATATTTGTTATATAGGTTGGCTGTCTCCTCTTTCCGGGCGCCCGCGCTTCGTCTTCTTGTTCTTCTCATCCTCTGCAGAACGACTGACGACGTCTCCGTACTGACCCGTCTTCCTTCACCCGCATACCCCGAATCGCAAACCTCGCAGATCTGGTAGTAGCAGTAGATATCAAGATCAAGATGGCATCCCCACGTCAGTACTCCCTCGCATGAGCCAGACCACGGTTTCTTCAAAGCACCCAGTCAAGCTGATCATTTATTCTTCCTGTAGAGAAAATCCGGACGGGCATCACCGAGCTCTTCGGGATCAAACACCCAATCCTCCTGGCAGGCATGAATGTCGCGGCCGGTCCCAAGTTGGCGGCTGCTGTCACGAATGCAGGAGGTCTCGGAGTTATCGGTGGCATGAGCTATTCGCCCGACATGTTGAGAGAGCAGATTGATGAGTTGAAGAAGGACTTGGTCGACAAGAACGCCCCGTTCGGCATCGATCTGCTGCTTCCCCAGGTCGGAGGTAGCGCCAGAAAGACCAAGTATGTGATGCGACGGACAGTTTGTCGCTTGACAGCATGGGACAAGAATCTCTTATCCTCAATTTGTGCTAACTAGTGTCAACTGCGCAGCTATGACTACACCAAGGGAAAGCTGAACCAGCTAGTTGATGTGATTATTGAGTCTGGCGCAAAGCTGTTCGTTTCCGCTGTCGGCGTCCCACCAAAGGAAGTTGTGGACAAGCTGCACAAGCACGGCATCTACTACATGAACATGGTCGGACACCCAAAGCACGTGCAGAAGTGCATTGATATTGGATGTGACATCATTTGCGCGCAAGGTGGCGAGGGTGGTGGACACACGGGAGACGTACCCACGACCGTCCTCATCCCAGCATGCGTCAAGGCCTGCCAGAACTCCAAGAGCCCTCTGACCGGCAAGCCAGTTCAGGTAGTTGCCGCCGGTGGTATGCATGACGGTAAAATGCTTGCTGCTTCCCTGATGATGGGTGCCGAGGCCGTGTGGGTAGGTACGAGGTTTATCCTGGCCACCGAGGCTGGCGCTCCGCAGGCGCATAAGGAGTCGGTCAGGACAGCCAGCTTTGACGACACCATCCGCACACTCATCTTCACTGGCCGACCTCTACGTGTCCGCACGAACCCATACATTGAGAGCTGGGAGAATGACAGACGAGACGAGCTCAAGGAGCTTACCTCGAAGGGAATATTGCCCTATGAAGCTGATCTCGAAAAGGTGATGAAGGGAGACGGAGACAAGATCCCAGGAACCGATTCGGTTTCCGCTGGCGAAGACGATGACCTTGACGATATGTTGGACCAATTCCGACCATTCCTAATGGGCAAGTGCGCAGCTTTGGTAAACGACGAAAAGAGTGCCAAGGAAATCGTGGACGAGTTTATCACAGATGCCTCAGCTGCACTGAACAAGGGAACTCAACAACTCGCAAAGTTGTAAGGAAGACTGTAGTTTGAAGCTTGATTTCATGGACTGTATTGTATATACACGCGTGGTTACGAACTTGACATGAAAATGCACGAAAGGCGCAATGCTCCTGTTGATTTTCTCTGAGATGAGCCATTAGTTCTGTGTTTTCTGCCTCTAGGTAGCTTGCAGTAATGACACAACATGTGCATCTTATGTAAAGGGGAATCAATACCCCGCTATTTTATGGCTTTTTTTTTATGTTGTGAAACAATTACATTTTTATACCTAGAATAGCGCGCTTCTGGTAGGTTAGGAGCAATTGTTCCTGTCGATCCAAACTATGAACCGGCCCACACCTGATGCAAAGGTATACCATACGTCATTGATCGCTCCTTTCTTTTGACGTACGTGCTTATGACATATGTTTGTTCTACAGATTTCGAACAATATTTAGCGATAAAACCCGACATAAACCAACTCTAGGCAATTGATCAATCGTCTCCCAGCTAAACTATTGGAATACTCGCCACTGATTGCCGCTCGTAAATACAGCATCAGATTAGGTCAACGTACTTGCAATTCCGCATTTCTCACCATGGCCGAGACACACCACTTTGATGCCGCCAGGCTATTTGGAATGAAGGGCAAGGTTGCCGTTGTGACTGGAGGAGGGACTGGAATCGGTCTCATGATCACCCAGGCCCTGGCGGCCAACGGTGCAAAAGTCTACATTACAGGCCGACGCATGGAGGTATTAGAGCAGTCGGCCAAGTCACACACCCCAGCCCCCTCGTCTGGCGGCGCCATCGTTCCCATTGGCCCCTGCGACGTGACCAAAAAGGACGACCTCGAGAAGCTCGTGACGGAGCTGAGCCAAAAGGAAAAGTGCATCCACACGCTGGTCTGCAACGCCGGCGTATCGGGCCCCAAGGCCGAACCCCACCACGAGGACGCCGACGACCTCAAGAAGCGGCTGTGGGAGAACGAGAGCGTCGAGGAGTGGCAGCAGACGCACCTGACGGACGTGACGAGCGTCTACTTTACCACGGTGGCCTTTTTGCCGCTGCTCCAGGCGGCCGTGAGACCAAACGGCGAGCTCGAGCGCTTTGGCGCCTCGGTCATCACCATCTCGTCCATGTCGGGCATCATGCGCCACGCCCAGGGCCACTTTAGCTACAATGCCGCAAAGGGCGCAACCGTCCACCTCACCAAGCTCATGTCCTCTGAGTTCCAGCGCGCCGGCATCCGCGTCAACTCTATTGCTCCCGGCTACTTTCCTTCCGAGATGACAGCCAAGGAGAGCGATGAGAAGAACAAGAGTGAGGTTCCGGCCGAGAAAATTCAGGAAAAAGGCCACGTCCCTCTCCAAAGGCCTGGCCGCGATGAGGAAATGGGTATGACGGCGTTATACCTGGCCAACAACCACTGTAAGTAAAAATGAGTTCCACCTCATCCATGACCGAGAAGTGATGATGAGCTGACAAATATGGAAAACCTAGATGTCAACGGTGAGATTATCGCTGTGGACGGTGGTGTACTGAATGTCGTTGCTGGTCGATAAGCTTGCAAATATACGACGACCATTTTTGAGCATGAGTTATAGCACGGCGTTTCGGTGTGTGGCGATAAAAATTAAAAAAAATAAAAGGTCTGGAATCATAAATATTTGCAAATGCATGTCAATGAGAGGACTCAAAAATAAACAACACCAAAGACTTGGCATCGTGATTCTTGATACATCTGAACAGAGCAATGTCTTGGTCAATATCACAATGAATATGAGAATGTGCGAGCCGGCAATACCATTGCCATAATGACCCAGACGCTAATGGTACTTCGGCGTGGCTTCCCGAGTATGTCGCCACGAACTCTATTCATCCAAGATGTCCTTGTCAGCTCCACACCGTCTAGCCATCTTTGCCATCTTGATTGTTAGTGTGATTCTTAACACGACGTCCTCTTCTTGAAAACATGTAAATACCGGCATAGTCATCGTATCTCGTTATCCACCCTAAGAGAGCTGTAGCCGGCTACAGTCTCTATAGGGCGTGTTTGTCTAGTGCAATTTGAATACACACTCTCGTGTAGAATGCTCTACACTCCTCCATTCATTGGCCATGGAGCTCGCCTAGCTGCTCTTCAATCTACCGCGGCCTAGTCTGCTTCGGGCTGCGACTCTTCCTATTGTCGCCGAACAAACGCCTGCTGGCTTGGGTCCTTCTCCTCGCGCCCATCCAACCAGCTGGTGCAGTTGATACAGCGAAGAGCCTATTAAACATATGTATTAGGGTACTCTCTCTCATGCAGGTTGAGGTTATTCCAATAGCTCGACATACCTTGACATTGACCGGCTTTTTGCAATATCGGCACTTGACGGTGTGCTTGATGATAGGGTCGTGGGAAAGGGATTCATAAAGTACAGCCAAGCCGTACAAAGCAAGTCCCATTCCTAGAAATTCAAACACCTTGTTCACGAACACACTAAGAGATGATAATATTAGTCTATGGCACATCTTCTTTGAAAATGATGGGATTTGTTTTCCGTGTCAAGTATGCAGCCATGATGATCGCGCGACCCATGACCGTATGACTTACCCATAGGCCAACACAACAGCACCGTCCTCTTGGGCTTGTGCAAGCGTTGTGTATCCGTCCAGCTCATCATAGCTAGGGCCCCGCTGGAGGACGGCAAACTTTTCGTCCAGATTCCTGTTAAGCGGCAAAATCACTGACAGCGGCGGCAGGATGATATCGGAGACGAAAGATGTGGTCAGAGCCGTAAAAGCCGAGGCGAGACTAGAGCAATATCAGCATCTCAGGCATCTCCCATGCTCACGTGCGCTTTCCTCCAAACATGTCTCGCTTGCAACGATGAATTGGTGATGCACTTCTTTTTTGAGGAGCGCACTCACATCAGACCAAAAGCAATCTCGAGAATGTTGCCTGAAAAGGCAAAGTCTTTGAAGCCCGAGAACAGCCGCCGGGCGGACCTCTCGCTCGTCTGCAACAGCTGTTCGGCGTCCTCCTGGAACACCTCCACATCTCCATCATCGGGAAGGCGAGGCATGACGGCTTCAATGGTTTCCTAAGCCATGGAGAAAAGTAGAAACAAGCAGAGAGAGAAATTGTAAGAAAAGAATAAGAATAAGAATATGAGAGGTCAAGTAGAAGATTGAGGTCGACAAGAAAACTTTCGAGGTCCTTGGGTACTGAAAGGTGAGGCGAAGGAATTGAGGTCAAGGTAAGAAAGAGAGAGAGACAGAGAGGAATGCGCGCACGGAGCACTCCGCTAACCCAGGGGCCCTGGCGGCGGTGCTAAGATACTAGAATAGTAGTGCATGTAGTACTACTAGCAGGCTAGATAACACAGAAGGAGGAGTCGCGATCTGTGGGGCTTTTCTTGTTAGTTGTTGCACATCAACTGCTGAATCAAGTTGAGGCGGACACTTTTCGTTTGGCACCTGATAACATGACGTGGCGAAACAGTGATGAGGGACTTTTTTATGACCAGATATCAAGACTTTCGGTCAAGATGGTATCCCGATACGGTGAAAGAAATTGATCATCATGATGAGTCTTTTCAGATTTTTGGGATCTAAAGAGCTAATTAGGGCCGGCCATATTCGAGAAGCGAAATAAGTGCCAATCTAGTCTATGGGAGTATAAGGTGGTTGGGAAAACACACACAAGTGCAAAACAAACAAAACGCTGCAAATTGTCATTCTCTCATTCTAGACGTCAACGCCTAGTACGTCGTCTTTAGCGACAGTTGGAATTGGAGCCAGTTTTGAAGCAATTTCCAACGTCGCAGTCTTTTTTGTGATTCGACAGTTACTGGTGGTATATTGGACAAGTATTGTTGACCTTGTCAGTTGGCCTAGTTTCTTAGACCGAGGAATCGGAGCTGTGACGAGTCTTCTTCTCTCGGCCGCGGAAGGCGAACCTGCCCGGAGAGGCTCGTCGTCGGCCCGTGGTTGCGGAGCTGCGGCCCATGATGCCTGCTGCAACCCAATACAGGACGGCAACAAACATGACGGCAAAGGAGACCCAGGTGATGATGATGAACTTGGTTCCGGCGTTGGCAGAGATACCGACCTCGCTACCCTTGTCATTAATCTTCTCTGCGCCCTTCTTGGCCACCGCAGTTGTGATGGCGGCGCCAATCAGGAGCGCCAGGGAAGCCAGACCGGTCAGTATGGCATTAATGAGAGACATGAGTCTGGACGGTCCCGTTTTGCCAGTCTTTGAAGTACCACCCAAGGACAGAGCGGCAATGGAGGCAAGGAAAGACAAGCCGGCAAATCCAGCACCAATACAGAAAAGAATGAAAATGGCAAGGAGAAATCCATTGAGGTAGTTGATGGCATCGGTGATATCGTCGGGAACGGGAAGATCGGCGGGATTCAAGTCCAGTGGGCCCACTGAAATCTCGTGGTCAAGCACCTCGGTCAGGTTGAACTGGAAACCAGCTGCCTGGGAAGTACAGTTTGTCGTATTGTACCAGGCGCCCGGCGTCGTTGCGTTGGGAGCAAAGTTGCCTTCGCAAGCCGTCATGACGTGGAGAGAGTACCATTGAGAAATTCCAAGCTCCTCTGACAGCTTGTCGGCAATATCGTCCTCAATTTCGCTCAGCTCGTCACTGATCTCAGAGGCCAATGTTTCCACAACCGATGTGAAGAAGCTACCCCAGCTGTCGTCGGTGGAGGTTGGTTCTGAGCTGCCACTGGTAGGTGTAGGGACGAGATCATGACCAAAGTTGGACATGTTGAGCTAGGTTCGAGTCAGAACTGAGCTCCAATGTTTTGACAATGTCAGCTGCCACTTACAGCTATAATGTGGTAGTCCTCGAGCTGCCCAGGCTTTGAGCCTGCAAAGAGCGACAACATTGCGAGCACAAAGCCCGCAATGGATAGAATCATGGGTATGATTATTGTAAAGCGCTTCATTTTGGCGGTGTGGTGTGTCCAAGTAAGCAAAGGGAGTTTCGTGTTCTTGCAATACCAGAAATGTTTGACTTGGTACAGACGGGGCAGACCTTTGCAGAGTGTTATACACCCAAAACAAAGACTCTATATTAATATCGCCTGGGGATTCAGGAATGTTGTAATGTTGTTGTGCTAAATACCGAGAAGACAAGAAATGGAGGGAGGGAGAAAAGGAAACTTCTGCGTATATGTAACATTCAAAGACACTCTGTATCACTCCCTATTAAGGCTGGGAGGCATGATGCAACCAACAAGCCGCGAGCAACATAATAGGATAGGCGTCACCGCCGGAAGGGACCCCGTTTTCCTTAGGTACTGGTAGGTTTGCGAGGTATGCATTCAAATCAAAGAACAAAACCAGATTCGGGCTGGGGGTGACAGGGCCACCCTGGCCTGTCGAACCATAGACGACAACTCATCTGATTCTATTGCTACCTACTAGAATCTACCGCCCGCTTGGCGCATGGGCTCGGTGATTGTCCAGAAGGGGGTTTTCGTATTGGAAAGTATGACTGCCACTCTGCCCGGCCGTTGATGACGAAGGTCTCGCGGGTTGGTTGAGGGAAAAAGGGGTGGGTCAAAGTATATGATTGGAAGCTGCCGGGCTGCAGGGTCTCGAGCTAGGATACCACAAGGCCCTGGAACCTTGCGTCATAGGGTCTCAGTGGGTAAATGAACCAGGTTTTTCTTGCGCTGGGAATAGCTGGCAGCCATTGGAGAGCTAAACAGTGCCTAACCGTCAAAAATTTCCCCTTGTTCAGAGGCTGGGGCGCTAGCCAAAACTGCCAAATCAACGCTGGCCACACGGCTGATCAACACCTCCAGTATCCTGAAACTGGTCGACTCGTCAACTGCCGCCGACAGGATATACACGTCTAGAACGACCATGACTCAGCCCCATTAAGCACCTTGCACTCAATGGAAGTTTTCTACGTACATAGTAGTACTGCACACCCAACACACATCTCGCATCCCACCGAGAGGGAGAGTGGGTTGCTGCTCCTTCTCTATTCAGTGCCAGACTCATCAGACCAGGACCAAACGTGAGAAACTGCCAGTCATAATAGTGCAGCAGACGGATGCTGATCCGGTCTGTGTCCATTCCCACCCGACGCCGGAGCCGACTGCCGACTGGCCCAGACTATCTCCAGATTGATCTCCCAGCAGAGAGGTTTGCGCGTCTTGCCAAGACGATCCGCTCCTTGTACCAAGAAGCTTGAAAAGTTCTGTCGATCTCAGAGAAAGTGACGGCGTGCGCCAAGGTAAAAATCGTCGCAAAGGGGGCAGAGCCCAATGTGGCTGTCATGGTGCTTGTTGAATTTTCACTCTCGTGTCTTGTTCCAGTACTTGTGTGTCTCTCCCTGATACACACTTTTCTATTCCGTATATCAAACAATCTCGTGGTGTCTTGTTTGGATCATGTGATGTTATGCTAGAGCCACTGTGTTGTTCACTTGTCACTCTCTGAGTAAAGTAATGCAGTCGAAATCTCTCGTGGAGTACAACTTGGCTCGGATGGCTACCTCACTTTCGTCGAATCGCATTTTCATGGTCTGAATATGACAATATGACAAGTATCCAAGTCAACACAGAGTAGCAACAAATATTTACCCTAGCGCCTGGAAAGGAGGTTTCCAACAGACCTTACCAATTGGTCTTGCACACAAGTACGCAGGACACTCGACAACAGCAATCATGACAGCAGATTTGTGAAAATACTATTTGGCTAAATAAGTTGCTTGCTAGATATTGTAAGTGATTGGAATGTTCGGAATATTACCAATATCCTAACCTCTTTCGCTCAAAAGTGATTTGTTTGCAGTGGATATGGCCGCCAGGTTTTATGGTGATGTTCCAATCAATCGCGGCCGTGGTATGCAGACTTCTGCTTATTTAATTTATCTAAGTATGCAAAGTTTCGCAAACTACAAAGTACTTCGAAAGCACTCGGCCGGGGTCCAACTGACTGACTAGTCTTCCAATGGGTCTTTTTCGACAATGATAAAATGCCCTTGGCCAGCTCTTTGGGCCCTAATGCGCTTCTCGACAAAAGTTGCCTCCTTCTTCCATTCCCGCAACTGCGTCTCGTCACTGTCTGGAGTCATATGCTCTCCATAGTAGCCGGAGCAAAGCCTAAGGACCGTGATTTTGCCCCATTCTCGGCTCCAGTCTACAAAGTCGACTGTCAACTCGGCATCGACCTCTTTGTACAGAGCAGGTAGCCAGTGCCCACATCCAGTCAGATCGAGATATTCAAGCCTGTAGAGAGCTTTGCTAAGCCTTTTGAGAATCGAAACGGCCTCAGACCAGTCGTCATCCAAGGCATGACTGTACACAGTGGTGGCCCCATAGTTCACTGTCCTTCCCGTTTCCGCTGACACCATCTTCGTAATGATTGCGTTGGGTGTTGTAGAGGGAGTAGGCCAGCCTGATAAGTTCAAGTGAGTTAACCCAGACAATTTAGCGGACAGAGATAGAAGTTGTCTCCAACTCGGGCCCTCGCCTGACTGTCTATCAATCGCCAAAGACAGGTGCGTCAAATTAGGAAGAATAGCCGTTGGTGATAGCAAAGGCTCTGGTGCATCCCATGAATCTGCGACCTCGGCTGCAACTACGGCAGCGGTAGGAAACAATAGCTCAGCAAGTGATCTCAAGGAGATACTAGATCCAGCAGAGCCAGTAAGATCCAAGTGATGAATACTGGCGTTTAGCACTGCGGGATCGGGTTTCTCAAGCTCATATTCGGCCAGCTCTCCGTCCGTGGGTCCGAGTAGGATGAGTCGTAAATCGCTAATGCTGATTCCCGATTCGTGATACTTAGACACATAATAGATGAGTGCTGTCCTGATTCTGTCAGGCATATCATAGAGATAGAACCTGTTCCAGTCTTTCTGCACGCTCCAGTTGGCTGCCAATTGATGTAACATAATATCGATAAGACTGCCATGATGAGGAGTAAAGGCTTGGGGTAAAGGGCAGAGCAAAATCTCCTCTACACTCCTATGGACGCCTGGCGGGGGTCGTGACGATAGGATAGGTGCATACCACGAACGCGGAGGCGGAGGACCCGGCGGAAGGCGTCTTCCGTTGACATTGCGCCTCGTCCCGTATTGCCGTATCTGCTGTTGAAGCTGTTGTCTCGTACGTGGACGGGGTGCAGGCGCCGCAGGAAGTTGTAGTATACGGCTTATCGTGGGGGGAACGCTTGGAGTTGGGTGCGCAAGGACATCGTTCCGCGCCGTCGAGCCTTGGCCGGCCCTGCGCATGTCAGCGAGGATATCATTGACAGAGCGTTCATTTTGCCCTGTTCACGATAGTTTAGCGGCGTAAATGCAGAAGTCGGAAGCGCAGGCGCATACCGGTTGTCTCCCGCGAGGAAGATGAGGTGCGGAGGGTCGGCGGAGCTATCGACGGCGGTTTCGTGTACAAGGTTTGGTGTCTTTTCTTCGGCATACCAACCTTATCTAGGTAATCAATACACTGTGACTTTTTGCGAGTTCAGTCGCGCAAAACAGATACTGTCCAATATGATGTCTTTTATATACCTACCAAAATTGATGCGAAGCTCTAGGTTGCCTGCGATCTAGCTTCGAGTCATCGTCCAGTTGCCCCACCAAGCTGCCAAGTGGGGGTGTTGCTAACCTGCCTGTGCTGCTACACATGTAACCTAGTATACATGTACTACGTACTGTGCAGGCAAGAATGTACCGATGTCTGGTACCTAGAACTGTGTGTTAAAGGTACATATACTGGTAGAGCCCACCCCTTCTCATCATCTTATGCCCGTAAACCAATCTTCACGGCCTTTTAAGTGCCTTCTCATCCCTTTTGAATACCTATGCACTAATACGCTGTTTCTCTAGCAAAAGAAGCAACAAAATGTTTCCCCAGCAAAAGAAGGAATAAAATGTTTCTCCAGCAAACGAAGGAGCAAAATGTTTCTACTCAAATGTAGCTTCCATACTCTATAGTTCATATCAGTACGCCCCCAGACTTTGAGCTGGACAATCGAATCCATTCTTCAAGTCGCTCTTTCCTGCTTCAATGGCGTCTAACAATGATGCAGATTGCTGCCAGTTTGGAGCTTGGGCTCAGCTGGCAGCTCAGAATCTGCCCTATTGATATCCATTTGACTGCTTGGTAACGTGACCATCATCTACAGTCTCCTGAATAAAGCCATCGCCAAATCCAATCCAGAAGTCCGCGGCGGTGGCTGGCACGATGACCCCATCCAACGAGCCTCCCGAAGCATCCATGCCCAAACCATACAATACCGAGGCGGATAACGAAAGTGTCGAACAGACTTCAGAGCAGATCAAGGAGTATCTGGGTCGGTCGCTTGAAGAAACTGGAGCTCGTGAACTCTCGATCAAGGACGCTTTATCCCGACCAGATACCTTTCAGGAGGACAACATTGTCCGTACTCTGATCAGTGTCCTCTTGCTATGTGGAAACCATCACCTCATCCTCATTGGAAAACCCGAGATCGATAGCGAGGTCAATGATTCGCTCGACCCTTTAGGCATCCCGGGTGGGCAACATTTACGACTTAGAGTTCGCCCATGTTTGGTAGGAGATGGCTACGTAGTACTCGCTGCGATGCATCCAGACGGTACTGCCAAGGTGTATGACTTGGAATCACGTAAGGGTCATGAAATCGACATTGCGGACCAAGTGCGAGGCCTCTGCCTAGACTCGGAAGTTGTTGAGCAACACATCCCGAACCTGTTTAAAGCCAGTAAGCCCGATGTCGGTCTTTATTCTGTGACGGTGGCTGCTTTTTTGGCAGCAGACATGGATATTCAATTCGGCTTCCCGGATATGTTTGGATGGTTATGGCGAAACCTATACAGCAAATTAATCGGCTCGCATGAGACATTCAACGACAACGAAGTTTGGTTGCATCCGTTCACCTCGGTCGCCGATTGGACAGAGCACTTCAAGCTGGATAATGACGACAAGCCTGCTCTCATTCGCGATTTGGAGTCTTCGAAAACCACCATAGATATGGCAGCATATCCAAAAGAGTTTCAGACATGGGCGCAAAATCTTCGGTCAGAGGCACAGAATTATGTGGATGAGCTACAGGACTTGGCCGATGGGATCCATTGGTTGCACGACTCTTGTATGCTGCAAGAGGAGATTCTCACCACCAAGGGTCAGCTCGGCGAGCTTGCCGACTTGGACGAGGAGGCAGACCAGCTCTCTGATGCCACTGATAGGCAATTGATTCGCGCAATGATTGGGGATTGCAAGGCGGGAAAACAGCAGGCGATCAGAGAAGCCTTGACCCGAGCCCAGGAGCACAACCTTTGGCCTGTGCCCCAAAGAGAAGGGTTTAATGTTATGTCGTCGGTTTGCGACACTATACGCGGACATCTTGAAGCTATCCGCGAAGATGTCACATCAATATCAGATTCCTTCGGAAAAACCGCAGAGGTGTTCCGCGACTTTTTTGATCGGATATTGATAAATGCATAGATCTGACATCGACCGCCTGATCGTCAGACAGCAGCCGCAAAACGGCACTCTAAGAGCCCCGCCCATTACAAATTACATAAACTTAGCTGATCGTGGTACACCAGCATAGTATAGCTCATGTTATTCCCGCGAAGGGACACTAAGAATAAGAAGCAAGTTAGTGCCCCAGTGACTCAGTCATATCTAAGCAGAATATGATTTTCCAAGTGACCTCATCTGGGCTAAGATTACCCCCTTGACTCATATAGATACGTATATGAGCAGTGATACTGCGGATTCTGACTCATCAAGTTTGTGCCAGACAGTATCAAGGTAGAGGGTACCACCCTCGTCAACCGCAAGATCAATGTTTTGCTGTTCCGGCACTTTGGACAAGTCCTTGAATCAATTTTGGGGGCTCTGGCCGTCATGTGCAGCCGCCGTGGTAGCAAGCATGGCCTGTAACGCAGGGTGTAGCACTCGTCTGGTCACAACTACTCCTTATGCTTCAGCCCGGGCACTTTGCTGGAAGGCCAATGATCATTGCGGAGTTTTGATATATTCTCGATGAATTCAGTTCTTTTAACAATACCAAGAAGAGCTCGTGTAATACAGAGTCTCATCAGTCAAAATGAGATGATAGCCGCGCGATAATGTGAACGTAGTAATTTCTAGCTTCTTGGTACGAGACAAAGGGTCGCTGATTGGGCGTACGAAGCGCCCAGGAGGATTCGACCTTGTGACGATTGCTTTGGTCTACACGATCGGCAAAGAAAGCCGATGACCGATTGTGGGGCCTTGCAGTATACATAATACGTACCTACCATACGGCGCCGATCGCATCGAGGCAGTTCGTCCGATGTGGTGGCCAGTATTTGTAGGCTGCTCAGGCTGCCCGGGAGACTCCTTACCGTTTTATCGCGCTCGGGCGCTGTTCCAGTGAACGGTGACGGTGTACGGAGATGCAAGGCATCTTGTGCGTCCAGTTGTCTAGTAGAGGTCGACTCGGCCGTTACTGAGTATCTAAGGTTAGGTATGTATTTGCTAAACAGTATTGGTGGTGGCCCGAATTGGCCTGCTCCTGTGGTGGGAATTCGGTACCTTAATAAGACGCTCGCAAAGGTGGGCATTGCATCTGCCAAGTACAAAAGAAATATATATGCATCCATCAGCGGAAGGTGATTGCTTAGATTGCTGCAGATGCGCATTGATGGACGACAGAAGTGTAATCAAACATGGCGGGTCCCGGGGGTGGGTTGACAGTTGGAGTCCACCCAGTGATTTGGCAGCCAGGCACAGCTTGGGTGTGAAACGCGCCAAATATGGAGATCTGCGGTGAGAATCCTAGGGCAAAAAAAAAAAAAAAGAATGTCGTTGAGACTCTGCAGTCTATCCTTTATTTTCCCACGTTGCCCGTTGTGTTTTTTTTGGAATTTTGACCCTGCTTCTGGCAGTTTTTATATTCGCTCCATCTTTTGTCATTCGTTGCTGAAGACACTCAGCTCATCCAAAGTGTCCAAACCTAAGCGCCAGGAGCGTACCATTCCTTTCATCTCATTACCTACCAATTCGCGAATTTCCAAGAGAAGAGAAAGAAAGAAAGAGAGTAGAAGGAGGAGACCAAGTTGCTATTTCAAAATGGGGTTTCGGTCAAAGATTATCGCCTCCAGCTTCATCAATGCCGCACTTGCAGCCACATCGACAATATCAGCCACAGCCTCGGTCACCAGCATATTTCTCCCCGGCTTCGATCAGCAAGGCCTGGTTGCTTCCGTCATTACAGCTGCGCCGACCGCGACAGCATACTTTGTGCAATGCAACCCAAACGCGGTAGTAGACTGCGGACTTGGTGGCGGTAAGTTCAGAAAGGCTTTGGTTACGGTTCACATTTGCAAGCATTGCGGAATACTAAGTTCAGATATCCAATAGGCGTGACACTGACAGAGGGGCCTTCCACCTTTGAAGTCAGCATAAACAGCACTGACATGACAATAAGTGAGGCCTGTCAATTCTCGTCAAATACGGCTTCTTGCACATATAGCACACCTGGAGGAGAACCAGCAGCAGAGAGCGCAACAGGGCTACAGGCCATGTATTTGAATGTGACCATCACGGCCGGGTTTGAGGCTCTTGCTTCCGCGTCGAGCATTTCAGCCGCCTCAGTTGCTTCGATCTCGAGCGTTTCTGCCGCCTCGGTTGCCTCGATCTCGAGCGTGTTGGCGGCCGAGGCAGCGGCCAAGACTGCAGACGTTTTGGCCACAGCGACGGGCACTGCTACTGTTGCGGCGACAGCGAGCTCAACCTCGTCATCAAAGACCAGCGCGGCGAACCCAGCAGAGACGGACAACGGCATGGGAAGCGCTGGTATACCTGGAGCCAGACGGGACATTGGGGGAGTTGCCGCCGCCTGTCTCATTGCTGCTGGTCTGCTGGCCATGTAAGGTAGGATGGACTGAGTTCATCAAAGAGGCGGCTTCTTGTTATTTTTTCTTCCCTCCTTGGTTCACGTTGGACGCCGTGTTGCTTTCGAGATACCCTTACTTCTTACATTGCATTTGCCTACCTAAGGTAGAGGCTACATACATTTACCTACCTAGGTTCGGTACAGGAATACCCCATAATAGAGTTTGATAATCACCGCTACCCCGATGAGACAAGAGAGTCGGCCGTGATGTAATCTGCGTCACCATCCTCAAAAGACCAGAAACCAGTAAACATGCACTGATTCCAAGCTCTTGTGCTGCGATTGCTGTGTGGAGCACAGAGAGAACAAGCAGCAGCAGGCAGCCAAAGAAAAGCTTCGCTGGTCAGTGCCCCTGACTAAAATTAAAGCCCAGGCGTTTCTCATGCTTGGATGTTTCAACTTATATACCCCTGTGGCGATCAACGTCCCCTGCTAGCCAATCATTTGGTCGTCGCAGCCCTAGATCAGGGTAACTGAGCCTAGTAGCGGGTAGCGGCCCAGTGGTGGACTTCAGGTCTCCCATTACAGCATCCTTGGAGCAGACCTTCGTCCCAATCGGGAGGAGTCCTGGTTTTATTCCCCTCAAGTCCCGTAAACCTCACTATAGGCCGCTTCAGGCCAGTGAGCATGTCATTCCTTGATTTAATCTATAGAAATGAATCTAGCAGCTCTATCAAACATGGCAATAGTAGCGATTTGTTGGACTGAGCGGCAAAGACCGGAACCCAATGACAGTTAGACATGTAGCTGCTAATGTAGAGCAGTTTTGTACATGCCCATCACCAAAAGACGTTCAGTGCAGCAAGAACGATCTCTCCAGTCCACTAAACAAACTTCACGTTGTCCAAGCGCCAGCTGTTCTAGTTCCACCAGCCGAATGTTTCCCGCCCACATGCAACTCAGAGTTGAACACACTTCTACCTAGTAGTAGTAGCATGCCGCCATCGACATCAACAAACGCAGCTACGACCTGACTGATCATCACCACCTACGGAAGGGGCTTTCTCTCTAGCTTACCATGGCTGTATCACCATGAGAGAATCGTGGAGGACATCCGGGGCACCTGTCTATGCTGTTGGACCCTGGACTCAGCCACCCAAACCTACCTAGTCAAGCCGTGGAAGAAGGTACGTAGAGAAGAAGCCATGTAGGTAAACTTTTTCCACACGTACGCAAACCAAAACATTCACCTGCACGGCCGGTCGTGCGTGCCTGGACAGCTCTGCTGAATGTTGCTCTGCGTTTCCCTGCAATGGCTGAGACCTCTCATTTGATCATCATCCATCGTTTCGACCTTTTTGCTCCCCCCAATGGTCGGTTACAGCTTGTACATGTGCACGTGTATATGCCCTTTTGTGCTTGTGCTTGGTGAAGAAGAGGCTTGACGTCGCCCATCAAGCACATGTCATAAAGTTATTGGCCATTTCTTTTGCCTTTTTCTACTTCTCCTCCTTCTCGGCTCTTGCAACAACCAATCCTTATCTCCTATTTCGTCTCCTATTCTTCTTGTACGATAACCTGCTAGACTTCGTCACTTGTGTGCAGTACAACGACAATCATCACCTGAACAATCACACTTTGCTACGTTTAATCCCAATACACAATAGAGGGCATTTGTTTCTTGTACCATACCTACCTCTGCTTGTACTATTCTGCAACAATAAAAGGACAATCATTCTGAGCACCACGGGATTCTATCCGGCTCTGTAATGAATGCCATTACTTTGTTTCCAGTTATAAGCTCCGCAACGACCTTTTCTGCACTCCCACGAGCTGTTTCTCGTTCATTTCAGACAATTCAGTTTCACAGCGAATTCAAGCATTGATTTCACTTAAAGAAGAAGAAGCATGTTTCTCAAATTAATCATAGCCGGCGCTTTTCTGGCACGCGTATCTGCAACACTTCCTTGGGAGCTCGATATTACTGATGGAGGTATGCTCGGCTAATCAAAGCAACATCCTGGGCCAAGACTTACTCAGGTCATATAGATTCCATCCGAAACGTCGCAAGCACCATTGCTCATGGAGCCATGGCCCTGTACACCGGTAACATCACCAATACCGCCGATGTATGTTGTCAAAAATCCAAATCCATCATAACAATGCGAGCCACCAGCTGACAACTGTCTTACTTAGACCATCGCAGTATGGCCTGCGCCGATTTATTGGTGGGAGTCTGGTGCAGCTTGGGGAGCCATGCTGGACTACTATCACTACACGGGGGATGCCACGTACAATGATGTCGCTATACAAGCAATTATTTCACAGCTCGGTCCAAACTTTGATCTCATGGTCCCGCTACACCAAGGCGATGAGGGAAACGATGACCAAGCATTCTGGTCCTTCACAATTCTAGAGGCAGCCGAGCGGAACCTCCCGCAACCCAACGATGATGTTCCATCGTGGCTGGATATTGCAATCAACATCTGGAACTCAATGGTGGTTCGCTGGGATACTGCAAACTGCGGCGGTGGGTTTTTCTGGCAAATATTCGAAAGCAACGCCAATGGGCTGCACTACAAGGCTTCTGTCAGCAATGGCGGCTTTTTTCAACTTTCAGCAAGACTTTTGCGAGCGACAGGCAACGAGACATATCTGGAATGGGCTCAGAAAGTTTGGGATTGGTCCGAGGCAATTGGTTTCGTCACAGACGCCTACGGGAGTGGCGCGCTCGACGTGCTCGACGGAGCAGACATATCAGACAACTGCACAACAGTCAACCAGCTCTCTTTCTCGTACTCCCAGGGCATCTACCTATACGGAGCAGCTGTCCTGTACAACTACACGAACGGCGACTCGACTTGGGGCGACCGAGTCTCCAGACTCCTCGATGGAACCAATACTTACTTCACTCCCTATGACAACGCTACAGACATAATGTTTGAACATGCCTGCGAAACAGTTGATCGATGCAAGACAGACATGCTCAGCTTCAAGGCATATATGTCGCGCTTCATGTGGGCAACGACACAGATGGTGCCCTCGACCTTTTCGACCATTTCTGAAAAGTTACAGACGAGCGCGATGGCAGCTGCAAATGCATGCTGTGGTGGAGTGACAGGCTCGACATGTGGTTTCAAGTGGTACGTTGGCGGTTTTGATGGCAGCGCTGGTCTTGGTCAGCAACTTTGTGCCTTGGAGATCATCCAAGGTCTCTTGGTTCAAGAAGCTGCTTCACCCCTAAAAGCTGGTGAGATTCAGCACGTGGTAGGTCAGTCTACGACTGAAACCACCGTGTCTAATCCATCAGCGACATCTGGGCGGTCTGACGCCACCACCCAGTCTACTGCCACGGGCCAGTCCACTGCCACCGGTCAGTCCACTACCTCCAGCCTGTCTCCTGCCTCCAGCCTGTCTTCTGCCTCCAGCCTGTCTTCTGCCTCCAGCCCATCCCTTGCCAGCCTCCCGTCTAGTTCGATGGTCTATGGTCAAACTACTATGTCTTCTACTGGCCCTAGCATTCGGGTGTTGTCCTCTACATCGTCCTCGCTAACCTCCACCCCAACAGCATCACCCGCCGTTGTATCAGAGAATTGCGTTGCAAAGCTCGGCAACCCATGGCTGGGCTTGGGCTTGGTCCTGGCCATAATGTTGAGATGGCATTAGAAAATTAATAGTTGCGTTTGATATTGTACATTTCCGATTGCATGCAGGGCTGTTGGACATTCACAACAATGATAGAACATTCATGCATAGAAAGGCGCTAGGAGTAACAAGATTGGCAATGAAAGGGTGGCTGGCGTTGTAGCTCTTGGTCTGAATGGTATATATGCCTAAATTAGGTCACAGTCCATAAACAACATGATCTCACACATTTTGCTCACTTGAATTGCGCAACTCGTGACGCTACAAATCTAGCTGGTCTCAAAAGGCATTCGTAAAGCAAAGAAATATTGACGCAAGTGAGGCTTGGTAGCTTGTAAAGGATCATGTCCATCATTTCCTAAAGTCCTAGTATGCTCTTTTGCAGGAGTCTATCTCTACAGAAATATAATGTCTACGCCACAACACCGTTCGCCTCTTTCTCAAGCTCGGCTTCGTTGGCCGGTACAGTGGCCTGGGCTCCAAAGATCTTTCTTTCCCCGTAGACCTCTGCGAGTGCCTGCTCCAACGCAGCCAGGAATCGAGTGACCTCGCTTTCAGTGCCAACGGTGATTCTCAGGCACCCCAAGCAGCCGTGCTCCTTGCCTCTGAAGCGCACGACGACGCCCTTTTGCTCGGCCAGCGCTTCGTATACAGCCAGAGCAATAGCATTGTCGGGCTCGCCCTTGGGGTTCAGCATCTCGTAGAGTAGAAAGTTACTTTCAACACCACCGCGTAGGCGACCGACACCCTTGATCTTGGGCAGCTCAGCAATCATCCTGTCGCGCTGCACAACAATCTTCTCGCGGTTGGCGCGCATTGTAGCCAGGCCGTCGGCGGATACGGCATACGAGGCGAGAGCACTAGTCGGGCTCGAAATGTTGTAGGGCGCCTTGAGGCTGTTCATGAGGGTGGCGATTTCGGGCGAGGCAAAGGCGGCGCCCAGGCGGATGCCGGCCAGACCAAAGGCCTTGGAGAGGGTTTGCATGACAACCAGGTTGGGCCACTCGGCCACCCACTCGGCGAGCGAGGCGCCGTCGGGCGAAAAGTCAATGTACGCCTCGTCGACGACCACGACGCCATTCCACGTCGGGTGCTCGAGGATCCGCCGAATGTCCTCCTTGGCCAACACGGAACCCGTCGGGTTGCCGGGCGAGCAAAAGTAGGCGAGCTTGACGTTGGGCTCGGCGGACAGGGCCGCGGCGACGGCCTCGACGTCGAGCTGGAACCCGGGCGCCGGCAGCAGGGGCACCTTGAGCAGGCCGACGTCGTTGACCTGGGCCGAGACCGAGTACATGCCGTAGGTGGGCGGGCAGACGAGGATGCGGTCCCGGCCGGGCTGGCAGAAGCAGCGCAGCAGGGCGTCAATGGCCTCGTCGCTGCCGACGCCGACAAACAGGTGCTCCGGGCCAATGGCCTTGTCCGTGTGGTGGTGCGTGTTGCGCAGATTGCACAGCAGCTGCTTCAGGTCGTGCTGGTGCGGGTCCGGGTACCGGTGCAGGCCCAAAAGGTCAATCTGAGGACCGTTGGCTCCCAGAGATGACGGAGATGCCAACGAGGAGGAGACGGCCTGCGCTGCCGATGCCGGTATCGAGGGCCCGTAGGCGTTCTCGTTGGCGTCTAGCAGGACATTGGTTCCGTCATCCTTGTAGTCACTGTTTCCATACTCAGTCAGATATAACGTCACTCATCAAGGGGAGGGGGATGATGATGATGAGGTTTTTGGTAGTATGACTTACTCTCTTGCGCATCGGTACGGCTCCAGTGCCAGTATATTGGGCCGCGCGCATGTCTGGAGGTTGAAGGGTGCCATCTTGTCAAAGAGTGGTTTTATTTTTCTTGTAAGGCCGCCAAATAGACTGATTGGTTATTTCGGCCTTCGGAACAAAACAAAACACCAATACTTTGGACCGTGATGATTTGATTTATAATGTTTCTTTTCCTCTGCGTATATAATTTCTTGAGTCACCTTATCAAATCAGGGACCAGTCATTAATTGCCCTGTCGTCCCTTTTCGGACGGCCTGACAAAGTGCCGTCACTTGGTCCACAATTAACGGGGCCCGAGTACGGCGCTGGAGTGGAGGGAAAACTTCAATTGATGAATTAATATGCTTAAATACATGTCCGCAATCAATCATTCACTGCAAACTCGATCCGAGCTGATGAGACTACAACTCAAACTACTGTAGGAATATAGTATACTCTGTCAATCAATGTCATTTTGATGAGATGTATAGAATTGCTAGCCAACTAATCTTTAGAACATAATCATATGCTGAGGCTGATGGGCTCTTCTCTCCATTGGCCAGCCTCGTCGTAGGGTAGTAATAGTTTCAAATGGGAAGGATGACACATATCCATGCCATTGCTCAGGTCAATGGTCATCATGGTTTCGTTTTCCACTTCCTATAACCATAGACCGGATTGCAGCTGTTGCGCCGAGATGAGTGTCATGACCCTTTTGGGGGACGGCAGTGAGTCAGGCCGGTATACTGCACGAATTGGGTCTAGCCAATTGTGACGGGGGTGTTTATTGGTACTGTAGGTAAAATCGAGTTGAGTAAACCGCATCTTAATCGAAGCCAAACTGCAACATCTTCATTGCCACGATATCGGATTCCGCAAGGGCCGTTCAAGACCACCATCTCGATCGCCTGGTCTCTCTGTTTGCAACAACATTTTTGACAGTGAATCAACAAAACATGCACTCCCATAATCAGCAAGAACGGTCATTTAGCAAGGCGTCCAGTGAAGTGGTTCGATCTTTTATGGCAAGAACCTACCATTCCGATATCAACCTACATCAAATAGGCGACGAAAAGTTCGTGACCAAGACAAGTCGACATCATAGCGAAGGCGATTCTCGAGCCCGTCAAGGATTTCGTAACGAGGTGATTGCGTTGAAAGTTGCCAATGAGCACGTATGTCGCGCTATAACTCATGACTGCTCTTACAAAGAGATGAGTGCTCACTCTTGGTTGGACAGAATCACATAGCAAAGATTCTTGCATTCGATCACTGGCACATGTCCATGCGTCTCCGGCTGGAAGCTGGCAAGAGCCTCAATGAATGGGCCGACGCTGCAAACATATCCATCTTGTCGACAGCAGAGTGTGGAATGATATGCAAGCAGATGTCTAGCGCTCTAGCATATCTTCATGCATTGCCCATTATCCACGATGATGTCAAGCCAGACAATATAATGTGGTGTCGCGATCTCCAACATGCCGTTCTTATTGACTTTGACGCAGCAATCGTGATGTTGCCGACCAACTTCAACACGTCAGGAACGCCAAACTATGCTCCACCGGAATATCTCTTGGAGTATAAAAGCGAAAAGGGCGACATCTGGGCTCTCGGTATCACCATGCTGTTCGCATTCGGCTACGTGCCATTGCCCAACGGTGACTGGATCTTGCCTCATGCGCTGGCTAGGGAGAGTGGCCCCTACGAGAAAATGACTGAGTGGTTGGCACAGGTTGAGGCACTACGTGCTGGACTGATCAAAGCAAATCCTCTTTTAGCAGAAATGTTGAACTCTGATCCTGACCGGAGAGTCAATAGTCGCGAGCTGTCTCAACGACTTGAGCTGCCGTGAGAGGATAACATTTGAGTCATCCGTATTATCTGCAGAATCAACTGTTGCCAATGTTTCAGACTTTGGAAAACACAACTGGATTTTTTTGGCAGGGTATAGTCGATAGTTCCAAAGCGCGCTCCATATTGCACTCACAAAGCAAGGAACAAGTCACCTACCATGCCAAAGGTGTTCATGCTGCTGCAGCTTGTCCATCTGAACGATATCACGTCAACGACAGGCCATGCGATCGGACGCGCTCGACCACCTTCACTCCCCTGTACTATGTATGCAGTCGTGCAGATTGCCAAAGACCCCTGGATGAGAAGAGCGGGAGGATCAATCCATGGCAAGATGCGTGCCGTTGCTTGGCCATGCGAGCCTCCAGGTACAGCAGCAACTTGTGATGAGCCGTGGGGCGCCTCTGTAGCTTATCTCCAAGATCCCCAATGCGCGAAATGCAGCACAGCGACGTTGCGTTGCATAGTGTTGCGGACTGTCCTTCCTGTTCGGGCATGGCCACGTCGACCCCCGGCTATCGTCACACCGCATGCCCGCATTTTGACGAGGTTACATCTCTGCAATTCCCATGGTACTGTACATTTTAATGATCAGTTCATTCATCTGGAGTCAATGACGAATTCGGAACCCTGCGATTACACGGGCAATCAACTACCGGGTTCGTGGTTGATTGGCAGACCCTATGCAGGCAGCTCGTAAGTCCATGACGGCCCAGGACCGGGGTTGATGTGTTTATACTGCAAGCTCCTCCGCTGCAACGACCAAGCGCCAAGCACCCTACGGTCGGTATATAAACATGGCAGGCCAAGATACAGCCAAGGAGTGTTCCTGGGGTCAGGGAACTCTTGTCTTTTCCTGAAGATCCATCATGGTCGCCATCAAGCATCTGCTCGCGGCAGTGGCCGTAGTCCCGTTGTGCGTTGCCGCGCCTACGACTTCCAGTCATGTCCTCCACGAACAGCGGAGATCCCACGATAGAGTCTGGAAGAGATCTAGCCGACTCGATGGCTCTGCAGTCCTGCCGATGCGAATTGGCCTCACCCAGAGCAATCTCGAGAAGGGACCAGAGCTTCTGAGGGAGGTCTCACATCCCAGCTCTCCCAGATATGGCCAATACTTGACAGCGAGTGAGATTCATGAGCTGTTTGCCCCAGCTGAAGAGGCTGTCAACTCTGTCAAAGAATGGATCGCATCTTTTGGCGTTGAGCCGTCTCGCATCATACACTCGGACAACAAGGGATGGCTTGCATTTGATGCCTCGGCAAGTGAGGTCGAGGCCATGTTTGACACTGAGTTTTATGAATACAGCCACGACGAGACTGGAAAGCTTCGTGTCGGATGCGATGAGTACGTTCCCAATAGATGCTTGGAGTGATGTATATATCTAATCGAGGATCATTAGGTACTCTGTCCCCGAGCATTTGCTCCCACACATTGATTTTATCAAACCTGGAGTCAAGATGATGCCAGTAACGAAGAGAAATGTGCCCAGCCCAGGACACAAGAAGAGATTCAGCCGCGGACCCAAAAAGCCAGCTGGGCGCGTCTCGCTCAAGGAGAGCCCCTTTGGCAGCTGGGACTTCAAGGCGGCAGCCGCACAGACACTTCCAGATGACCTACAGGGTTGTGGACAGAATATCACTCCACCATGCTACCGGGCTCTCTATGATATCCCGATTCCTGATGGCGCTGTACCCGGACTGGGTGTTGGTGTTTACGAGCAAGGTGACTACTTTGCAAAGGGCGACTTGGACGAGTCGTATGCCGCATACGCTCCCTGGGTGCCCGAGGGGACTTACCCGATCCCAGCTCTTGTTGATGGAGCTCAGTACGACTTTCCGCAAAACGCTACTGACTGGGTTGGTGGAGAAGCTAACCTTGATATCTTCATTGCGTGAGTCAAACCTGCCAGATGATGCACGGGAAGTCGACTAATATCCATGAAGCCAAGCTCTGACATATCCTCAAAATGTTACGCTTTACCAAGTCGATGACCAGATTTACGAGCCCGAAGAAGTTGCCACTACTAATTTGTTCAACACGTTCCTTGACGCTCTTGATGGAGTATGAACCATTGCATTATCATTACTGTAAATTTCGAGACTGACCTGACCGCAGTCATATTGCAACTACTCAGCCTATGGTGAGACTGGAGACGATCCAGATATTGACGCCGTCTACCCTAACCCAGATCCTGCTGGCTACCAAGGTACGTGAATTCAACGAAGCCGATAGGGACTCTTTCTTACTATGTTCACTTAGGCGAGCGTCAATGCGGTGTCTATGAGCCTACCCCTGTAATCAGCATTTCGTACGGCCAGGCAGAGGCCGATCTGCCCATCAACTACACAAAGCGACAATGCGACGAATTCATGAAGCTTGGTCTTCAGGGTGTCTCCATCTTTGTGTCCTCGGGAGACTATGGCGTGGCTTCTTTCCCTGGTGATGGCTCCGACAATGGCTGCCTCGGGCCCGAGTCGACCATTTTCAACTCTCAGTATCCCAACGGCTGTCCATACCTCACCTCGGTCGGAGGCACCATGATCTACCCTGACCAGACTGTGCTGGACCCCGAGAGTGTCCTTCAGGTTGCCTTGTCAGGCGCGCCAAACTTTAGCTCTGCCGGTGGTTTTTCCATCTACTTTGAGACTGCAGACTACCAAAAGTCCGCCGTGCAATTTTACTTTGACAACTATGATCCGTCTTACCCCTATTTTGAAGAGTTTGACCCGGACTTTGACACGGTCGAGGGCTTGTACAATAGGATCGGTAGGGCAGGTCCCGATGTGTCGGCAAATGGTGCAAACTTGCAGGTATACACCAACGGGGAGCAGTATCACTTTTACGGCACGAGTCTGTCAGCACCAGTCTTTGCTTCAGTCATCGCCCTGGTAAGTCCACCATGATGAAAGTCCAATACGCGATGGAAAACAATGTTTTGTTGACCCATATATATAGATTAATGAGGAGCGTGCCAACGCCGGCAAGGGCACCGTGGGTTTTGTCAACCCGGTGCTGTACGAGAACCCCGATGTCTTGAATGACATTACCAACGGTACCAACCTCGGATGTGGAAGCGACGGGTTCCAAGCCGTCCCAGGGTAAGTTTTCAAATGCTCAATGTGTACTTGTATCCTTTTCCAGCTGGCAAACGCTGACTTTGTGTATTTCTCCAGATGGGATCCTGTCACTGGCTTGGGTACACCTAACTACCCAAAGATGAGAGATCTGTTCCTTTCTCTTCCATAAATCATGTGTTCGAATCTCTGAAACCGAAAGATTTGATTCATCGCTGAGGGATATGGCACAAACTTTTGTTTGGCAAGATAGTAAATGATTGCACGGCCAATTGGAAGCTGGCTACTGTAAATGAATACATGATACTCCGAGCATTTCCCAGAAAAGAATCCCAAAATGCCGGTGATAATTCATGTTGATGATGGATGGTGTCTTGACTCAGACATTCTTACTCCTCCGGACAAAAGAGTTCATAATCATATAATCAAGACGAAACCGTTTGTAAAACGGCCAGCAACATTACCCCTAAGCGACGTTTTTGTTTCCTTTTTTCTCTTTCTCCTTTTTAGTTTATCAGTTCGAACCCATGAATTGTTCTTATACTTTTTTTTTTCTATCCTTCCATGGCAAACTACTAACCTAGGTACTATGTGGCCAAGGATCTAGTATATTCCATCAATTATTTGCATAACCTTTATTATGTGCATGCCCCTCCAGTAAAAATGTAGCAGTAAAACCCCGCCTGCTACAAATTTGTGGAAAAGTGGGACTATTTGTGCAAGTTGAGTCAAAGTTTCTCACCACGGCAGTAAATGTTCAGCCAACTTGGTTGACTCGGCATATGCCATAAATCAAGTATCAATTTTAAGAAACATCAAATATTTCATGCTCTTCCACAATCTCATTTAATCTCAGAATCAAGAAAAGAAAGCAGTACTGGCATCATACTCGAGCATGGTGCACCTAGAAGAGATCACCGACGAGGTGGCTGAGAAGCTGCAGGTGTCTGAGAATAGCAACTCATCATCGACACCTCCTCCCTCACAACCAAAGTCGGCCAACATTCTTCCCTCTAAAAATGTGGTCGATTCGCTACCCGAGAATCCCATTCTTACCAAGCTCAGAGCTGCCGCAGAAGCTGGCCCCAGTGCTGCCGGCCCGGCCTTGAGTCCGGCGCGCGCCTGGACGGAGAACAAGTCGGTCGACGAGGTGGTCGCCGAGCTGAAGAAGTCTCCGCTGTTCATGACGGATCTCGAGGAGAATGACGACACAGAGGCGCTCAGAGCGCTGGCGTACGAGGGAACGCCGCTCGAGGTGGCTAGTGATTTCAAGGAGCGCGGCAACGAGTGCTTCCGCGAGAAGAAGTGGAACGACGCCAAGGAGTTTTACACCAAGGGCGTGCTGGTGCTGGCCGCCGAGGAGCGCAAGCGCCGCGGCTACGACCTCCAGGGGCGCAAGATTGACCCGTCGACCCAGGAGCCCGATTCCGAGGAAGAGGTGGCCCAGCAGCGCGCCGTGCTCGAGAGCCTGTACGTCAACCGCGCCGCCTGCCACCTCGAGGTCAAGAACTACCGCAGCTGCTGGCTCGGCGGCGCCGCGGCCCTCAAGCTCAACCCGGCCAACGTGAAAGCCCTGTACCGCAGCGCCCGGGCCCTGCTGGCCGTGGACCGCATCGAGGAGGCCGACGACGCGTGCGCGCGGGGCCTGGCCCTCGACGAGAGCAACAAGGCCCTGCAGGCCGTCGCCCGCGACATCATTGCCCGCAGCGAACATGTGGCGGCGCAGCGGCGGCGCGAGGCCGAGCGCCTGGCCCGAGAGGAGAGGCGGGCCGCCCTGCTCAAGGCTGCCATCGCGGCGCGTGGCATCCGCACCCGGAGCACGGACAAGCCCCCCGAGATGGAGGACGCGCGGCTGCGCCTGGTGCCCGACGAGGACGACCCGACGAGCTCTCTCAGCTTCCCCACCGTGCTACTGTACCCGGCGGACCTCGAGACGGACTTTATCAAGGCCTTTAATGAGCAGGAGTCGCTCGCCGACCACCTCTCCTACGTTTTTCCCCTGCCCTGGGACCAGAAACGCGAGTACACGCTCGCTGGAGTCGAGTGCTACATGGATACGGTTAGTGGCGGGCTCATCAAGGTCGGTAAGAAGGCCCCGCTACTCAAGGTCCTGTCGTCGGACAAGGTCGAAGTTGTCGACGAGGTCGTGAGGATATTTGTGCTCCCAAAGGCCAAGGCGGAGAGCTGGGTGCAAGAATACAAGTCGAAAAAGGCCGCAGAACGAGGTGGATGATTTAAAAGTCTCTAGAGTTAAAAAGTAGAAAAACAAATCACGATAAATTGAAGCCAAGATCTTCCATGTATGCTCACAGCGGGAGAATGCGACTTTATACTTCCATTAAATCATGGTGCTTGCTAAGCTTGCAAACACTGTCTCCTGAGATACCTCGAAATATTAGACACATGGATACTACAGATTACAACTCAGCATAACGCGACTTTTCAATATCTCATGCCACACATATCATCACGACTTATGCTAGAGCCAACAAAACAGATTTCCCGTCCCATACACCCTATCAATATGGCCCCAAGATGCATCTCACTCTCCGTTTGTCTACAATACAATGTTCTCAAATATAGCCCTTTATTTGGCACGTTACATTGAGCTGGCCCTCGACCGCTTGACTCGGGGGAACGACACATCAACGGGTGTCGTTGTCTCGGATGCGGTGCCAGCCCCTTCGCAGCGACCGCTGCGCTTCGAGCCCGTATCACGAACGCTTAGATTCATCAGCAGCATAGCGGCATTCTTGTCGGATCCTAGACTGGTTTCCGACGGCCTGTCCTCGAGCGGACTCGTCGCGGCTGTGCTGGGTGCAGTTGTGTTTCTGCTCTCGTCTCCGTCGTAGCCGTGCTCCGGGTCAATGTGCTCCGCCGATCGCTTGGCGTGTCGCCAATGTTGGTGGTCTTGACCATCTGCCCTTTCGTGGACCTGTGTGTGTTGAGATGGAGAAGCGTGATGATGATGATGATGATGCGGGTGATGATGATGGTGATGGTGGTGTGGGTGAATGCGTAGATGCGTATGTTGTGGATGGTCAGAGTATACTCGCGTGTGCTGAGCATGGCTTGGAGAGTACGAAGGTGTGCCCGTGATTCGTGGCACAGCACTCAACCATGGGCTCGGAGCCGGCGCCTCTTGGCGATGTGAAGGGATATTGACTGGCGACCAGCCACTAGTGACTCGATGCGAAGCAATAGGAGGGATCGATGCGTAATTGAAACGTTCTGGGATGTTTCGGTCAGTCACAGGTGAGTGCTCGCCTTCAGTGTCAGTGCCATATGGGCTCTCATAGCTGAGAAAGGGTCGACGCAGGCGAAGGCGCGGATGGTGTCGGCCATCATCGTAGACACTCTTGAAGACCTTACGATCCCTCTTGGGACTCGGGCTGTTTGTAGGTGCCATCATGTTAGAGTACATTTGTCGAAAGTGTGCGGCTTCTCTGGTAGACTCCGAGATGATTGCGGGATCAATGATCATACGCCCATGTTCAGGGGCCTCGGGCGGTATGCATCTCATAGGAAAGTCCGGGCCAAAGATGGGAATCAAGGCACCAGCAATGTGATGACAAAATGTTGCGCATACGGCCTTGGCGCAATGATACGGCATCCAGTAGCCTTTCAGGTCGTCAATACATGGTGGACAAGAATGTGAACGGGTTTGCGGTGCTGAGGCTACTCACCTTGTGCCATGATCGAGCCTCCAGTGATGCTGTGGCTTATCTCTTTGAGGCCAGGGTTCAAGTTTAGCATCTTTGCTGGCGTTGTCTATATACTGTAAGCCAGTCAACTCATTCACGAGGATGCTCACCACAACACCTACCTTGGAGTATTTACAGCACTTGAAGAAAGGCGTCATCCGGACGAGGCCGACATTGTAGTCCCACATGACGGCATACTCGGTATTGTCTCTAGGAAGCTTGAACACGTATTGGAAGACTGCAACAACGTTAGAACATGGTGTCGCAGACATGAAAGTCTCTCGACGAACAGCACTTACCTTCAAAGCTCTCTCGGCCTGTCTTCTCGTAGAAATCCTTCTTGCCACTATTGTATGGGATGTGTCGGCAATACTCCTGAATATTCCCAAGTGGAAAGACTCGATATTTCCGGATTTCGCGCATCGATGACTCTTCAAGCTGTTCGAATGGACGGAAGTTGATGACTCCTTTGGGCTTGGCTTTGGTAAAGACTGCAGCGTCCTTCGGCATCTTGTTCTTGGGCATCACCGACCGGTCGCATAAAGCCGACTCGTCAGAAAGGGATGCTGGAGGCGACGCCGATGATACTGGACTTGGTGGCAGTCGATGAGCCGAAGGTCGCACTGGCGGGGCTGGGTTAAGAAGAGAAGCCACAGACAACATGTTGGTAGTTTTATCAGCGGCGACAGTGTCTTGAAACCGAATGTAGAAAACGCTGCGAGTGTGATGGTCTACAGCGTGTAGCACGAATAGACCGAGGGGAGGAAGCAAGAGAAGTCAGACAGCCCTTGCAGTAGCAGAGTCAGGAAAGACCGGAAGAGAGCCCCCCAAGTCCTTTTTGAACTAAACAAACAGTTCAATAGTCTATGTCACCCCTCACAACAGAAGGGCCGGCGCTTGCACAAGAGCACCGAGATTGCTTCTTTCTTGACTGTATCCAGTCATGCAGCTGTATGCAGACCACTTGGCGGTGACTTCCCACGGCCTTGTCATGGGCTGTATTCGACACAGCGTCCTTTGTCGAATATGTCTGGAATCGATCCGTGGGAGCAGAGAAGTCCGTTTGTGTACGCCCACCGCTCTTTGAGGAGATCGAGTTTTGAGCCACCAAGTGATAGCTGACTAGAGAGAGCGAGGCAATGCAAAGGCCTGTACTTTCACTGTCCAGCAGTCACATACATAGACGGGGGAGCCGAAGTCAGCAAGCGACGACCCAAGGGAGCAATCCTGGCCAGGTACAATGACCTCCTGACCGAACTTGACGTTCTTGGAAACCAATAGACCATGAGAGCACCAGATATCACCATAAGACCCGTCCCATAGCCGTTGGCACGATCAATCAAAGCGATATGGGTAGCTGAGCAAAGGTTTCCCCCCAGACGGCGTCGAGGTTAGGCAAGTTTCAGTACATTCCACCAGCAAAAGTCCTGGCCCGAAAGGGGCGATCACAGGCGATTGCATGACGCAGAAGATCTGTAGCTAGAAACAACAAATGAGTTTGACACAACAAATGTTGGGCAGTCAAGAGCCCAAACAGGCCAGGCCCCTGTTTGAAAGTGCATAGCGAGTTTTGACAGAAATCAAGTGTCGGATGGCTGCATGTGGTGACGGGCCAGCTACCTGACTAGGCGGGCTTTTGAGGAGGTAGAACAAAGAAATCACCTTCCAGAGTAGATGAGATCCTGGACAAAGATTGCTTGACTCGACACACGTGTACCCATGACTTCCCTCCCAGAGAGAAGAGGAGGAGACAGCAGATCATTTCTCGTGACGAGGCTACCCTGAGAATCGAATTTGATCAAAGACGACCGAACGAGCCCTTTTGTCTTGGTTCTGACCGCCTAAAAGGCGACTGATCTGGCGGAGAGTGCCTGCGCATATCCGGCATGGACGACTGGCCAGTTGCTGATGATGACTACAACCTGCTTCCTTGATGACCCATTTGAGGACGGACCACGGAAGCATCAGTTCGCGTGGATTTGCGTCTATCATCTGCGCTTGGCTGTCACTGACACAAAGAACGCGGTTATCATTGCGTCGATACATGTTTTTTCTTCGTAATAGATTAAATGAATACAAGTGCAGAAGATACCTGCCCCAGTGGATCACAGGAAAACGGGGACCGGCCGCAAAATCATTGACACAAGAGTACCGTATAGTTACTCTTAAGGTTGCGTAGCAATGATCCATCGGGAAGAGAATCAGATGATCTGTTGCAGCAGCGCGTCGGCATGGCTTCAAATACCGAGACCGGGTGAAGGCAAGATTTCAGTTAACAGCCGGACCGCTGGAAGTATATGGAAACTATGATTGCGTGACGTGAAATTCATGATCCTAGGCTGGAATGTGAGACCAACGCCATTGGTCGGCGCGATCTGCGGAATGGCCCGGCATCAACTCCAACTTAGGACTTTTATGATCCCATCCTATCCCAGAAGGTGGGCAACCCCCAGCCAGGTTTGTAGTCAGTGAGCTATCAAAGATTTGCAGCTGGTGTCCTCGAGTCTCTGAGCCCCTGGAGGCTGTCCATCAACACACTATGTCGCAGTACCACGGCTTCTGCAGCAGCCCGTAGCAGGACAGGCCTCTCGCGATGGCAGAACAAATTATAACGTTAGCAGCGGATGTCTACAAACGAATATGGAAAGTGGAGAGCAGTCCCGCTGGACAGGAGGAAGCACGGACAATGAAACATATGGCAACATGCCTATCCAGCCCGCGAATGAGCTGGGACTAAGCTTAATATCGCGTGTAATTGCTCGTACCCGGCGGCGACGGGAAGACTCTGGAGGCTGGTGGGAGGGCGCAGCGCAGCCCCACCAGTTCTCACGCACACGAGCCAAAGCCAGGAAGATCTGATATCTCTCGGTTTTCTATAACCTGCAAACTTGGATGGCCGGCAGCTCAAAGTCGTGGATCTGGTGGCATTAGAGGTAGATGGCATCCGAGTGACGATCGGCATCAATCTCGCGCTCTTCGCCTCTCTCTGGTTCCCCAGACCTGCGCCAGTAGTGGTGAAGTTTCAGATGAGTGTACAGTGGGCTGCTTGTGGCACTGCATAGGATGACAGAAGGGTTATGGACTGATGGATGTCAACGTGCGGTGATACATCTGACAGAACCGGCTGTGCACAGTCGACTTCGGGAAATTTCTTTAGGCTTTGTCAAGTGCGGGAGCCTAAGTTCCTAGGTTGTACCGGCGAAAGGGACGGAAAATAGAAGAGCCAATAGGTTTCGCGCGGGCCCCAGATGGCCATGTGTTTTTCACGTATGACAACTCGTCAGTTGATATGAAGCCTGATAAGTAGTGCGAGGTTGACGTAAGGGCCACAGAGGAAAATAGAGATGGCCAACATGTATGACTTCTGGAAGGGCGAATTTCGAAGATGAGTACGTTGTATGGCTTTGGGATACAGATCATCGAATAGGGTGCCAAGCGCACTGCGTCTATCTGATGGCAGCACCGAGCCTGGAACTTGAATTTGACGACGCTACCAATGGAATTTTGAATAATGTAATAGTTGTGGCCATGGCTGAATTTCCCAAGACCATCCCGTCAGACTTATCAGTAGCGTTCCATCTCTGGCGGTCTTGTTGCTTCCGTTGTATAAAAACTGTCATCATGGTCTTGCTTTGCTCCGTGGAGAAAAATGCCATGCTCAGGCAACTGCGTGGTAAGGCCCCAATCGCTCAGTGCTGAGGTCGGCTGGCAACGCGCGCGTACAAAACTAGGGTTCATACATCTGTAGTCCCACGAGCTTCGACCATGTCCCAACATTCTATCGACTGAAGTTGAGAACGACCTTCACCAAGAACGAAACAGAGTGCCATGGCTCTTTGGGGGGTTCTGAGTCTGTGAAGCGCTTAAGGAAGGGGCGCTGGAATTCCCACGTCGGTTAATGATCAATCAATAATGTATTCTTCACCCACCTCCACGATGGCAAGCAGACCTGTTCTCAGGGTGGCCTTTGTTGGTACACGGGTGCGCGTTCCCGGCTGGTATCTTTCATACGCTGGTTATCAAAATTTTGCATCGTCGAAAGGTAAAGTCTCAATAGTTGCAAAGTGCACATCGTGTAGCTGCAAACAGCTGTATAATACATTACAGTGCCAAGACAAGCTTCGACAGACTGCAGGTTAGTTGCGATCCAATCAGCGGGTCCAGTGGATGTGGGTGGAGGTCGTGACGCGCTAAAGCATTCGAGACTCCCCGCAAGCCACACAATCACCAAACAGCCACTCAACTAATAAAACTGGATGCTAGTGGATACCTAGGTATTCAAGCCACACAATCGGCCCATGGATAAGCACCGATTGTGCCAAATCAACCATGCTAAACTGGGATCGTTTAAGGGTCCAATCAGCGCGTTGATTGTTTACTTTGTCCCTCGCGTCTCCAAGGTCAACCAAAAGACGGGCGTCTCAAATCCAGTCGCATACTCGAGGGGGGGCCACCACCACAACAACCAACTCAACACATTCGCTTGCGCAAAGCCCTCACAACACACGCGCATACCCCATCGGCTCTGTCCTCTTTCCTTCTGGTATTGCGTCTTGCGCATACTTGGACATTGCTGCAACCTTTGATGAATAGCCGCCATTAACTTGGCTATTCTGACCAAATTTAGGTTCGTCCGTACACCTGGGCGACACCTTTGGGCACCATCGTTTGCTGTCATCAATTACCGGCCAAACGCCATCAGCCAAACGCGCGAAAACGCGCCCACCATTGAACAAAATGGACTCAGATATCATGGACGATTCCGTCTTTGACGACGACGTCGAGAACGACTCGGACGCCTTCTCTCCCGAGCCAGTACGTTTACATGTTTTTCTGCCTGCGAAAATGGTGGCCTATGGCTAGTTTCGGAGCCCCCCACTGGCCTTCTGTACACATCTCTTTGGAGCGAAACTGACTCTACTCCCTTCCAGAAGCCCAAGGCGAAAGCAAAGCCTGCCGTAAAGAAGGCTGCAGTCAAGGCTGCCCCCAAGAAGATGGTTCAGACTACACTCAAGACGACCAAGGCCGCTCCCAAAAAGCGCGCAAAACCAACGAGCGACGATGAAGGAGGCGATGATGGCAACAACTCAGACTTTTCCCAGACGCCTCCTAATGCCAAAAAGCAGAAGAAGGCACCAGCGGCCAAGAAAGTCGCCGGGAAACCGCTGGAGGAGATCGAGAACGATAGTATGATGCTCGACGGTACTGCGGATGCTGCCCCAGCGAAGAAGAAGACGGCTACCGAGACATATCAGAAACTGACCCAGCTCGAGCACATTATCAAGCGACCCGACACATATATCGGTTCCGTTGAGCGGACAGAGCAAAAGATGTGGGTCTTTGACTCGGAGCTGAATCGCATGAAGTTTCGAGACGTCAAATTTGTGCCAGGTCTTTACAAAATCTTCGACGAGATTCTCGTCAACGCTGCCGACAACAAGCAGCGTGATCCAAACATGAGCTTCATGAAGGTCTCTGTGGACCGCGAGGCTGGCCAAATATCCGTTGAGAACAACGGCAAGGGTATCCCCGTGGAGATGCACGAAAAGGAGGGAGTTCTCATTCCCGAGCTTGTCTTCGGACATTTGCTTGCCGGTTCCAACTTTGATGACGACGAGAAAAAGACTGTTGGTGGTCGAAACGGTTATGGTGCCAAGCTCTGTAACATTTTCAGTACAGAGTTCACCCTAGAATGTCAGGATTCCAAGAACGGCAAGCGATATAAGCAGACATGGCGCGACAACATGGGCAAGATGGAAAAGGCAAAAGTCACCTCCAACAAGTCCGCTGATTTTGTCAGAATCACATTCAAGCCCGACTTTGCCCGATTCGGCATGCCTGATGGTATTGACGATGATCTTGAGGCCCTCATCAAACGTCGAGTCTACGATATGGCTGGTACTGTTCGCGGTGTCAAAGTCTACCTGAACGACACCCTCCTGAAGATGACCTTCACCAAGTACTGTGAAATGTACGCCAAGGCTATCGCTGAGGAGCGTGGTGCCGAAGAGGGTCAAGAACCTAAAGCTACTGTCATTCTTGAGGATTCAAAGGGCCACCCGAGATGGGAAATTGCGTTCGCTGTATCAGACGGCTCCTTTCAGCAAGTCTCGTTTGTCAACTCGATTGCAACAACTCAGGGAGGTACCCACGTCAACTATATTGCCGACAAGATTTGCACATCGCTTCTGGCACATTTGAACAAGAAGAAGAAGGGCCATGCTTTAAAGGCCAATCACGTCAAGAATCACATCTTCATCTTCGTCAACTGTCTTGTCAACAACCCCGCCTTTACATCCCAGACCAAGGAACAATTGACCACCAAAGCTAGTCAGTTTGGTAGCAAATGCGAACTGACGGACAACTTTTTGAAAGCGATTGCCAAGACAGAGGCCATCACCAACATCATTGATTTTGCCGAGCGAAAGGCAGACAAGTTGATGGCCAAGAGTGACGGAAACAAGCGCTCGAGAATCAACAATGCAAAGCTCGTTGATGCCAACTTGGCAGGCACCAAGCACGGCCACGAGTGCACCTTGATCTTGACGGAGGGTGACTCTGCCAAGAGTTTGGCTGTCGCTGGTCGTGCCATCCTGGATCCGGACCGCATTGGTGTCTTTCCTCTCCGAGGTAAGATGCTAAACGTCCGTGACGCCTCGATTGACCAAATCACCAAGAACCAAGAAATCCAGAATATCAAACAGTTCTTAGGTCTGAAGCACAAGACACATTACGAAGACACCAAAGGACTCAGATACGGCCATCTGATGATCATGGCTGATCAGGATCATGATGGTAGTCATATCAAGGGACTTTTGATCAACTTTTTGCAAGTACAGTATCCGTCTCTGCTTCAAATCCCAGAATTTTTTAGAGAGTTCATCACTCCCATCGTGAAGGTCTGGCAGGGCCCCAATCCCAAGAAGCCACAGAAGCTCATGTCTTTCTTCACGCAACCTCAGTATGAGCAGTGGAAGGAGGAGCACGCCTCAGAGGTCAGGAAGTGGCACTACAAGTACTACAAGGGTTTGGGTACAAGTTCAAACGAAGACGCCCAAGTCTATTTCACCAATCTGGATGATCATTTGAAGGAATTCAATGTCATGCAGCCGACCGAGGCGGAGCTTTTCGAGCTTGCCTTTTCCAAGAAGAAGGCCGACGCAAGAAAAGAGTGGCTTGGAAGCTTTGTGCCAGGAACGTTCCTTGACCATTCCACCCGCCGTATCACATACGATGACTTTGTCAACAAGGAGTTGATTCTGTTCAGTATGGCGGATAACATGAGATCCATCCCCTCCATGATCGACGGTCTCAAGCCTGGTCAACGAAAGGTTCTCTATGCTTGTCTGAAGCGAAACCTGATCAAGGACAAGAAGGTCGTGGAATTGGCTGGTTATGTCTCTGAACAGACTGCTTACCACCACGGTGAAGTGTCCTTGCAACAGACCATTATTGGCCTGGCCCAGAACTTTGTTGGATCCAACAACGTCAATGTTCTTGAGCCCAGTGGTAACTTCGGTTCCAGACTTGCTGGAGGTTCCGATGCTGCTAGCGCTCGTTACATTCACACAAGATTGTCACCCTTTGCCCGCAAGATCTTTTCTGCTCTGGATGAACCAAACTTGGAGAACAACGTTGAAGATGGCAAGAAGATCGAGCCAAAGGTGTACGCTCCAATTATACCCATGGTTCTCATCAATGGTGGTGAGGGTATTGGTACAGGTTGGAGTACCAGTATTCCCAACCACCACCCGATGGACATTGTCAAGAATCTCAAACGTCGCATGGGTCGCCTGGACGACAGCACAGAGGAACTGCCTTTCGAGCCCATGATGCCTTGGTTCCGAGGATGGAAGGGTACGCCTAGAGAAGCAGGACTCAACCGATATCAATTTGACGGTATTGCGTACCCGGACGACAAGAAGAAGAACGAAATTCTCGTTACTGAGCTGCCGATCCGCATGTGGACTGACGACTTCAAAGCCAGGCTCGAGGAAGTCATCAAGGCTGAGAAGTCACCATCTTGGATCAAGGACTACAAAGAGTTCAACGATCACAAGAATGTCCATTTTGAGATTCAGGTCGATGAGAAAGTCCTGCCCACCATTGATACACCGGAGAAACTGCTGGAAAAATTCAAGCTTACCAAGCAAGTTCCCACATCCAACCTGGTGGCTTTTGACACTCGTGGCATGATCCGCAAGTATGAGAAAATTGAAGAGATTATGGAGGAGTACTATGTCTTCCGTCTAGGCTTGTACAAGCAACGCAAGGTACGTGTAATCAGTTGTCATGTCGCTATTTCATTGAGGCTCACAATATATAGGCTCATTGGCTCAGCGTGCTGGAGTCAGAACACCGAAAACTGTCGAACCAGGCTCGCTTCATCAAGGAGATCATGGACAACAAGCTTGTGGTCAACCGCAAGAAGAAGCAAGTGGTTGTTGACGAGCTGCGTGACCGCAAATACGATCCCTTTCCCAAGGGCTCCGAAACAAAGAAGGCCAAGGATGATGAGGATGAGATCGAGGCTGAGGGTGCAGATGAGGTCGAGACTGAGACTGATGGTGACGCTCGTGACTTTGACTACCTTCTCTCTGTAAGTTGCCTCTTGTCAGCAATAGCCGGCCGGGCCCCCAAACTAACAATGCATAGATGCCAATCTGGTCGTTCACCCAAGAACGTTTGGATAGGCTCAAGGATCAGCTCGCCAAGAAGCAGGCCGAGTACGATGAGCTCGAAGCCAAGAGCGAGAAAGACTTGTGGTGTACCGACCTCGAAGAGTTTGAGGTGGAATGGGAGAACCAACTCCGTCTCGATGCCGAAATCTCGACAAACATCCGTCGCATGGGCCGTCGTGCTTCCAAGAAGATCGGCGCTGGCGGTGGCCGCGGTCGCAAGGCAAAGGGTGACGATGATGACTATAACCCCACAGCCAAGTCCAAGGCAGCTGCAAAACCAAAGGTGACTGTTGCCAAGGTTGTACCACAAAAGACTCACACACTTTTCGAGAAGAGGTTCAACGCAAAGAAGAATCTGGATGGCGCTGATGAGAATTCTGACGGATTCTCCGACGATGACTTTGCGGCCCTCAAGAGCAAGCCTGCCAAGAAGGCTGCAGCTCCCGAGCCTGTAGCTGATGGATCAGATGATGACTTTGCTGTTCTAGAAAGCAAGCCCAAGAGCAAGCCCGCTAAGAAGGTTGCAGCCGCAAAGCCTGCGGTGGAAGACTCTGACGAGGAACTTGTAGTTCCCGCGCCCGCTCGTGGCAAGCGAGCCGCCGCCGCTGCAGCCAAGCCCGTGGTAGAGGAATCCGATGAGGAGGAGGAGGAGGAGGAGGAGGAGGAAGGGGAAGAAGAAGAAGTGGCGCCAGCACCTGCTCGTGGTAAGCGTGCTGCTGCTGCAAAGGCAAAGACTTGGATCATTGATGACGATGATGATTTCAAGAGCTCCGATGACGATGACAACATGCTCGGCGATGTTGGGGCTCTCGTCAAGGGAATACCGGGGACGACGGGTGACTCGGGTGATAACAAGACTGGCCGCGTTAGTCTGTTTGCCATGTCGCGCCCTGATCACAGCCACGAAGGCACATCATCTCTCAAGGTCAAATCCAAGATCAACAACAAGCATCTCGACTTGGACTCGCATGACGATACCAACTACGAGATGCTCGCCAAGCCAAGCCCACACAAGTCGCCGTTTGCTCGCAATGAGGTAGACTCTTTTCTGAGCGACGATGACTTGCCCGTGTCCAAGCCTGCGGTCAAGGCTAGCGCAGCAAAGGCAAAGAAATCCGCCTCGCCGACTGATGAACCCAAGCCGGTCGTCAAGAAAGCTCGAGGCCGCCCCGCAGGGGCCAAGAACAAGGACAAAGATGAGGCTCCGGCACCCAAGAAGAAGGCTACTGCTGTTACCAAGCCCATTCAGCTCTCTCCAGCGGCGAAGCTATACGCCAAGAAGACGGCGGAAAAGTCAAGGGCCAAGAAGGATGCATTCGACATGGATGATGATGATGAGGACGAGGACATGGCCGATTCGCCGCCGCCCCGAGCCGCTGGTCGTGGCAGACCGGGTCGCGCCGCAGCTGCCAAGAAGAAGCCTGTCTACGTTGTTGACGACGACGAGAGCGAGGGAGAGGAGGATGATGATGATCGAATGGAGGTGGATGATGAGGACAATGGCGGTCAGGACGATGAGAGTGATGCCTTTGCAATGGACGACTCTGAGTAAATACGATAGGAGGGTTATAATGTTCCTATAATTATTTGTTTTGCCTTGGCGTGGACGGCAGGGACAAGAAAACACAGTGGTCTGGGAGTTAGAGACCTACGTATAGCACCTTTCCTTATAAGTCGTGGTCTATTTTCTCGGTTTTTTATGCAACATTATGATAACGATGCGTGTACTGCTTTTGATTCTTGTGCTTCCTTTCGCTCCAACTATAGGATCACCATACTTACGTGTTGAACTCAATCTTTTACTTGTATGCAAATAGTATTGGCCTGCAGGCATTGTAAACGTCCACGAACACACATGGTGCACGCGCAGTTACAAGAATTGTTGCGCCTACACCAATGCAAGCAGTGGAACAACAGGTTCATTTGGACCAAGTCGGGGCGAGAGGGTTGCGTCATATGGGCATTTGCTTGGATCTATTCGTAGGTGCCTAGTGGATGATGGCTCGATCAGACTCGGTAGGGCCCGTCAAGTCTACGGCTTTTATTATTTTAGTATAGACTGGCTATGCTAGTGTACATCAGGGAGCATTCGCTCCAAGGCGGGATGGACAATTGAAAATGCATTCGTATGGATGCTGATAGGAGCCAATGAGGGGACGCGGTACAAGTGAGGTGGTCGTGTGCTTACCCTCATATCCAGCTTCAAAGCTGCTACTACATACCATCGTACTTTTTTTTTTGCTGGCTAAGTTCCCGCCCAAAGATTTCCGAAGCGGAGAATCACATGCATGAGTGTGACGACATGAGACGATTTGGCTCCGAGGGGCTAAAGCTGCAGAGCTGTGGTTGGGTAAAACAGGACCCCGGAACCCACGGGTCGATCATAGGGGAAACGAACTTGTCGTGTGTGGTTTTATCTTACTAGGTACTATTTCTATCCATATAAGCTAAAAGAAATGTGAGCGCGTGACGATACCACGAGGTATACTATGGATATATATCAGGATCCAGCTTGCATTCCTTTTTTTTTTTTTTTTTTTGGTCCCCAAGCGATAAGGTGTAGTGAGAGGACCAAGTGGAAAACGCTCACGTCGCAGCGCAACGTGATGCCGAAGCCTGGACTGTACACTACTATGGAGCTCGAGTGGGGGTGGATGCAGAGCATGTACGTACCTAACCTAGCATGTTTCCTGTGCATTGGACTGACTGCCCTGCATCTTTGCTCTCTCTTACTGACTACTGATGACTTGATTGACATGATCATTGATCGGGATCGCGTGCGCACTGCGCACTGCCTACTGCCTACTGCCTACTGCCCACATTTTTTTGCACTTGACGGGAATTGATTAAACTGCCCACCAGCCACTGATCGCATGCAGGCACGACATCGCTGTCCACTACACTAGGTACGGCGCAAACATTCCCAACCTGTCCGGCTGAAACTCGAGTGTCTGGCTGATGGAGACTTTTAGATCCTTTGCATCTGGGGCCGCACGTTCGTCTGGGACCCGCATAGAAATTGCGATGCAAGATGCTACTGGAGCCTTCCAGAGAACAAGACTGACGATATTTTACAAAACTCCGATATCGAGGTTCATGTTTTTTTTTTCTCGATACGAACAAAGAAACAAAACAAACATTCGGCCTGGGAACATCCGCCAGGGGAAAGATTAAAGCTATGTACATGGTACAGATGTTGTTGCTACCGACTGCTAAGCAGGAACACAAACTCTCTTCTCGGTGTGTAAAATGAATGCATGGAGGGACAAGGTTGGCGGCACCCTAGAAGATGAACCTTGAAAGATACCGCCTCGGTTACAAACTACCTACCTGGATTACCTGGCAGCTGGTTGGTAACTGACTGGATGACTCTCTGCACCTCCGGGGAGCTATAAAACTCCGGTCAGTCTAGGCTTCCTTAGCCAGGTAGGGACAGAAGAAGACACGAATGTCAGGACTGATGTCGGGTTTCAATGTACTTTATCAACTGGGCGCTAGGTATACACGTATACTCAGCAGGAAGGCAAGTAAATGGCCATGATGGCGAAAAGAGAGAAGACCATCACAGGAAAAGGGGAAGAAAAAAGGTACATTGAGCATGAGCGTGAGCGTGAGCTTGAACCGATAAAGACGCGGCTGGAAAGCTGTTCAGGTACATACAAAACAATGATGCAATTTAGGACCTATGCAGCATCAACAATAAAATAAAAAATAATGTAGGTAGGTACCTAGCTAACTAACCCAGCTCTGCCTGCCTGATTCTTCAAGCGGGACATAAAAAGCAAGTTTGATTCTACAGTACTATTAGTAGGAGAGATAAATAAATAAAAAATAACAAAAAGAAAACAATGTCAGGCACATATTACAGGCATCTGCCTGACGGATACCAAGTCTATGAACAAACAGAGTGAAAATAGTTATAATTTGTAACATATCAAGCCTGACTGGTAGACAGCTACTGTGGGAGAGCTAAGCTGGATAGCTAGCTGCCTCGCATTAACAGCTTCAACAGTACAGGTGCTCACGTGTAGAGATGAATGTGCACAACAGCAGGGCAGGGGACTTTCTCGTGGAAATCACAATAACAGTAATGACAAGTGAAAGAATTATAAACAGGTTCTGTCTGTTTGTGGCTATTTTCTTCTCACCAGACGCATCAGCTTCAGCTTCAGCTCCAGCAGCTGGTTTTATTTTGTTATTTTGTTTTATCTTTTCTTTGCGGTGTCGTCACAAGGTTCCGACCCGAACAGGGAGCTAAACCAATTTGGCCTTGGTGACAGGGCACAGCGTCATTCTCCTTTCCACTGAAAATCACCAAAAGCCCAAGCTCCAAACCGGCGCCCAGCCAAAGCCTGGAACAGACAAGAATCCCGTCCTATCTATCCACCAGTTTGGACCACCACCTTATTAGGTCACCTATCTAACTAGTTACTTGGTCCGCCAAAAAGCTGCTTGCTTGCTGCTTGCCGAACAAAGCAACGTACCGCCGACCAACTTCTCCTTCTCCTTTCCCACTCCTCTACTCAATAAAAAAAAAATCTCACACACACACAAACTCACAGTATTCAACTCTGTTGCCCTCGAGCATTTTCTGCACGCGCCGCCCACCGCTTCTCAACACACACAGCTCTCGCACCGTCATCACAACGTCAAAAAATGGCTGACACTGCTCCCGCTGCCAATGGCGGCTCCGTCGACACTCTCAAAGGCAGTATGTTGTTTCAGAACTTCTCTCCGATTCTTCCGGCGACTCATCTCGTGATACTGACCAGCAATCGCATCTACAGACGCCCAGGCTGCCTACGACCAGATCGCCAATGGTAAGTTCACCATTTCCCCGCCATCTGCTGCTGCTGCATCTCAAATTCTATATCTACCTCTCCTGCCCGTGCCTTGCGTGCGCTGACTCCTCCCCGTCCTTATCAGGCCCTGTCGCCCAGAATGTCCGTGACCAGTCCGCAAAGACGAGCTCCGAGTTTTCCAACCTCGCAGCCGCCCGCCAGACTCCCTCGCAACCTGCTGCCACTGGACAGCCCTTGACTCACTACCACAGCTTCTTCTCCGAGCTGCTGTCGTGGAACAACCCCCGTGCCTCTGGTATCGCTTTCGCCTCGGTCGTATCCTTCATCTTCGCGGTTAGATACCTCGATGTTATCCGATACGCCTTCAAGCTCACCTGGATGGCCCTGGGTGTCACCATCCTCGCCGAGGTTGCTGGAAAGACCATCCTTAGCAACGGTCTGGCTAGCCAGCTGCGACCTCGCAAGTACTACACCATCCCCCGCGACACCCTCGATGCTCTGATCGGCGATGTGCATGAGCTTGTCAACTTCTTTGTCATTGAGGCACAGCGAGTTTTCTTTGCTGAGAACGTCTGGGCATCTACTGCTGTATGTCAATCTTGCTTCCTTTTTTGCGCACGTGAGCGCCAAATGGCTTAATTTTATGCTGACTTTATCTTTTTCCCTCCCCGAATAGGTTGCTCTCTCTGCATTCCTCTCGTACTACCTGGTCAAGATTGTTCCCTACTGGGGCCTGGCTCTCATCGCAACCACCATCACCTTCTTTGCCCCTCTCATTTACACCTCCAACCAGGAGCTGATTGACCACCACCTGAAGCAGGCCTCGGATGTGGTTAACTCTCAGACCGAGCAACTGCGCAGCGTTGCCAGCAAGCACACTGCCCAGGCCACCGAGATCACCAAGCAGTACGTCGGTGACTACACTGCCAAGGCTCAGGACATGATCCGTGGCCGTACTGCTTCTCCCGAGGCCCCTGTCAAGCCGGCACCTCAGGAGACCGACTTCCCCGCTGCTCCTCAGGGCGATTTCGCCAAGCACGAGGAGCCCGTCCTGGAGAAGAAGGAGCCCGTCAAGGCCGAGGAGGAGCCGCTCATCGCTGCCTAAGTGGTGTCTGAAGAATACGACAAGAAGGAAACACGACGACATTACTCCCTCCTACCCTTCCCTGGAGGACCTCCTCTTTCCCTCCATCCCCCACGTATACACTTCCCCCTCCCCGGGATTTACAATGAAACCCCCCCTCCCTCAACGGTACGACAATTGTTACGACTGATGGCATAAGAGATAACGACACCGGATGTTTCTCACGGATATTTTGAGAGCAAAACAACTGGTCCCCCTTTGGCGTTGCAGTTGAAAACGAGAGCAGATTGACATTTGTGGCGGTATGACTACTAGGTGTGGCCAAAGATTGCGACTTGTTTTTTTGTGGAATAGGCGGTTCTAGTTCGAGAGCAGGCAGAGTTTTGCTGAACTCTTAATACTACACGGCACATTTAATTACTCCTTGATCTTTCCTCCTTTTGTGTTATGGTGAGTCCGTGAGTGTGACTGACTGCATGGGGTATGTCTGCCGGCTTAGCGTCGGACGGATTCTGTGAATTTTCTCCCTCTGAAAGCAAGTCAAGAATACTAATGCTATAAAGATATGTATCTTGCCGACTTAGATCACCTGGGTTCTGAGCGAGACACCCTTCCTGTTCAGGCATATTCTGATCATGGCTTTTCTCATGAGAATCTAGTTTCTCACCTCGACAATGCCGAGCCCTCTTCTCCCAAAAACAAGTCATGAAATTTCGAGCTGTGGTTGCTCATCCCTTGAGGTTTTTTGCTCTGAAAACTCCAGACTGCAGACCTATTTCACCAATCATTCATTAGTACGAATGACTCCGTTTCAACAAAAACACACCTCAACCTTCACAATGGGGGTTTTCGGATACCTGGTTACGTTTCTTCCAGCTTGGTGGGTATTTGTCTCATTGATTCTATTTACAACTCCCACACAATCCCTTGTGGCCGTTTAAAAGGAGTAAAAGAGACGTGTGGATCTCGCGGTGCTGTCATCCCGTCTCTTATTTGTAAAACAGCATTGGTTCTGTCTCCTGGTCTTTAAATATATGTCATAATAGACCAAGCCACGCCATGCCGCAGTCACTGTCTATCTGAGTTGAGCTGCTGCGTCCATTTTCATACTCATTCCATACTGTTGTTTCTTTCCCATGCTGGACACACGAAAACACTATGCTTCGCTTGCTTTGTTGCTCCGAAATCCAAATCTAAAAGCGTCTTCCCTAATGGTATATTTGAGGCCCTCGGAGGAGGAGGGCTCTTCGAAAGTTGAAGAAAAAAAAATGTGAGGCGATTGGTCGATGCCATGCATATGAGATGAGCCCGTAAGAAAATAATAGTCTATCGTCATCAAGTTCGTCTACCTTCGCCATCCCCAGAAGCCTGCAGCATTTGTCGATGCTGATGAGGCACTCCTCTGCACGCCAGGCACTGGTGCATCGACGCTCTTAGCCCCGGCATCCACATTACCTCCACCGGTCAGCCGGCCAAACATGCCCATAGCAGCATTGGCTGCACCGGTTGCAAGGCCCGGAGTCTCGCCCGGAGGGATTCCATATGCTTTCTTGAGACTCTCCAGCTTCTGTTTGAGCTCATCCGCCTCCTGTCTTGCCACAGCCTCTGATGTCTTGGCTTGGACAAGGTCCATTAGCAATGTCTCGTGCTCGTTGGCCGATGGTTGGTGAGGGATCTCAGTCTGGGATCTAGCCAGCGACGACGCCCGGCTGCCAAAGCCGTCCCTCGAGTTCGGCGTTGACTTGCTACGTCCAAGCTTGAGTTCGCGGAGGCCCCCCTTTGTCGGGCCACTTGGTGCAGGCGTGGCGGAAACAACAGTGCCCATAGCGAGGTTGGCCGCCGAAGTAAGCCATCCCGATGCCTCGGGCGAGGAGCTGAGCTGCGTGTCAGCCGAAGCCACCCTTGTGCGCAGGTCTTGGACCTGCTTCTCGAGGCGTTGCTTGTCTTGGTGGAGGTTTCTGACGTGTGCGTGGCTCTCCCGCAACTGATCCTTTAGTGTCTGTGCCTCTTGCCCCAGGTCATCTATCCGACGATTGAAGTCCTGGGTCTTTGATACCTCAATCATGAGGTGCTCCTTGGCTCGCGCCAGCTCATCTCGCAATTCTTGTTTCGTCTCGGTGCTGGTAGGCCCTTGGCTGTTGCGCTCCTCCTCGACGAACCGATCCTCGACACCTTCAATAAGCCGTGCAAGCTCTTCAGTAACAACATTATCCTTGTCCTCGCCTTCTTGTGATTTCTTGAACCCTTGAAGCAACGACTTGACCGCCTTGCGTTCTTCTTCTCTCTCTTCTCTCTCCTTTTGCAATTCGGTCGCTAGCAATGCATGGTTGCGCTGTAGTTCACTGAAAGCCATAAGCAGGTCCTCAATCTGGCTGTGTAGAGCCTTGCTTTCTGTTGCAGCGCTCGAGCCGATAGTGCTCTGCTTGGGACCCGTCGGTGTCGACTCCCGGATCGAGGAAGCGTCTGCATTGGATGAGGCACGCGAGGTGGCGTCCGTTGAGGCGGAACTCAGAACACTGGCGGAGCTGGTTTCCATGGAGTTGAGAGTCGAGGCTAGGCTTTGCTTGGAAGTGCTGCGACGAAGCATGCTCAAAGGTCGCGATGGGGCAATGAGACCAGGAGAAAGGGCACCGAATGCGGACTTGGTGGAGGAGCCGGAATTTGTGGTGGCCCAGAGACGGCCCAGGAAGCGAGAGGCTGCCGTGGTAACGTCCGACGTGCGGGCCGCATTGGCGGTAGCGACCTGCGCCTCTCGGTAATTCAATTCCAACTGTGCTAATTTTTCCCGCGACACGACGAGAGAAAGACTGACAAAGTCGTCTACAAACTCATCGGCATTGTAGTTGTAACAGTCCCAGAGGCCACGGGACAGCAAAAGCTGCATCACATCCTCGAGTTCAGTGCAGGCCAGAATGCGGCTCTCGTTCTTGCGCATGAGCGAGAGCGCGACCCGCATAATTGTTTCCGACGCACCTTCGGCGAAGATGACATCGTAGATGCGAAACAGCATGGGTAGGGGGCAGGTCACGGCAAAGAATGAGAGGAACCATTGTGAAACGTAGGCAGGGTCTACCTGGTGCTCTTCCAAGTGGGCCGATAAACTGGGTAGCATCTGGTGCAACAACTCGCGGAATTGGTAAATGCGGACATGCAATCCTGACAGGTCTGGCAGGAAACACGAGCGCAGATCGTAATGATCCATCAGCCTGTCAAATGTATTAGCGTTGATTAGTCCAAAAAGCAAATCAGAACCCATATCACAGATACAGCACCACTGGCCAGTGCCTGCACATGTATCCGTGACACAAGCTTATTTGTTCGGGTCACACTCACCGAACCAAGACACAGAAGGCTTGGTTATCTGGCATATGCATGAGAAGAGGCCCAACCAGAAAAGCCAGGCCCTGGCAGTATCCGATCTTCTGGTCGTACAAGCTGAAGCATTTGAGCACTCTAGCCAGCATGCGTTGTCCATCGCCGTCTGAGTCGCGAAACATGTCGACCCCCGGGAAACTCCTGCCTAGATCTTTGCCGATGATGCCCTCATAGGGACTCGACTCGCCGCTGAGTGCTTCGAATTGTTCCAAGAGGAGGGAATCGCGCGCACCCGTCATGCTTTGCCATACAACACCTCGCAGTGGCGGTGGAATGCCCTTGCGGATCTTCCTAGAAAGCAGCGTGGGTAGACGAGCCGCAGTTTGCTGGTAATCTTTGACCAAGGCCACATAGAATTCCATGTCAGTCATGGGAGGAGGAGGCAAGACCGAGTACCGCAAGGCGACGGGCGTCGGGCCATTGACCATATCACGTAGCTGCGCCATCGACGGTGGTCTCGGACGGCGAACCGTTGGCATCTCGACAACCTTGACCTTGACACCCTTTGGATTGGAGGCCAATTTGCTGTTTTCCTCCTCCAAGCGAGCCAAAAGCATTGCAGTAGACTGTATATGAAGTAAGCCTCAAGATTAACATGTGTAACAGCGGTTGGTTCGCTAGCGCTTTCCGTCTGAAATAATATCGACAAAATCGAGTGGTTCAACATATTGTCGTACTTACGTTGTCATCTTTTTGGGCCTGTTCGTCCTCGCTCTTCTGTAGTTTCTCCCAATCCACCTCTTCGTCCTCGTCTTCTGAGTAGTCATCAGACTCTCTCGAGCCACTGGTGTTTTCTTTTGATGTATCACTGCCAGCTGCGTCATCCAACTCCTCGGACAGATTTTTGGATTTGTCGTCTTTGCTTTCTTCTGACTGGCTGGCAGCTCTCTCACTCTTCTCTTCCTGGGCGTCTTCTCCCGTTTCCACTGTCTCCTCCTTGACTTTCTCCTCCAATCCTAGCTTCTTCAACGATGTCGCGCTCGTGGGTGTAGGCGTGTACTCGGGTCCAAAAAGGCTTCTCCTAGAAGGCCATACGGGCAAGTCCGTCCTCACTGACAGGCTTGGCGGCTCCGAGAGACGAACAGTGACCATGGAGTCGTGGCCAGCCATGGTGGGATGCTCCTTCTCGACAGGCGACTTGATGTCGACCGGAAAGGCCATCTCGCTCTTCTCCAGAGACCGTGGGTCTGGCTCCATCTTGAAGCGCAGACCCTGACCAAAAGAATTAACTGGAAACAAATGTGGCCGATAACCGTGATTGGTGTGACTGGAATGTGAGATCTTCGCAGCGCAAGAATGTCGAGCGTCACCAGGGCCTCGGCTGATGTCCTTCCCTTGCTGCACAGCAGTAGTAGTAATAGCAACTACTGCATTAGCCGGCTGGTAAGACAAGGACAGCCTAGGCAAAGATTGAGCAGGTTTGAGAAACGCTTTAAACCATGTAACAGTGCTTTGGTGTAAGCAATGCAAGCAGACAGACTATGTGGGAAAGAAATGATGACTGAAGCAGTCAGTCGTCCGGTGTTGGTCGCGCTGTGACTGTGGTTTCGGCGTGCTTATCGCTAAGTCGTGAACTACTCGCGTAATGTAGGTTGGTAGACTCCTTCGATTGCGGGCCCTGATCAGGTTACCTCCAAGACAATGTTCCAAGCTAGCAGGTCGGGTTCCTTGCGATGGAATGTCGAACAAGGTGAACTGGTGCAGCGGCGCGTGTTGAGGCGCCTCGTTCGATCTTTGTTTCGCCGGAGGGTTGGTTGTCTTGAGGGCGCGCGGGTCAAGTGAATGAAACACAGGCACACAATGAATCCACCGATAATAGGTACAAGAGAGAAAGAGAGTAGAGTGGGGATATCGCCGCCCAGTGTGTGTTGCAGGACCTTCCAAAAGCTATCGAGCTCCAGCTGTTTGGGATGCCGATAATGCAAGCAATGACGCTTGTTGCAGGTAGAGCTGCCAATCAGGAATATGGGTGAGTAAGGTTTTCTCTCTGTCAGTTTGAGTCGATCGACGGCGAGAAAATCGACAATCAATAAATGTGAGGGAGAGGCGGTCACCAGCAATGCGACTGGAAAGAGAGCAGCAAATGGACCCCCCAAACGACTGGGCCCCCGGGATCGTCAGAGGTTAAGGAGTGCTTGGTCTGGGCTTGAAGAGAATGTGGATTGGCAGGTAAAAGTAGCCAAGCAAGCAAGCAGGTTGGCCAGGGCAGGGGGTGGTGGGCAAGTCTGGTTGGTTTTTATGAAAGGCACTGGATAAAAATAAAAAAAAAGTTGAGTGAATGAGGTGAATGGGAAAATGGGTTTTTGGCTGCACTTGACATCAACACTAAAGTTGAGCTCGGATTAGCTTCAATTGTAATTATATTTTATTTTGATTACCCCAGATCCTCAAAGGTAGCAGATTGAGAGCCAACGAACGGAATACGCTGCGGCGGCAATCTTTTGCCCGTGCCTCGTCCTTTTTTTTTTTTTTCGTCTCCTTGCCTTGTTGGTGCAGGAGGGGTAGTGTTACCAAAGAGCTGGAAACGAACTCGTTCAATCTCGGTTCAAGTGTAGCAACGGCTGGTAGTCTGTTGCGACTCGTGTCTTTCTTCCTTTCCTCTGTCGTTTATCGTTCATATCAACTACATAACTACTTTGATTCTTGCAGGAACCCCATGATTTCAATATTCGAAATGGGCGGCCAAGTAGTGTAGTATTGGCTCCTGCATGCTTTAAAGACTGCCTACTTGGGTAGATAGGCTAGAGACATCCAATAGAATTGATTCATGTCGCCCTATCATAAACAGTACATGGTAGGGCATATGCAGAGTCATGCAAGTCAACCAATGCTTGGTGGCCAATTCTCTTTTTGTGTGTATCCTGTCAAAAATTTGCCATGTCTAGCTAGGCACGTATTCCGTATGCTTGCTGAATCAATATCCCGCCACGTTCCTGATGCTCTCTATACGTGCCTACTACTGTGTACCTACCAATCTGCATTACCTACTGTGAATTGCCTTGTGCTGATCGATGCAACACTGGATTTGATTGACGGCCCAAAGGAGGATCGACAGTATTCGCCAACCAGCGTCGCGGTGTCAATGGATCACCAGACGCGCTTTCTCCCCCCTGTATTTCCACCTTCCCCGAAAATGACAAGTTCAGGGGTCCTCTTCGCTGTATCCGGTCAAGCTTCAATTTGTGCATATGCGTTGCAGTGATTATGAACTGCACAGCAAAGACGTCACGCCCTGCGCCGTTGCGCTGATTGGCAAGTTCGAGGAAAGCTTTGAGCCTCTGAGCGCCTCTGCTCTCTTTCCGACCTCATGATTATGGAGAAGGGGGGAAAAACCACCACAACGTCCTGCAGCCAGCCGCCAGCCAGCATTGTACACTAAACTGCCAACGTACATTGGGGAATCCGCCAGCATAAGTCTCGAACCGGCTCAGCTTGACACTAGGTACCATACAACGCATATCAATAGCACTCATGTCATTAGTCACTGCCCGCTTTTTGAATGCCAGCACCGCCCAGCCCATAGAATTGTTATTGTACGTGCCTACCGTAGTAACATTTAACAACTCATCACTTGTTTTCTGCAAGCATCAGTAGGTAGGTATCATCAGCAAGTGGGACGGGATCCATTTCAAAAGGTATCTAAATCGCGACTTTGATTCGTCAGTACGACATTGCCGTATTGAAGAAATAGAGGCGTGGAACACACCCAGTGACTATTTGAATACTATCCAGCACTCAGTCTTCTTTGGAAATCCACCGATGCGCTTCTTTCTCGATCCACAGACCTGGCCGGTAATCCTGCGTTGTCTCTGCCACCTCCCACTTGGCGCTCCACTGGCAAAGACCACAAAGCGGTCGTTGCCCATGTTCCAGGTACGGAAACCGCGCAACACTGAGTCTTAGCTCCATCATGCTGCTGTTTGTTAGATTCTACATACACAGTAGTCCAAAAGCATCGCGTTATAGTGTATCACTACGCCGCGCGGGGCAAAGAATACCATGAGATCGTCTGTCTCTCGGTGGTGGCGTGTCAGCTGCAAATCATCACTCAAGATAATCTGACACCCATGATGTAGGGCAAGGGAAAAATAAACTCTCCAGAGTCCCGTCTTCAAAGTGTAGTTTATGTTTAAAAATAAGCTTTGCTGCAGGATTCATCCCCCCTACTTCACTCCTCGGCCCGCCTTGGTAGGTATGGAATAAGGCTATAGCTATGTACGTACTGTGTAGGTAAGCAGCCCTATGGTGCACACTACATACATAAGCATCCAAGTCTTCAAATTAAAATGAAAAGTTATTTATGATACCGCCTCCGGCGCTTGTGACGTCAGTCAGAGTGCAGGCAATGATCATGCTGCTTTTCTCTGGAAAATGTTTGTCCCAGTACTATACTAGCCAATAATTAACTACGCAATCGAGATGAGTATCCGAAAGTGCACAACGTAGGTAGAATCTTTCGTCTTTTACGGGCTACTCTGAAAATCCTGTAGACCAAAGTAGTATCTAATGTAGGATCAGGCATCTCGACGGATGTGCCTACTTTTGTAACAAGTATTTATATACTGAACAACACTTGCAGAACCGACCTCAAGCAAAACCCAATGTCTACCTGAATCGAAACGTGAAACCACAACGCCTGGCGCCTAGCGGCCATTTGGCATGACACCTTTTCTTCATTTGAACGCCTCGACTCTCCGGTCGGATCCAGACTGCGCTCATTCCTATTAACATTGTACATACCCAAAGTTGACCGATCGAAACCTTCCTCGCGTCGCCAACTCTAATCAAGCCGGAGGGCCGTTCATGGGCTGGCCGAAGGGCATCTGCGGTGGGCCTGATGTGGCCAACTTTGGTGTCGGCTGTTTCCCAGGCACAGGACTTGCCATCTGGATATTTGACTGCGACGACATTGCCTTGTGCGCATTTGGCCCCTGGGGTCCGGGCCGTGCGCCTGGCGGTGGGAGTGCCGGTTCTTTGTTGTAGTCTACTCCTGGGTAGAGGTGTTGCAGCTTTGTATACAGTTCGTTGAAGTATTTGATCGTATCGTCTCTGTTGGCTGGCTCTACGGTCTTCCCCTCTGAACCGTCTGGCGGCGGCATCGCTCTTATCCTCACTTTTATACTCAGCGGCGGCGGCTTCATGTAGGACGGATGTGCTGCTGCTTGTCCTGAGGCAGCCTTTTTGTTATCCGCCAAATGTGCCAAATAAGCAAGATTTCCTTGTAGCCGGCGCATGCAGCTGGAACATACATTAGCAAGGCTTACAGTCACCAACAATGCAAAGAGAACCTACTGTGTGAAGTCTTGCATCAGTAACTTTTCCTCCTCGGTCTTCTCAGTGTCGTTGGGGGTTCCATTCGCTGCAGGCGGTTTTTCGTTTTTTATCGCGAGCATTGTGTTTTGCACCTGCGATGCTTCCCATAGCAGCTCACTATTGATCTCAAGAATCACTGCGATCCTATCCTTCTCCCGCTGCTCCGCTCCTGGACTAAGCGGGCCAGTGTTCGAGTTACCATTAGAAGCGGCGCCTTGCACATTGGAGGGAAAGGTTGGCGTTTGTGGCGTTTGGATATTGCTACCCAGTGGTTGTTGAGGTTGTTGGAGCGCACTATTCGGCGTCTGACTCTGGTGGGAAGGATGAGTCGCTTGAGGCGTCGAGAACTGAGGCTGTTGCGACGGAAGGGAATTGTTGGGCGTGGGTGTGCTCTGAGGAACAGGCGTCTGGCCTTGGCCGGGGAACTGGCGTTGGGGAGTATTCGAGGGCATGCCTCCCGGGCTCTGTTGCGGATGCTGCATCCGCTGCATCATTTGTTGTTGCTGCTGAGGAGTCATCTGCCCAGGATGCATTTGGAATCCACCCATGGGCATACCGCCGCCCATGGCGTAATTCGGTGGCATATTCATCTGAGGTGCGACAGATGTCGGTACACCAGCTCCATAAGGATTGTTCGGATATCCTGTCGGGTAGTTGGGCACTGTAATTAGGCAAACGGATTAGTATCACAAGGCAAACAGATCGCGGGTTCATCCTTCCAACAAGCGACGCCGTCTGATACCCTCCTTGACAGCAACATCTGCAAGAAGATCGCCGCAAAGAATAACCAGTCGTTCACGTGTCGCCGCATCATAGTCTTAAGTCTAGCGAGAACGACCGCCCGGGCGGAGTAGCAGTCTCAAAGACTATACTGATGTACGCCCGACATCTGCAAGAGGAGGGAAAGGGAAGATACAGCGACTCGGACGGACATGGTGCAATGCAAGGTGACCGAGGTGAGGTGTGGTAAGGAACGAGATATCGAGCTTACTTTGGCCATTGGCGGCAGCCATGTGCGGCATGCCGGCGCTCTGCATCATTCCACCTGCAGGGCCAGCACCGGACATCATATTGGCATTGGGGCCGCCTGGAAAGGCGCCGCCGGGGGCGCCCATGGGGAACTGCTGGTGGTTGTACATCATCTGCTGCTGCTGCGGCGGCGGCGGCTGCTGCTGTTGTTGTTGCTGTTGCTGTTGCTGCTGCTGCTGCTGAGGCGGCTGATTGGGATTCGGACCTTGGCCTTGCATTTGAGGGTTCTGCGAGGGTGGGGCGCCATTGGGAAAGCCATAGTTGGCGGCGTACATGGCAAATGAAGGTGTGTGTCTTGCTCACGTCGCTCTTGTTGGCGGATAAAATACTACCTACTGTACGCGACGTTCGGTCGGTCTGTTGGTCGGTCGGTCTGTTGGTCGGTCGGTCGGTGCGGTCGATCGATCGGCTGGCACGAGCTTGCACAAGCACGAGCGCGCAAGCAAGCGGGAGAGCAAGCAGGAGAGCAAGAGGCGCGAACAAGCACTTAAGGCAGGGCTGACTGGCTGGCTGGCTGGCTGGCGCGCGCGCTGCGGTGTCGCGTGTGTGGACAATAGGCGCGGGTTCGGAGCTTTTGTGCTGCTGCTTGTATGCTTGATTTGACGTGGGTGTGTTTTTTTCTGATCAGGATGGGCTTGTTAGGCTGACAAGTCGATAGCTGAATCATTCGTGTTGGTTGCACTCAGCGGCGCGCGCAATCTTTGGGTCCTGTGGGCGTGTGCGCAGAGATTTAGCGTGGTGTTGATTTAAGAGCCTTTCATCCCCCCATTACTTTGGGGCTTCTGGTAAGGCTTTGACTTCAAGTTGGCCGTTGGCTTTAGCAGATATAGAGACACTCGGAATGAAATAAGTAGAACAAATCCAAGAAAACAAACTATATTGATGTATGGAGAAGAAGAGATTTCCTGACTGGGCCAACGAAGCTGTAATTTGTACCTGCACTGAGTGCTGATCGCCCCTTCCATCAGATACTGATACAAAATGAACACCCCAGATATTCTTGTAGCTGACAAGTCACCTTGAGCTATTTCTTGAAAACTTGGTTGGATTTTTAGGCAATCGCAAGCTGTGAGGATATTAAATATATGCTGTCATATTACTTCTGCGTCTTTTGAACTGATGAAAATGAAAAGCTCAAAGTCTCTTGCTAAATGCACACGAGGCGTGCATATTCTCCTCTTATGGCTCAATCTACTTCGTGTTTTGGTCTGTATGACCAGAGGCTGCGCTAATATCAAGCTTGCCAATCCGGCTGTTATCAAATGATCCGTCCGGTTCGACTATCACACAGGCGTCTTACTAGAACTAAAGGTCAATTTCATTCTGACGTTATGCTCGAAACGTCACTGATGGATGAATAACTCTCTAGAACGTGACAGATCCATCTTGTGCTTTGCCTACGGAAGTGTTATATATCACCACTTCACCGGCAGGCACCAAGAAAAGGTCGTATTGTGGAGACTGAATGACTGACTGCCTGCTTGCTATTCTTCCAATGGCATTCAAGAAGTCTTCAAGGTAGCTCTACATCTGTTGTGCGACAGCTCAATGCAGTGAGGTATTCTGTAATGGGTATCGTAAATCCGTGTCTGTGATAAATTTTTGCTACTGAGGTCCTCTGTAGGGGTCTTGGATGTCATTCTCATCATGGTATCATGTATACAAACTAGATACTAGAAATTTTGTAGGCTAAAATATTGCTTGCGCGAAATTTTGGGCTGCATATTTTGTCGACCTTGAGAATTGATTACCAGTTGTCAATTTGACAGCGAGGTTTGTTTCCTGGCCCACTGTTGGCAATCACTGTATTGGCTAATCTAACATGCAGTAAGGGTTGTCAAACAAGTATTCCACGACATTACAAAACGAATAATCTGTGGCGGAGGAGATATCAATTGGAAACTGGAAGAATGACACTCGCGATATATAATTCCTCACGGCCTCTAGCATGTCCTACTATATAACTAAAATGTAACCTTGGAGAATGCCATACTTCGATGCGACCCCTCTCGGAGCAAAACATTGAGTTTGCTATCATATGACTGGTAGATTGACTGGCACAAGTTCGTCTTTGCTGACATACATAGAGTTGCACTGAACTGTCAGCTGTCAAATCCCATTCCTCCAATGGCACGATTGCCGCGTCAATACCCAAACAACATTTCAACAATGTCAAACACAAACACCAGAATCGTCCTAACATTATGGACCTGCGAGACTGATCTCGTTTCCAGAACAATATGCAAGTGACTACCGCCACATCAGTATGCAGTCTTGATAGAATCCGGCAAGCCATTCATCGAGGGACACGTCTTGGCGGATTTCCTGACCTCAGCCTTCTCTATTGAAAACCCAGGCCTACACGCGTGTGTCTAGTCTCACGTCGAGTGAAGAAGGGGGGGGGGGGGGGGTTGTTGAATTTGCAATCACTTTGACGGGATTTGAGAGAACACCTATGCGTAGACCAGCGAAGAAAAGGAAACCAAAAACATATATAATCGTATCATTATCCGGCATATATCGTTTCTTGTAAGCGAGTATACATCATTTACTCACCAGATTTCCAATTACAAAAGTTTCATTGGCTTGTTATTCAGCATTGGCCTTTGGAATTTCGCCATGAACAGGGTTGGCCTCAGATGCAGTCGTCTCGGCCCCTAGCCTTTCTTGTCCATCGACAATGGCTTTATCTGCCTCTCTAGCAGCATCTAGAGCCTCATCATCAGTAGTACCAGCAGCTGCCAAGATGGCATTCGCCTCAGCCTGGTGAGCCATGACTGGACAGCCGGCAGCAGCGGCAGCGGCCGCCATCTCCTTTTTCACGACACCTTCCGGTGCAACCTGCCGAAACATCTCGACCGGGTCGAACCAAGTCTCGAGCTTGGTGATTTGGAACTTGGGGCTCAAGTGCGCCACGGTGACGCCCTGGATATCAATAGGTCCGCCATGAGCTTTGGCTGTGACCTTTTCTCCGTCGCTGTCAACGAATCACATCAGCAAACGTGGCCGGTCATTACTTTGGCTGTAACACGACATCTTGAAGGCTTACTGGTTCCAGCCGACATAGTCCTCCTTCATGACTCCCCAGTGTCTCCATCGGAACGCCACAACGGGTGGTCCGCTGTAGACCTCGAGGACCTCCCAGGCAAACGTGGGCATCATTCGTTTGAACGTCTTGTGGCTCGAAGCAAAGTCCGAGTGACGGGGACTGTAGTACTCGTTGGGCGCGATGACAGCGTTGTACGTCCCAATTTTGACCATGGACTCGGCCGACTGCGCAGGCCCGCCGTTGATGGCAAACGTGTACGTCTCGGGATCCACGGTCCTCCAGTCAGAGACGGCAGTCTTGAAGGAGGCTTCGATCTCCCAGTTCTTGACTAGATTCTGGACGAGATCCTCAAGAGACCCGGGTGCATGAGACTGTTGTTTCGCTGTAAAATACGACATTAGCACAACATATATCATAGATCATCTTTGTAACAGTGTCTTTGATAACATTAGGTAGGCTTCAACTTACTCTCGGTAAATACTTTCCGGGTGTTGGTATAATCCGGAGGCTTGCCGAAGCGCCATGCTGCTTGGGAATCTCCAAGGACAGCATTCTGATCCGTCATGTAGTCGGGTAGAACAGGTGCCTCGGAAGGCGGCGGTGGCGCTTCTGCTGATGCCATCTTTACCAATAAAGGAAACCTTACTTTGCAACTTGTGTCTTCCTTTCAGAACGTGAAGAGTTCAGTGCCCAAAGAGAGGAGAGAGGTAGATGAGTTCAACGGGATGTTGGGGCCAATAAATAATTCAAGCGCGCTTCCCTCTCAGGGCTCAGGGGCAGGTATAGTGTCAAGGGTTTTAAAAAAGCAATATCGCATGTAGTGATCATGACACTCGTTCTTGTCCTGCCTTTGTCCTACCTATCAGGGCGGTATCTGTCAGCCGGATAAATCAACCTCTACCATTCTAGAGCTATTCCCACCACTGGTGGCAGATACAAAGGTAGTGGGGTGGTATTTTGTCAAAGCTTACATGCAGATGTTGCTGGCAAAAGTCATATCATGGCAAACCACCAGGTTGATATCATATCATGGTGTAGAATGCCCATTGGAGAAGCATGGGAAAATACCAACCAGCCGGTCTAGCTGTCGTGGACTCTGTCAAGCCAGAAACACGGCATCTTTGCAAAATCTCAGTGGCACTGGCTGGGTCGGCACTTAGGGGGGCGTGCGACTCTTGTTGCTGGGAGCCTGAGACATGACAATAAGGTACCACCACGGCACGATGTCGATAGAGTTCAAAGCAAGGGTCCGGGAGTTGTGGGCGAATTCCCACACACTTGGTGATTGGATCCCGTTTCCCATTACTTGACACAGAGGTGCGGCCTAGATGCGGCTTTTGGTGGTAGATTTGACTCCTCATTGTGATGCGTGGTTTTCCCCCCTCATGTATCTACCTACATAACTCGTACGGGATCTGATCTAGGTATGAGGCAGCCGATGGTTGTGGTGGACGAGTCGCACAGATCCCGCGAGCGAAATTTTACTTTATCTGGTCGCACAACCACGTGTGCAGCACCCACGAGGATCACCAAAGTATATCTCATTGCTTTCTCGCATCTAGCAGCTCAGTCCGGGCCGTCCGAGGACGATGGGCATGGAGCGAGTAAAGAATGATTGGATCTGGCAGGCTGGGCAGGGAAGAGGCATTCAAGGGCATTCTTTCCTTTGAGAGTACTTTTGGGTATCTATTGGTCCAAGGAGTAGATTAAGCTTTCAGACCATTAACACGAGGCTTGAGACATGCGGGTGGTCTTTCAGCCTCCCCCAAGATGGCCCAATGGGAGGGCACTGAGCGGCAGGAGCGGGTCGTGAAGTTTGTTTTCTTCTTCAACATGATGGATCATTGACGGTGGGTACAGTTCGTTAGCCATCATCGTGGCGTCAGTTTCCCGCGCGACTCAATATATTTCTCGCGTGGTAGAAGGTTGAGAGGCGTTGTCGATTTGAGCTGGCAGTTGGCAATGATGTGCATGTTGGGGTGAGCAAGCGTCCCACCCGTAGGCCTGGAGTAATATAGTCTGCGTGGTCATATAGTGCTTGTATGCAAGTCGGTATAGTATTACGAAAATCAACCACTAAATATCAAACTGGTATGATGCGAGCGATGTGTCGTATCTTGTGAGATTGGGTAGGGAAAATTCTTTCATCTCAACAAAAATTGTTTTTTTTTCTTCTTCTTTCCCCGTGCTGTGGTGTTTTCCCCCTTTCTCTCTACCCAAACCTTTGAAGAGAGTCATCAGTCATTCTGATGCTCCGATCGGACGGTCGATAATGTACTCATAGATTTTGTTCGACAGGATGGCGGAGAAGAAAAAGATAAGAAAAAGCTGCCCAGGCTGCTGGGGGTTGGTTGATCGACTCATCGCACACACGGAGTCCTAACCTATCCGTACCAACTAACCCACGTACCTAGCAGTGGTGTCCGTAACAGCAAAACGGTAAACGGGATCAGAAAACCGGCCTTTGACCTTCACACTTTGCTTACCCCATTCTATCTACGAATGATGTGACGTGAATTTCCACCTAGAGCGATCACGTCATTTTTCTAGTCCCAATATCGCCCTTCTGACGGTTTTATGTGGGTACTTGGTCTTGCGGGCGAGAATGGCTGCGGCGCGCAAGTAACGGCTTAACAGGCACCGGCTACCCCAGGTTTGCACGGCACAGCGGATATCGGAGAAGGTGGGAAGCTGCCAGGGACCGTACCTATCGCTGCTTGCTAGATCCAAAAGCTCGCATGATTGCCTTAGAATTTATGATTTCTATTGAAACATTTTCTCCCTCGTCCCAATCCTCCCTCCCAATCACATATTTCAAAAATACGAAAAAGCCAATTCTCCTGTACGGGCTATAACCGGGCGCTGCTTGTATCACTCTACAACCTCCAATTGACGGCCACCTTTTTAACCGGTCTCATTACTATCATCAGCCTGTAATAGTAGTAGTCCGAACTCGGCAACCGGCCGTCTGTCACCGAACCCCACGAAACTGTGCTGGCCGCAGTGGCTGACAAGCAAGTCCCATCACATTCGGAAGCTTATTGTATTCACCACGCACATTACCACGAGTCGCAGTAACGACTAGCAAACATGTCCGACACACCATCAAACAACAACGGCGGCTCCTCGTCCTCCAGCAACGACGGCACAAAGCCTGTCAACAAGGCAGTTGCCAAGGTCGATCTAGACGGCCACAACCTGCCTCCGTCGCCCGCTCCTTCGAGCCCTTCCGCCGGCCGCCGACGATACGCCCTTGCCACAGAGTTGGTCTATACCGAGACCAAAGACCAGTATGGCGCCTCGAGCATCCCCATCTACCAGTCCGCCACTTTCAAGCAGACATCTGCTGGCGGTGGCGAGGAGTATGACTACACACGATCTGGCAACCCCACGCGCACACACCTCGAGCGACATATGGCCAAGATCATGAATGCTACACGGGCTCTGGCAGTCGGCTCGGGAATGGGCGCTCTTGATGTCATTACCCGACTGTTGCGACCAGGAGACGAAGTCATCACTGGAGATGACTTGTATGGAGGCACCAACCGTCTGCTGACGTACCTTGCCACCAACCAAGGCATTGTTGTTCACCACGTCGATACGACCACCGTCAAGAAGGTCGAGGATGTGATTTCCGACAAGACAGCCATGGTCCTTCTCGAGACACCGACCAACCCTCTGATCAAGATTGTCGATATTACTTCCATTGCAAAGGCCGTACACGAAGCCAACCCCAAGGCTCTTGTGATTGTGGACAACACCATGCTCTCGCCCATGCTTTGCAACCCCCTGGAGCTTGGAGCAGACATTGTTTACGAGTCGGGCACCAAGTATCTGTCTGGTCATCACGATATCATGGCTGGTATTATTGCTTGCAATGACCCGGCCCTGGGCGACAAAATGTACTTTACTATCAACTCGACTGGCTGTGGTCTCTCTCCCAATGACTCATTCCTTTTGATGAGGGGAGTCAAGACGCTCGCAATCCGTATGGAGAAGCAGCAAGCCAATGCACAGGCAATTGCAGAGTTCCTCGAGTCGCACGGCTTCAAGGTGCGGTATCCTGGCCTCAAGTCTCACCCACAGTATGATCTCCATTGGTCTCTGGCACGCGGAGCTGGCGCTGTCCTCTCCTTTGAGACTGGTGATATCAAACTCTCGGAAAGGATTGTCGAGGCCGCCAAGATCTTTGGAATCAGTGTCAGCTTCGGCTGTGTCAACAGTCTGATCAGCATGCCCTGCAGAATGAGCCATGCAAGCATTGATCCCAAGACAAGAGCCGAGAGACAAATGCCCGAGGACATTATCAGACTTTGCGTTGGAATTGAGGACGTGAACGATCTCATTGACGACCTGTCGCGCTCGGTACGTAACCACATCCAATCTGCCCCATGGCGTTTTACTAACACGCAACGCAGCTCGTGCAAGCCGGAGCCGTCACAATCACACTCGACGGATTTCAAGCTACTGAAGCCGTCCAGACTGGAGGAGCACCGGCATCTTGAAGCCCATGTCCTGTCTGCAAAGACTCGCATACATGTCAAACCTATGCAATGCACGCAAGCCGCACCGTTAGAAGTGGACCTTGATGGCAGCATTGAATTGCACAGCGTCAAGGAGAGCATGATGGAAAATCAATATATTGAGAAAGCCCAAGACGCATAAAAGTCAATGTGCCTAACACCTCCCTGCAGACTGCCACTGATAGCAGTCGGCAGCCAAACTAATTACAGTGGAAAATACAAGACAACTCTGCCGCGAGACTCTCCGTGACCACTAGCAGACGTACTTAGTTCCTGCGCAGCGTCAGTCTCATGATTCTGGAAAGAAAAACTACGTTGCGTCTCCTTACCTCATGGCAGCCTGTGCCAGTCGCTCACTTATGGAGACATCCGTTGATCTGCTATTCATCCAATTGTCCAGCATTGGCGACCTTTGCGGTGACGATTGCGCCGCAGTCACGGAGTTTGTCGAGGCAGGTGGCGAGGTAACCTGCAGACCGCCGCTGTGCACTCCATCTTGCAGGCTGACATGGGCAGGCTTAGATGATGACCCGTGTGTCGTGTTAGAGTTGCTGTGAACACTATGCGGCATGGTGAACAAGTGGATGGATATCGATCTAGAGGAATAAAAAGGGTACCAGAGTTTTCAATAAAAGCGAAAAGACCAACGACTATGCTTTGAATTTTTATTTTTGCAAGGCGCGGGGTGAAAAAATCTGGGAGCGTGCTGCCATCAGAGAAACAAATATCGTCGCAATGCATCCTTTTGTACTTTGGGATGGGAACACCCACGACACACGGATTGCTTATTATCGTCACCGGTGTTATCCAACATGCGCCTTCGACCCGACCATGAGGTATTGCAACGTGTACAGCGATCCGAGAGAGGACGGCAGAATATACGGCATCGTCGGATTGGCCTCTTGGAGCAAGGGCCTTAGCTTTCTGCAAGCCGAGCGAGCCAGCAGCGTCTATTGTCACGATGGTCGGCAGCCAGGGGCGGTACGACGTCGCCAGCTCGGAGACGATCGAGGAGGAGAATGCCCACCCCAAACCTCCAAACCCCCAAAAGAATGTCGGCCCAAAAACTCCCTTGCGGTCTTCTGTGCTGTACAGAGCCGTGTTACCACGTGCTTGTCGATCTGTTTGCCCCCAAAGAGTCGCCATGATGGCCAGCATTACACTGGACTGTACGAGCGAGGATATTGCCCAGGGGCACGCCAATATCTGGTTGACCAATGTAAGTATTGGTTTGGGTGAGACAAGAAAAACCTGCCGGAGATGGGGGAAATAGTCGACCAAGATCGTGAGTACTAACCGCGCCGCTCATTTTTGGTGTATTGACAACTAACTCCCTCTGTGGTTGGTCAGTTGGGGCAGTCGGACCATGTAGGCATGTCAGCCCTCGACTCTATGACCCCAGACTCGTTTGTGCGCTCGATCGTCGGCACGGTCAAGCAACCTTGCATAAACACCGCCAGAGAACAGAAGGAAAGAAAAGAAATCCGCCAAAGATACCGCATTTCCCTTTGAACAGCTACTACATTCGCCATGTGTTTCCGTTTAATTTGCGGCGCATCGACCGGTGAAGATGAAAGAAGAGGACGACACAGCACATCTTTTAAAGCAAGGACTATTCTCCATCAACCGTGGTGTGTGAAGCTCGGGCGGCATGTTCTCGAAGACAATCAATGAATGCTACCCCAGGAATCCGGGGTCAAGAGTGTTGTCGCACAAGCTTGATAGCACTGATAACAGCGCTAGAAGATGAATTTTTGTTTTTTCGCATCTTTCCCCTACGCCATTCTCTTCTCTGTCTGCCTGGAGCTGCACAGTTCCGTCCGCTTTCATCTCGTCTATTTCCCATTTATTTTCATGTCTGTTCCCACTCAGGCATCTGGTCATCAGCGTAAAAGCAGAAAACCGTCTTGACGGCAAGACAGATTGGCTACAACAAGCGAATGACACAAGATACCGACCGCATATCCCGGCAAACCATTGGATGGCCTTATCTCGTAGGTCGAGTTCTGTCAACTTCACAAATGCCCCGATGCTGCTCGCCTCATTCCTTGTTGGTTGCCATTGGTCTAGCAATCTATCTCATCTGATTCGACCTAACGATTTCCACACAGCTAAAGAAAAGACCTGGCCTTGGCGGATATGCATGAAGCCCAATGGCGGAAGCGGTGAGGAATTAGTCCTGATCGTCGGGCGACGAGAAGCAAGTCTCCTCGCATGTCGTCCAGCACACCGAGGGCAATTCTAAACATCATGTCAAGAAGCAAACACCTCTGCTGCTGCCAAAGAAAGAGCGAAGAGCGAGAGGCGAGATGGGCAGTGGCTCAAACCCTCTTCCCCCCACGCTGCCGTCCGCTTTGGCGCGAGCGACTTTTGTCCTTGCTCATGCCGCTAGCCATGGAGCATGTCACTCCATCATCACATCAGCAACCCTCGAGCCAACACGCAAAAGAAATATGACATATCGGATTTTTTGAGTCATTTATGCTCCATAACCGTACTGGCCAAAAGGGGGGTCGCTGAAGGGCTCTTGCAGAACGACCGGTAGACGTTATTTTTGAGCATGGAATTGACAGGTCTGTCGCCGCGAATGTGAGAGCTGGTATCGCCTCAGCCTGGCGGACTATAGAGGGCTATGGTGATTTAAGAAGATCACGAACCGTACTCTCTCGAAGCCCGGTCTCCCACCACCTTCAATCGAAAGCAATCGTGGCCTCGCACAAGTCGAACCTCATGGTCCCAACCGTTGCGGTGGTGCTCAGCAGCTTGGACATGATGATTATGGCAACTAAGCAATGCTGTCAACTTCTCAGCCTTATGCACAAGTACAACAGTTGATCTTGTCATCATGTCGTCAAAGTTTACATCTTGACTTTTGGAACTGCCAGGGTACTTTTCATCCAGGATGAGGATCAGGTAATACCTTGACCCCTCAAAACTTCTCTCTATGGCTGATCAGCAAATGGCCATGCAAGTGTCCGTTGCGCACGATTCAAAGCAAACCCGACGCAACGTTGTCATAAATGCCACTGCTGTCTTATCGATGGCAGGCTCAACACTACGCGAGATTCAGACAACGGGTCCACAGAAAGCAGAAACATAAACCAAAAGGGAGACTTCTCTCGTGGGATTCACAGATCCTGCACTTTCCCGGTCTCTTGTAACGGTCCGTCCGACTAGTATCTCTTGGGTTAATGATGCTTAATGCTTGTGACCCCAAGTCGAATCCATCGTTACCTTGCCCAGAAGGATCAGTCTTTCGGTGAAGGCGTGCCCAGCAAGGTCTGCGGGTTTCCGCTTCACTAAGCAAAGTCTTTTCTTTTTGGTTAGCCACGGATACCCCTTTGTTACCGAACTTGCACAAACAAATGGCTATCACCGGTCGACTCGAGATGATCGATTTACGCGTATTCTTTCCTCAGATTTGATTTCCTGCTCTGAGGGAAAAAGACGATGAGGCTCCTTGACCAAGACGGTTTCCGAAAATAGCCCGAGTTCCCGCATCAGTAAATCGACTGGAGAAGGAAGACTTCTCCGCAAAAAGGAGATCGCCATGGGATTCGTACTCGCTTGGACCATGTGGTGCCCGACAACGTGGCAAACAAGCCCGGTACATTTCGCCATGCGATCGAGGACTACGTTGTTTTTGCTACGCCTACCCTGATTTGTCAAAATGGCCGGGCCGACCTATGTCCAAGGCTAGGGAATCCCGTGGCCAGTACTTGCGGCTCGAGAGTCGCAAGGAAGTGGCAGATATCGGGAGGGGCTTCTTTTGGAGGGAGACATGCTCCTGCTCGAAGATCCCCCGGTCCGGGTCAGAGGCTACTGGCATTGGGTTTCAAACATGCTTGATTTCTTATCACTTACCCATGTTCGGTTGGATGATCTGTGTCTGTTGCGAGTGGCGCGTCAATACAGCGGGATAGGGTTGGTACATTTCCTGTCACTGGCTGGCTAGAATACGACGTCAGTCCACTTCTGATGACCACGTCCAGCTAGGGCCTTGTAAACGTAGTGAGTGAACAGATATGGTCAGTTATGGTGAAGCCGGTCAGAGAAGCAAGACGTATCAGTGTAACCTCGATATTGTGAGGACCAAGCTTGACTCTTGATGCGTTGGACTCAGGAAAATTCCAACTATTGCATGCAGCAACGATGTGCCAAAGTCTCAAAAGCATGCGTTGCCTTGCAAGTGAGGGACAGCGCCTACGGATAACTGATTTCAGGAGAATTCAATACATTCAATCAATCAATTTCAAATATGGCAATGATAAACTCCTCTGGCCTTGAACCTCAAGCCTGAATTCGTGCCACCCAAGTGCCCACAACCTGAAATTTTTGAGAAGTCTTGCAATGGCCAAGTTACGAAATTATGGAAGTTTTCACTGGTATGCTCAAAGAGACAGTACAAACACTACATAGTTCTTTATAAAGTGATAAGGCCGAACGATAATATGCAGATGCCTTGGGGCTTCATGGAGTCAACCATTGGCATTCTTTTTTTGAATCTGATTGGAAATATTGTATTTCTAGCAGAGCTAGACTTGAAATCATGGTATCTTCGCAGCCCGGGGAGCCATTCCCGCCCTTTCCGGCCTGAACGCCTTTTCAACAATGTCTAGCCAATGTCTCGTCTCAGTCACCATGTTGATGACCTGGCTTTGATTTGATCCGCGCCCAGCGATCTGGCTCAGGCCACAAGGTCCTCCTCGTGCCTCAACCCATAATACTCAGTGCCCTGGTTTGCCGTCGCCAATCTGGCGCACAAGCTCAGGAGAACCACGGTTTCCGTGGCGGCATAATGGTTCAACGCGTCAAGTAATATCTGCAGGTGTCTACTAAAGTTGACTTCCCATTTCTTGATGATCTCAAAGAGATTGTTGATCCTGGCGTCCTCGTCGTGTAGCGTACTATTGGCTATGCTGTCATTATGACTGGATGACTTCTGCGATTTGACTTGTTGGAATCGCTTCCACTGCTCTTCGCTCATATTCGGCGGTCTAGTAGTGCCTGATAGATCTGGGTCTGCCTTTTCAAGTTCCCGGGCAAGCCAGTTGGTGTACGTGGCGAAGACGGTACAGGTTTGCATAAGTTTGGAGTGAATCTGTGACAACAGTCAGCATATATCTGGAAAAAAAAAAAAAAGCCATGGCACATGGCGGTTCATACTCTGATGAGCTTGCCATTAGTAAGCATGCATCCCTTGAGGCAAGTATTCAGAAAGTCAATGTGGTCCTGCATCAACTCGTCCACCGTGCGATCAGGCTGGCCAGAGCCATCGAGACTGCCATCCTTGGCTTTCAGTCTCGACATGAGGGATTGCCAGTTGGGCTCAATCACCTCGAGTGTGCAAAAATAGAGCAATTGTTGTACAAAGACAATCATGCGTGCTCGCAGGGTCCAGACACGACGTTTCCATATCTCCAGATTTCTCGATGAGGACTTGTGACACCAAGCAATGCCGCTATTATGGCTCTGCCATGTGACAGAGAGTTGAGACTCCAGATGACGCAGTGAAAGAAGGTATCTGAAAAGTGCCTGGTATCGCCATATCGTCTGCCGGCTAATGACCAGAGATATCGGGAACGGTACAGTATAATTGAGTTGAAGAGCAGTGAAGCCGTTGGCGTTCTTGTCGTTCTCAACAGGCTGGTTACTCAAGGGCTGAAGGGCCTCGCCTTGTTCCATTCCGGTGATGTTAACGACCCTCTGCAACATTTTGATTAGGCTGACCTCATTCATTTCTATGTATACATCTTCTTTGAATGCGTCCATCGACACAATGGTACCCGGTTGGCGCAGGACAATGTCGAGGAGGGACTGTAGTTTGACCGTATTGACCGACTTTACGGGTTTTCGCAACTCGGATGCTCCTAGTTCTAGGAAGTAGGTAAAGTAATCTGATGGGTCGAGGAAGAAATAGTGCTTTAGAGACCGTAAACGGTCTGGGAGGGAGTGCGTTGTAAGCAGAAGCTTCATGAGTGATTCGTTTGCATAGGCATAGGCGTTGTTGACATTATCCAGGAATCGGGGGTCGTCAAAGGTGAGCGGAAGGTCTTGAGCGACTTTACTAACGTCCACTCCACCACACTCGCGCACCACATTGAGATACTTGCCGGCAAGAAGTACCTTGTCCTTGACGTCCAGGAGTTGTGGGGGAATGTCATGCTCCCGGAGTGTATACCTACGCTCCCAGTAGTCATCGGTGTAATCCTTGTCTAGAATTTCGCGTTTGATGCTCTTTTGCTCCTTGATGAGAAACTCGGAGTGTGGATCGTTGATACCACCTCGATGGAGCCACTCGTTCAACATAGCCATGTATGGCCGGGTGGCATCGCGCAGCAAGGAAGTGAGCAACGATCTGGCTGCCGGATCACCAGACATGGTCTCCAATCGTTTCGTAACCAAGCCAATCACGACGCCTCCTTTGCACACCTTCTTTCCGGTCATTCCTGGGACAATGTCGCCACCCTTTCGAAGATTCTCCAGGATCTGTCCTATATCATCTGGATCAGACTCTTCTTCGCTCTCTTCGTCCAACAAGGCATTGCGCTTCAAGAATTCATGGGCCAACGAGTAGAGTTGTGACATGATTTGACTCGTTGGTAGTGTGTGGATATTGAGTACATGCAATGTAAAAGTGTCATTGGTGAGAAATTGTGTTTCGAGCTGCGCAACCATGACAAGGTATTCTTGCAGGAGCTTCCGTATCGCTGCACAGAGAGCATGATTGACTGCACCAAACTCCTCTCGGCTTTGAACGTCCACGAAATACTCCAAAGCCGAGTACTGTGAGGCCATTTTCAACATGCCCTGGGTCAGATCTTCCAGACTTGGATCCAGGCCGGGCAATATCTTGTAAGACGGTCCAGTGAGCTGGTCTCGTTCCTCGTTCGGCTTGTAGGCATAGGAGAAACGTATGTACTGCCCTTCGTAGCCCATGAAGACAAACAGCAGATCCTCGATGATGGCGGCCTCCTGAGCCTCCAAGGACATTTCGTGAAGAGGTTGCGGTTGCAAGGCGGCGGGCATATCCGAAGCCAAGGGTGGATTCAATATACGGTTTGCTAGGGGCGCCGATGTGTGTGGCGCCAACGAAGCAACGGGATCCCATGGTTTTGAGGGAGACTCAAACGAGGCCTCTTTCTGCTTGCCCTCGGCCGTCCGGGGCCGGACAGACTCTTTCGGCCTCCATTTGTCTTGGGGCCCGCTATCCTTTGCAACACGCCGCTCGGGGCTCTTTGTGCGTGCTATCAGCTTCTCCCTGGTCGTCACCGTCACCTTTTCAGTTCTACGCTCGTCGGTTGTAGTGGCAGCCCTGCTCCGCGACCGCGAGGTTCCTGAAGCACTTCGCTTGTGCGCCGTTTGCGCCGTACTCGTGGCATTACTACTGTATCCGGACTGAGGCGAGTCGATGCTTCGTGAGCCGTGGAATTCCCCCTTGTTGTTGAAGCTGTGCCCAGATGTCATGCGGGGCTTGGAACCGGCAGCAGCGTCCGTAGCATTATCGGCGGTCCCATTGGTGCGTCTCTCTGTGTTGTTAAAGAGCCTGGACGACATGGCGATGGTGCGGCGACATTGGAAATGTGTCTAGCCGGGGCGAGATGAGCTGTCGTCGCGCCGGAAGCATAAGAGTTGGCCGAGTTGTTATTTTCTTGTTTTGTCGCTCTTTTTTTCTTCTTTGCCAGCAATTGGGCCGCAAACCAGTCGCAAATGCACCTGCATGTGAGGCGCGTCGAAGTGGGTGGGTGAGTCGCGTCTTGGTCTGAAGGGGGGTCGGCCCCCCCAAGATGGCGCTGAAAGCAATCAAAGTTTAGGTATCGTAGCTGCCCATGTCAATTCTCAAGCCCGCTAGAACTTCGGTGGTGTTAGCGCATGACGGCCCTGAGGCAGTCAAGACCTGTCCCAGCTCTGGATTACGTAGTAGTACTTGTTACTTACTTGGGTACCTAACCCGTAAGCTTGGCGGGCAATCAATGGTCCATGCTCCAATCAGTGCTCCAGGTGCCTGACAACGCCGCAACGAAGAGCTTCGTCAACGCTGCAGCAGCCTTGAGCTTGTGGTAGTAGTTGTACGTACCATCATAGGTAGCTCCCCCAAAACATCCAGCCTTCAGCCTTCCAGTCATTCAACTCTTGGGGACGAGAACAAACACAATCACAACCCAAACACACACACACGCTCACGTTTCTCAGCTTCTTTCTCAATCTTCATAACACAAAGTCAACTACTCGAGAGTTACATACTCTTCACAACACCGCAAAGATGTTTATGGCAAGATCGGAATATGGTACGTTGCCCGCCCGCCTCACTGGCAAGCTACAAGACAGTAGTAGTATGTTATGTGTATAGGTGGCTAACCACACAAGACAAACAGATCGGGGTATCAAGTACGTTCGCATGATTTCCGGACCACCTGGCCTCTGCCGTCCGAGATGATATATAACTGACCGAACCCTTGCAGCACCTTCTCCCCCGAAGGCCGTCTCTTCCAGGTCGAATACAGTCTCGAGGCCATCAAGCTGGGCTCGACAGCCATCGGCGTCGCCACGTCCGAGGGTGTCGTGCTGGGCGTTGAGAAGCGCGTGACGTCGACGCTGCTGGAGACGTCGTCGGTCGAAAAGATTGTCGAGATTGACCGCCACATTGGCTGCGCCATGTCGGGCCTGCAGGCCGACGCCCGCAGCATGGTTGAGCACGCCCGCGTCGAGTCCCAGTCCCACGCCTTCAACTTCAACGAGCCCCTGCGCGTCGAGAGCTGTACCCAGGCCATTTGCGACCTGGCCCTCCGCTTTGGCGAGAGTGCCGACGGCGAGGAGAGCATCATGAGTCGGCCCTTTGGTGTCGCCCTGCTCATTGCCGGCTACGACGAGGACGGTCCCCAGCTCTACCACGCCGAGCCCAGCGGTACCTTTTACCGGTACGACGCAAAGGCCATTGGCAGTGGAAGCGAGGGTGCCCAAGCAGAGTTGCAGAACGAGTACCACAAGGTGAGTAGCAGCCGACTATACTGCGCCGTGGCCCTTTTGTCCTGGAGCAGCATGACTAATCAAATAACCATAGTCCCTCACCATCACAGACGCCGAGACGCTGGTTCTCAAGACGTTGAAGCAAGTCATGGAGGAGAAGCTAGACTCGAAGAACGTCCAGCTGGCAAGCGTGACAAAGGAAAAGGGATTCAGAATATACACAGATGAGGAGATGGCCGCCGTGGTCGAGAGGCTTCCTGCAAACTGATCTACTGGAGGAGGTGCATTATCATTTTCATGCCCTTGGTGTACAGGCAAGCTGGCGGGTACACCGGACGATAGAGCCACGACATAAAAATGTAAAGACCTTTTGATGCCAACTTTTGCTGGTTCAGTAAGCACGAGCCTTCATGGCTAAGAAGTCGCCAACATGATGCTTGAGGAGGAGCGAAACCGTTACAGTAGGTGGGCTAGACGTCACACCGGGCTTCTCATGGTGGTTATCAATCATGAGTTGACTTTTGTTGTTCAATTTTCAATCAGCGCCAACTTGCATATTGGTTCTACACACAGGTGAATTAATTTCATGTTGGTTATATTAAATTGCAAAATGATAACACCCCGCTCAGCTCGTCCAGATCGTCTTGTTTTGAATGGACGCGCAGCTATACATGCTTTTGTATGCACAATAAATGCGCAAGTGACGAGGGGGAGGGGGCGGAAAAATTAAGAGCAAACTCCAGTTCAGACATCACGGGAAATCTTGCGCCCATCTGCCACGTTGCCAAAAATATCAACCACCAAACTGTCTGGCCCGAGTCCCTACTGAGATATCTTGTCAAGTTGTTTCCTATCAATGGTTTACTCGTCCTTCTCCGCACTATCCAAATCGAGTTTTTCGAGGTCTTCCTGGACGCCGAGGAGTCCCATGGCATAATTTGCCTTGTCCTCCTTGGCCACAACCCACGTCTTCTCGTCACCAATCTCCTGTATCCGCTTGACCAATCTGCGAGGGGAGTGGGCGCGTCTCTTCTCGCCAGGGTTCGTCAGGCCTGGCATTTGTGCCTCTATATCAAATGTGCGCGCCCATGGCGGGCCCCGACCATTGGCGGCTGCTCGCCACCATGCGTTCTCCAGACCATTGGAAATCTCGCGCCCAGACTCCCAGCCGGTGAGACGGGTGATATCGTTGAGGTAGCGGATCAGCCATACACGCTGCTCGGTAGATTGATACTGTCGTGGTACGTCAGCAGGGATGAACTTTCAATGCAAGACTTTTGGAAAGCTCGGGGATTTATCAATGAGAGACAAGAAGCATTCGATATGAAGCAAGGGTGGAAACTATCGGGACATGGGAGAAAAAAAGACACTTACCTGGATACCAGCAACAAACAAGCAGAATGCACTTTCGATGAATGCCGCACTCACGAGTGTACTAACCTCGCTCAAGGCACCTACGTTCTCTTCCAGACCATGAGCGATTTGGGCAATTTTCAAGGCATAGCCCATGGTCTGTTGTGCGCTCATCGGCCCAGCCATCATGGCGACCGGCGGCATCTGCGGATGGGACCTGTGCAGGATGATCATTCCCATGTAATAGTTCATCCAAATGCCCGCTATGCTATACGTGCGGTAGCGAAGGGCCGGGCCAAACGGCGACATGGACATTGGGTGCAAGTCCGGTTCTAGCGGTTCAAATTCGGGGCCAAGATGGTTGCGGAATGCCTCGAATGCCCCCTGGATGCCCGCCCAGTCCTGATGGGCACTGGCAGTAAGCTGGTCGAGGTCCTGTTCCTCCGGGTTGGACCCGGGAGAGTTTGGATCGTCCCGCGGGGGACTGAAGCCCATTGGATGTTGAACCTTTTCAGAGGCCGGCATCATGCCCGGAAAAGTGCCAGGAGGCGCACCCGTCGGGCCAAATGTGCCTCTAGCCTTGAAGAAGCGTCGTTTGCGACTGAGGTCACGAGACTGGTATTCCGTCAAACGGCCCATCACCAGTATCAGGTGATCGTAAGTTCCATAGCTATAAGTTTCATGTCAATAAGAGATCCATCAGACAAGGAGATACATATATATGCCTTACATGGCATCAGAACGGCCCATGGGGGCTCTCGGTGGACATTGAGTCCAAAGATCGTAGTTCATGCTGATTTTCTTGTCAGTAACCGGGTTCAAAAGATTTTTGCACGAGACTGCAGGTACTGACAATAATCTGGTTCCTCCCAAGACGCTCTGGTAGACATCCATCTTGCAGTACCACCAGTACAGGTCGCTCAGGGTTTCGTAATGATCAAGGTCTCTCTCTGTGAGCTTGCCAGGGCTTCTGGGGTATCTGCTGTGCTCTTCCGGCACAAAACCAAATGTATCTGCGTCCAGGTTTGACCCAGTAATGGCGTTGAGCAGCGGCACATCGATGAGGTCCCAGTCGTGATAGAGCGGATCCACCTCGCCCTGCAAAGGGTCCGGTTGTTGGTCAAAGACATGGTCAAAAACGCCAAAGGTGCTGAATGGGCCCACGTCATCTCCAAGCCGTGTCTGCTGTAGTCTGGACTCCATAGCTAGCACTTTCTTCTTACGGAGTCGCCGTTTGATGTCCATGACTTTTCTGCTCATGTCCGGAAATGGGATATCCTTGATGATCCAACGACCACCGAGAAGATGCTTGCACCACTTGCCGTGATCTGAGCTCCATACCTCGTAGAATGCTAGTATAAGGATGGCTGCTAGGTTGGCCGATTGAGTCTTTTTTGAAACGAGGCCCACGTTACGAGCGATACGTCGTAGTGATAGATGGTAATGCTTGAGTGAGGCAGTAGGAGGCACGAGCTTCAACTTGGCAATCTGAAGACTCCCAATGGCTAGTATGGCCTGGAGTAGCGCTGGGTGTGTCAAAGACAAGACAGGCAGTGTATCTAGGGGACAGGTTAGAACACGAAATGTTCTCGTCGAAAGCTAATTTTCTCAAGACTTACATGTCCATATGTGTTGCCGTGTCTTGACTGGAGAACCTTGAAGGTATGTAGTCCCATCGAAGGGATATCTCTCGTACATTGATATGGCGGGTCCAGTCACGTTGACGAAATGCCAGAAGACGGCAGCGATCTGCTTATCGTTCAGAGGAGAATTAGCTGGCGATGGCTCGTAAGTTGCCAGAACGTGTTCCGCATGAACTGCAAATGTTCTTGGTTGAAATCCGGAAGAGTCGTAGCGGTCGTTCAGTCTCTGAGACACGATCGAGTTGAGTTGGATCTGACGCGTTTGGACAATCATGTCCTCGTCATCGGAATCTTCCATGTCGGTCTCATATTCGTACTCTTCCGCCTCCTTGTCCGCCCAAACGTCCTCTACAGGTTCCTGTGACATGTGTCCATCATGGGCGAGGAAGTCGTGGACAGGTTCCAGTGGAGCACCCTGTGTCTGTGAGGGCGCGACATGTTGCGGATTTTGGATAATGAAACCATCATTAGTTGGCTGATATTGCTGCAAGAGGAAGTGTGGTTCTGCAGGCGGCAAGTTGGGGAATGGCGGCTGTATCGTCGCAGGAGGTGGTTGTTGTTGCTGCTGCTGCTGCTCTTGTCTCCATTGGACTGAGTGAAACGGACCACTTGTTTTTGGAGTGAAGAACTGATATCCCGAGCCTGTAGGTAGTTGTGATCCGTTGAGACCCGCAGCCGGATTCAACGGATTCAAGGGCAGCGGGGCGCCCGGAGGAAACTGACTTGGGTATGCTGAACTGAATTGTGGTATGATTCCTGGATAATATGCAGGAGATGGAGGTTTCGGAGCAATAATCTGCAGAGACTGAGACGAAGACTTTTGTTGCGCTGCTTGCTGCTCTCTTATAAGAGCTTCGGGGGATGGCTGAGGGTAGGCGAGAGGTCCAAACGAGCCAAAAGCGCCAAGAGGATCTTTGAATATCACACGCTGGTTATACCCCTCGCAGTGCCTCTTTGATTTTATGCAATTGGCACAGGTAGGCCTCGCCTCATCACACTTGATTCGCCGCTTTCGACAAGCTGATACATAAAGAAGGTTAGACGTCTAGTCGGAGTATAAGGAGTGACAGCACGATCATGAAAAAGTATTTCTACGTACTCAAACAGCCCGTCTTTGTTCTCTTCTTGGCTTTGGCTTTGGTCGCCGCTGGGTCGTCATTGGCCTTGTCGTTATTTGGTGGGTTGTCTTCCGGTGGATTGTTGGAGGACGATGGGCCTTGTGGTGGTGATGGGGAGTCTGAGGAGTCCATCCTTCAGATATACCGAGGGCAGCTTCGTGCTGCTGCTGCCGCCGCCGCCGCCTAGCCAAAGAATTCAGACCTCACCAATGTCGTCCCGTTCAGCCGCCCTGGCCAAAGGCTTATTGCAGTTTCGGGACTTGCCAAGCCCACGTACAAGCGCACCAGGAGGGTGGGCTCTGTTGAGATGGGGAAAACTTCAACAACCTCGCTTACTGTTGGCAAATTGCTGAGGTCAGTGTAGCCACGACGCTCCCCGAGGACGGTTCAGAGCAGTGGACTGACAGACAGCGGTGTTGCGCTGCGCGCCCAGGTAAGCGCAGCGAGGCGAGACAGTGAAATAATCTCCGTGGTCGTACTATTGTACAGCTCTGGAGAGACACGACTGTTGGGTAGAAGACCGAAAAGAACAGGCAGAGCAAGATATCTGCACCCACTTGCTAGTATATTGGGTTGTCCCCCGTGTCCTTTGAAACAAATGGGTGTTACTTGACTGTGCGGAACTCCCCTCCAGCTTTCCGCTATCCGACAAGACAAGAAAGGGTAGGCCTGAGCAAGACGGCGGCTTTGCTGGGTGGTAGTATTCAAGATGTCATGTACGGCAGATAGGCGGTAGTCAAGGTAGTAGGAATGTGTGTATCTTTAGATTTCATGCAGACCGAGGGCATGGAGGTCTGAAAGATACGGCCGGATGTCCCTGGCAATGGAGCCGGGGATACGAACCCATGAAGGATTAGTCTGCTGGGCAGTTCACGGTGGGGCTTACCCAAGTCGGCAATGCGCGTAGAATTATTGCCTGTCAGGTATTGTGCCTAGGTAAATAATATAGGCATGTGTGAGTGTGTGTATGTATGAATGTTAGGATTCCGGAACGCCGGGATCAGAGAGTGCTTCAAGTGGGGAGGGAGGGAGATGGACAAGAGACGATGCTCTTGTGTCGATGCCTTCAAGGTGTAGTAGGTAGGTAGGTAGGTAGGCAAGACCGACGACTATACTGTTAGGATTTTGGTGTGAACCAAGAACGTTGAACCTCGTGGCAATTGGCGACAGAGAGGTCAGTCTAGGCTCAGCTAGGGCTGTTTCTAATGTTTTTCTTTTCTTTAATGTTTAAAAAAGGCCGATGAATGCACTGATGGATGGGAACTGCGATCACAACGGGCGGGCAGCAAGAATCCGGCAAGAGGAATCCGGATCGCCGCCGAAGGAAGTTTGGACCATAAACGGCTTGTTACTTTAGTGGCCGCCATGGATACATCCAACCACTTGGATCTGGCTACGGCATCAGCAAGGCATAGATGAAGGGCATTCCAGAGGATTCGTCCGTCCCTGATGATGCTCTTCCAACCAAGCTGCGAATACTCATGTTGGAGAAGCCACAGGGGGTTAAGGTTTGTCAGCGGGCCCAGGGGTTCGGCATCAGTTTTCAGCTTGCAAGTCAATCAATAGTATGTAAAAAAGTGAGTCATGTATATATACATTATCCACCTACTGCCCATTCTCGGTAACTTGTACACTACCTTTATTTCTCTTGCACTCTTTTTCGGGCACATGCATTCCAGAGTCATCACATTCGTACTGAACACTAGACGGGTACATGAAAAGAAACACGTTTGGTCTAGCTAGTAGCCATCAATCCCTCCCCAATTCACAGGTCGGCCACACACTGCTTTTGACGACTTATCGTACTATATAGAGTTAAGCTATCTTGCCTAGGCAGTATTGGTGCGTGGTCTGGGCTACTAGTTTGAACCATGCACGCATGCATCGGAAGCCTCTACACTACAGTAGGTACGCCGGCTCTACAATTACCGGCGCTTGTTGGATTCCTGTGATCCAGTAGCATGGCATGGCGTATATGACCTCAAGTGTTTGTTCTTGTGCTTTTAGCTTGCACTCCTCGTAAATGCCTGCTTCCAGTAAGGGAAGGGGTAAGTAAAAGAGCGGTCGCATGATCTTTGAGCAGACATCCAAGTCAATTCAACCTCCTTGATTATCTCGTTGCACAAAGTGGATTGCTCGTTGCTTCAGATGGGGTACCTGTCCGACTGAATCTCGAACTCTTGTTGGCCACCGGCAAATGTGTCGCCAGCGTGCAGGACCCGGAACCCATAACGCAGGTGATGGATGTACTTGAGCCAGACTGAGCGCTGCAAATGGGCATTGTACATATACGGTAGCATCTGATGGACAATAAATGCGTGCATCAAAATAGTAGCTGCAAACTCTCCACCCCTGTGCATTCGAGCTGAGAAATTGCTGATTTGATGCCTCGAAGGATCCGGGGCCTAGTATATCCGTGGATAGTTTCCGTAAGCTGAGGGATCTTATCATGGTTCTTAATATAAATCTCGAAGTAGGCAAGGGATCAATATGCACCAAAGGTTATGGACGTGTAATAAACCAGTCACCATACTCTTGAAAAACATCTCACTCTAGCAATTGCCATTTCCAGAACGGTGCACAATGACGACGAGACATTCATACAACCCGCCACCCATGCACATTACATTGTTGTAGGACATCTCCGGCAGCACAACAGATCTGAAGTGGGACCTGAGAGTGGATTGGGGTGCTTATAGACACATGCATACAGCTGGGAAATGTAAATCTCTTATATTTATTTTACTCTTGATGAGCTCTCTACAAAGAGTCAATAGTCCAATTTCTCAATCAGTAGCATCAGGCAACTTGCGATTGCGAAAGCAGCAGCAGCAGCAGCGGCGATATTTTCACCACAATCTCGCCCTCCCCAAGCGGCCAATATAGGTACACACTAATACCTCACCATGTTTCGTCATACTCAAGACCTTGTGTTCACAGCTACTGGTCCCGACCATTGTTAGCCCACTCTTATCGTGTCTTGACTAGACGTTCGGCCCCGACTGCTCTGCACAATACAAATGTACATCAGAATCTGGTCGGGTGGGAGTTGATAAGTAATGTCTTACCCAGTGGCCAGCTGCGTTGAAGCTGCTACAAATCGGCTGCCCGTAGCCCCCATGGCGTTTTCTTCTTCTTCTTCTTCTTCTTCTTCTTTATCTGTCTGCTTGGGCGGTCCAAGATGCCCTTCAATTTCAGTTAGATGCAGGAGGTGATCTGTCGGTCAATTCAAGAAACATGCAAAATACCGTATGCGAATCTTGTCTCTATATGTTTGCCTCATGGGATTGTTGGGCGGCTTTACTTAGAGGACGACTTACACTTGAATAGGTAGATTATTATTATATATGGCGATGGAGGGGCAACATGAAAGGGTACCTGGAACCGACCCCACATTTGCACCCGCCTCAGAGCTGCATCCCAGCACCGGTTTCCTCGAAAGCCCCACTAAAAAATTGAAAAACTGCCAGTGGTCGAATCTCATTCTCACAAGATCTTCTGGTGAATTGCAACATCACTCACATTTTCCTTATAAAACATACAGTCGACATAGTCGTGCTGTGAGAAATAACCCCTTCTCAATCGCTGGGAGTTTTCTTATCTATCTCAGCAATACCATCTCTGTCTATTATCAGAACATAGAAAAAGGGAATCATGTTCTCAGTACCAGGATGGTCCGTTTCGGCGGCCAGCCTGCAGACGGAGGGTGCCAAGGACGTCAAGGGAAATACAGACAAGCCGGCGGACAAGGCGGGCCCCAACAAGAGGAAGAGGCAGTCTGGACCCTCCAACGTCAACCCGGCCAACGTTGCGGATCTATGGGAGAGTGTCATTGAGGGCAAGTCGGGAAAGAAGGCCAAGCTGGACGAAGCTGGTGGCGCCCCAACCCTTTCCAGAAAGGAGAAGAAACGGGCCAACAAGGAGGCGGCTCTAGCCAAGCAGGCCGAGAATGGAGGTGACGCAGCCGTCATCCAGGGTGCCGCAGCAAAGGCTGGCGGCAAGAGTTCGGTCAAGGACGATGTTGCCGTACCTGATCCTACCTCGAAAGAATCTGGAAAGGAGAGCAAGAAGGACAAGAAGAAGAAGCAAAAGAAATCCAAGGGTGAAGAGGCCGAGGATGACAAACAGCCAGAATCCCCAGAGACGAAAAAGGACGTCAACAAGGCGGCACCAGTCACGGCGCCTGCACCATTGCCCAAGCTCACACCACTCCAGGCCTCCATGCGGGAGAAGTTGATATCGGCACGATTCCGCCATCTCAATGAGACGCTGTACACGCGGCCGTCAGCCGAGGCGTTCGGTCTGTTCGAGGAGTCCCCCGAAATGTTTCAAGAGTACCACGAGGGCTTCCGGCGCCAGGTCAACGTCTGGCCCGAGAACCCGGTCGACGGGTACATTGCCGACATCAAGGCCCGGGGCCGGCAGCGACAGGCACCCAAGGACGGCGGCAAAAGTGGCAGAGCTGGACCCGTGGCTCCTCTGCTGAGGACCAACGGCACCTGCACCATTGCGGATCTGGGCTGCGGCGACGCCAAACTGGCCGAGACGCTCCAGGCCGACCGCAAAAAGCTCAACCTGCGGGTCCTGTCCTACGACCTGCAGAGCCCGAGCCCCCTCGTCACCCGCGCCGACATTGCCAACCTGCCGCTCGAGGACGGTAGCGTCAATGTGGTCATCTTTTGTCTTGCCCTCATGGGCACCAATTGGCCCGCCTTCATCGAGGAGGCCTACCGCATCCTGCACTGGAAGGGCGAGCTCTGGATCGCCGAGATCAAGTCGCGCTTTGCCGCACCCGCCGCCAAAAAGGGCAAACCCGTCACTCACAGCGTCGGCAACCGAAAGAAGCAGCAACAAGGCAAGAAGGGAGGCAAGGGTGACGCCGAGGACCAGGGAGCCAACGAGGAGGCATTGGCCGTCGAGGTCGACGGCGCCGAAGCCAGGAAGCAGGAGACCGATGTCTCGGCCTTTGTCGAGGCCCTAAGGAAGCGTGGATTCTTGCTGCAGGCCCAGGGCGGTAGGGATGCTGTCGACCTGAGCAATAAGATGTTTGTCAAGATGAACTTTGTCAAGGCTGCGCCGGCTCTCGTTGGCAAAAATATTGTTGCTGACAAGGAGCCGGCTCGTGGCGGCGCAAAGAAGGGTGCCGTCAAATTCATTGATGCCGGAGATTCCGGCGCAGTCGATGAGAGCAGCATTTTGAAACCCTGCGTTTACAAGATAAGGTAGAAAGCATACTACCATGGAGTGGTCGGGCGTCTCAGGTCACGTTCTGATGAACATACGGTATGCAGTCGGGACTATATGTTTTGAAAAACAAAAACGCTCAGATGATCAAACACAGATAATGTACAGTGCATTGTATTTTGTGAGGCCGAAGCCTTTGCTCTCTATCTTAATTACTTGTAAGCGCTCCGTTGGAATCCCGAGCTCGCATCCTTCTTTACACACAGATGTGATTGCACATCTCCAAGCCATGTACTTCTTCTCAATCGCCAAAATGCCAGACCTTCCGTTGTATATGGTTCGTGTAGTGTCTCGCTTATATTTAGCGGGTGGTTTATGACAAATGCCAGATTGGTGCCGGACAAGTTGCACTGGCCTATGCCCTCGAATCGGCGCAAAATAATGCCTGTATGGCCCTTGGTTGCCTTCTATAGCACGAGCACGTGCTTCAACTCATATCATCACTGGTTGGACAAGAAGTCACATTTCCTGGAAGATGACATTGGCAGCAAATTCAACATTGCCGCCTGTGAACTGCAAAGCTTGAATGGCTCGTTGTCTGGTAGCACCCAGGTCTATCAGTGTCTGGATATCGGATTCGGGGAAGGTGGTGGCAGCCTGCTGGGGCGGTTGACGAGCACTGGGCGGTGCTGTAGACTGGGGAGTGTGTATCGGAGCATGGCTCGAGGCTGCCGCTGGAGCCGGACGGGCGGGTGGTGCCGATGAACCAGCTGTGACGGCGCCAGAACGAGCACCAATTGTCGTGCCGCCAGGACCTTGCACGGTAGGTTCTTCATTGACGGCCTCCTCTGTCTCTTTGGGAACATCCGCCTCACCAAGAAAGTCAACCTCCTCACCCTGGATAATGAGCTTGTTGCGGGCCAAATCGATTGTTGCCTGATGACCCTTGAGAATGTCCAGCCCCAACAGCAAATCGACCTGCTTGCCCTCCATGACGGTGAAGGCAGCGGGTAAATGTATACTTCCTAATTGGAGCATTGTGTAGTGCACTCTGCCAATGATGGCGGCCGTTCCCACTCCTCGTGCTACGCCAGCGAACCGCTTATCCACAAGGTGCATGATGTGGCAAGCTTCAGCGCACGATGGAGACATGATAGTAGCTTGGGCACCCGAATCGACGAGGGCCTTGACCTTTACGCCGTTGACCTTGACGTCGACATAGAGCATGTGCACACGTCCAAAGGCTATTTCTGTGTTAGTGTCCATCAACCGTATAAGCAAAACTGACCCACTCACACTCTGGATTGTATTCCATTGCATTCTGCAAGTTCTCGGTAACGCCTTGCTGGCGAATGATCTCCTCAATGCGTGCCTGAGCCTCAGGGTTGAACTCATCGTTGTTGAGCTGCTCGATCTCACGCATTCTGGACAGGCGGGCCTCTTCCTGCTGGTCGGCAAGTTCACGAAAGAGCTGGGCGAAACGGCGCGAGTCTTCCAGTGCAGCGGCCAGTTGAGGGGAAGTTCGCTGGAGTTCTGCGCGCAGGCGCGCGTCACCGAGGACTTGCAAGCGGATGAGCTCGGGGTCCTGGGCCATACCGGCCGCGCTCCCGCGCTGTTGGTGTTGCTGCTGGGCGTGTGCGGCAGCGAGGCCTGCGCTACCCCGCATGTCGCGGATATGTAGTGCGAGCATGTCGCCGTCCGTGATGGACAGGTCCTGAAGAGTCTTTGATTTGTCTGTAATCAGCTGGCCGTTGTGGTATATGTGCTGCGTCGGCTCGGGGATGCCCTCGGCCTCGATGGAGCTGCGCAGGGCCTCGATGGTCATCTCGGGGAACACCTCGAGGGTGACGAGGCGGAGATCCTCCCCCTCGAGTTCGGGGTTGGACACTGTGAGCGTGATACGCCTGTTTGGAAAGAAGATGACATGTGAGCCTGTGACCTGATACAAAGTCTGAGGTTGTTTGTCGAGGGGAAAGTCTGGGAAAGACTTACATTATGACGATTATGCGCTACCACCAGCGGGGGAGTTCAGGGTGTTCGTCTTGGGGGGTGCTCTCTATTTCTGCCTCTCTTCCGGCAATCCTCGAACTGCGGTGAAGAATGTTAATGATGAAGTTGAAAGAATGTAGAAGGCAAAGAAAGAAAGGAAATTTATCGTCGCGGTTTTTAGGCCACGGCGATAAGTTGTATCGAGTGACAAACGACGAGGACGTTGAAGAGAACTTGAAAGGTACTTGCCGGATGGATGATGGCCTGGGGGGAAAGGGTCGATCACATTGGTTACTATTTTAGCAGCAGACATAAGGCAAGTACGTAACCACCTGCCGCAGGGCTCTCTCAAGCTCTCAAGGTGTTTCCCCCGCCGCCGCCGCCGCCGCCTCCTCCTCCACCAGCTTGGGGCTGCTACTGCTGGTGTCGTTTGGTGCGGGGCATCCAGGCCAGGCAGTGATGAGGGTCGTTGCTCGGAACCCCCTTGTAGGCGCTAACTCTATCTTCATGCGCAGCGCCGGGAAAGGCTGGCCGCTGGACCATGTGCAGGCCCCAAATGACAAAAAGTCCCCGGGGTAGGTAATGGGACCAACCGTCGTCTTTGCCGCCTCAATCGGATTCCGCTAGATTCCATATGATTACTACATAGTCGGTAGATGACCAATACAAAGGTTGAATGGACCGTCCCATGTGCTTGATGCCTCCCATTCAGTGCCCACCAGCCGCGCATTTCTATAGATATGGTAAGGACATCTATGCTTGTAACACTGGTATTGACTTTTCACGGCGAAATCTAGAGAAGGAAAAAGAAAAGAAGAAAAAAACACCAACAACCAAGAAGTGTAATTCACAAATCCATTGGTGCCAACAAATGCCGGGTGAAGATCCTAGGTGGACCCTCCACTTGGCATGCCCTCCATACACTTGCCTAACATACCTACATGTATGATTTAATCCTCGTGCATATCCAGGTAGCCCTACTGACTTGAAGGTCCCTCTAGATTCAGAGAACCAGAGCGTACAAACCCAGCAACCGAATCTCACGTCATCTGCAACACATCTTCAATTGGAATCCTGTATTTTTTTTTTTTTTTTTTTTTTTTTTTTCATTGTGTCGCCATAGACACACAATCCTTCTCGCGAGCTCACTTGACCGTATGGACCAGAGCCAAAGTTATTCGATTTACTCCATCAGTGGTCTGAATGAGTTTGAAACTTTGATGAATAATATCGCATCATCTCAGACTGAAAGTGGTGCTGGACAATCGAGCACGAGTATTTATACAGCTTTCCAATTCAGTCCCGCCTTTGCGCCTTACCAAACCATCATGATATGCATATTATAGTAGTATTTTCCGTGCCGAACCGAAGCCCCGACCACGTAAGGTTGCGCCACCCCTAATATGCATTACCTAGGAAGTCCCCATGCCCATGTCCAGGTTCGCCAAGTTCACATCATTGCCATTTATGCCAAAAAATTGGAACCTGCAAGAAAGTGTTAGCTAGTCAAATATATTCAAGAGAGAATACAGATCGCATACCAATCCTCTACGTTCAGAGTGGCCGGCACTGGTTGGCCGACGGCGGAGCCAGTGCTCCAGCTATCGCTAGGACTGGGTCCATCAGGCAAACCATCGACTCCTGCTCCTTGCCAGATATTGCCCCCTTGACCTTGGAACTGGACCATGTTGGGATTTAGAAGATTGTTGTGCTGTTGATTTGGGCTTCCACTTTGATTTCTGTTGTTGTGATTCGAGCCAGTTGGTGCGCGCTGCTGTTGGAAATGCTGGGCAGCCGCATTCGACATCTGTGCGTTTCCGGGCATGTTCTGGAATTGTGCCATCAGATTCGGATCCAGTCCCTGGCCGCCGCCGCCGCCTTGCGTGGGTGACATTTGAGGAAACTGTGGAACCATTGTGTTCTCCGGAAATAGCTGATCAGGCTGGAAATTCTCCCAAATTGCTTGTGATAAGTTGGGGGAATTTCTTGTGACCAGGTATAAGTCGGGTGGCGTAGCGGGGACCGAGAATGAAGGATTAAATGGCGTTGCTGGCCTTGTGTGTGGTCGGCTATTGCTGCCGCCCATGAAAGCATCACCCGGCCGCGTATGTGGTGATGTTACGCCAGGTGGTCCCATTTGTGGATGACTATGTTCGTTCCTCGTGTGCGCTGGCGTCTGTGGGCGTGATCTTTCGTACGACTCTTGTGGCGTCGGTGTATTAACACTGAAATCAATAGCCATCTCGTCGTATTTCCTCTTAGCCGCTTCCTGCGGCCTTTGCTGCTGCTGCTGCTGCTGTTGTTGTTGTTGTTGTTGCTGCTGCTGCTGCTGTTGTTGCTGTGCTTGCTGGTGTTGTTCCAATTGCGCCATGGTCTGTTGTACTCTTTTATGGTGTCTCTTTCCGGCAGCCTTTTGAAGCCTTTCTTCGTAGGTTCGATTGCCCAGAATAGCCTCGAACAGTGTATACACCATCTTGCCGACTAGCCAAACCTTTGAAACATCCTTCAAAGCAGCCATGCAGGTACGTATCCTGTCATGCGTGACTTGCTGGATCGAAGGCACGGGGGATCTCATTTGATAGACGTGCATGATCAGGGCAGAGAATAAACTGTAGTTGATGAAAGCCGGACAATATCGAAGCTCATCGTGGGCTGACAGATTCTCAATGATTGACGTAATCATTCCAGCAGCCTGGAAGGCAATGTTCCGAGATGGATAGGATGAGTCGTCTGGAAATTTGCTGGCATAGTGAGTGTTGGGCGGCATGTGTGCTCTATGTAGGAGGCATAGAGTCGTATAGTAATTGGCGTGCAGAAGTGCGCTCCAAAAGTGGTGTCGCGGCATCTCCCAGTATACGTTTTTGGGGCAGTTTTGCAGCCAGTCTGCCAGAGTCATGTCGCTATGCGTTAGATCTATGGCATTCCGTTGGCGGCCCTTGGATGCGACAGAGTATTGCTGAGATAGGACCAGACCCATGATCTCACACAACTTGACGTACTGCAAGAAGAATTGGACGTGGATTGGATCTGGAGGATATGGGCTGGGATAGTCACCTTCGTCCTCGATAAAGTCGTCTTCTGTAAGCATCTCTACGTCCGCGTCGTCTAGATTGATGTGGACCGGGCGACCCAAAGCAACGGCGACAGATCGATCGCGGGTGAAGAGCACCCACCATATGCGCTTCCAGAGCCGCTTGTCGGTTTTGCTCAATTGTGACTCCTCTACTGTCCTATGCATCCCAGATCCTTGAGCAACAATGGTTGCGACGCGGCTCCAGTAAAAGACATTCTTGGTGACGTCCTCGGGCCCTTCCCAATACCATCCCATCAGGATTAAAGATTGAACAATGGTGACTCGATCGTCCTCATAGTTGGCGTCGTACAGCGCCTTTGCCCGCTTATAGAAAGTCAAAGCTGCTGGTGTTGTCGACCCGTTAGCATCCATGAGCTGGGGATTTGTGCAGACTCGCGATCCAGCCAAGAGTATAGCTTGTAAGAGGAGCAACGACGGCGGATTCTTCGAATCTCTATACTGCCGCATGAACCGAGTACGGTTGACCACTGGAACTATCGGGTGGACCCAGCGGAAATACGCTTCAATCAGCTCATCGCATAGCGCCCTTGGTGGAAGCAGGAAGGCTCCTCTTTGGTGAAGAATGTCGATTTCAATATTGTCCAGTTCAGTCAAGCGTGCTCTCGACCCTCTGACGTTGTCCGGTAGTGGGTAGTGTACCACATCCGAGGACCCTTGGCGATCGTGTACCAGTAGGGTCAGGTTCGATGACTCGCCTAGAAAGGCAACCCGGCCAGCTTCGGTGATTGGTGCTCTCGTGAACTTTGGTTTCATAACAAGGTCAACAAAGGTGCTGTTATCAACTTCCTCTTTCCTCGCTTGAGCCTCTGTTAACGTAGTTGCTGGTGTTCCTTCAGTAGAGTGGTACACTGTCGGCCTGGCTGGAAAGGTAGTGGATTGTCCGCCAGTAGCGGGAGATCTATCCTCGTTTGCATCCCCTCGTTCGCTTGTGATTTCAAATTAGTTGCATTGATAAATTATATCTTGTTGGACTGACGAACCTGTCGGAGTCCTTGCCACCAGCTCCGCTGGGCTTCTTCCTTTTTGGCGCAGGAATCTTGCATTCTATTTGGAAAGCGACGCAATTTGTGCCTGTGGAATACTGCTTTAGTCAACTGGCTCACTTTTGGATTTGCTGGAGACGATGGCATGATTCATGGGACGAAAAGATGTTGCCATGGATTTACTCACATGGTACACCAAGACTAGCAGCATCGCATCTGACCTGTCACGCAGCTCGTGTTAATAAAATTTTCTGCAAGGGCAGCAAGGACCAAGAGACACAAGCCGTCGCTCGCAAAACCCCCTCCCAGCTTGTCGTGGCCCATGAGTATATGCGCGCTCAAGCAGTTGTCCGCTCTATCGTCAGAGAAACTTGATTGGAAGCCATCGGTCGGCAGATATCGCAATGGGTACCCTCGTCCAGTCCAATTCGTCAAGCGCGGGCTGCATGATATCACCTAGACTTGGCGACAGTTATGCGCCTCTGCGTACCGAATACACTCTCACACATATGGTAAGTCTAGTATCGAGGCGTCGCATGTATCGTACGCTTCAGCACAGTAGGATCGAAATTGGCCCATGGTCGTAGGTTATATCGGTCGTGTATGCGCAGGTTGGCGATCGCAGTCACGGATGAGGGGGGGCAGCGACGGGTGTATGGGTCCAAGGAATGGCTTTCGGACAAGGAGAAGGAAAACAATTGAAATGCGACGGTGATTCATACCTTTCGGGCATGGCAAGTCTATGAGGACATTCACAAGTCAGCTTTGGCTATGCCGGAATGATGCGATCGCGAATGCGACCAAGCAAGCAGGAACGACAACGCAGAGGAACCGAGGTGCCGAGGCACAGACAAGTGTGAGCGTGCTGTGGGATCTCTACATAGAGAGCTGGGTGCCCCAGAAAAAGCACAGGATGCCAAAACTATCGAGACTGCTGCAGGCTCAAAATAAGTAACTTACCTCACATGCTCTTGATGCACGCTGTCTGTTGTTTACCAAAAGGGCCAAAAGTCAGCAAAGAACCCAAAGCAGACTGGCATAGGAATCGCATTTGCTGCCCACCTTCGAAAGCTTGGCTGGTTCTGAATGTTCGGCGTAGTCGATGTCTGAGAGGCATTCAAGTCCCCTCCGCCAGCTGCCTGCTGCTGCTGTGCCGGCGAGTGCGAATGCTGCTGGGTGCCGTTCGCCGCCGACGTCTCGACCTCCATTTTGGCAGAAAATAAAAGAGAAACTCAAGGGAGTCTTTCGGGGAACGCGGTCGGGATCGAATTCGAGTGTAGGTAAGGTTTTTGGAATGGAAGGACGGCGCGGGCGGGCTCGTGTCGAAGCTTCTGCGATTGATCGCCTGGCCTGCAACCGAACGAACCGTTCAACGGACAGTACCTGCTTAGGGTGCGGTACAGTATTGCGGGACAGTCGATACAGTGAGAGTCGAGTCGTGGGGGACGTGGATTAGTACCGTGCCTGGTATTAGGTACTGTCTGTATCTTTGTGCTTTTGTGCTAGACCCTGGACCGTGAGGTAATGTACAGGCAGGTAAGGTCCAGGCCGGGGGTAACATTAGTCGAGTGTGAGTGAGTGGTTACCTGGTAGTAATGTAGCTAGGTATGTTTGGCTGGGCAAGGGTTTCGGTGTTGGACAATTGGACCTTGTTTCCGGCCGCCCATGGAGGAGGAGTGGGCAATGAGTGGACTGCGCTCCCTGAATTTTAGACTCCCGCGCGCCGTCGCGCCTATGGTCTGGGACCTAGCCTCTGTCTGATCTCTGAAATCTGCTGCTGACCAATTCGAAACCCGCCGTTGACATGGGGGGTTTTGCTTCGAGTCCCTCCCCTTATCGGTCAGAGGAAAAGGGAAATAATAGATAAATAAGAATAGACCGCCAGACAAATAGGGGAAGAGATATTCCAGGTGGATCTTCAACGTATGGTACGATCCCGATTTGTGTATACTATTCGTAAACGACCCTTCATTGCCGTCCCGACAGGCCAGTCGTTCTTCAAGCAGATGGCCTGTCTTTTTTCTTTCTTCCTTTTTTCTTCTTCTTTCGGACAGTTTTGTAGGTTGTCAAACGGTCAGACCGTGAATGCCCAGCCAATTATCAGGTCTCCAATCGCAATCTTGGAAGCTGGATAAGTAGCTAGTCAGTCACCCTGTATTTCGTATACCTACCTACCTATCTGCTCACACAAGAAGTGCTGGGACTGGGTGCCTAGTGTGGCAGGTAGGATGAAATCAGACAGAGTTCAGAGCGTTGATGTAGTCCTTGCAAGCTCGAGTCTTCGTCAGTTGGAGTGGCTAGGTGTTGACTGTAATGCCGTTTGCTTCCCAGAAGAAGAAGAAAGTTGATGTCTCCGATTAGGTATCATACGATGAATGAGAGAAAGTCGCAGCCACGATGCGAGAGCGGACGTCGATCTCCGGCATACATATGCGACTTTGCAGGATTTTTGTCCTTCACATCCGCAGGCCGTCCGATGTCTTCTTGCAGATCTCAATCTAGCTTCAACTCAAACACGCAAGGGACCGCCGGGATCGATGCCAGTTTGCCATGAATCTATATATCTTCTCAAGAGACCATTGATATACCATCCCCTTCGGGACAATGCTTGCTCAATAGTTAGTGCTATGATTCCATTAAGCTAGCAAATTGACTGACGAGCAGAAGTGGCCCCTCTAATTTTTTCTTTCTTTTCTTCTAACTTGTTGCCAAATTTCGTGACATGTGATTCATTGATCCCACGGCAAGATCCGTCACGCACGCACCGCGTTCCCCTTACCTGTTGACCGGCCGAGTGTGTCCACCCAGTCCTTCTGGCCAGCCGATAGGGTGCTGTCGATCCCGTTTATTCGTCTAGCTGCAGACACAAACGCGTGCTGAAGGATGCCAACCCCAGTGCAAGGCGCCTGAGAGTATGGGGTAAATCAACCTCTTCGGGAAGCATACTCCGTTTATTCTTCTTCGTCTCATTCTTGCATCTTGACGAGAAGAGCTTCTTTCCTCCGAAAATCCGGGGAGAGATGGCACACCCATTTGACTTATTAAAGGCTGGGCGCAGGCCCTACCCAAGGTACATATGCAGGTTCGTGTTCGGGCGTTTGCAACTGTCCGTGTGACGCTGAACCTTCCTCCGCCCGGCCGATCGATCATGGCCTCTTTCTGCTGACCACTATGAACAGATAGCACGCACTCCACAGCTCTGTGTAATATTGGAGATGAGAAGTATTTGACATTATGCTTTAGTCCAGTCTTAGCGAACATGGTGTCCTCGTATACATCAGTACCTATCGATAATCTCAATCGCATACTCCTATAACTCATGATGGTTTATAGGTGTTAGAGTCACTGGTTGTCATAGACGGAAGATATTAATTTCGGAGATGAGGCTCGTTGTTTTGCAATGCAAGAGGACCAAACCGGTAGTGTAGACTGCCATGGGCAGGCATCGGCCGCTCATGCACACCTCTATAATCTGCCGCGTTCACCGTTTTCTATGCCCTGTGCGCCACAAGTCGACGTTATTGGCCGCGTGCCAGACCGTTACTTTACTCCACGAATGCGATTCGTCTCTTGAGGCTTGACTCCAGCCATGGCGTATAGGAGTTTTCTTACCAAATGTCCTGTAATTTGCAGGGGATTCTTCCCACGCGCTCTCGAGACCCTCAAGAGTCTGCTGATCGGGTTTAATTGACTGCCCAACCTCTCTGCCTAGTTCAGCCTGCCCAGGAACCGTGGGAGCTGAGGCGGGGGAGGGGCAGCAACAGAATCTGGGGAAGAAGCCTCGGCAAATTTCCCTAGGCACACGACAACTCGCATGGTTGTAGTAGAATAGCCAGACTATGCCTGAAGAGAGCTTGTCATATGTCAGAGCCTTCTCCAGTCTCAAGTCTCACGAGTTCCGTTCCTGTCCGTTAGTCCAGTCAAAGGCCAAGTTTGCCTGCAACGCTTCAGTTTTGAGTAACACGCTGCGAGCTTTGAGCGAATGGCAAGCGAAACTAAGCATTGTTTTTAATTCTTTCCACAGGCTTTTCGCACCGATGGACTACTTCTCATGTCTGGCCGTTAATATCGGCTGTCTTTTCGGTTGGTGCCTCGATCGCCTCTCCGACCACCAGTTCAGCCACAGCATCCATCGCGGTTCCCTCATCTAGCCTTTTTGCTTTAGCTTTTGAAGCCTCGCTCTCCACCTCGATACCCGAGATGAAGATGGCACTAATACCCTCCAGTGCGGCTACGAACACGCATAACAGACTCGCAATTGCAAAGTGGCTGATGGTAGATCCTATCTCGAGCCATGACCCCTCGTCTTTGACAACCCAGAAGAAGTGGAGTGTCAGTACATCACTGAGTGCCATGGCGACCATAAACAGAGCAGACGGTGCGACTCCTAGCCGCTTGTTCAGAATCCCTAGGTTCGCCGAGATCAGGGCAAAGGGTATCATGATCTTGAGTATCAGAAGTGCTCCCTGCGAAAAGGGATCAAAGACTGGTACAAGCCTACAGACACTCTCCAAGCTGAACGACGAAACAGACGCGACGTTTCCCGTGCTAAAGAATGCCGACTGCAGGAGGACAAAAAAGAAGAGTGCAACACGTGCATCTGAAAGCTTGAGCGGCCGGAATTTGGAAATCAAACTTTCGGTTGATGGCTTTCCATTGCCATTTGCTTGTTCCTTATTGGACAATGGCTGTGGCTTCAAGAACTTTTGACTGTAATGCTCCAATCGGACCCATGTGAGCAAGGTGACGAAGTACGCAAAGTAAAAAAGCCCTTCGTAGGAAATCGTAAGTATGACAAAGGTGGGTGCAAATGTCAGAAAGATCACCAGCAGCCTGTGCAGATAGTGCCTGTTGGGCTGAAGCCGATGGGCCAGAGGCATGAGGAATGAGGTAATCAATGTGACCCATCCAATGACAAGATTGCCGCGAGGTATACCCTCTTTGGATTGTAATGACAGTGCGCTCGAGCGTGTCACATACATGGCGAGCAGAATGAGCCCAATCTGTAACATGTTAGCTGTTTTGTACTCCTTGCTGCGGCTTTCAGACCATACCTGGGCTCCAATCAAGGCTCTAGACAAGGTGTTCTCCGTTCTTTGCGCTTTGGGTGTCGACACACTCGAGAAATCCGAAAGAATTTTGTTCTCAAATGCTAGGTAGGTGAGACCAACGGCAACCATGAGAATGCCGCCAAGCAAGCTGAGGCGGATTAGTAGCTGGTTCCAGTTTTTTTTCCTTTTTTTTTTTTTTTTTTATGTGACTTACATCAGGGTCACGTTTTCTGTCTTCATGGCCGGTAACAATGTGAAGGTGCTCATGACGAAACAAGATACAGACCAGGTCGCAGAGAGTAACGCATGATTCTGTAGAAACGATACACCCAGAACAGCAGGGTAGAAAGCCCCTACACAGAACAACACGGTGAGAATCTCGCGATGAATATATCCAAGTGCCTGCAAAAGATAAATTAGCTTGGACCTTATTCATTTTCAGGGATGCTTACCAGCGACTCAATAATTCCAAGGTAGGAGATGGAACCAAGAATTAAGTTGGCCATTTTGGGTCCCGACTGAACATGTCCAAATAGAGCTTGACGACCCTTGATCAAGCTATGCCTTCTTGCAAAGACTTCCTCCCAGAAGAAGACTGGGAAAAATGCGTAGGCGTAATATGTAATGGGAGAGTGCGAGGCAATGAATGAGGCATAGAGGACAACAAGCACCGACGAAAATGACACCACACTGACGAGACTGCGCTGGGCTTGGGTTGAACCTTGCAACACGTGCAAATCAAGGACGGTGGTAAGGGCGAAAGCCATCCATCCTAGATAGCCGACAGTGATGACAGCTCGCAGGAAGAGCCAGTCATATGTTTGGAGGTATCTCAAGCCGTCGAGGCCAGATTTGATGAGGACTGCCGTTTCCTCTATAGCCTCCTCGTGGCTGCCAGCTGCAATCAGATCTCGGATAATTTGTAAACGGTCCTCGGGGCCCATGCTTAGGGGTGCAAAGGGTTTATATCTGAGCTGAGTCGCTTTCTTGGCAGTTTCTTTCACCCGGTACATCTCCAGTATTTCTTGGGCGTTTACCAACAAGGCTTGCGACTTCTCGGGCATGCTGGCGGACAGATAGGATAGCGGCAGTTCCCCAACCGAGTTGGCCGGGAACTCGACGCCGACCAAATAGGCCATGAGGGCTGCCACATCAGCCTGCGCAACATCATGCCTCTTGATGTGGTCGAGATTCCAGTCAGAGGAATATTCGTCGTGGCCCGGAGCAACTGAATCCGCTTGTACGACTGGCCGAGCCACTCCAGAACCCCAAGTAATCAAGGGTGTTCTCGTGTTGTCAGGGTGGCCGTCTCCGTGACTTCCCCAATCACTCATACCATGGTCAGCTGTAAAAACAAAGGCAGTTCTATCGTCGCCGTAGAATGCGTTGATCGCTTCTGTAACCTCCTTCACGCCTTGATCCACAACTTTGATGTTGTTCAAGTACTCCTTTGAATATGGTCTGAAGCCGTGGCCAGTAGTGTCCAGTCCCAGGAGATGGAGAAAGAAGACAATTTTATCCTGTCTCAATGCATCATTCAGGGTCTTGTTCCTCTCGGCCTCGGCAAAGAGCTCCTTGACATGGTCAAAGACCCAGTGGTCAAGGTGAACGGCATCCGAGGTGAAATCTTCGAATTCAGCATCGTAACAGTATGCGTCAATCTTTCCAGGGGTGGCGCCCTTCTCGAACATGGGCAGAATATCCGGACTGCCCCAGCTCCATGTATGTCTGCTTCGGTTGAAGACGCTGTCGAAGTTGACTGGATTGAGCTTCCAGCCCGTCGCAACAGCCGATACGTCCTCGTACAGGCCAGCAATGAGCGCGACATGTCCGGGTCGCGATTCCGTAGGGACTCGAGTATGCGATACGCCAAAAGTGCCATGCTCTAGAACGCGCGATCTTAGGAATGGCGCAAGAGGCTTCGGAGTCAGATCATCGTCGGGCGTCTTGGGGGAGGGGTCGGGAAAAGATTGAAAGGCCTTGTCAGCGCGAAGTCCGTCGCCTGCCAGGTCACATATGTTAATAATTTCTTTGAGTTTGAGAGTTTGCGCATAAACAGAAACGTGTACATACCAACAAAGAGAACGAGACGATCTGCTGGTGCTTTGGTTCCCTCGGGACGATTTATTTGAAAAAGGTTCATGCCAGAGACTATGGGACTGACGAAGTAAATGTCAAAAATAGAGTATATGTATACAAGGTGAAAGACCATGGCAATGGCCAGGAACGTGAAGCGATTGACGGTTGCCATGGTGTGGGCTGGGCTGGCTCTCGAAGAGCTCGTCAGCTGGGAGGGTCCTATGCTCTCTGTCGTTACGGAAGGAAGTGAGCTTCACTCAAGCTGAGGCAATGTTGCTCCTCTCAAAAAAGTTGAGCATCCATCCACACAAGATTAAGCTCGGTGAGCGCAGGAAAAAAGAGCGAAAGAATAAAACGTTGCAAGAAGAAAAAAAAGAAGAAGACACGATGTGAAGACGCCAATGATGCAGACAGGATGCGAGTACAGGGCCAAAGAGACGACAAACGTGTTGACACGGCATACGTTTATTCGAGCTGGAAAGGCTGGCGTCGGAAATTATTGTTCACGTCAGAGAGCACCGAATAGGTACGTACCCAGGCACTCTCAAATGCTTAGAAACCCGCCCCGCGGCTTCCGGAGTCTCGGACAGGGGATTGAGCTTCTTGTAAACTCAGCCCAGGCCTTATTATGGTGCCAGGATCGCTGCAGGGGGGCCAACCACTTTGCTTGGCGCCCTACCGTCACCAAAAACGTTAACCTTGATGGCCTGAAGCTAATAGGGGAATACGCACCTGGAAATTGGATATAGCTGACTGGCCACGATATACGGTAATATTATCACCAGCTACAGATGACTGCTTCTTTAGATCAGTCTTTTATTCTTTTTCTTATTCTGACTTACATGAGAACTACAACAGACCTCCCTCCCCTTGAAGAGATGACAAGGGACTATCTGTCCCCTAATAGAATGTATCATCAATCAATTACTCAATAAGTGGCTGACCAATTTCACCAACAAATAATCTAACATGAACTGTGCTTCTTCTTTCTTTGTCCCTGTTTTCATGCAATGGAACTTCCTAGTTTCCGACACGCTCTTATTTATACCTATACTTCATGGAAAACAGAAATTGTAGTCTTTTTGCTCTATGCTTGTGGTGACTGGACACGAACAAGAACGACTACTATTGTTGGGCGAAAGGATGAATTCGATCGCTCATGCTTCGTTTCAAGAAAAAAGGGCTCGATCTGAAAAGCAAAGGGTATCTCTCCTACATACAGTGCATCGTGCACTCAAACAATTCCAATACACCAAGAGTTGCTCATTCCAATTTCTCGGTGAGGAATTTCATAACTCGAGAATAAAATTTGGCGGCATGCGTCCTAGGAAATGTAATTTCCTCCGTCAGATAGTCGGGCAAGATATCCAGCAAGTCGCTGTCCCGGTCTTCGTCCAATTGGGGCATATACATGAATTGCACCTCGTCCAAGTCGTCCGACTGGTCGTCTGGGGTAACCGACAGCTTGAAATGTAGAGCTGAATACTTTGTTAGTGTTTCCCCCCATGAGTCCGTGAGTAAAAGGGGCTACTTACTTCCGTTTCGGCCGGTCTGAATGCAATCATAAACCTCGTCATCTTGATCTCGCTTAATACCACGAACGATCAAGCCGGTTAAATCTGCATAGAGGTCCTCCTTCATTTGTGCTGACTGAACTGCCGCCTCGGCATTAGCGAGTAGGCGTTTGTCTGCCACATTGCCCTTCATGGCGCTGCCAGGAACCTTGACAGTCGCAGCCTCGGCCGCACGTGCTGCAGCCAACCTGGTCGTCAAGGTTTTGACCTCTGACTTTGAATCTGCCAGAGACTTGGACTTGCCTGCAAGGTCGTCCTCGAGTTTGGAGGCTCTAGTCTCGGCGGCATCTAGTTGCTGCCTCAATCGTTGTCCCTCTTTGGCCAACTCCGTCTGAGCAGCAAGTTGTGCCTTCAATGTTTCAATCAGCTGGTTCGCGGCTGTTGAAGATCAGTTAGCTCGTGCTCTAGGTGACCATTTTCCTAGTCGTTCAACTTACTATGGGCCCTTTCTTCGCCCTGTTTCTTGAGTCTATCGTAGTTGTGTTCCGCTTCCTTGACGCCTATGTCGCGCAGATCCCGGTACCTGACTTCCAGATTTTCGTATTTGCGGGTCAACTCTCCAAGTTGCCTGCGTAGCGCAGGGTCGGAAGAAGGGTCAGAAGTAGTCATTGGACGGCCAACAGGATGGAAGGGAAGCTTCTGATATTGTACTCGGCCGGTGCTCATGGGAACAAGAGGTTGGTTGCGCATTGCGCTGGGTGGAAACATGTACTGCGGGACACGTTGCGCCGATGACAAGATAGAGGCGTGAGCGTATGCAGCGGGTAAGTCTTCGACCTGCTCATCGTCGAGACTATCGTCGAGATCATCAAATTTCCCAGCAGGCTGTGTCTCGGGTATCTCAACCTCCGGTTCTATTGGGTTCACTGGAATGACCTGTTGTGTTTCCGGGATTTCGGCTTCCATGGGCGGCGTCGCAACCTGCGCTTTTGGCTTTCTTCCCCTCTTAGCAGGCTGAGCTGCAGGCCGCTCTGGAGCCTCGACTGTCGAAAATTCATCTGGCGTGTCGGATAGCTTTGCAATCTTGTGTACGCGCGGGCGACCCCGTGCGCCTTTTGGTTTTAATTCACTATCATCCCCTTTCTCAAGGTCGTCTGTTGCTGCTCGCTTTTTTCCTCGGTCGTGAAGTCCCAGCTGTGAGTTCGTTGATTTGGCTGCCAAGGCAGGTCTGCCCCTCTTTCCTGGTGGCATTTTTGCAAAAGATTTCCCCTTCGCGACGGTTTCGAGTATCGCTGATACGTCCTCTTCGTCTGAATCGACCAAGCCAAGTAACGCGGTGGTTGCAGCCTTTGGCATTGGTGTAAAGCGTATCAATGTGTGCTAAGACTGTAATTCGTGATACAAATCTAGCATTCAAGCGCGTATTTGGCTCGTAGTAGTTGACTTTTGGTGTGTAATGTCGTGTAGAGAGTCAATAGGATGCGGTAGTGGTGAGAAGAAACGCGCGCTGAGGGAGCTCCTCTGAGTGGTGGGCTCACTCAAAATGTAAACAAAGCAGCGCAATTTCTACCTAGTGGCTTCAAGCTGGGGTTGACAACAGCCGCTCCCTCTCCCCGCGCTAGAACTCCGCTCCGAGGTCTTTCAAGTGCGCAGCGACCCCCAAGTGCTGCTGCATGTGAGCTTGGGTCAGTTTGGGTAAAGGCTTGGCATATTTGTCCAACCAACCATCCACTTCTAAAAGTTGCCTTCGTCTTTGCCCATAAAAGCACATGAGTAAGGTGTTTTAGCAAGGTGGCGTCGCCGTAGAAAGTCTGCCTTTGACCTTATTGGCTCTGATTCGATCACTCCAATCAGCGAGTGCGCCGTCTGCACTGCTGTGGTCGGCCATCTTTACCTTTCCGTTTTCTTTTGCTTTTGGGTTTTGTCGTGGCTCTTCAACGCCATACTAGCGAGCAAATGCTTCCCAGCTGGCTAGTGAAGTTCTTCAACATGGGTGACCGACGACGAGGCGGCTCCGACTACATCTGGGACATCATAGTATTCCTGGGCATGGTGCGCAACCCTCAGCATTGATGCAACAAGCAAGATTCCCCGAACACGTTTGGCCCGCTAACACTTCGGGACAGACAGGTACCGCATGGTTCCTGACCAAGAACATCGTATCGAGTCTCCAGTCTACCCTCGCCGACCCGGAGAAGGAGAAACACGAGCAAGCCAGAATCAGAGCCAAGGCTAATCTTCAAAGATTACAAAAGTCCCGCCAGCTCGAAAATGGCGACGACTTTGACGAATCCGGCGACGGCACAAAAGCAGGGCCGCGCATCGAAGATTTACAACTGAATGAGTATGAAAATATGGTCGCACTCGAGGTCGTCGCCCCGGAAGATATACCTGTTGGCTTTGACGGTAAGGACCGCCCCTCTGCCGCGAGTGAACCGTCCTCACAACTGACGAATCAAAAGATATTGGTGGCCTCGAAGACATCATCGAGGAAGTCAAAGAGTCTGTTATTTATCCGTTGACGATGCCACACCTGTACTCGCAAGGAGGATCCTTACTCTCAGCACCATCTGGTGTTTTGCTCTACGGGCCCCCGGGTTGCGGCAAGACTATGCTTGCTAAAGCCGTTGCTCACGAGAGCGGTGCCTCCTTTATCAATCTGCATATTTCTACCCTGACGGAGAAGTGGTATGGAGATTCGAACAAACTCGTGCGCGCCGTTTTCTCTCTTGCCAGGAAGCTGCAGCCCGCCATCATCTTTATTGATGAGATTGATGCAGTGCTCGGCACGCGCCGAAGCGGCGAGCACGAGGCGAGCGGCATGGTCAAGGCAGAATTCATGACTCTCTGGGATGGCCTTACTTCTGCAAATGCGCGTGGCACACCAGCCAGGATATGTGTTCTGGGCGCAACGAACCGTATTCACGACATTGACGAAGCCATTTTGCGCAGAATGCCAAAGAAGTTCCCCGTCGCATTGCCAGACAAGAGTCAAAGATTGAGAATATTACAGCTAATTCTCAAGGACACCAAAACCGACCCGAACAATTTCAATGTCGACTACCTTGCCCGAATCACACAGGGTATGTCGGGAAGTGATATCAAGGAAGCCTGCAGAGACGCTGCCATGGTGCCCGTCCGAGAGTACATTCGTGAGCACAAAGCTAGCGGACATTCTGTCTCGAGTATCGATCCTAAGCGTGTACGCGGATTGCGAACTGAGGACTTCTTTGGCCGTAAGGGTGGAGGTCAGATCCTCATGAGGAATCATGCCCAAGCCAAGTCATCTAGCGATGAATACGAGGATGTGGACGAGGAGGAAGAAGTCCAAGATGCAGTAAGAACGGCATGATCAATCTCGAAGCGGCGTTTGGGACAAGACAGGCAAGGTATTGGCATGGCGTTCTAGGTTGATTTACCATGGATCTGCATACAGGGGATAGACTCGATCGTTGCAAACGCCCTTTGTTCCATCCGCTGGTAGCGGAACCTCGCTAGTCGTCAACTGATAGTGGTATGCGGTCGCCGAAGAGAGAGGCTATGTCTCGTTACCTATGGTAGCATCAAGACAGTTTGGTCCGTGTACCAGCTGAGAACATTGATTGTCTCAAAATGGGCATCATGGGAAAAACAGGGCTCTCTTCATGCCTGGTGGCAACGGTATAATATCATGGCTTACTGGGCACATACGCAATACCGATGGATTTCATCTATAGATAAGAAATGTCGAGTTTTGAGATATCCAAGGTATATACATGGTTAGGAGATCACATCTAACCTAGGTGAACTGGGACTCATGCAGGTGTTGGAGAGTTTTAAAAGTATTTCCAGGTACCCGCGAGGAATGTGTATATTGTGCAAAAAGCAACTAAAATTAGTTTTACCACGATAGCGGGGACCAAGGGGATCGCCTAACCAAGCTACGAGCAGGGAAGCTCTGCGCCGTGCCGAGAGGCGGTCCAGCCATTCGTTCGCTCGCTGGGACTTGACGTCTGCGGGGCCAGGGAGGCCCTAGGAAAGGAGAGTGGTACCGCATCCCCCCCAAAGCCCCCCAAAGACCCCGTAACCAGAGGTGGGATCTCCATCAGTAGCAATCAACATGAAGAGATCACAATTCCACCATGTGCACAGTAGATGGACGACTCGAGAGCCCCGACGCCCGAGTCAACTGTGACCTTTGCCTTCTCCCTTTTTGAGCTTTTTTTTCTGTCAATATACTTTCAACGGCTCTTCTAGTCTCTCTTGCTTTTTAAGAAAGCAAGAAAAAGTCCTGGCCAATACTTGAACTTTGCCGTGTGTTGGGTCTCAGTCATCTGCGTGGGCGTGCCACACTCCATCACCTACTAGGTATCTTTCTCCGTACCTTGCTACCTGCCTACCTACACTACCTTATTACCTGTTCCCCCAGTCCATCTTGGTTATTATCCACCGCCCAACATCGTCCACCTTGAACCAACCTAAACTACATCCATCCCACCTGGACGTCACCAGAAACCACGTCTCCTGATTCGACCCTCGCCAACGATAAGCGACTTGTTCAACTTCACGGCAAAGCTCCCGCTTGGCTCAGGATACCATTAGCTATATTTCAGGGTTTTTGTGTGGCATTCATTGCCAGTTGCGTCCTATAAGCTTCATTATCTGCTATTAACGATTTCCACGAATGTCGCCATCTCCTGCATGCTTCGCCGTCTCTGAGCATTGATGCTAGTAAAGCATTCCAGCCGCTTCGCGCGGAACGCCAACCTTGGTCCTGCAAGGCGACGACCTCTCCCCCTGCCTTGACGATGTCCAACCTCAGCAGGACATCGTCGAACAACAATGTCTCTTCCATATCTTCCACTGCACTGATGCCCGCTGGCGTCGAGACCAGTGCAACTTCCCGGCCGCGCAACCGAAGAGCGCCCAATAGCGCCGCAGACAGGAGCGCCTCAGCATCTCACCTAGGCACAACCGCCACACCTACACAAAGTCGCGGCGCCAGCCCTTTGCCGTCTGCTCGTTTAAGCAGCAGCTCCAAGTTGGCCAACAGTGGCCGCTCAAGTCCTGGTAATGCTTCTTTTGGAAAGGGTCTTTTGGAAGGCACTTGGACACCGAGTTGGACATCGGTGCAGGACTTTGCCTCGTCGTTACTGTCGGGAGGGGAAAGTGGCTATAACAGCGATGCGTCACAACCCAACAGCAGGAGTGCGAGCAAGTCTCGCGCGAAGACTTCCGTGTGGAAGACGTTTGGTGGAGGTGGAAGCAACAATAGCGCAGGCAGCAGGCAGCTACCCGATAGTTGGGGTCCTGCACCACCCAAAAGGCCATCCAGACCAAGGGCCGAGGACATAGCTTCGGGTTCAGTTGAACAGAGGGAGGCAGCGCTCAAGGCTATGAAGACTGCCAGCGTGCTCGAAAGTTATGATGGTGTCAATGGAGGACTCGATGTGGCAGGAAAGTACAAGAGGAGGAACTCGGACGAGGGTGCATCGAGAAGTGTTAGCGAGCCTCCAACTGAGGAGCAATTGGCCTACTTGCATCATGTTCAGCCAACCGATACCTACGCCGGCGTGGTGCTTCGATACAGATGCCAAGAACATGCCTTCCGAAAAACAAACGGACTCTGGTCCAGGGACAATATACAGGTGCGCAAACATCTCATGATACCTGTGGACGCATGCGAGAGCAAGGGACGGCCATGCGATCCCCCAAATTTCTACAACAACCAGAATGTGGATCATTTAGCGACGACGCCTCAGCCCGAGAGTTTCCTGCAGCGAAGCCCCGGTGAAGCATCGCAACCGCAAGTTGTCCATGACGATTTCTTTGCCTCGCGCAACAGCCAGACACAATCGCTGGGCGAAGAGGAACAACCCTGGACGCATGTGAGATGGGTAAAATTAGACTCCGTTGAACATCCGGTGGAGATTGTGAGGGTGTCCAGGAAGTCAATGGGGTTCTTTCCACCAAGGAGGAAGAAGAGCGTTCACACTGTTTCTGCCTTCTCTAGTCCCCGGCAGTCCACTGAATTGTCGCGGGGGGCGTCAACCATTTCAAACGATCGGATTTTGGAAAGTCCCGCGCGCATAGCGGATCGGCGGCAGAGTTCATTGAGCAGCCGACCTAATTTTGCAAGTCTGGGAGCCTCGCCATCTACAGCGAGAAGTCGAGGCAACAGTGTTGGTCAAAATGATAACGTGCCTACGTGGATGAGGCGCCCGGGAGGAGTAGGCACAATGAGCAGGAGCATCAACGCCCCTGGTCCAGCCAAGGATTCCCTCAATACGTGGGTCAACAAGCGTTTGCCAAAGGGGTTCTCAATAGATTCTTTGCCGTCAATGTCTGTCATGGGTTCCGAGTCAGCACACTGGGGTTTCACGAGCAAACCCGAAGACGATGCGCCTACTGGGATCGTGGAAAGTCCTTTCGAAGACGGTCGGGATGCGGCTATAGTCAACAACACGCAGGGTCTTGGGTTAGAGCAGGCCGCCGCAACGGTGGAAACATGGCTGCGCAGCGCATGGTCCAAACGCCCGACGACACCAATGCTTGGTTCCAAAAAGCCTACGGATGAACTTGATCTCATCGAGCTGACGGACACTAATAGTGACGACGGAAGGCCGAGGACGCCCCTGCGCATGCCAGAAGCGAACCCACTGAACTCGGGTTATTTTGGCTCTACAGCTCGAGATGAGGGAGAGGGCAATGTTCGCGGACGGCCGATTGGGCCAAAAGGGAAAAAGACTGACTGATTAATCATTGGACGGGGCTACATCACTACATTAGACTTGGCTTGAATTGCAAGTAAATTCTGCCGCATTCTCATCACTTGATAGACTAAGACTCTTCGATACTTTATTCAAAGCGGTGATTACTGCATTACTGGCGTTTGGAGTAGCTGGGTTAGGGGATGTGTCAACAACTATTTTGTTGTTGGACCTTGAGATGGCAGAACACTATGATCTTGCAACCAAGTTGGCATTCGCTTACCCAATATTTATTTCTCTATATATCCATGGATTCACCTTGTTCTTGAATAACTGATGAAAAAAAAAAAAAAAAAGATAGCAATGTTTGTTTGGGTTGGTTGCGTGTTGAGGATCGTATGGGATTGTGTCGTTTGTGCACATTTGCCATACTGATAGAGTGTATACCGTGGTATGAATGGTACCTATAAGGAGACCAGACCCTGCTCAAAAGGTACTAACCTAGGTACCCGGCCCCAACTGGCTCCCGCTTTACGCGCATTCGACACGCGTGCATATGATGCAAGGCTCGGATATATGCAATTGGCTGCCCCTGCTCACTTACATCTACCTATCTCACCATCCAGACAAATCTCCAGCCAGCCAGTCATCTTGAGCTAAAGATTGTGACATCTTTCCACACTTCGTTTCTCTCTGCCTTTTGAGAGATAACAATGCATCTCAGGTAGTGGTCTTACCACCGCTGCGATCAGGACAAGAAGAAGAAGAAGAAGAAAAAGGAGAAAAGGAAAAGCACAGCCAAGAAGGAAAGAGAGAGGGGGGGGGATAACCATGCCGATTTGCATCGAATGCCGACACCCAGTCAAGACGTTATGGACGCAGTACTCGGGCGCCGGCGACCCCTCGAGCGGCCACAACATCAGGTTGACGGTTTGCAAGAACTGCGGGAGGTTCTGCGACAAATACGTCGAGCATGACTTTGTCGTGCTCTTTATTGATCTGGTCTTGATCAAGCCACAGGTGCGTCGATTTCTCTGCCTCTTCTCTGGACAACACATACAGTAAACAAAAAATGGCTAACGTGTGCGGGCGGCGCAATTTTTTGCCTTAGGTTTATCGACACCTCCTGCACAATACACTGATGCGCGATCATGATCAATTTGATCCGTCTATTCTGCGCCTGGGAACGCTGCTGCTCCTCTTTGACGTCTACTTGACGTGGGCGCGCATCGAGAAGCAGTCGGCACCGGCCCCGGGAAGTCAGGGCAATCTGGGGAGCCTGGCGCGGCAGCCGATTGTGTTTCAGTACATGTTCTTCTGTAAGCCTAGCTTCTACTCTTCACTCATGGTTTCAAGCTTTCGTCTAACACTGGCGTTTTAACTCAGTGATTCTGTGTACCTTTTCTACCCTCGCCTTTCACCTCTCGATTCGCTTCTTGACATCCTCGCCCTTCTCGCCCCTCAACCATCTCGGCCTCATGCGCACATACTCGCGGCCGAATTCGGTTTCTACGGCCCTCCTCGTCAGCTCGTCCACCAAGCTCTTTCCAATATTGATGGTGATCTGGGATTACGATGTGCCCGCTGCAGCGAGGAGTCTAGGATGGGCGGTCGTGCTGAACAATGTCGAGGCCTTGAAGATCCTGCTAGACTGTGGTTATCCTGCCGCCTTGTTGCTGGCGGCCGCCGGGGCCGTGAGTAGATGGGTCGTGGGACGCATGATCTTGTGGATGGTTGGGCTTGAAGGGGTTGATGGGGTGGGCGAGAGTGGTGTCGCAGCTGATGGACGTGCGCTTCTGGCTGCTGTGCTCTACATTAGGGATTGGGCAAGTAGTCTGGCGGTTGGTTGATGTCAATGAAGAACCAGGGAGACGATATTATATACGAATTTGCAAATGATTCAATGATATAAGCCTCTTTATACCTATCGTGACAAGAAGATTAGGGTCTTTGCGGATTGCCATTCTGTAAGCATCTATCATGGCAATTGACCTGGAATCTTTCCTAGTTCAGGAAACGACTCGCCAAACACAACTCGCCATGAGCAATCAAATAACGTAAGAAAATCAAAACCATGCCATTCTTCCCAGAACGCCAAGTGATGTAGACAGACAGTCAATACGATAGCGCATACATGGTACAATCGGGCTCCGCATCATATATCTCAGGATACCCGAGTCTCCAAGGTCAATCATTCCGTCACCGGGTAGACCCTCTTGGGAGCATGTCCCAAGTTTTGTCGTTTCCGCCGTTGTTCTACTTTCCCCATTCCCCAACCCGCTTTCCTTACTCGTGCTGGAATCCTGATCGGACCGAGGGGCTTTTCGGGGCGATGAGAGGATGCAGCTGCGCCAAAAAGGTGATGAACCACATGAGATAGCAGGCGATGAATGCGATGATGAGAGACGAGCGCCATGTTCTGTTTATTTTGAAAAACAAAGTTTAGTCAGAATATATTTCTTTCAAGGCCTCTGGTTGATTGAAAGGATAGAGCGATGCCCGAGGCGGCCACAGCGCAACAAGAAAAAGAGACATGTCGTCTCTCCGAGCCACGGCCCAGATGGATAGACTGAGAGTGTTTGGGATCGGGGATATGGCCAACTCACGTCTGGTTCTCTCCCTTGGGCGCAAAGAACCATGCGCCGACGCACATGGCCGCCACGATAACGAGGCCGAGGAAGACGCTGCCACTACAGTGCACGCGATGTTTGGTTAGCCCGGTGAATGCTCTCTTGTCTTGTCGGGTGGAATCTTGGGGAGATTCAAGAGGAGCAGGGGAAACAAGGCGAAGCTTGCTGCCACTCTCAAGGATCGGACGTACCCGCCAGCCATGGTTGAATCTAGTGTTTTCGTTGCGCGAGAGACGGAGAGGGAGAGGAGAGATCGTACGGCGCCGAGGGAGAGGCGCTTCGGTTTCTCGAGAGGCTGTGGCGATGTTGGAGCTACTCTATGGGTAAGGGAGAGCTGCCTGTGAAATGACGCTGTGAAGCTATTGGCGGACCTGGGGAGCTTGCAAGCAGCACATCGACGTAAGGACGGTTGTTGTTACAGTGGGCTGCCGGCCAGCTGTTATCTCGAGTATCCAGCCGTCAATTTGAAGAGATCGGGGAGACCGTTGAGATGGGAACTGCATGATGTGTAGCTTGGAGCTGGAGCTGGAATTTAGTGGTTTATACGGCGATTTGTACCAAAGTAGCTCTAGGTATTTTTTGCCAAGATGGTCAGTGCATCACCCGAAGAAAAGCCGATCTCTTTTGACGTCTGGATAAAGATGCACGCCAAGACCACGAATCTGGGGCCAAATTGAGGGTATTCCCAATTTCAACCGTTACGTACGAAAGGCTTACGCTTAAATATTATATTATACGTATTAAAAAGTATTCGTTAATTAATTAAAAATGCTTGGCAATTTGAAATTTTCGGATCCGATAAAAATCCGTAGCGCGGTCGGTGGTAGAAATAGAATCGAATCTGGGGCCTGATTTCACGGATTTCGATAATTTTCAACATTATTTAACAACCACGCATCTGAATTAAATGCACATACGTAGTCAAAGATCTTTGGAATCGTACGATTCTGGGGCTGCTTTCGGATTTTTAATACGATAAGAATTGACGCTTTCGTAAGTAGATTTCGTACCAAATTGAATTTGATTTGGATTTGGAATTAATATAAATTCACCTACCAAATCGTCAATTCCTATCGTATCAAAAATCCGAAAGCAGCCCTAGAATTGTACGATTCCAAAGATCTTTGACTACGTGAGTGCATTTAATTCAGATGCGTGGTTGTTGAATAATGTTGAAAATTATTGAAATCCGTGAAATCAGGGTGCTCCTGCGCGTGCATCTTTATCCAGACCTTAGGTGCTCTAGTTCGTTCTGGTGATTTGATTGGTTGAAACTGGTATGGTTAATGCGTTTTTTTGTGGAGTTCAAAGATACAACAAAGAACTGTCAAAAATCCAACTAGAGCACGAAACTAAGGGCTGGAAACTCGAGATAAGCCAGCTGGTTCTGTGAGTAGGTAGGCGCTAAGCAGGTTGGCAGGTAATGTGCATTTGGCTTAGTCATCCACCAAGTATTGAATGTGACCATCAGTAATATATATATATTTGCTTCAACAGTCCGTAATGATTGATTTTTTTCAGTCGCTACCAAATAAATTCCCCCATGTATGGATCGTCTTTAAGATATTTTATTTATTATTTCCATTTTCAAGCGAACGGTTTTGAAGATGTCCTTCTTTCCACAATATCCATGGTCAGAAACATGATGACCAGGAATCCCAGTGAGCTTGGCCGCATCGTCCGTCCATACTCTGCTTTCTTGTGTAAATTCCAGCTCTCATCGTAAAATTAAACGTCATTCTCAAATTTCAGACCAGCTCTGGCGCGTACTGCACCATAGATTCCAGCAATATCACCCTTGGCACCTCCGGCATGGCTCTTGACATCGTCCAAGTATCCCTGGGCCGTGGCCGCATTCTTGAACTCACTTCCAACCGACTTTGCAATACTCTGCGCGTGTGTGGCATCCTTTAAGGCATTGTCGGCGCTCCAAAGAGGCTCTTCCATCTTCCAGTAGGTCCCCTGGAGCATGCGGTCCCCATAAGCGGAGGCGATGCCGCCGAGAAGGTTGTCCACAAATTGCTTGAGCGGCTCCACGCCAACGCCGGACTTGTCTGCGACCGTGAATGCCTCGGCTAGCTGAGTGACGATGTTCAAGACAAAGGTATTGCCAATCAGCTTCAGCGTAGTCGCCGCTCCGTAAGGTCGGTCTGCCATTGCAATCTCGGCCTTGCCCATGACGCCGGTCAGGTATGGCCGCAGCTTGTCAACGGCTGCTTTGGGACCAGCGGGAACGCAGATCAGCGCGCCCGCCTCTGCAGCAGGTGGCGCTCCAAAGACGGGACAGGCGACGAACTCGGCACCCGCCTCTGTCACCTTTTTACCCAGTCTATCCGTCGTGTCTGGGTGTATGGTACTGCTGTCAACGAAGAGCTTCCCCTTGACGTCACCAGACGCAAGGAAAGCGTCGTAGTTTGACTCCACTGCATGGTCGTTGCTGAGCATGGTGAAAATTATGTCTGCCCGCTTCACTCCCTTGACGGGATCAGTGATAACTTCAGTCCTGGTAAGTCCATATGTATTAGCCTCATAATTTTATCTGGATTGCGTAGAAATCTCCAGCAAGGCTCGAGCTACAGGTAAAATAGGTATTCCCCAAGCCAAAATCTGGGACTGGGAAACAAGGTCTAGGGAATGGAATCGTCTAGAGGAAATTGCAAAGAACAAAGACACGACAGGTTTTTACCACTTACTTGCTGCCACCGATCTTGGCCGAAAGGTCATCGGCTCGTTTCTGTGTGCGGTTGAGATGAGCAACGGCTTGTCCAATTTGGCCTTTTGAGCAATGTTGGAGGCCATGGCCTATAAACACATTAGCACCAATGATATGGTTGGGTTGGAATGAAGGATTTATTTACACGACCCATGTTGCCAAGTCCAATAAAGAAGACTTGAGGAGCCATGATGTTTATGATGAATTTTTTACTGGTTGTGATGTTTGTTTGTAGAAATGAGAACTTGACGGACTGCTTGTAGCAAAATCAGTTGCAATGTAGCGGTTCGCTGCTCGAGCTACAGGTTATGATTGTGGTGGATGATGAGAAAGGTCTGACTTCCCGCAGATATATGACGAGCTGAGTCGTCTTTATACCTGTGGTTCCAAGTGCGTAGGAGAGAGAATGCAGTTGGGAACCTCCGTCACATTGGGCAATAGTTTTCCCTGGAGCTTCGACACAAGTGCAATAGGTTATTCTCCGCAACGCCGGTGCGCCGTATTGCATTTACTTTACTTCACTGACGACGTGCAATAGTATAATGCACCTTGCCAAGCCCGGGTGTGTACGGGCGGGTGGGGGCAGGTTATCGGCGTTTAGTCATCGCCCACGGCTTAAAGACTGAGCTCCAAGCTGGAGCTTCAAGGACCGGAATCTTCCCCAGTCCCTGAAAACACCGACCCGAACATACCCTAGATCGTTTGATCCAATGTGCAGCGGCAGATGCACCAAAGCTCGATGGTCGCTTAGGTTTACCAGTTGCGAATAAAGTTCAATTCTATTTTCCCTCTTCGGACGAGGAAGATTTTGTCGCCTCGACGATATCTGATTGATTGGGCGAACAATCGACTCTGCAGATTGGACACAGCTGGTACCTACGAAACTTCCAAAGCCAAACAATAATGATCACCAGGATTGCATCACGTCAGTGACAAGTCCTGCCCAGCCGATCTCACACTGCCACTACTTCTAGAACAGCCAGAGGCTCGACTGGCGTGTGACTTAAATGACACACAGGTGTCTGAATGAGAATGTATTCCCGGCCAGTCTAAGCCCCTAGCAAATGCACCATGACCGTCGCCATGTCGTCGCTCAGTAAGCTGCTACTCCGCAATGCGAGTCGGAGGAGTGGAAATCTGTCGCCTATGATGCCACAACTATCATCGCCGAGGGTCGTCCGACGAGAGCTGCATCTCGCACCGCCATTCCTCCTAGACGACTATATACCACGCTATCAGCTGCTCAGCTCTGTTGATGCCGCAAAGAAGCGCTCCAAGGCGTACGCCCACTTGAGAAATTGCAATCTCTGTCCTAGGCTTTGCGGCGTCAACAGATATGAGACCACTGGAATGTGTCTCATTGGAGCTGATGTCAAGGTCAATGTGATTGCGCCGCACTTTGGTGAGGGTGAGTTACGGGCCTTTATCCATTCCCTGGACCCATAGGATGGGTACCCTTTTTGTTAGGGGCTATACTGATGTGGATCACTAGAACCATGTATACAAGGCCACAATGGTATGCAAAGCTGTCATTCTCCTGATTCTAAACTCGTTGATCTTTGCGTCGGCCCGCAATGATTCTAAAAACTAGCTGATACTTGCACAGGCTCTGGTTCTGTCTTCTTCTCGGGTTGCAATCTGCGGTGCACATTCTGCCAAAACCATGATATCGCCCACCAGCGAAACGGAATGGATCTCACGCCGGAGGATCTCGCACAGTGGTATATGAAATTGCAAGAGACGGGAGGAGTGCACAATATCAATCTCATAACTCCCGAACACGTAGCACCACAGGTCGCCCTATCCATTCTCGCGGCGAGGGACCTGGGTTTGAGGATCCCCATCATTTACAACACGTCTGCTTTCGACTCGCTCGAATCTCTCGAGCTCATGGACGGTCTGGTAGACATATACCTGCCCGACTTTAAGGTCTGGAACCAGGCCACCAGCAAACGCCTGCTCAAGGCCGACGACTACGCCAAGACAGCCTGCGAAAGCATCAAAGCCATGCATGATCAGGTTGGGGATCTATGTTTCACACCCGACGGGCTCGCCAAGAAGGGCGTTTTGGTACGCCATCTCGTCATGCCCGGCAAGGAAGAAGAGGGAAAACAAATCATGCGGTATCTGGCCGAGAATTTGAGTCTCGACGTCTTTGTGAACATCATGGAGCAGTACCGCCCAGCTGCGCATGTGGGCAAGCCAAGACGTAGAAAGATTACGGAACCAGGCGGGTTGCAGGCGGATGCCAAAGATTCAGACGACGTTAGATACGCTGAAATTAACCGGCCAGTCACTGAGGAGGAAGTTGGCAGCGTCAGAAAGGCAGCCGAGCAAGCCGGGCTCTGGCGGTTCAATGATCCGCCAAGGCATGCCGGCTTTGCTATTTGATCTCGATCATCAAATTGGCGGCTACTCCATCTCACAAATGGGCATCTAGTTTGTAGCATTCGATCGAGCTTAAACCCCACCGTCTGAAGCAAACCTTCGTACACTTGAGCTGTTCAGGGCAGGATTGCTTGGCTGAAAAGTGCTACACGATTTTGGTATCCTTTTTTCCTGCCCCTCCGCTGGATGCCTTTATCAAATGCCTTCGTTAGCATTGCATATTCAGCACATCAATCAGAAATATACAAAAAGGGACTGGCATGACACACTCCTAGCAAACAAAGCTGGATAAAAAGCGCCTATCCAGCTACAGTGAATAACTTGTCTGCGACTTCGCAGCATGGCTAGCAGCATCCGGAACTACAAATTACTCAAGAAATCTGAAAGAACGTTTGACGATATCCATCCTGCTGCAGAGTACTTACAATGATTCTTTAATGTGGTCTTTTTGATATGTTTTTGCCTAGCCATTGTGTGCCGTTTCTCCAACGTGAGGTTTTGCCTGAAACATCGGCAACCTTTCATACGGCCCAAAGGTTACAGCACAAACATTATAGCATGCTCGCAACGAGACCTACAGGCACCCACACCATCTATTGCTGGCTGTCTATACTGACAAGTAACTCGCTTTGTCAACCAAAGAAGAGTCACTGGGCCATGACTGCCATCCAATTGTGGTCTCGAAGGATTTATATAACTCTCTGGCTTCCATAATTCATGACGGTCTTGGTATCTTTATCACCATCACTGCCACCACTACCACCCTGCAATACAAGTTGACATAGGCTCTTTGCATACGCCTATTCAAAGGAAACCATGTTACCGTTTCAGAACATCAGAGATCATGTTCATCATCAGATACATATCCAGCCCCAGAACTTTGGTCCTCATCCAAGCTTCCACATACCTATAGGCCACGCCAGGCATACAGCTGCTCCTTACTGGCCATGCAATCGCTTGGGTCAGATTGCACTGCAACCTCGCCCGTACGGAGAGCTCCAACAGGAGAGAGAAAAGCTTCTTCGCAACCTGAATGAGGAAGACGACCGGGCAACAGACATGTATCGGCAGCTTCTGTCTTACGAGGACAAGCTTCAATGTGAGCGGCCCCTTGGCAAATTGTGTCTACTACTGCTCAGGCGGCATTTACACGTCGCTAACATTGTCTGATTATCAGACTGCCATGGCGGCGATCGAAGGGACGTCAGAAGAGACCACCACTGGGTCAGAAGAAAGAGTAAGTCATGCCTCAGTATATCCTATTTCTTGTCAAATCTCCATAGCATATACGATCACATACAGAAGCTTTTGAGACTCTTTGTTCGTTTACATTGAGACCGAAAACAACCATTCTCCAAGTCCGCAAATTAACCGTCATTTTCTTTGCAGTAGAAGAAAGTATAGAGATCCAAAAGGCCATCATTGCAAGATTGGGCGAAGTCCACGTGGAGATCCAGAGCCGAGGACGCTGGGTCACAGTCTGGGAAGAGAAAGCCGAAGCAGGTCGGCTCATCTGTCCATCGTGGCATTGGGGACCATCGGCGCTGTGGTCAACCTACGAACGGCAACATCCTCAGAAGCCACGTTCGATGGCTTGTCTACCACCGAGTATCAATCCTGAAGCCGTCTTCCCAGGCACGCCCTGGCCTAGCAGTCATGGCTCCCAACCCAGCGTGCCTCTGCAATATCCCCCAGGACCCATGCATTAGTCAATTGACATTCGTCACCAAGACACTGTGTTTTCAACTCCACATATCACCAGTCAAAACACTTAATCTCGAAAGAACAAAAATAAAAGAAATAACTCTAAGAAAATCCAATCTATTGTATAACTTCCAAATTATTTTTCACATTTTTTATGGTAGACTTATGGCTGTATGAAGTTAGGCTATCAGCCAGCGAATGTCAATTGACTAATGCATGGCTCCTGCCCCATGAATCTATTCGGGCCGCTCAACCACATGGTAAAGGTCCCACGCCACCATCAAAAGTCACAATTGCCATGGGTTCCAACAGTGGAGCACCGAATAAGGTCCACATTCCGGACTTAAACCAAAGCAAGCAGAATATACAATCGGTACGCCAACGTCACAGCCTCCCTTCATTGCATTTTGACTGGATTGCATGCCCCGGGCGGGATCAAGGTCACCAGTGTTTGGGATATGTTGAGAGTCAATGAATGTTTTGTCCCAGTTGAATGTCAATGCCGAGTGAGCAATTCTGAGATTGGTGTTTTTGCGACGGGTTTTGAACACGGTGAATTAAGATGATAGAATTGTAGAGGAGTTCGATCCAAGCTTGGTCTTGTTGCGAAGTGTTTACATAAGTCTATGTTCTGGCGCATATCTTAGGCAAATTCACCAAACTTTCCATCATCGAATCCCAGTTCTGCCGCTGATGGTTGATTGGAGCTTTGTGTATTCTGACTGGAGGACTGCTGCACCCTAACAGTTGGCGCACTAGGCGGCGGAGGGAGAATGCCTGATCCCTTTGATGCCGAAGCTGACGGAGGTGGTGCTAGCGAGAACGAAGATAGAGGAGCATTGGACTGGGGCTCTGGATCAGGCCTCCGGCGCTGGAAGCGGCCAGGCAAATTGACCGTGATAGTCTCTCCTTCTTTCAAGCTATAATCGCGCTTATCTTCGCTCTGCTTCTTTTCAACTGCTGGTTTCTTGCCCGCGGATCCGCCATGGTCCCAACCAAGACCCTTGCCCGCTTCCTGCAAGGAGACACCAAAGTCAAATGACTCGGTTCTCTCCTCGAAGCCGATACCCAGAGAAGCCTTTCGCCCAGCTTCATCTTGGACTCGCAGGGCAAAGAAGCGTGAACTGTCAGATACAGACTCCACGACAGCCTGAGTCGTGTATGGAGCAGCAGCAAAGAGTTGGCCAGTCTTGCCATCCTCGAGGACAATATCCGTCTTCACCTTTTCGCTGCCATCGGGCTGCGGGATGGATGTCTCAATCACACGCAGCCGCGCGGTAAATATTTGACGCTTATTGCCGTCTGCAGTCCATGTTGCGGCCACATGGCCCTTTCCAGGTACCATTGGTGGAATGTTGTAGACATGTACTGTATTGGTGATGAAGAGAACTCGCTGAAGAGAGTCTGAAGGCAGGGGCTGCCCAGTAGCAGGGTCAATGGTGTCCATTGTAAATGAAAACCAGAAAAACGGTGAATATGTTTGAAGTGAACGGCTGAAATCAAGTCAGGGCCAATAAGTGACTGAGTAAATACACCCGAAATGTATATATCAAGTTGAAGATGCTTTTTCCCGGCCGAGGCAGATTATACTCGAGAGTGATACATGTACGGCAGAAGAGGGGTGTTCACTGGTTCGCGGTATTTAGGTGGATCAGAGTCGCTGAGGCCAGGTACAGTTAGGGGTCCAGTTAAGCTTCTAGTGGGCCGCAGCGTGGCAAGCGTGGTCGAGTCCCACTGTTTTCAGGTTCTAGGGGTCCATCCCAGAGCATCGGAAGATGGTAACGCCGACGAGGGGCGCTGGTGGGAATGGACTACAACAGTCAGGTCCATTGATAGAGCGCGGTCCAGGTCGGGTGGAGATTGATCTAAGACCGGCCCCGGCGCAAAAAGGCAGTAAAGCACTCGTCATTGCTCAAGCTCCCAGCTTAATAATAATAGTCAAATAGTATTCCATGATCCGTCCGAGGTCGCGGGAGCAATTTCGACGATCGCTGCTCGCCAGGGGACTCTTCTTTCCTTCTCGGTTCATCTGTCTATACTTGTACTTTTAAGCAAAAGATTTGATTTCCTTACCCCTTCCCTTGCTCCCTCAACACCGGAAGCCGCAGGGCACTTTGACCGGCGCCGCCCTCGACCTTTGATCCCGTCGTGCAATCACGTCTTCGGCCCAATTTTTTCGAGCCCGCGAAATCCCGCCACCATGCTTTGCCGCCAGCATCTGTCTCGACAGCTTGCTGTCCGGGGCACGTCGAGATATGCACACAGATTAAGTCCCTCGTCGATTTCGCGGTTATACTCCATACATACGATTGCGCCGCGGGCTACCTCGGAAAGACACGTCGCGTGCTCAGCCTTGACCACCGCGGCAAGGCAAAGCACATTGTCCTCGGCTAGTTTCTCGACGTCGACCGCTAGGTCCAAGGAGAAGGATAATGACTTCTTTGACCAGAAGATCGAGCCATTGTCGGAAGAGGAGGTCAAGGCCAACCTGAAGGAGCAAAACAAGTCTGAAGAGCTTGCCGCAGAAACCAGTGAAGCCAAGAGCACTGATGCACCATCATCTGGCGCCAACGAGCAAGGAGAGGCGGCAGATGGGAAAGGAAGCAGTGCTGCTGGCGGAGCATCGTCTGGCTCTGGCAATGATGGCTCGGGAGACGGTGGACGAAAGGGTCGCAAGTCTGGAACCGATAAAGCACTTCAGAAACCAGTCGTTCCGGAAGTATACCCCCAGGTCATGGCGATTCCCATCGCAAAAAGACCGTTGTTCCCTGGTTTCTACAAGGCAATCACCATCAAGGACCCTCAGGTCTCTCAAGCAATCATGGACATGATCAAGAGAGGTCAACCATACATTGGAGCCTTCTTGTTCAAGGACGAGAATGCTGACGAGGATGTTATCCGGAACCCCGAAGATGTCTATGATACTGGTGTCTTTGCACAGATTACAAGCGCTTTTCCAGTACACGGAGAAACAACCAGCCTGACTGCCATTCTATACCCGCACCGACGTATCAAGCTCTCCACCCTGATCCCTCCTGGGGCTCAAGATACCAAGGAGACCGATGCGCCAGCCGAGCCTGCAGCTGAACCCGAACCGATTCCTCCCAAGACCGACGAAGAGATTCAAAGAGAGAAGAAAGGAGATGTTGTTGCCAGTTTTGAAGAAAGTGCCGTTGCGCCCAAGCCAGAAACTCAAGCGGAAAAGTACGAACCCACCTCCTTTTTGAGGAAATACAATGTCAGCCTCGTTAATGTCGAGAATCTGGCCGAGGAACCATTTGACCCAAAGAGTTCTGTCATTCGCGCTGTTACCAATGAGATTGTCAATGTCTTCAAAGAGGTTGCCACCATGAACAGTCTCTTCCGTGACCAGATCTCGACCTTCAGCATGAGTTCATCTACGGGTAACGTTAGTGCCGAGCCGGCAAAGCTGGCAGATTTTGCTGCCGCCGTGTCTGCAGGAGAACCAGCTGAGCTGCAAGAGGTGCTTGCAAGCTTAAACGTCGAAGAGAGAATGCAAAAGGCACTTGTTGTGCTGAAGAAGGAGTTAATGAACGCCCAACTCCAGTCCAAGATTACAAAGGATGTTGAACAGAAGATTACGAAGCGGCAACGAGAGTACTGGCTCATGGAGCAAATGAAGGGAATTCGCCGAGAGTTGGGTATCGAGTCTGATGGCAAGGACAAGCTTGTTGAGAAATTCAAGGAAAAGGCTGACAAGCTGGCGATGCCCGAGGCCGTCCGCAAGGTCTTTGATGACGAGATTAACAAGCTTGCTCATTTGGAGCCTGCTGCGTCCGAGTTCAACGTCACGCGAAACTATTTGGATTGGTTGACACAGATTCCCTGGGGACAGCGGAGCGCCGAGAATTTTGGCATCCAAAATGCCATGAAGGTTCTGGACGAGGATCACTACGGTCTGAAAGATGTCAAGGACAGGATCTTGGAGTTTATTGCAGTTGGCAAGCTCCGGGGAACTGTGGAGGGCAAGATTCTCTGCTTTGTCGGACCTCCTGGTGTCGGAAAGACAAGTATTGGCAAGTCAATTGCCAAGGCCCTCAACCGTCAATACTACCGCTTCAGTGTGGGTGGTCTCACGGATGTTGCAGAGATTAAAGGTCACAGGCGGACATATGTCGGTGCCCTGCCAGGCCGAGTGATACAGGCCTTGAAGAAGTGCCAAACAGAAAACCCGCTCATTCTTATTGACGAGGTTGACAAAATTGGACGAGGCTACCAAGGCGATCCCTCTTCAGCACTTCTCGAACTTCTGGACCCAGAACAAAACGGCTCATTCTTGGACCACTACATGGATGTCCCAGTCGACCTATCCAAGGTCCTGTTTGTTTGCACAGCCAACATGACTGATACTATTCCACGACCTCTCCTTGATCGTATGGAAGTCATCAGATTATCTGGGTACGTGTCAGACGAAAAGAAGGCGATTGCCGACCGTTATCTCGCCCCAGCAGCCAAGGAATTGGCGGGCTTGAAGGAGGCGAACGTGACGCTGTCGGACGATGCGATCGACGAGCTCATCAAGTCGTACTGTCGCGAATCGGGAGTTCGCAACCTCAAGAAGCAAATCGAAAAGGTCTTTAGAAAGTCTGCGCTGAAGATTGTTCAGGATCTTGGCGAGGAAGTTCTACCAGAGTCTGAGGCACTTACCGCAGATGGCAAAGCTGCATTTGAGGAGTCTGAAAAGGAGAAGGAGAAGAAAGATAGGGACCCGGTATCCTCTGAAGCCACTGAGCAAGAAACCACGGAGAAGCCTCGGGTCGCACTTAGTGTGCCCGACTCCGTCCAAGTAACCATCGACAAGGACAACCTAAAGGACTACGTTGGCCCTCCAGTGTTCACGTCGGATCGTTTGTACGATGTGACGCCACCGGGAGTGACCATGGGTCTCGCCTGGACTCAAATGGGTGGCTCTGCCATGTACATTGAGTCGATTCTGCAATCTGCCTTGAGGCCTAGCAGCAACCCCGGCCTGGAGATTACCGGAAACCTCAAATCGGTCATGAAGGAATCATCAACAATCGCCTACTCGTTCGCCAAGGCTTTCATGGCCAAGGAGTTCACTGACAACCACTACTTTGACAAGGCGAAGATCCACCTGCATGTTCCAGAGGGGGCTGTGCAAAAGGATGGACCCTCGGCTGGCATCACAATGGCAACATCTCTGCTGTCGCTGGCATTGGACACGGCCGTCAACCCCACTGTAGCAATGACAGGCGAGCTGACACTGACCGGAAAGGTGCTGCGGATAGGTGGTTTGAGAGAAAAGACTGTGGCAGCGCGCAGGGCAGGCTGCAAGCTGATCGTTTTCCCGGAGGATAACATGTCCGACTGGCTAGAACTTCCAGAGGTACGTACATTACCACCGCGTTATGTTTTCGCGACTTTTTGTTACTAGAGATGAGTATACTAATGATGGCGTCAACAGAATATCAAGGAAGGCATCGAAGGCCGACCAGCCAGGTGGTACAGTGATGTTTTTGACCTCGTCTTCCCCGACTTGGACAAGGAAGCAGCGAGCAAATGCAAGATCTGCGAGTGGAAGAAGGAACACGATGCAAAGAAAGACAGCGACGACAAATAGGACGGGGGCTTCGCATTCGGCAGCGGCGTCGGAGCTGACACGAGTTGGACCGCACCTCCACATGTGTCGTTGTCGTCGTCAGCCACGAGCCTGCATAAAGCATAGAGATGTACATTGGTTTATAGCATTTGCGGCAGGACAGGCGACTATCCAAAGGGCGTTCTAGGCGATGGGGACGCAATGATTTGACGAAATGGTTTCGAAGGAACCTGGAAACACCCTCTCTTCTCTCTACACACACATAAATCCCTTGTAATATTGCATCATTACATACATATCAAGATCATTTGTATGGAAATAGGAGACAGGAGTCTAAGCGAATGATGGCATATTGCGCATACTTGGATGGTTGGGCTAAACACTGTACATAGACAGACAGAACGGCTCGATAGGTAAATCTGCCAATTGTCATGCATTGAAATCCAGATGCAAAGAAATGTTTTCCTCCTCCATTTTTTTTTTTTTTGACCCCGATCACTTGAGCAAACCCCAAGATCTGGACCTGCCAAAGTTGCAGCCTTGGGCATCGACAAATGCTCATGGATGCTTCTTTGGGTATCTGTATGTGTGTTGTGGTTGGGCTTGGACCAAGGGAGAAAAAGACCAATGCAGGCAATATAATTCATGTCAGCGCCCACTTGCCATCATCTTGCTCCTGCATGCATCTGCAGCTACTCGCATGACCAAACCGGCCTTGCATAGGTACAGTGGGTTGCTGGCTGTCCTTTTTTTTTTTTTTTTTCCCTCCTCCTTGCTCCGCCTTGCGGGCAGCTATCCGATATTGAGGCTGGCTGGAGCAAAGGGTCAAGAAAGAAGAGAGCATAGAGGATTGACTAGAGTTTGCCAAGAAGCTGAGTGGATGCCTCGCACAATATGGATATACGTATCTCACAAGATCCGCCTGATGCCGACAAGTATCTCTCTTCAGGAATGGTTGCGTTGCGGGATCCATGCTATGTATATACAGTAAACCTACGTAGCTAATGCTCCAGGTTTGAGGCGGGCAGTGCTGACCTTGAACCGTCCACTACGCCAATGTGATGAGAAAGTAATAGGGGTGGTGGGAGGGCTTACGGACAAACTCCTGATTGTGTACTTGGTAGGTGCCCAATTTCTATTTTTCGGAGACTGCCCAACGCCCATTTAATGATTATGATGATGATGATGATGACGACACGGGGAAAGGAAATAGATTCTGCAGGATGCGACTACATAGATGGTGAGATGTTTATTATGTACAACCCATGAAATTAGACCATTGTTGGTCAACACGGGGCCACTCGGAGGGTTCTATGTGTATACGTGTCTGTTGGTGATGAATTTTGGTCATGTTGACACACACATGCCCATCTTGGGATAGATGTTTTTCTTGGATCATTTCCTCGGATCGTGTGTATAGTCGAGACTAAGGGGACCCAAGAGCTCGCGAAGACAAGACGGACGCTGACGGGGCTCTAGTGTCTTGTCTTACCCAGATCTGCGTAGCCCTTATGCAATCACCTTCTGTGTAAACTTGAGCGAAATTCGGGAAGAAATAGTATCACGACTTGTCTCATCACGCAGGTGTTGTACTATGGTTTTTTCTTTTCTCACCCAGAGGCCGGTATAAAAAAGAAAGAAAAAAAGCAGAGCACACAAGTAATAGTTTGGGATCCACAAGGGAGGTAAATGTTCCGGTCATCCTCAATCGGAATCCGACTTGCTTCAAGCATTGAGCACGAACAGGTGCCTGGATTACACTATACTGCGGGTAGATTGAAATAGCTTCTTTTGGGTCTTTCGGTATTTACTGTTGCTGGACAGTTTGGTGCCAATGGACGTCGAGGACTTATGTTGCTGATCGTTTATAGTTTTTTTTAATTTTATTACAGGGCGCGTGTGCGCTTGCGATTAGTGCAATGTATCGCTGCCCAAGCTGCCGGAACGGGAAAATGCGGTGCTCAAAAGGCCCCAAGGCCCGGAGCTCCTGGCAAGGGGACGACGGTGCGGGATGGGACAAGACTGACGATGGCTTCTCAGAATTTGTGGTTTGTCCTTTGGGTTCCTCCTCTGATGATGTATGCGGGTCAGTGGAAGCACGGTACCATGCTCATCCAGATCTCTCTACTCGTCAGTCTACGCAAAGATCGGGGAACAGGGACGAGGGAATGGGTATCACAATCCTCTACTCGGCTGCCGCTGATGCTTCTGTATCAGAGGCCGTCCATTCATCATCGTACGTCATTGCCCACAGGTCCAAATCCACATCTCGCGACCAGATACTACACGACATGAGAAGATTACACATGTCAATACGCAGATCACACGATCTAGCTGACCGCGGCCGCCGGGGGATTATTTGAAGTGCGCAGAAACCAATAGAGAAAGTCGAATCGGCCACGGTTCTTTATGGCATTCTCCGTGTTTCAAGCAAACGGGTAAATTTCTTCTTGAACATGGCGGTGAGCATAGACGGTATCAGAGATGCCTATATACCTATACGCGAAATGTTGTCGTGTTGGAAATTGATGGCGTTTGGCTGCTTGGCATAGTCTTTACTTGGTTTTACTGTGCATTGCAAGCATCGTGTTCCAGGAGTAACTTATTTAGAAAACTCTGTACCAACCAGACACTTGTCAGAGTTTATGGCCACAGTTTCGCACCAATGGGTTTTCACTTAAGGTATTGAGAATTGTAAAGCTTACTACAATACCCAGTATCTTTCCAATAGATGTAAAATAACTCTGATTTCATTTAGCCGATTACCTATGTATACATTACCCCGTCCCAGGTGTTAGTGAGGGTAGTAAAGTGGCTCACATAATCAGAAGCGTTAGGGTCATGGTGGGTGCAATTATTACCTGCAGTTATGCGCGATGTGTACCTGATACGTGTTCCAATACTATGCTGAGCCTACTGTAGACGCACGGCGAGGTCGGAGATTGATGGCAGATATAGTCCAAGTCTAGGTACCTCATCAAGGTAGGCGGATACACGTAGATTGCGCGCACTTTGATGCAGAATGAGGTGACGGACGAAAGTGGCTCAAGACCTCGGCGCCTAACAAGTGATCGGTCACATTTTGCAGTAAATGATCCAAAACGACAAAGTCTAGGCGACGAATGTCTGCGTATTTGGCCCATGGATAAAAACGCCTCTTCAACGTCCCTTTCTGCGGGGTGTCTGTCGGAGTTGCAGCCCCCAGATCAGCATGGAGCTGCTCGTTTGTGGAGGACGAATGAAGAATAGGAGAGGCTTGTGACGATTTGACGACATGAAGCTACACAACCAGCTGATGCTTTTTGTCTGTCTCCCTCTCTCTGTTTGGAATAAGGAACCCGAAAGGCAATCCGGATGCCTCTGCCCAAAGCCGTGCATGCATCGAGAGCAACGTGCCAGGGATGATTCTGTACATAGGGTGATGCTGGCCTCTCCTCCAACCATGGAAACGCCCACACCCACCAGAGAAGTTGTACAACACATCAAGTCATTGTTCAATCACAGCCACGAATTGATATGACTTGTCCGTCGCAACTCGGCGGTGCCAAAGCTGATCCTTGGGCGGTCCATACGTTCAGGTCAGATACGAGTCCCTGAATAGGCAACGAGGCGGGTCCCATTATAGTGTACAGATAGATCCTAAGCATCATTGCAGGCGATGGCTGGTGATAGCTGCTAGTATGGTTGATCTGTAGTACACTAGTCCTGGGCGGCCGGGCACACACTCGACAGCAGTTACTACTTTACTATGTGTTGTGTAAATCTTGCTACCTTAGCGTCCCTCGGTGCTCCCCGTTCTGACTGAGATCATCCTTGTCGGCCATGTTGAACCCCAGTCCAAGTCGTTGATACGCCGAGTCCTTGATCCCCGATGAGCAAGCAGGGGGAGAGAATGGAGAAGATTGAAGCCAGGCCCCCGCGTCTTGCTTGCCGAGCTAGAGTCAAGTTCGGTATAGTCCGTTGGAGGGGTTCGTGAGTTTGTGTGTGTAGGTGTGTGCCTGTTTAGCATTGTCTGTGCTTTGGAGCCCAAGGTTAGGTTCCGCGGTTTTGGAGTGTTTTTAGTGCAGTACACAGTAGTGGGTGTACACAGTAGGTAAATCACAATAGGAGGGATGAATGGATGGATGGGGATGGTGGATGAATACACAGTAGAGGGAGGGAGGTAAGCAACCTTGTTGGGTTGCCAAGGAGAAAGTAGAAACAAGTGAGAGGGAAATAAAAAGAAAGAAGAAGAAAAAAAGGCAGAAGAGCTTCACCGCAAGCATCTCGTCATTCTCAATTCCCTCTTCGTCCGCGATCTCTTGCGTTTCCATGCTGCAGTCGAAGAGGAGTCGTTGCATGCTCAAAAATACCTATCAACCAACAACAGCCAAGCTCCGAATGCCGCTCAAGCTGCATCTGCATCTTTCTGCTTTCTGACGCTGGGCAACCTTCATGTCCCGGGAAGGCACGGCTCAGCCAGCTCTTTGCTGCCAAATCTGCTACCCTCACTAGCCTACAAAACTATGTAATAGTACACACTACGGACCGTAGTCAATGTACCCGCTGGGCTGGGGTCTGACATAGGTAAGTGCCTAGGTACTACACATATAGTGCATCCCTACATTACATGGTACTACCTACTACCTCTTCGTACCCTCGGGACACTGAACACACTCTCGTTAGTATGTACTAGGACGCGAACAAATGACAGCGCACCAAGCAACCACAAAGTTGACGACCTTTCTATAACCAATGTCCCCGAATCGCCTCACTTCTACTTTTCAATTGACACCCTTTTCCACTGCTTGATCTGTTCATACTCTTGAGCCAGCTGCTCTTGTAGTTCGCCCTCATATACATACCCCGTTGTCCCTCGCCTACATTGTACACGAACCATGACATGACGAGGGCCCAGCCACCACCCCACCTACATTAGCATCCGATCTTTCGGTGAACACACATTGGGTGTCGGTTGCCTGCACACATACATACCTTCCAGTCGCGCTTCACAAGGGATTGCATCTTGCTTCTTTCCACTCTGCCACAATCTGTGACTTCGCCTCCAGATAGCCGTCCGAGCACCAGAACGGCCACCGATCGCACATGATCCAAGTCTAGTGTAGTGGCCATCTACAAATTCTGGATCATTACCTGCCCCCTCTACACGAATAGCAATCACCCACTTGTGATTCATATATACATATGATTCACGAACCAGCCAGCAGCAGCGCATAGACGACATGACATAGCTCCTGTTCCTTTACCCTGTTGTCGCCTCCTGCCTCAGGGTTGCCCTCGCTCCCAGTATATCCTACAAAACATTCAAGCATTGATTGACATCGAGCTTGACACATCTATGGTCTCCGACAAGCCGCCCCCGGATCTACTCCACAGCCGCCGAAATGGCAACACAAGCGGATCCCTCCTCGCACGACCCGACCCCGGAGAACCACAAAAGACTTTCAACTCTTCTCAGAAGATTCTTGGGCAGGAACAATGCGCCTCTGACGCCAGAGGGTGTGACCGAAGCATCGCAAGCCCTGCCACCCGAAACGACTGGCGGGGATGAGAGCAACGTATCGCGACCTTCGGCCAGGAGGGTTGTCCCTGGCCTTCCTCGAGCAAAGACCTTCAAGAGACAACAGTCGGAGCTCAGGGAACGGCTAGAGCTGAACAAGCCTACACAGGCCGAGCGAAGGGCAGTGTCCGTCGACCGAAGGGGCACACATCTACCTCGTGATGTCTCGGCAAGCAGAAGTCAACGTTTGCCTCGCGCAAGTGCGCCCGACTTTTTCGATGATGCCGGCTCCACTACGACGGCCGGAAATGACCAGTCAGCACTGCATAGTCCCATGGAGGAGAAGCAATTCTTGAATGTGCCAGATACAGGCATTGTTCACGTTGATCTGGCGGCGCAAAAGGAATCATCTGCAGCCCGGTTTCCTTCAAGAGAACCTTCTGCTGCTGATGCGCGGTCTGTTACAACGTCGGCATATGACACTCAGATTCGCGATGAGCTGGAAAGCAAGTGGATACTAAACCTTTCCATGCACTTCAGAGACAAGTCTAGGAGGGAAAAGTTCTTTGTGACGTACAGAGAAAAAGAGTGCCTATGGCGGCGGGTGACCATATCCCTAGACTATCGAGACGCTCCATCCGATTCCTTAGAAGGAGATCTTCAGGATACAAAGTTCCAACGTGAGAAAAGCGCAAAGATCTACGAAGCCATTCGCGAGAGCCTTCAAGACATTCAGTTCTATGATACCGTGACGAATCTCAAGTTGCAGACCACCAATGGCAGATTGCATGTTCACGTGGTTGAAGATGTCAATGTAAGTTGAAGGCAAATCGAGTTTGGAAGAGCTTTACTGACGAGGGGTGGGTTCTCAGGAAATCATCCACTTTCCTGCCGTTCAAATGGTTCAACATCTGGGCTGTCGCCGTATTCGAGAGAAAGACATCATCTTTGATTCTCACATGTCTGGTTTCGTCTACAAGGTCCAGGTTGATGGTCGAACTTTGATCAAGAAGGAGATTCCCGGGCCCGATACTATAGAAGAGTTTCTCTACGAAGTGAACGCGCTAAATTCTCTGAGATTTTCCGCCAGTACCGTATCATTTTACGGAGTGGTTGTGGATGACGGCGATACTAGTGTCAAAGGCCTTCTCATTGACTATGCTGAGAAGGGTGCGCTTATCGACATCATTTACGACGCCCAAGAGCATGGCCCGGATTTGCCCTGGATAATGCGAGAGAAATGGGCGCGGCAAATCGTTCAAGGTCTCTCAGACATTCACGAAGCCGGATTCGTGCAAGGCGATTTTACTCTTTCTAATATTGTTATTGACGATGATGATAATGCTAAGATAATAGACATCAACAGACGAGGCTGCCCAGTTGGCTGGGAGCCTCCGGAGGCAACTCCACTTATCAACAATAATCAGCGGATTTCCATGTATATTGGAGTCAAGTCTGATTTATATCAGCTAGGAATGGTTCTTTGGGCCTTGGCAATGCTTGAAGATGAGCCCGAGGCTCACCGGCGGCCGCTGCGATTAGATCCGGACATCGAGGTACCAAGGTGGTACCGCAGGCTAGTGGACAATTGCCTCAGCGATAACCCACGCATGCGCAAGCAGGCGACTGTGCTTCTCGACATGTTTCCCAGTTCTTCGTATGAAAATCACGACCAACACGAGCCACCTTCTATTTCTGTGGATGATGGTCTATCGATTCAGCAGTACAGAGTGGAAGAACACGAGCGTAGCGGCCACCCAATTATCAGAACGGTGACACCACAAAGCGATGCGTATGCGTCAGGGATAGGTCACCAGTCTGGCCTCACTTCACCTGGTTTGTCGGAAGATGCTTTCTACTACCCTCCCAGGGGCCGGTCGCCGCCTAGTCCTATGCCAAGCAATCTTGACGACTGCGACGCTCCCTTCCTCGGACGGAACGGTACTTGGTCGGATCGGCGCAATCTAGTCGAGCCTGAGGAGAGTGAAGATGCGATATCCAGGGTTGATTCAAAAACTCGGATGAGCGAAATCACGAGGCAGCTGGAGGGAAGTCTTAGGACGATCGGCTCACAGAGCTGTCGGGTTTCTGCTGGTGAACATGGTGGCGCTGGCGAAGAAACACAATCAATCGACCTCGAGGAGCCATGCGTGCCATTGAGCTCGCCCCAGATCGTTGTTGATGAGGCAGGAGACGAGGATGCTCATGAATTTGGGCCAGAGCCAGTGGTCCCAAGAGACAATGTCCCCGACAAGGAGACCACGAATATGGATCCTACGGCAGTGCTTACCCTTCCTCTCGAGGATGCGAAGTCCACCGACCCACGAGGAGGATCACAAACAATGAACCTGGCTCCAACTGGGGTCCAACGCCAATCTGAGCAAGTGGGATATATCAAAGAACGCGAAACTCCTCTACTGCACCAAGAACATGACCAGCAGGATGACAACTATGCAGCAAATTATGCCCATGTCGGAGGTTCGGCGTTCCCTCCAAATATTCCATCAGAGCCATCAACGAGTTTGCAGTTCCCAGCCAGCGACAGGCCAGTCTATGATGCGGCAGCAGATCTGACGGGCATTGGCACTGGTTATGAAACTGAAGAATTTCGAAAGTCAATTTGCTCAGACGAGGATCTCGGGCTTACATCCACAACACCGGCTCCTGACGTGACATCACAGGCGTAAAAGCAGAGAAATGGCAGTAATATACGACAGTAAGAAAAGATTACAGAGCTGGCGACACAGCACAGCATCATCAAACAGCAATTTGCATGGATTCACGGGCTTTGGAAGGAGCACGGAGACATGTCCTTTTTTATCGAATTTCATGAAGCTTACGGAATGGATGACTTGTATATTTGTACTTGCTGACCTTTACTCTTCTTTTTTCTTTCCGTTCTTCCTTTCCATATTTGTGTGACTCATCTACCCGGACCCAAACGGACGGACCGTCAGGTGCGTGAATAGTCCTCAGTTGTCTTATTACCAAATCCAAGAAAAGAATTACTTTGATTGGCTGCCTTGATTCGCCGAGTCCTGAGATCTTGTTGCGAAGCTGCGCGTGAATGACGAATGCGAAGTCATGATACAAGAGATATTACTTGTTGCAAGATTCAGTTGAGTTATGACTTGAACACTCCACCCTACACATTCATGACGGAAAACCAGACGATTCGACAGTGTTGAACCGGTGCTGCAATTCCACCACGTTTACAGATGCATAGAAGCTCCCGTGGTGGCGAGGTCAAAGATTAAAAGTGAAAACTTCCCGCCCCTGGCCTGGCCTGAACCCGGGTGGCGGGCTCTCCCCTCTCGCTAGGCCACTCTTGGCTTAGTTTTGTCGATCACAAAAAGCTTCTAGAAGAGACAATAAAGTCAAGATGCCCTTGGCTGGCACGTGCTCTCAACGGCTTCGGGTGGTCCATGCCCACGGGCGAGCGGCGTGGCGGCAAGGCGGGCGGCAATTTTGGGAAGACGATTGAGATTCTTCTAGCCCGCCAACCCGCACATGAAGCAACGACGTCAAAGCTCCCGAATGGCTTTTTTTTTTTTTTTTTTTTTTTGTCTGCGGAAATCCCAAAGCCAAATTTGACCCGCAACCCGTGTTTTTTTTTTTCCCCTTCTGCCCTTCGCCACAGTTCAAAAGTGTGGACATTCCCGACCATCAAATCGCAATAGAAAATGCTGGGCCCCAAGGGCAAATAGCAAGCTAAGAGCTAACAAAGCTCCTCGTTATCCTCCTCCCCCCCCTCCTTCCCCCAATGATCACCATACTACAGGACACAACACAGATTCATGTCAATCAGTAAGGAGAAATAGATAGTAGGTAATGTGAACCAGCCAAGTGAGCTGGTGACTTGCTGTCCGTCATACGACTCTTCCTTTGGCACCCGCACGCCGGAAACCCCAGTCAACGTGAGGACAAAATGTATCTCAAAGTCGGAGGATGATCGTCATTGCATCATCTCATTCTCCCCGATGGCGTACCATTGAGGGGGAGAGTTTGTAAACAATTGAGACAGTAGCAGAAGATCATCCTATCAGCGGTGACTAGCAACGTTCTGGGCGATGCATATTGGCCCTGATCTGGGTTTGGTTGGCGAGCAAGCTTTAAGAAAAGGAACGGTAAAGTTTCCGGCATTTGCTTGCTGCTGCATGTCCTGTCGGTGAATGTTAAAAGAGAAACAGAGTTTAGCACATGTGGTTGTCAACTATTCAAAACTCAAAAGGTTCAGTTTGGTGCTCAACCGCCATTCCTCCACCCGATAGTAGCAGCTTGCTGGGGGGCTGTTGAAGATCCGCTTTTCCGACCTGCGCATTGCAGCTTACATGCGATAAGCACTCCCTCCCAGACAATAAAGTCCATGATAGCATTTCCCGTTTGCCATCTCTAGCCACTGATGATTTTGTCGTTGGAATATCTCTTGAAAGCACTTGACGATAAAGATGAGTGACGAGTCTGAATCTTTCTAGACGGATTGAGCTCTACATAGGTATGACAGAGTACTCTGTACATGGGTATCAATGCTGCATTGAGGTATGCAATCTGGGCAATTGTAAGTGTGAAAAGTACGTACCTTCTACACGCTACCAGAGGCACCAGACATCAAATTGGCACGGGCGCCAGTTCCGGGTCACCACTGATGGAGGCTGGTTGGCTGGAGACAGTTGATACCCACCTAATCAGGAAGGACCCCTGTTTCGCCCTCCCATGGCGTCTTGATTTCCTGGCCAATCACCGTCAACCCAACTCCCAACAATTTCCCCCAACAACAACGACATGTTGCCCTGGAACTGGGAACATTCAGTCAGCACTCAGCACTGTCAGTTATCCACGGTCGAATTCTTTGGAACCAGCGGCAACATGACACCCAAGAACCGAGGATTCGAATCACCATATGGAGAATTGAGATTGGCCAGTCAGTGGCGGCCATGCTGTTCGGTTACGGATCTCTTTCCCCCTTGTTTGCTGCTCCCCAGTCCCCCACGTTTGTGATTGTCCGGGTTTTTTCGCCTCGGCTATGACTTTCTTTGGTTGACGTGCCCGTGACGATCTGTTGTTGTTCACCTTTGATCATGTGCTTGTGATCATCGCGCAGACTTTAGCAAAGAAGTTATCCCCTATGAGCAGGATGTTTTTCCCTTGTGGACTGAGTCTAGTCAGCTATAAACGCAACATGGCAAGAGTTTATCTCTGGTCCATGACAAGCAACCAAACGTGAAATTCTTAGGGAATCCGTCTGATTTTTTATACAATAACCACTGGACTGCATATGTCAACTAAAAAGACCCTGTCTGTTGTTGGACACTTGAAAACAAACAGTGTGCTTCAAGGTGAAACTTGATCAACCACGTTGGGTGGAATGTCAAAAAGTAACTAATAAGGCAACTCACGCAAGAACCAGAGCCAAGCTACCGAGTATGCGTGTAGAGTGATTTTAGTATCAAGAGTTTTATACTGGGCATAAGGGGTCTCTTTTACCCCATTCCGAGTAATTTACGTTACCAAGCACATATGCTTGCATGCAAACAATCAACACAACAAGCCATGCAACATCATCTGCTGTGCCGACCGCCCCCAAACGAATGAACTGGACTGATCTGGACGCAGGGTCATCATACCCATTGACTTGCCCGAGAGGCAAAAAAAAAAAAACAAAACCAACCATAGGAGCGCCACTTTGTTCGCTCTGTCCCCAGTCCTAGTCCCCGCCATCTTGCCCATCTGTCCCACCAAAGCCAGACTCTACACACTAGGTACCCACCGCATAGTACTTTGGTACCTCTGCCTTCCTTCTCGATAAATATTCTTCTCTCAGCCCGTCCATGCATTCCTCTTTTGTTTCCTTCCCCCTCACGCTGTTCGTCAAACACCAACAAGTCCTCGATACTTATCTCGAGGCCCGATAACATCAACAACTTATCGGTTTCCTTTTTTTTTCCATCCTCCGTTTTTAATTTGCTCTCTCATTCGATCGACATTGTCCATCATGTCGTCGGATGCTAAGGCCCCGGTGGGCACGCCTGTCATTGACGGCACCAAGGACTACAAGCCTCTGCGAGGCAAGGGCTACGACCTGAAGAAGCCGCACATCACAGAGACCCCAATCACTTGGGGCAATTGGTACAAGCACGTCAACTGGTTGAACGTCACCTTCATTATCGGCGTCCCCCTGGCCGGCTGCATCGCTGCTTACTGGACTCCTCTTCACCTCTACACTGCCATCTTTTCCGTGGTGTACTACTTCAACACCGGTCTCGGTATCACGGCTGGTAAGTCAACCAGAGCACATGACTGGGGCTCGCTCATCTGGGAGATATTGTTACTAACATTGCACAAAAAGGTTACCATCGTCTCTGGGCACACACTTCCTACAAGGCTTCTACCCCCCTCAAGATCTACCTCGCTGCCGTCGGTGCTGGTGCTGTGGAGGGTTCTATCAGATGGTGGTCTCGGGACCACCGTGCTCACCACCGATACACCGATACCGAGAAGGATCCCTACTCCGTTCGCAAGGGCCTCCTGTACTCTCACCTGGGATGGATGGTCATGAAGCAGAACCCCAAGCGTATTGGCCGTACCGACATTACTGATCTCAACGATGACCCTGTTGTTGTCTTCCAGCACACTCACTTTATCAAGTGTGTCATCGCCATGGGTCTTGTGTTCCCAATGCTGGTCTGCGGTCTTGGCTGGAATGACTGGGCTGGCGGTTTCATCTACGCCGGTATCCTCCGTATCTTCTTCGTCCAGCAGGCCACTTTCTGCGTCAACTCTCTGGCTCACTGGCTCGGTGACCAGCCTTTCGACGACCGCAACTCGCCCCGTGACCACGTCATTACTGCATTGGTTACTTTGGGTGAGGGTTACCACAACTTCCATCACGAGTTTCCCTCCGACTACCGCAACGCCATTGAGTGGTGGCAGTACGACCCCACCAAGTGGTCCATCTGGACCTGGAAGAAGCTCGGCCTCGCCTACGACCTCAAGCAGTTCCGCTCCAACGAGATCGAGAAGGGCCGTGTTCAGCAGCTGCAGAAGAAGCTTGACCAAAAGCGTGCTATTCTCGACTGGGGTACTCCTTTGGACCAGTTGCCCGTCATTCACTGGGACGACTTCGTCGCCGAGTCCAAGAACGGCAAGGCTCTTGTTGCCATTGCTGGTGTCATTCACGACGTAACCGACTTCATCAAGGACCACCCCGGTGGCAAGGCTCTCATTTCCTCCGCCATTGGCAAGGACGCTACTGCCATCTTCAACGGTGGTGTCTACTTGCACTCTAACGCTGCTCACAACTTGTTGTCGACCATGCGTGTAGGTGTTCTCCGTGGTGGATGCGAGGTCGAAATCTGGAAGCGAGCACAGTCCGAGAACAAGGACACCATTGTTGTCAACGATTCGACTGGGCAGCGCATTGTCCGAGCTGGCGACCAAGTCACTCGCCTTACACAGCCCATCTCGAGCGCAGAGGCTGCATGAGTAATGACACTGGAGGTTTAATAGGATTCAACAATTTGAACGAGGCAGTGTCTCGCAGAAGGGCACATGCATTGGAGGGATACAACAAAAGAATAGACTCGACAAGACTGTCAAGATTGTGTGGAGGGGTGTACCACGTGATTTTTACGGGGCAGCTCAATTAACCACTCACGCTTGTGAGGTCCCGTTCTGTACATAGAATATCTATTTCGTCGTTGGACGGAAGCGAAGATTTGGCTTTTCCCATGGAGTTCAGGAGATTCTGGTTCACAACAACGGCGCATGATCAAAAGACTGATCAAATAGGACTGAAATTCATCAAAATAAACAAATCACATGATTAAAATTATCATAAACATCATAAATACTGATTTCTTATGTGCAAGTTTTTGTTAACGAATATGCTAAACTCAAGGTACTGTAATGTATGTAACTAGTGTTTTTAGTCTTCCCTACCAATTTAAGGCTAGGTAATTGTACTGCCCCAACATTATCGGCAGTCCGGGATAGAAAAAAAACCCAAGTCGAGTTGAAAAGAAAGTGGATCTCGCGGTTATTGGAGCGAGGCGAAAATGTTCGGTCTCACATGTCAATCAGCGTCCCAGTCGGTCCCCCAACGGATCGGTATTTTTCTTAAAAACCCTTGGCCGCTATCAGCCCTATGATGCAAGATGTAGTCTAGTTTCATTCAAGAAATTTGATGACGACCATGGACTTTTTACGTGCAGTGATCCTTGTCTGCCATTACATAGTCGCAAGTGACGCAAAATAGTGATTTACATGTCAATGGAGAGATGTGCACATGTGATTTTTATGTCACGGAACAATTGATCGCATGATTGGGGGGACAAGACCGAGGAACGTAGGACAGACTGTAGACCTGTGGATCATTATCTCTCTAAGCTGGCCAAAGCATCAAATGGTATCTCAAGTAATAGACAAGGGGAACCGTGAGCGACTCTTCTCAAAAGAGATAGTCCACAATGGGACGAGCGCAAATGCTTCCGCCGTTCCAGCCCTCCAGAAGCTGAATATGCCGATGGTCCTTGACTCAGACTCCCTCCTCCCCGACTCCCATGAAAGATACAACGCCGCGCCCTCACTGAGATCAAGGCACAAGGCTCCCATTCTTGGGTCTTGTCCTTTGGATCCCAGCCGAGGCAAATGCAGACCGCCAACTCCGCGTAATGCAACTCGTGTGAGAATATTCTTCGTAAGTCTTCATTTATAAACATGAAACACCAAACTCCTTTTTGACCAAGCTCGCTGCTGTCGGTCGAATTATTGTGAGAGAAAATCTGGGCGAGGCACCATGACGGTACACTATGCACCCATTTGAACTCCACGATGATGAAATCGGGACCTCGGTCGTCAGGTTTTGACAAAATGTGCAGAGCAATGTACATGATTGTTACATCCACGTCATAGCCGTGCCTTGCTCAACTGCAACACCCTGCCACTGAATCATCTGAATAGACTACGCAAGTCCATGAGTTTCTGCTTTGCAGCTTCACCTTTGTCCATAGCCTTGCCACGATTCATGGACAAGTTGGCTAGTCTGTTCTTCTTATCTTGGAGTGCCAGCATCTTCTCCTCTATACTGTTCTCCATGATGTAGCGGACGATATTCACTTCACGCTTCTGACCGATTCGATGAACACGATCAACTGCCTGCGCCTCTGCGGCCGGATTGTACTGAGGCTCCATGACGTAAACATTATTGCCTGCAGTCAAGTTTAGGCCAAGACCTCCCGCTGTGATCGAGACAAGAATCACGTCGACTGCAGGATCATCACGGAACCTGTCCATGGCAGCTGTGCGGGCTATCCGAGTCATCTTGCCGTCCAGTCGGGTGTAGACAATGCCCGCGTTGTCCAAGGCAATTTGGATCAGGTCGAGATGGGACGTCCAGCCTGAGAAAACCACCGACTTGAACCGTGGCTCTTCTGGGCAGGCGTTGCTCTTCTCCTGCAATTTCAAGAGGTCCTCGACAAGTGCTTGTGTCTTGGTGTGCGGTCCACCATAACCATCAGTGTTCATTGATTTCTCCTTGGACGAACCCGTTGCATGGTGAGACTCATGTTCAGCTTCGGCCTTGTCTTTTCGTAGCTCAACCAGCCTGAGGTTGGCGTTTTCTTTTTGGCATACTGGGCAAGTTCCTAGCGACTGACCTCTAGTCCACTGGTCCCACAAAGGTTTACAAGAGGGACAGAAAAGGTGAAAGCAGGAAGATGAGATATATCCGAGCAAATTCTCTTCGCGTTCGTTCTCGACATCGGATTCCTCACCGGCCGAGCTCAAAGACTTGCCACAGCTCGCACAGCCATCACTGTTGGTTTGAACCATGAGATCCCAGTTCTGATAGGCGCGGGCCTCTGAAAGTGCAGCCTTTTGAGCGTCGTTGTCGTCATCACTGTCGAGATCAATAGCCGATTCCTGTGTCATGCCTTGAACTGCTTGAAGATCGTCATTGTTTAGGAGTTCCTTGCCATGTGCCGAAATTAGACGGAGCCGGAGAATCGATTGCAGAATGTGGATGTATGTTCTTCCACCGATCAACTTGTCTTGCCCACGGCTTATCACCTCGACCTTGTCCTGCGCCTGCTGTTCAAATAGCCTGTACAGCTTCGCCTCGGTCGGCGAGAATTGAAGTTTGACGATCTGATCCTTCCTGGGCGGCAGATGAATCTTATCCTTGAGACGACGGAGAGTAACGCTATCGACCAAAACCCGGAGCTTGGGGACAATCTCGGTATCGCAAGCCTTGAAAGGCTGAACAATGTATTGTGTAAAAGTGGTTTTGTTGTCGAAAGGCTTCAACCGGATAAAAGCCAGCAACGCGGCCAAATCGTCCAGCTTGTTCTGCACGGGCGTGCCAGTGACAGCCCAGCGACGATTTGCTTGAAGACGACAAATGGCTTTGAAAAGTAACGTGGACTGCTCTCGGATCATATGCGCCTCATCAAGAGCGATTCTGAACCAACTAATGTCTTCTAGGGGGTGCGGTCCCTTGACACCTCTATGACGGGCACGAAGCTCGCTCGACACTGACCCGTAAGTCGTGATGACAAGATCAAAGTCGGCAAGCTTTCTCGCATCTTTGATGCGATTAGGTCCGTGGTAGATATAGTACTTGAATGTGCCGGGCTTGACATGCTCCTTTATCTGTATCTCCCAGTTTGCAACAGTGCTGAGCGGACAAACAAGAAGCGTGGCTCTCGAATTCAGGATAGGGGTTGTCAGCGCCAACGGCGTGGGGGCGGGCAGATCGAAGCCGCGACTGTGGCCATTCTTCTTTAGGGCAGGAGGTGGAGGTGGCTGCTCTGGTTGGCGTTTGGACCACTCTTCTCCAGCATCCAGTGAGCTCGTAATCAATGATAGAATGCTGAGTGTCTTGCCTAAACCCATCATATCCGCGAGAATACCGCCAAAAGTCTCGGACGGTGGTCGTTGAATCGTCTGACCGGTAATGACATTGTGATATGCCCTCTGTCCATTGTTGCCAAAGCGGACTCTCCAGAATGTATTGATCGCATTGCCGCCATTGCCATTCAAGTCACAGGGACGTTCTCTCATGGTCATGAAATACAGGCCCTGTTTCTGATGCGGAAGTAGCTCCGAGGTTATTCTGGCATCGGGTTCCATCTCAGGCAAATCCTCGCTTCTGGTAAGAGAGTCAAAAACTCCCATGACTTCGCTACGAACTTCCTCGACGGTTCTGGATATTTGCGGATACGAAATGGCTGCTGGAGCTGGAACAAACTGTGCTCTAACAGGGGGGGCTTGCTGCCGGATGTCTCCTGCCATTGGGTTCTCGTACTTGATTCCCTTCTCTACCATGGTAGGATGTATCAACTTCAAGCCCTTTGAAAAGAGATGCTTGGCTACCGGTCGCGATGATTTTCGTGGGCCATACAGGATACAGTTGAAAGCAAGAGCCAAAGAAACTGGCTGTCCGACTTGCTCACCGGGCCGTCGGGGCCGGCTGGGAAGCTTGCTCTCAGTACGAAGGGTGACGTGCGCAGAATCGAGTAATGGTGAAAGACCAAGTGCTGTTTGCCCATCGACTCTACCAACCACCTGTCGCGTGTGGTCTTTGGCTAAAATGACATTGGTTGGGTCGCCCTGCCTTCGACTCAACATTATCTTGACCTGAGGCCACCACTGGTCGTTCAAGGCACGCTGGCCTGGCTTTGGGCTAGGGATCAAATCAAAGTTGATCCTTGCATTCTGTAGCTGTCCAAAACAGACCTCTTGCTCCCTTGCGTCGATAACCTCCAATATGTCGCCATCGTCATCGACTAGCACTTTGTTAGTGTCGCGACCTGGGCGCCTAGACACCGATGATTAGAGGTTTAGACTTACGGCTGAGATCGACAGTGTCGACACGCTGGAGTGCGGGATTCTTGGCAGCCTCCTCTCGTTTGTCCTTGACGTATTGGCCTAGCATGCCGCTCCCGCCGCCACCACCACCACCAAAGCCCGAGGAAGTTGGATCGTCCCCGTCAGTATCTACCTTTCGGCGCTTGATCTGGGGCATGGATGTTCGTGCTTGTACATTGTTCATTCGCTCGAACATGTTGCCGAAGCCGTTGACTGGAGTGTGCGCGTGACTGTGGATGGCGCTGTCTGGATCTTGTGGAAAGAAAGACGATGGAGTGCTTGCGCTTGAACCTGTGCCATCATTGGGACTCGAGAACTGAAAGTCTAGAAAACGCATATCGCTCGAGTTTGCATTGCCATTTGTTTCTTCACTCTGCGCGGTCGTTGGTGGCTTTGTTGGAGCTGCATAACCCTTGGGATTTAGCAAGAGAGCCGGATTGATGGGCATATTCGGGGCAGGGGCACTGCTCGCGGCAGGCGAGCCATTCGCAAAGTTGTTCGGGGGGTGAAAGCCTTTGTACTTGTCAATAAAGATATCTTCTTCATGTTGGATTTGGTCAAGATCATTATCATCGCGCGTGTACTGCTTGCGCCAAACCAGATCTGCTTTGTGCTGAGGAATCTCCTCGCTGTGGCTTCGACGCTTGCCGAGCGCTGTAGTTGAGGCCCTGGGAGAATGGTGGGCTTTACCATAAGTGTGGTTCCCCGAAGCCATGATAGCTGCCTTGTAGTGCACCGGCTGCCGGTGACCAGTGCGGCTGAATGCAGTTGTCGTCTTCAAGCAGCAGTGGTAGAACAGGACCTCATCACAAAGGCCAAACGGTTTGTTCTAACCTAGGTAGGAGCTCTCTGCACGTAGCTGTAGTATCATCAATGCGCGCGCGCGGGTGGGCGACCGGGCGGATCTGCGCGTTGCGCCCCAGAGCTTCCAAGTCGAATGGGCTTTGTTACAGGGGCGCGTTCGTGCCACGAGTCGAGAAGTAACGAATTCGAGGCTGTGCGTTCCCTTGTTTGCCGGGTAATGTTCTGGTTTATCCCCCAACGCGACGTCGAAAATAAAGAAAGAAGGGTGTATGGTCCGGAATACTGAGGCCGGGGATGATTGACGGGAGGTAACTTGAGTTCGGATGGTGGGGCAGCAGCAATGAGCGCAACCACAGGTGAATTAATTCCAGAACTAACAGCCGAAGGCGATTTTGGGGATGAATTGTCCCAGAATGAAAGGGCGTCTTATTCTATGTTAAAGACGAGTGAGAAAGAGAGAGAAAATTTTCAAAGTGTGGCAATGTATCCCAAGGCAGAAGGGAGATGGTGATTCTATTTTAGGTTATCTTTTTTTTTGTCTCCCTCTTCTTCTTGCCTTGGGCGCAAGGCAGTAGCCGCATCAAGCGAACGAGTTGATTGTGTAATGGAGGTAATAAGTTGCAGTCAGTGCCCGCAGGTGCGCGTACCTGTACCTGCTAGGCGCTTTGAAATCTGGTGGTGTTTTTTTCTGGCCTTGGCCCGAAATGTGCTTGATTACAAGATAAAGGGAAATCTCACCAGGAAGGAACGCCAGGCTGGCAACGATGGCGCAAAAAAAAAAAGAGGTTGGCAAGATACGGACGAGAGAATAAAAGATAATTCAGGTTACAACGTGCCTGGTCATTCTCATCATGTTCCGCACAATCGAGCTCAAACAGCGCGCCGCTCTTTCTTGGGTAGGTAAGTAGAGAAAATTGTTCGAGTCACGCGGCCCTTGACATAGCAGAGAGATGTGGATATGCACCATAGCTACATTACTGTCGGGCAAGAAAGGCTTCAGATGATCATCCCACGTCGGCTCAAGGTTGCATCCGCTCCAAGGCTATACCTACTCGATTGCCATCATGTATCCAGGGACCTTTTTCTTACACGAAAACACCTCCATACCTCAGGTAGAGGGGTGTGTCTTGGGGGTCTTCCCGTCCTACCCTGCGCATCAAGTATATAGATGGGACACTATATACTGACTGCCTTGTGCATCCCAAGCCTACTTTTTTTTTTTTTTTTTTTTTGAACAGGTACAATTCGGAAAGCGTCACACTTGTTTCCTGCCGTAGTCTGCTGTCCGCAGTCGGTCCGCAATCAAAACTAGAACAGAGTATTTCACCTAGATATATGACAAAGTTTGGTCGCGTCAAAGCTGCATCAGCATTTCTCCAGACATGGTCAAGGTAGTTAGTTCGAGGGTTCTACGTCGGCGATATGTACGAGAATGCTGTTAGCTATGCCCGGCATATAGGTTATTCTCTTGGTGGTCGGTCGATGTCTACCTACCATGCAACCCATCTAAGAGGTAGCCCATTAGCCCCGTCGCCCTTTGTCCTGGATAGAGAAAGATATTCTCTGCCCAACTTACCGAGTTGGTATATTGCATGACCCCTACATTTCCCATTGGGGATGTTCCCAGTTTCCATTTAGACCAGGGCCATGACTGGTAACTGGCGTGGGATAGATGGAGCAACTCTTCCCGCGCAAAAGTCGCAAGCTCTATCGGTCCCATGATCAATGACGAACTATTGGCGGCGTCCCCTAACCTCATATTGATTAGTTGGAGTGTCCACGTGCCCATGCAAGCCTGAGAAGAGAGACCCCCGATTTTGCCTTGGGTGTTTAGTTCGGGGAACGACTAGATACAGAACAAGTAAGTCGGGTTTTTGCAAGTGGAACAAATGTCTTGGCTTGAGGCCTGGCATGCTGTGGTGGTACATGCATGTATGGTAGGGACAAAGGGTAATAAACGGCTTTCAACGGGCAAACTACTCTGTACATATCGGCGAGGATACATGTTCGTAGGCAGGCTAGTTATGTGCTTGTTCTGCATTTGAGTTGACCCTCTTTGGTTTTGATTTTCCGCATGGACGTGAGACCGCCCAGTCATCTGATGTATCTACTAGGTGATGGCCAAGTGCGGATGTCCGAAGAAGATTCACTCTCATACATCTCCCATGAAAAAAAAGGGAAAAAAGAAAAAAGAACACCCGCCCTTCAAGCATTAGTCACTAACCACCCTTTGAAAATTCTCATCAGTGCATGCTTAAGATACCGATACATGATATCAACGACAGTTTATTGCATATGCTTCGTGGTCTCTGGCACAATGTGTGTATAAGTACAATGGTAGCAACGTACACTGTTGACCCAATCTTTCAAGAAGTACCAAGACATCAATCATCGTACAAGTATAACGCCAGCATCCTCACCTTAAACAAGTTGATTTTTCCCCCAGAAATATTTTGAACCCTTGCTCGCCATCGCTCGCTGAGCATCAGTGATAAGTCACCCCGCGTGACCATTGCCGCAAAAGAGCGCAGTGCTCTGCCACCCGCTGGCTTAGCAGGTATTGATGACCCATTGCAAGGGTCATCAGCATGAGCAGGAGGAGGGATAAAAAAAAAAAGCGCCAATTTGCTTCCGTACAAAGTTGATCAATCGTGAATGCGATAACTCCGACTTTTCCGATGCTGATTTACCGCCAGGCCAGATGATCTCAAGTCCTTGTTTCAGGACATATAAGATGCCGCTGTTCGGTTCTGTTGAGGCGTGCTGTGATAACCCCTTGGGCCTATTGTAGGAAGACAGACATGAGCCTTCTCTCTGTTCCGTAGTGTCTGTAGTGGTGCAAGGTGATGCATAATAGTAGTGCGCTTGCCTCATGTACGTGGGTAGTAGTGTGTAGTCTGCATGACAGGGCCCCGTTTATGGGGTCTACCCTATCCCTTTTTGGTGCTTTTGTCTCCAATTTTCTCTCTGTCTTGTTTCTTCTTTTTCGTCGTCAATGCTATTTCACCCCATTTTTTTGCATATCAACCTAGGCCGTTTTGCTTGTCAGCCACGGCCTCTGTCTTGATAACAATTTCGTGCCGAAGGCCGGAGCAGTGCTCGGCTACGGCAGCGTGCTCATGAGGGTGGTGCTCTCGGCCGCGGCTTCGTGTTCTCTGTCGTCTTCTTTTGGGGAGCTCTTGTGAATGAGGTGACCGAGATCTTGAAGGGCTCTGGCTCCTGTGCCGGGCAATCAGCCGTGCCATGCGCAGAATCTTGCGTCGCGTGGGCGACAATGATGCATCCCTCATGCGCGACACGTTCCTCGAGCCGTCCAGGCGAGACGTCGACCGGAATCGGGAACGGCCTCGAAATGTCGTAGACTCGCCCGAGGGCACTTGTCTTGTGGTGACTGTCAAGAAGGGTGCGGGGCTTCGGCGTCGTTTGCGACCTCGCTGGTCCGCCTCAGCCGACGACAGGGTCGTTAAATAGACCTCTGTCGTCAGTCTCTCAGTCCCAAGAGTTTGAGTGTCCATCCTCTTGGATACGATATCGTTCTCTCCAGGAGTTGTAACTAGATTGTTGGAAAAGAAGAGCAAGGTGTGTTGTTGGAGGAGTAGACTCTTTATACTACTCCTATATCCGTCGGTAGCAGCGCGAGATAGTCCCCAGACCGCGTCTACAGCCTCATATAGAGTGGAGGCCTGCGGTGGTGTCTGGTGGAGTTGGTGGAACAACGCCTGAACAATAAAGCCAAGGGTGTTTGTTCTAATAATCTGCAACTGGTATGGGCCAACGGGAGGGGAAAGTTTATGTCAGGATGGTCTCGGGAAATGGTTTGTGACAAATATAACTCTCATCAGAAAAGTCGCTGGCTCCGAGGGAATGTCAATGATGTAAATTCGTCCTTTAGTGACGGATTGATTGAAGCAACGGGAAAGGGATGATTCTGGATGGGTGTTTGGCTCCTTTATGGATTGGCGAACGAGCCACCCATGGGCAGGGATGAAGTTCAATGGATTGATCACTCAGCCAGGGAGAGGTTCTAAGGTGAAACCACCTAGCATAAGACAGCCAAGGGAAACCAAAATACTAATGAGCAGAGGTGCCGATCGCATAGCGAGAGCCATGTGCTTTTTGGGGAACTTTATCAATGCTGCTCACCTACATACTACTAGTCTACGAACATGCCTACATTTTTAGACGGCGTCAGCTTTCGGGGATCCTTAGATCATGGCCGGGGCATGGTGCTTCTGCGCCGAGTGATCCGACACGATTGGTCAGCCTGGATAGCTATGAACTCTCATGCCTCTGCCACCCCATTGAACAATAACCGGGCCAGAAGTCTAAATCATCCCACGACGACTCGGTCCTGCCCATACACAAACAGATGCTGCTGCTTGCCGGGCACTAACACTGGCATCGTCGTTCTCCTCGCAGCTTTGGGGTTGTTCGAAAATGCTGGAGCGTGCATGAGGTAGTTCAGACATGTAGGCAGATAGGTAGGGATGTTTGGCATATGGTGCCATGACGGCCGGTTCCAATCGTGCTATTCAACCTCGGGTGCAACTCAAAAGTTCTGCTTGGAAGTTATTGACTATATCATTCGAAGCGCAGCTTCTGTACGAGACAAGAAGCGTTTGGAGAAACAGACAAGAAAGTCTCGGCGATTTGTCTGCAGCTACGTGCTGCTCGCGTGATGGCCTGATGACGATTTTTATTAATAATGTTAAGGAACTAAACGACTTCCATGTCGAGAGCCCGTGTGCTGGTCATCTCCGGCCCTCCTTGGCATTGGATTCATGGATTCGGATTCCTATGGGCACCTACCAAGGCCTAAACGCCTCTCGGCATGAGCATTGTTGCACCACCAAGCTAAAAGGGGGGAGCTTAACGGCTATGCTCTCGAGACTTGCGAAAGAGTGTTGGTAAACAGCGGTTTGTATGTAACTCAACCCTTTGAACTCTAAAATTCTGCAAGGACACGGGTGAATGGCGATGAGAAACAGCTTGAGACAACTGGAATGAGAGGGGGTGGGTGCGAAAACTATACTTTTGTACTCTCCGAGTCCGTTCTAACCCACGGCAGTACATTGTGTATGCCAGTCTGGTACCTCCTACTACTACTGAGGCGGCGCCATGTCGTATGGAAGTCATACCAAGATGGCCCTCAGTGGCTCATATCTCGATCGATCTTGGGGGCTAACTATCATGGAGGGAGGCACTCATATATCACCAGTCCTTGTTGGAAATGCGGGGGAGCATTAGTAGGTTGAGGCGCATTTCCCGGAGCAGACTACCTTGATAGCACCAGGCAGATTTGACATTCTTGCAGCTTGTCGGGTGAAGGAAAGAAAGCTGTATCTTCTGATGAATGCTATGCGTCGGCTCTCGCCTGCGCCGAAACTCCAAACCTTTCTTTGCTGCAATGTAGCTACCCAAAAGGAAAGGGACAGTTTTTATTGCGATATAATTTCACTCGAGCAATGTGGCCTGGGCTGGAAATCGAGGTAGAAAGAAGCAGGGCCATTGTTCTAGAATGCCTTTAGTCAACTGCCTTCTCTGCCTTCTCCACCTTGTCGACCAGAGCGTACGTGGTACCAAGTAGAATACCTGGGAAAAATTCCTTGACTCTCAGGTAATATGACCCACAGAGATTACCTTTGCAGTCAGAACAATAAATACATTCATATTCTTACAATTGATATCAAGTAAGCCAGCAAATCGAAAGACTGGCCTAAACATTACACAGTCTTCTCCCCTCCTTCATTTCTTCCTTCTTCTTCTTCTTCATCATCATCATTCTACTTATACTACTACATACTTGGGAAATGGAAACCATAAGGCTGAGTGCGCCCATGTACAAGCGGCCCTCAAAAAGCACCGATGAGCTTGCTCGACGGCGGCCAGCGCTCGCCCCGCTACCCAAGATTTATTTAAGGTATGATCGCAAGCAGGTATGCATTTCCAGGACTATGTATAGCTGAGCGACTGGAGGAGCCCTGCACCGTCACATGCCACAAAGCACCTTTTTCTTTTTCTTTTCTATTAACCATAATTTCTGTCTTTCGTGCGATTTGAGGGCTGCGCCATAATTGTGCCTTTGGTAGCCATCGTTTGGATCACAGCATCCCGTGGCCATATCAGGCGTCATTGCTGGCGAGCATTGAGCCCCTATCATTGTCAGCGCTGCAAGCAAGGATCAATAGGGGCGGTCTGGTTTTTGTTCTTTATCAATGGAATTCAAAGCCAAAGGCGGCTGGGGATCCAAGCTGACAGGGCAATGGTGTCTGCAGGGTATCTTGAGCGCCCCGTAAGGGGTAGCTCTAGAGCTATCCTTGTGGCGTTCGACACCGTGCCCTGAGATGCTTCTTTGATCTCTTCTAGAAGGTGGTTGCAGACTTGTTGAATGTCTAGGTAGCCAGGCCAGGGTTGTCAACACCATGAATGCGCGTAGCTTGGACGCGGGAGACGGCTTGTCGCTTTACCTGTGGAGTGCCTCTTGAGGCTACCATTCAGATGCTACCTACTATGTACACCGGGAGCCAACCGGCGCACAATGCGACCCTGCTGCGAATATATAGTCTCTCTTGCCAATGCCCACTGAAGTAGTCCAATTTGCGCACTTCATGCAAACGATATCAATATCAACCTCGAGACAACTCATTCAATCAAATTACATCTTTACACGTGGCACGTAACAAGGTACTACTACAATAAAGGTCCAAACCTCAAGTATTTGGCATATCTTGGGAACCGCGAGCGCATTTTGACGATGAGACATGGTCGATAACAATACATTTCGCCTACCAGATATCAAACTAGTGAGTGGCGATAACTAAGCCAGGCCTATGATGCAAGAATAAGGACTGACTGGAAAACGAGTCGGGCGCTGGGGATTTCCACAGGCGAGACAGGAGGCCTGTGTCATTCTTCCTTATAGAGCCCCTAGAACCCTGGTCTGACCAGGACAAGCAACGCCGTTCCTCCACCAGCAACGGAGATCTAGGCAACCTAGCTTCCAGAGTGGATTATGTTCGTCAGGGCACCCCTCTTGCTAATACAGCTCCTCTGTGATCTGTTTGATATCTCGCAACCCAACACGATACGTATCAAGTCTATAATCCTCGGCAGTACTAATCAGATGCGTGGAGGGAGTCATTTCTTCGGGGCTTTGATCATATAGACTCTAGTTGTAGACGAAACAGCGGCCCGTCTGTCGCAAGAGTCGACCAGGAAATGCTAGGTAGGCAGGTTCGGTTACGTGCTCCGTTATCGATTGCATTCCATCATAGCAGCAGATCACTTCAGACACACACCCCCAGTCATGGTCGGTCTAGTGTAAAGACTGGGCAATGACTTTCTTTTCAAAATAAAATCTCGACTTCTTTCGCAGGTAAGGATTGCTATATGCGCTTCTATAATTGACATGACCGCATTCGTTTGCACCTATGTAGAAAAACGCAGGCAATTTTCCAACATTTGTTGGGATGATGCAGCCGTACCCCAACTGAATGTATAATATATACCTCTGGGGCAAGGGCAAGCCTGTTTGGAAGGTTGCTAACTGCTGGCCTTTCTTTGTCCTTTCCGTTATTTGTCCTATTGTTTCTCTACACAAAGACAAGATGACGGAAACGACGGCGGCGGCTGCTGCAAGTTGAGAGCACTGTACTAGTTGAAATTGAGCAACAAGCCGAAGCAATCCAAGCCTTCGATGCATTGAGCGCCTCAGCTTGCGCTACAAATTGCATATCAGTACGACATTGCGGAATTCTTGTCAGAGACACTTTTGTATCTGATCTCACATGCACATATGATTTTATCCATGAAGAAATTGGAATCATTCGCATGCCATACAAGCCAGTCAAACTACTACTTGCATTGTTTGTCCCATTTCCTTCCTGTATTGCGCCTACCCAATACGCAGGAACCACGACGACAAGCAAATCCGATCCCAGACAATCGCTCCTGCCACCCCCCCGCCGTGTCCCCACCAAGACGCTAGCCCCTTCCCGGAGAATTAATTATTTTTCGTGGCCATTCTGCCATTCGACGACCTCCCTTCTCTCCCTCCTCTTCACACCTGTCAATCACAACACACAACTCAAGCCATCTTGTGTCAACACCAACACCTCCGCAAGCTTCCTCTCACTGTATCTAGGGCACGAAGCCACCCTTTAATCACTCCCCCATTGATCAGAGTTCAATTCCACCGAACGAACCCCCGTGACAACTCAACATCAACTTAACGTCCACACTATCCACACCAACCCCAACCGCCCAACCATCAATCACCATCAAGTCAAAATGGCCAGCACCGTGGAGAAAGTTGCTGATGTCGCATCCGATGCCGTCAACGACGTTACCAACGCTCTGAGCAACACTTCCCTCACCGGCAAGGACGAGAACAAGGATGCCGCCGTCCATGCCAGTGCCGCCGAGGGTCGCCGCCTGTACATCGGCAACCTCGCATATGCGACAACTGAGGGGGAGTTGAAGGAATTCTTCAAGGGTTACCTTGTGTAAGTCTTGCCTCCATCTTCCATCTGCTCTATCGAATATCTCTCCGTGATGATCAAGGCCTCCCTTCCCAAGCTTCCCGCCTGGCTTCAAGCCCTCGTGACTCATCTCCCCCGACGATTTCACTTATCAATGATCCATCTGGGTACTGTTTACGGGAATACCACCAAGAGCTATCAGTGGAATCCTCGATTACCCCCACTAATCGCCCGACATGACAAACACGGCGTGGGCATTGCTAACAACCCCATCTTGTAGCGAGTCCGTTTCTATTCCCAAGAACCCCCGTACTGACCGCCCTGTCGGTTACGCTTTCGTTGACCTGTCTACCCCCACCGAAGCCGAGCGCGCTATTGCTGAGCTCTCGGGCAAGGAGATTCTCGAGCGTAAGGTCTCGGTTCAACTTGCCAGAACTCCCACCTCCGCTGGTGAGAAGACTGAGAGCGCTGCCAATGGCGAGGGTGCCGAGGGTGCCCGCCGCAAGGCTTCTGGTCGTGGTCGCGGTCGCGGACGTGGCCGTGGTGGTCGTGCAGGCCGCGCCGGTCGATCTGTACGTTTGTGACACTGCGCATCGAGCGCTCATCATTCATCGTTACCAGCATATCGTGCTGACATGTCTTTAGGACGGAGGAAATGAGGAAGCCCCCGCCACCGAGGAGGCTGCTGCCGCTCCCGCCGAGGCAGCTACTACTGAAGAGGTTCAACCATTGAGCGACATCACCAACAAGATCAATGCTGACTCATCCAAGACTGCCAAGGACAAGCAGGACAAGAACCGCCCTGCTCAGAAGCGCGAGCGCGGACCCCCTGCCGACGGTATCGCCTCGAAGAACAAGGTCATGGTTGCCAACCTGCCCTACGACCTGACCGAGGAGAAGGTAAATCAACCCACGATTGCTCGTGTACTAGAGTACTGTTTCGCAAGATGCACAATGCTGACTCTTTTTCGTCTCTACAGCTCAAGGAGCTCTTCGCAGCATACGAGCCATCTTCTGCCAAGATTGCTCTCCGCCCAATCCCTCGCTTCATGATCAAGAAGCTCCAGGCCCGTGGTGAGCCTCGCAAGGGACGTGGCTTCGGTTTTGTCACGTTGGCCTCGGAAGAGTTGCAGCAGAAGGCCGTTACAGAGATGAACGGCAAGGAGATTGAGGGTCGTGAGATTGCTGTCAAGGTCGCCATCGACAGCCCCGACAAGACCGACGAGGAGGCTAACATCCCTGCCGAGTCTGAGTCTAAGCCCGAGGAGACCGATGCCGCCGCCGCCCCGGCTGCTACAGCCTAAATCAACCCACCTACCTTGACTAGAAACAACATGTTATCCGGATGAGTGGCCTGTTCAAGCCGACGATTATGAAGTAGCAGGACAGCCCTATCATGAACTAAATTATCAACGCCGTCTGGAAGAGCATTGGAATGAGGGATGATGAAAGAACAAAGGAGAGAACAGGTACGGCTTGTCAATTTCGGTGGAAAGATTCGCAAATGAAAAAGGGAAAAGAAACAGCAAATATGGCCTTAGATATTGTCACACGGGAGGGCAAAGTGACTCCGTTGACAAGATGATATGGGCCTCATGTGCTGCGAATTTTTGGGCAGACATCTTTTTAATTCGCACGACCGTTCTCACTACTTTTGTTGTTATTAATGATGTGTTTTTTTCTGCGAATGTTCCTCCACCATGTACACTAGAGGGACACGATATTGGAGTTTAAGCGGATCGGAAAAGTTTTGAGTGAATCTTGAAAGGCTTGTTCCTCGACTCGAGAATGCATTTGTGATGTCATATGAAGGTGGAGCATGTTTACTGATAGGCTCTAGCTGCCGAGAGGAGGGCGTCTGGAGGTCTATGTTTGCTTGACGAGCCTGGATGTGCCAACAATGAGCAAGAGAGGCTGCGATTTTGACAACTGTCTGCGAATCTATAATCTATACATTGAATGTGCTAGTTCTCGTGGCCATGAGGATACACCTAGCGAGCTAGCATTGCGAATCGAGCAAGGCAAAAAGTCCGTGAAAAATTGTATGTTTGTATTCTTGGTCAGGAAATGCCATTTTATCGTGCGTATGCGTCAATGTACAGCTGAAAGTCACATGTGCAAAATGTCTCACTTTCAGGGCGTACAAAGAGTCAGTCGTAAACTGAAAATCAATCGGCTGTCATTCGTAGCCTATTAGAGTGATTTCGGAACAATGTAACGCTGGCTGGCGGTCAAGACATATGTGGTTTCCATATATATCTGGTTTTATAGTGTGGTAGTAATGGGTATTGGTTGTACTGTATCAAGAGCGGCGCACATTACGTCTGAGCCCTTGAGCTCACTAACACCTGGAACTGGCGGACCACTTGGGGGGGATGGATGGATGGTAAGGGTACCGAAAGTACGACGCGCACTACAAGTACCAAAACCGCCGCACCGCACCCACCCACACACGGCCAGAGGAATCTAGACACCTTGATAACAAGTGGAGTTGCTCCAGACCAGACTTCTGTAAGTCGACGGGGCGCTGAAGATAGACTACTATGGGACACAATTAACCTCAAGTGCCTCTGAGAGAGCTGTGCCCTTTTTTGCATGTGGCCCTTTCTGTTCGTCAACTTTGTCTCAAAATATACATTTGGTCGCGCAACTGCATTCCTCAGTTTGGGCGTCTGTTCTGTCTTGTTCAGCGCTCAAACTTAAGCTGCATCTGGCAACATCCCCTAGTTGTAGGACCGAAACGACTCCTCGAATCCCACCCAAAGCGCATCAGGACAAAAACACACACATACAAGATGGCTTCGTCAGCCATGTGGGAGGTTGATCCCGAGACAAAATCAAAAGTCAGTTCAAACCGAATCTCGCATATATACGCATTGTTTCGGCGGCGGCGCATCATTTGATTGTCTTTGATGGGGGGACAGAATCTTGGCTAACCTCGTACCCCTTTCCGCCACAGCTCCTCGCAATCCAAAAGACGAATAACAACAACAACTGCTGCGACTGCAATGCACCGAACCCACAATGGGCCTCTCCCAAGTTTGGCGTCTTCATTTGTCTCTCCTGCGCCGGAGTACACCGTGGCTTGGGGGTCCACATCTCCTTTGTGCGCTCCGTGACCATGGACGCTTTCAAGCAGGCCGAGATTGAGCGCATGCGCCTCGGCGGCAACCAGGGCTGGCGCGATTTCTTCGAGAACCACGAGGACACCAAGATGATGGGACTTTCCTGGGACGACGCCACTATCGCTGAGCGGTACAGCGGCCAGGTTGGCGAGGAGTGGAAAGAGCGTCTAAGCGCCAAGGTTGAAGGGCGGGAATATGTGCCTGGGGAGAAGAAGAGTGCTCCCACACAAAAGCCAGCCCAGCCAAAGCAGGCCAGCAGGACTGGTACGCCTCTGCAGGGTGTGGCAACAAGCGGGAGCCGAACTGCTAGTCCCAGCCGTCCTGGTGTCAAGGCCAAGGTTGACGACAAGTACTTTGCAAAATTGGGCGCCGACAATGCCTCGCGATCGGAGGCCCTGCCCCCAAGTCAAGGTGGCAAGTACTCTGGCTTTGGAAATTCGCCCATGCCGTCGCAAAACCAGGGCGCCGGCCAGGCTTTGCCAAATTTTCAAGACTTGCAAACCGATCCAGTGGCTGCCCTGAGCAAGGGTTTCGGCTGGTTCACCAAGACAGTTTCACAGACGGCCAAGACGGTCAACAGTGATTATATTCAGCCTACTGCCAAACAGGTTCGTGTTGCTACATACTTGTGAACTAGGGTCGTGTCCAGGACCGGGACTAACATGTGGCAAACTGCAGATTTCAGAGTCGGAATTTGCAGCGCAGGCAAGAGTGGCAGCTGGCAATGTAGGAAGGGCGGCGCAACAAGGTGCTAAAAACGCCCAGGAGGGTCTGAACCGCTTTGTCGACGGGCCTGATGGTCAAAGAGCGCAAGGAGGCACTGCAGGCATGGATGAAAGTAAGAGAGCATTCTGGGACGATTTCTCGTCTGTCGCAGACCAAAGACATGGTTCTGGTCCTCAGTACAGTTCCATTGGCACGTCTGCTATGGGCAAGGCAAACAAGGGAGCTGGCAAGAAGGATGAAGAGTGGGATGATTGGTGATGGCAACCTCAGATCTTGTAGTCTGGTTTGTACAGAAATAAGGCCGCCCCATGGACCAAATAAGACGATCACATGTATAGTTAGAGGAGTCTCGGAAGCGTGTTTTCAAAATGCTAGACTGTTGTTCTGTCTATATATTAGTCCACCGTGTTCTGACGGGGAGATGTGTTCTTGTGGCTATCAATTCGTGAAAGAGCAATCGACAAGCAAAACAACAAGGGGATTGACGCTAGCGATTCCCAAGGTAGTTTTGCGGTTGGATCAAGATGATGACCGTTCGTGAAGTCTTGCGTGCATATAGTCGAGCCGGGTCCGCAGAGGGGCATCACGTGTATATGGACCCGAGGTTGGAGCCGGTACTAGCCGGTATCGCTTATGGTCCGGCCGGTAGCTTTTCCCAGCAGCCATCCCGTCATTGAATGCAAGCTCGCGGTCGCCTTTCACGTTACGCTCTATCTGATCTCAAAGCATACAGATTTAAAGCGCCAACATGTCATCTCTCAGAATCCTGGTGCCCATAAAGCGGGTAATTGACTATGCGGTGCGTGCCAATTGTTTGTGCGGAGGGGCGAGGCGAGCGTTCCTACCGGCCGACCTCTACTCCCTCAGAAAACGCCTCGGCAAAACGGATACCAGAGAGGCAGAATGTTATGAACGGGAATAGCTAAGATGTTTTATCACACCAACAGGTCAAGCCCCGCGTCAACAAGGCCCAGACGGGCGTCGAGACGGCCGGCGTCAAGCACAGCATGAACCCATTTGACGAGCTCTCGATCGAAGAGTCGGTACGAATCCGCGAGAAGAAGTCGGCGCCCGTTGAGGATATCTGCGTCATCTCAGCGGGTCCACCCAAGGCGGTAGACGTGCTGCGGACGGCCATGGCCATGGGCGCGGACCGGGCCATCCACGTCGACGTCAAGGAGGGCGAGGAGCTGGAGCCGCTGTCGGTCGCCAAGCTGCTGCGGGCCGTGGTCGAGAAGGAGAAGAGCAACCTGGTGGTGCTGGGCAAGCAGAGCATCGACGACGACTCAGCGCAAACGGGCCAGATGTTGGCGGGTCTGCTGGGCTGGGCCCAGGCCACGCAGGCTAGCGAGGTCAAGTTTGAGGGGGATAACGTCCTCGTCACCAAGGAGGTCGACGGCGGTGTCGAGACTGTCAAGGCCAAGCTTCCCATGATCATTACTACCGATCTCCGTCTCAACGAGCCCCGGTACGCCAGTCTGCCCAACATTATGAAGGCCAAGAAGAAGCCCCTCGTCAAGATGAGCCTGAGCGACCTGGGTGTCGCCAATGAGAGGAGATTGAAGATTGTCAAGGTTGAGGGTAGGTTTTCTCCCAAGTGCATCATATATTACCTGTACTCGCAAAAAATCTTTGCGGGCACGGCAAGTTTCCTGTGTAGTTTTCATACTGACTCGATTGTTTTTCTCTACAGAGCCCGCCCCGAGACAAGGTGGTGGCAAGGTTGAGGATGTAGATGGACTCATTTCCAAGCTGAAGGAGCTTGGCGCCATATAGATACGGCCGTGTATAAAAGTGTAAAGAGTAGACAATTCAATATAAACCGGCACTTGCCTCGTCCAAAATACAGAAAAGCTTGAAAAGGGTTGTCAAGAGTTTGTTGTAACATTTCACGAGCATACATTATCCTGCTTCGCATGTGCCCTTATCAACAGGCAGCCAATGCGGCAAAACGATTCTTGCAACTGTCAGTTGAAAGACGGACTCACGTTTCTTGTTTCGAGGTTAAGAAGATCCGGGAATGCCAGTGCTTTATTAAACAAGCGAGATAATAGGCACGTATAACCATGTAGATAGCATGTACAAGTCTAAAATTGATATTAAATTGTCTTGCAGCAATAGTACTTGCAATTGACTATACAGAAGCGCTATAATTGTACCGATGGCACAATTAGTTTATGGTTATATCACGCAAAACTCGTTTTACGGCATCGGGCATGGGAGCATCTAGATACAGCTGGACAAGTCGGCAAGAACCCCAAGAATCCTCCGAAACATGAACCCAAGTGTCGAGACTAGAGGTTTCTCTGCCACCAATCAGGATCAGAGATAAGCTGACGTTTGTCGCCGCTGACACATAATGCTTGATCGTGGTTTTCTTGTTTGTATTTTAGACCGGAATGATTCCACACATGCCAAACTGCCGGCCTCGAGTGCGAGGTACGGTATGTCCGTGTACATGAGAGCGGGCGTTGGCGTGGAAGCTCCAGCGGGCGATACGTAAGAATAACCAGCAGCAAGACCCCTTGGACTGAGCTTCTTTCTAGCACGGTGCACTTCTTCTTCTTCCTAGGCTTCTAGCTACAGCTTAAACTGGCAGTTTGAGCCCTGCCCTGTCCGCGGTATTTTTATCTCGTTTGCCAGGCGGATGCCGAGCGGAATATCGACCTAGTGGTCAGACGTCATCGGGCCCCTCCAAGACTCATGTCCACCATTATGCATTGCCGTTGGTCAATGGGTTGCGCCCTGCCCCAGGCCGCAATGAAAAGATAGAATGGCCATGGGAATTTTCAGGATCGTGGCCGAGTTCGTTCCTTAGCAAGAAAAGTCCCGCGTGTGAAATCCCTGTTATCATGTAATGTACGTAGCCAGTAGTACGGAATAGCCCACCGCCGATCCAATGGGGCACGAACAATAGAAGCTTACGCCTTGCCGCCGGTTGCGGACAGTAATGAGACCCCTGGGACTGTGTGTCACCTACGACAGCCCCAACTCAAAGCCTAGAAAACGGCACCAATACCAGTGCCAAGGTACCAAGATAAAGCTGCGATAATTTGGAAAAGAGCTGCGAAAAAAGGTGTGACGTGGAGCCCCCCGCCTAGGTACTGTGCAGGCCCAACCAGTAGTAGGTGCTTAGCTCCCCCGCCAGATGCAGCTCAGCAACAAATTTTCTCCCACTTTGCTGGAACGGGATCCCGTTGGTCGGATATCAGCCTCCCATGCAGGAAAAAAAAAAAAGTACTTTTTATTTCTACTACAAGACCGTTTCGCGCCCTTTTCCCTGCCGCCTCCGGACGTGACTTTTCTGTTTTCACCACCTCAAAACCATCACCACTAGCCATTGTGTGCTGCAAATCCGCGCTTATGAACGGGCGCCCGTCAGTCTTCACTTCTCAGGTATGTTGAAATGCTTGGCTCTTTTCTTCCTTCTAGTGTTAGCTTTTCTGTGTCTTTGTTGCATCGCCAGTTTGGGCATGGTTCTGGTATAACCTCCTCCTGCACTTGGACGAGCTCATATCTCCCCGCCCACCATGGTGACATATTCCACCTCTGGGAGACTAAAAATTCCCCCTTGGTGTGAAATATGACGGACATAGCTGCAATATGCCTCTCAAATTTAGTCATGTCTAGTGCTAATACTCTTATCTTTTAGGATTATATCTCAGGTTGGTTTCCGTCTCCATATAACCCTGACTCACCGCCAATGAAGCTAACGAAATAACCCAACAGACCACTTGTGGCGAGCTCTGTCCGCTTAAGCACTGGTCAATCGAATATCCTTGACGCCTTTCTCACTACCTAAATACAAACTCAGGAACAATCATGTTCTCCAGGGTCGCTACCAAGGCTTTCAAGCCTGCTGGCTTCACTCGTCCTCTGTCGACGACCAGCTTGCTGGCCAAGGCTAATCAGGGCAGCAAGGGCAGACAGATGCCCAGCACTTACACTCGGGCTACTGCTCAGCCTGCTTCTGGCACAGAGGCTACCTTTACCATTCGCGTGAGTAGTGTCTGCATATGAATAAGGCGTGTAGGATCTTGGTGGCTGACGGAAATCCCAGGATGGCCCCATCTTCCGCGGAACCGCCTTTGGAGCCGACACCAACATTTCTGGCGAGGCCGTTTTCACCACTTCTCTTGTTGGATACCCCGAGTCCATGACCGATCCTTCCTACCGAGGACAGATTCTCGTCTTCACCCAGCCTCTGATTGGCAACTACGGTGTCCCCTCGAATCAGCGTGACCAGTGGAACCTTCTCAAGTACTTTGAGTCCCCTCACATTCAGTGTGCCGGAATCGTCGTCTCCGATGTCGCTACCCAGTACAGCCACTGGACTGCCGTCGAGAGCTTGGGAGAGTGGTGTGCCCGTGAGGGTGTTCCCGCCATCTCTGGTGTTGACACTCGTGCCATTGTCACTCACCTGCGAGAGCAGGGTTCGTCCTTGGCCAGAATCAGCACTGGAGAGGAGTACGACGCCGACGAAGATGAGAGCTTCATTGACCCTGGCCAGATCAACTTGGTCGCAAAGGTCAGCACCAAGGCTCCTTTCGTGGTCGAGGCACACAACCCCAAGTACCACGTCGCTCTGATTGACTGCGGTGTCAAGGAGAACATCCTCCGCAGCTTGGTCAGCCGTGGCGCTAGTGTCACTGTCTTCCCCTACAACTTCAAGATTCAAAAGGTTGCCGACAACTATGATGGTGTCTTTGTCACCAACGGTCCCGGTGACCCCACTCACTGCCAGGAGACTGTCTACAACCTCCGCAACCTGATGGAGACCTCGCAGGTCCCGATCATGGGCATTTGCATGGGTCACCAGCTGCTCGCTCTGGCCGCTGGCGCCCGCACCGTCAAGATGAAGTACGGTAACCGAGCTCACAACATTCCGGCCCTGGACTTGACCACTGGCCAATGCCACATTACCAGTCAGAACCACGGTTACGCCGTTGACGCCAGCTCCCTGCCCAAGGAGTGGAAGGAGTACTTTGTCAACCTCAACGACGGCTCCAACGAGGGTATGCGCCACTCGACCCGCCCCATCTTTTCGACTCAGTTCCACCCCGAGGCCAAGGGAGGCCCCATGGACAGCTCGTACCTCTTTGACAAGTACATTGAGAACGTCCAGGCTTTCAAGGCTACTCAAAAGGTCTACAAGGACAACAGGCCATCGCAGTTTATGCTCGACATTCTCAGCAAGGAGCGTGTCGGCGTTGCTCCCGACAAGATTGCCGCAGCTGCCTAAGCTATTGTCACGATCTTTTTTTTGCTTTGCATTGGGTGTTCTGATGGACGGGTCATGGCGTTTCTTGAGTTTATATGATGGAGATCAAATTGGCAACATGATTATACAAAACAAAGTTTGATTTGTTCTGCCATGACAAATTATCAATACATTCTTTTCTCTTGTGACTGATTTTTATCACCAATGCAAACAATCACATGCATAGTATACCCAGTGACAAGACAATAAACCGGATAAAAATAAAGATACCTGGGTTATGAGCAGCGAACGGATATGGTGACCACTGGCCTTGGATCTTGCGTGTTGTTCTAGATACCGAAAATCTTGGTGCATCGCCTCTAGCAATGTCGGTCGTCATGATCCACGAAACAAATGCCTTAAAATACTCCATGATTCATATTAGACTAGAAATGATAGACAGTCTTCCATCGATATAATCGACTTGTTCGTAGCGAGACAGACCTTTCTATGTCAATATATTCAATACCCTTGGTTCGTAGGACCTTGAACACTGATTAATTTGTGACTCGGACGACCCTCACGGAATATTTCTATTTGGCCCGTGTCTTGCGTAAAGTAGTTTCTGGTGTCGAGGTCAACACGGGCAATCTTGCGGAAAGTTTAGGAAGACAGGCCAAGATTGCGTGCGTTCATGACTACTTGGTACTTTACCTAAACAATAAAGGCCTGCAAGGTAAATCGTCAACCTAGATGGGCGAGGGAGGAGCACCAGTAACCAGAGTTATGTATACATTGCCTTGGTCATAGGGTGTATTCAGGACAGCAGTTGGCCAGAGAATCTAGTCCCAGCCAGTGTATCCCCGCCCTTGTTGCTCTTTATATACAATTTCCTCCTATCTATAATTTTATTGCCGCTTACCTGCATTTTGTATGTAAGCAGTCGAGATGAAGAATAACGTGACAAGCAATAATGGCTCTAAACATGAGGTCTCGGTTTCAAATATTGAACTTATAGTTTATCACACTTGACCTCTTAGGATGTCTGATAATTCGGTGTCTCGGCGCATGTATCGACCCAGTCGGAGACACACTTTTCACTCTAAGGCGTTCGAGCCTTGTCTCCGAAGAAGTTCTCACAATTCCGCGAAGGAGACAAATAGTCTCGGTACCACTAATTGACAAATACACTTGCGAGATCACGGCCCTAGACGGTAGCGAAGATTTGACATACATGAGCATGATTTGGATTCAGCGCATCTAATAGCACGGATCTCATAAAGAGGTACAAAAATATAATCAAGGCTGTCCTAAGGACGGAGTATGTAGGCAGACTAGAGCTGGGCCTCGATATCCTCGAATTCGTCTCTCACGGAACGAATGACGCACTCATCATCTCTTTTATGGTAGACACTGTTAGTTTAAAGAAAGTAAAAGAGGAGGTGGTATATTGTTCAGCCGGCCGACATATTGTATATAACTCGTGGTATGATTTTTCAAATGTGAGGTGTCGGAGGCCAAATGGAGATAATTCAACCGCAATAATAATTTCGTCCTCACTGTCCGCACAGAGAAAAGAGAGGAAAAAAAGGGAATAAAATAAATTTGCATTGCTTCTGTCTCAATTATGCTGCTCGATTGACACCATATTTACCCAGAAGCAAAAACATATTCAATTATTGCAAACGCAATAACTGATTGACGCCACGACTGATACAATGCTTGATTTGACTTGATGTGACCTTGTCTTTGACTGGGTGACTAATGGGGCAATTGACTACTCTGCTACATTACAATATTTCAGAAGCGCGTTTTCCTCTGGTATGTAGCATATCCTCCCTCCCTCTTCTCGTCGACTTTGCCGACTGAGGTATTCTTATATGCTCGTATCATCGCAAATATACCATAATAGCGCCATTCTTCAGCCTTTCCTTTCCCCGAGGGAAGATGCATAGCGGGACTGCCGTGGCTGAATGCATTACATTTTGTGACTATGCACATGCTAATCCCATAGGAACATCTATAGTAGACAGAGGATACCCCAGCGCAACTGTAAACCCGCCAAAAGACACACGAAGCGGCTTTCCTTGGTTGCGGGAGAAGCAAGCATATCCATGTCCAGGCAAAGGCTTGGTAGCCTTTACGAGGGCTGAGATTGCAGTCAAATACCCGGCACCAAGGCATTGCTTTCTTTTTCTACTACAATCTGGTTAGCGGCGCATATACATTTGTCATTTGCATCATCACGGCTCGAAACGCGCAGGACTTGGATAAGAGAGAGTTTATTTTACTCGAGAAATCCCAAGGCCATCGCACACGCCGTTTATTATAATATCGCTACAATTTTGAGCCCATTACCAAAAACATACGATCAACACTCCCTCTAGACGCTCAAACCAGCTCAGCGGCAGCGCCCGAGATGGCAGGCTTGCCCGTCTCCTTGACCTTTGTCTGGAAAATGACCTTCTTACCCTCCTTCCACATTTCGGTAACCAGAGTCTCGCCCGGCAAAACGGTACCGGCAAAGCGGACCTTGATGTTCTTGTAGGGGCCAAACTTTTCGTAGACGGCCTTGCCGGCGATACCCATGAAGCAGAGGCCGTGGAGAATGGGGCGCTTGAAGCCACCCATCTTGGCAAAGTTGGGGTCAACGTGGAGGGGGTTGTAGTCGCCGCTGAGACGGTAAACGGCGGCCTGCTCCTCGGTGGTCTTTTCCTCGACAATCACATCGGGCATGCGCTTGGGCGGGACGTTGATGGCGGTGGCGGCGCCGCGGTCCTCGGGCTTGTTGGGGCCGCCAAAGCCGCCGCAGCCGCGCAGGAAGACGGTCGCCTCATTGTAGAAAATCTCCTCGCCCGTCTCGGCATTGACGGTCGAGACGCCGCTCTTGAGGATGGCGGCTGAGCCCTTGTCCACGACCTCGATGAGCTTGGAATAGTTCTTGGTGGTGGCCGACGTCGGGATCGGGTACTTCTTGATCTCAAGGTACTGCTCGCCGTGGAGGAGCATCATGGGGTTAAAGTTGGGCACAACCTCATCCATGCTAAATGGTGTGTTGACGTCAAACTGAGGAATGACGCCAAAAGTCGGGAGGACTTGGAAATCCTCGTGTCCCTCGAAAATGTAAGCAAGATCGGTTCTCTTGGCGCCGACTCCCAGGTTGTAAAGCATGGAATCTCTCTCCGTGTAGGTAAATACAGTCTCCGGAGACTCCTTGGATTTCGCATCGGCAATGGCCTTTAGGTATTTACCGCCATCAGATGGGGCGGGCGCAGACGAGGGCTTGGACTTCTGATTTCACGAGGACTCGTCAACATGATTCATATTACACTATATTTTTTCAAAGATATACACTCATTCGAGCTGAGGCAAAGACAATATGGGATTTCATACCTTGCCGGCCCCGCTCGTGTTCTGCAAGTTCTCCATGACCTTTTGGACAGCATCCTGTGGCTTCTCAGGGTGGTCTGCCCGGCCGTCTTCAAAGTTGATGATCTTCTCCCACTGCTGGAGAACAGCCTCGGGGGTCAAGGGCTTGTCAACAGGGAAACCAGCACCGCCTGTTCGCTGCCACCTTGTCTGGCCAGCCCAGCCACTGCCAACTTCGTACAGACCTCCAGTGGGGTTCTTAGGTCCCTTTTCAGCCGACAAAGCCAGCACAAGAGGAGCAATGTAGTCGGGCTTGAAGGCCTGGACCATTTCCTCGGGCATAATGGTGGCCGTCATGGCAGTACCAGCGTTGGGTGCAATGGTGTTGACGTAGATGTTGTACTTGGCACCCTCGAGAGCGAGTGCTCTAGAGAAACCAAGGATACCACATTTCTATGTCTTGTCAGTATAACGGTTTCTCTCAAGTTTTTCAATGTGCTACTTACAGCTGCGGCATAGTTGGCCTGACCAAAGTTACCGTAGATACCACTGGTGGAAGTTGTGTTGACAATGCGACCAAACTTTTGCTTCAGCAAGATAGGCCATGCTGCCTTGGTGACCTTGTATGTACCGCGAAGGTGAACGTTGAGGACGGGGTCCCAGAGGCTGTCATCCATGTTGGTAAAGGCCTTGTCGCGGAGGATACCGGCATTGTTGATAATGATATCAATGCGGCCAAAAGCATCCATGGCACCCTTTACGACTGTCTCGCCTTCCTCTGCTGAAGCCTTGACTCCGACGGCCTTGCCACCGAGCTTCTTGATCTCCTCGACGACATTGTCGGGGTTGACCAAGTCGTTGACAACAATAGAAGCACCAGCCTTGGCAAATGCCAGAGCGTAAGCGCGACCGATGCCAGCTCCGGCACCAGTGATCAGGGCCACGCGGCCCTTGAAGTCAACCTTGTCGCCCTGCTCACTGGGACCCATCTTCATGGATTCCTCGAGGAGGGTCATGAAATCATTGGGTCCCGAGGGGTACTGAGGGTTTGAAAAGTCCGTCACCTTGTTCCATTGCTTCAGGACAGCGCTGGCAGTGTAGCTTTCGTCGGCCTTGAGCAAAAGACCGCTGGATCTCTCCCACCTGAGCTTGGCAATGTGTCCACCACCAACCTCCCAGATGGATCCGTTTTCGGTCGTGTTGCTCTTGTGGACCAGGACAGCCACGAGAGGAACTACCCACTCGGGCTTCAAGGCTTGCAAGACATCGGGCGGCATGACGGTCTCGGTCATGCGGCTGGCGGCAATGGGGGCAATGACGTTGGAAATGATGTTGTACTTTGCGCCCTCCTTGGCCAGGGTCTCTGTGAAGCCGACTTGCGCCAGCTTGGCGGCCGAGTAGTTGCACTGACCAAAGCTGCCAAAGAGACCGGCCGCCGATGCCGTGTTGATGACACGACCGTACTTTTGCTTGCGGAAGTATGGCCAGGCGGCGCGGGCGCACTTGTAAGCACCCTTGACGTGCACCTTCATGATCAGATCCCAGTCGGCATCTGACATGTTCTTGAAGCTGATATCGCGGAGGATTCCGGCATTGTTGATCAATACATCGATTCGGCCGTAGTTTTGAATGGCGGTCTCGATAATCTTTTCGCCGTTTTCGACGCTGTCATAGTTGGCGACAGCCTGGCCGCCGGCCTTTTTGATTTCTTCGACGACTACATCTGCAGCCTGTCGGAGACCGAACCTCGTGTGTAAGCATGTGGTCTCCACTAGTTGCTGACGATGGACATGGAGCTGGTTTTACCTTTGTCGAGTTTCCCTCGCCCTTGAATGAACCGCCGAGGTCGTTGACGACAACCTTTGCTCCCCTCGAGCCGAAAAAGGTAGCATATGCCTTGCCCAGACCACCACCTGCGCCGGTAACGACGACGACCTGGTCGTCAAAGCGCAACTGTTCCGTCATTGTGCTGAAAGCTATGATAAGATGATCCCCGACGGATTGATTATAAAGGGAAGAAAGGGGAAAGGGCGGGATGTACAGAGAAGGATCAAATTGTGATACAAAATGATGAGAGGTTATAGAGAGAAGGGAAAAAAGGTTGGATTGGAAGGGTATCAGTAATAGACCAGAAGATATGGTGTCCAGTCCACAGGGCTTATGTTGAGAAGGATGACCGTCTTTACTTCCGACGAAGCTTGCCGTCTACAGTAGATAATGACCCTGCGAGCCGAGGCACTTTGGGGCCCCATCCAGCGACGACCGCTCAGCGCTACCGCCGCATGCCGAGGGGTGCGCTAGGCTGGATGTAGACGTCTTCGTCCGGGGCCTGTTCACATGCCAATCTCCAGCTTCTCCCATCTTTTCCCCCAAGTTTGTGGAGTTTTCCCCCAGAAATCAGTAGTAGTTGATGGGACTGACTGACTGCTGAAACTCTGGAATGACGTCTGGGGGGTCATGTGTTGACAGCCTCTTTGTGTCGCGATTCAGTTATGCTATTGGAGTTGCCGATATTTGGGTGGATAGCTCTTGGGGCATCTCATTCTTCTTGTGCAAACCATCACATGTAATTCTGACCTGCTTCCTTTTCATTTCCTATAGTGCTAGCCACGAGTAACAATCCATTATGTGTTTTGTAACAGGGCAACATGTATGAATAAATGTTGTGCCTACATTGTTTAGCCGTTGAGACACGAAGAAACTATCATCACAAGTCGAGCCAGCTATATAACCGGGTTCATCCTTTGCGGCAGTATCTCTGACTTTTGCCGGTCTTGAGTCTTTGGAAGAAATCATTCGACCAAGGATTTCGTGGTCGCATACATAAGATTAGAATACAATTCATCACTTGTCTTGACAATTCATGATACGTTGGAATGATGTTTCCTTGACAAAAAAATGAGAGACCATCAGAGAAATGACTTACACCTCTGTCTCTACAGGGATGTCGCCATTGCCGCCAGCACCGACACCCCGCAAAAGACCTGACCATCCTCCGTCCATCCCCACGCCCACTCCCACGTACTAGGTCGTCTCTCTGCAAAGGACATACTGCCGGGCTGTCCGGTTATTTCAGCGGGCGAACTGGCGGTAGTTCGATCTGGGGCAGCAGCACTGCACTCGAGACTGTCTTGGCGCTACGCGGCAACCTTGCCGTTCTCTTACCGCGGATGGATCAACTCTCCCCCCTCCTGGATATTAATAATACCATTGTCGGTTGGTTGGTTTGTATTGCCAGTCTGTAAAAACCTTGCTTGCGATCATATCGTTTTCATATGTTTTATATTCATAGTCGAATATATAAAGAATTACAGACGGCCGAAGAAGGAGTTGCCCAAACTTTTGTGTCCTTTCTGACGTAGAGCATTAATAAATGGAAACCGCCCCGGACAAGCAAAAGTGCGGACCGGCCTCGAATCGGACTTGAGATTCGGCGTCGCTCTCTTTTGCCATGAGTTTTATACTAGACTAGGTGTATAACATATAAGTGCTTGGCCCTTTGTATACCAGCTCTATCAGGAGTGGTGATTATAGAAAATATACTTTTTATTCATCGCTACCTTCTGTAAAACAAGGCAATCAACTCTCGTTTCTCCAGAAAAAAATGTCTCACAGGGTCAGCGAATTTGTCGACGACAAGTCGCCAATCTGCATACCATTCATTCTGGACCGCCTGCACGAACACCAAGCAGCCAATAAAGGCAACGGCTACGGCATAGCAGCAGGAGGAGAAAGACCCTTCATTATCGGCCTCAATGGTGTGCAAGGCGTCGGCAAGACTACCCTGGTCCAGGCGCTCGCCTCGGTCCTCAGGGAGCGCGAGGGCTTGCAGACGCTCGTCGTGAGCATTGACGACTTTTACCTCGGGCACGAGGACCAGGTCGCCCTCGCGGCCTCGCACCCGGACAATGTGCTCGTGTCGTGCCGGGGCGAGCCCGGCACCCACGACATGGCGCTGGCCGGCGACTTTTTCGCCGCCATTGTCCAGGGCCGGCCGGCGCGGATTCCCCAGTACGACAAGTCGGCCTTTGCGGGCCAGGGCGACCGGGCGCCCGAGTCGACCTGGCAGGAGGTCAATCAGCCCGGTCAGCCCCGCGTCCAGGTCGTCATCTTTGAGGGCTGGTGTGTGGGCTTCCGACCTCTTACGCCCGCCGAGGTCCAGGCCAAGTGGGAGGCTCCGAGCCGGACGCTGAAGCTGCACAAACTTGAGCATCTGCTGTTTGTCAATGAGCGCCTGGGGAGCTACGACACCATCACGGAGCTGTTTAATGCCTTTATACACATCGATGCCGAAGACACTCAGTACGTCTACGACTGGCGACGTGAGCAGGAAGTCATGCTCCGGGAGGCAAAGGGTACCGGTATGACAGACGAACAAGTCGTTAAATTTGTTGATGCATATTATCCAGCCTATGAACTGTTCTCGGACAAACTACGACAAGGCGTGCTCAAGGGCAAGACAGGCCATCAATTAAGACTCGTGGTTGGCAAGGATAGAAAAGTAAAGCAGAAAATTGTGATTTAGCTAATAATCGCGATTGTGGATTTTGCCCTCGTTTTCGTCTAGTAAGGCATCTCAGCCAATAGTGACAGGCATGTAGATTGGCTCTCTACTACATGAGCAACCATGCTGCTCCAGAAATTGACCAAAAACTCCCATTTATGCGTTCATAAGTGTCGTGACTGTTCATGAATCGTTTCCCTTTGGTTCCTCTATGCGCCGATATGCAGGTTGAACCCGAATGTCCTTTCTGGGCTCTCAACTGAAATCTAGGAGTAGCAGCAGCGACGACATATATGGCGAGGGCCTTATTCCTACTCAAGCTGCTTGTTCGCCATCATCGTCTTTGTCTCGTTTCTGAACTCGCCCAATGTCTGGTCGATTGAAGACATCTTATTCCTGACAGCGTCTTCTCGCTCGGCAATCTCTGTCTCGAATTGGTCGACAAGGTTCCTCTTGTCTCGACGGGCATCCTTTAGTCGATGCATAATGTCGCCAAACTTCTCCAGAAACCAGTCACCAGAGTCGTCCCAATCTCTCATGGGCATGGTATTGAAGAATGTCTTTTGTGCATCCTCGTCTTTGTGGAAAAAGTGGTCGAGCTTTTCAGGCAATGTGCCAGGAGGTGGGCGTTGAGCAGAGCTGGATTCTGCCCGGGCCGGATCAAAGTCAAAGTCTTGACTTTTCAGCTCGCTGTAGTTCATCTTGGCCAAGACACTGTCGTCGTAGTCTAGGTCAAATGATCTCTTCTTGGTGTTGGTGTTGGATTGCCGTTTCTCTGAAGCGGGCCGTGGCATGGAACTTTCGCGAAGACTGTTTCGAGCTTTACTGGCCTTGGTCTCTTCCGTGAATAGCTGGCGGTTGAGTTGACGATTAATCGACTGGCTTGATTTTACTCTCGGCTTGGGTGTGACCTGGTCATCCGCGCTCTCAGATTCCGTTTCGGATTGGGGAAGGGATTGGGTTTGAGGCTGGGGCAAGTCTTGATGACTGGTAACAGGAGTATCAATGTTCTCGAAAACAGTTGTGCGATGAGACTCGCGAGCGGCAGGAACTCTTAACTGATTTCTATCATTCCTTTGTACATAATCAAGGGCGTCAGCAGGACGTCGTCGCGGATCAGGTGGCAAGGGGAGATTGTTTCCATCAGCAGCATACGTGGTCCTCTCGGCAAAGGTGTCACGCTTAGTGGTCCTCAGAGGAAGTCTGGCGCCACGATGGTTGAGGGTATTGGGAGGTGCCTTTTCCAGGTCGGTCAGAAAACGTGGCTCCTCTACGTATAATTCATTATCAGAGTCCTGGCTCAAGCCCTTGGTCGGAGCCCGGGTTCTGAAATCAGGCGTTGAAGACCTTCGCATCGGGCCACCGAGTACATCAATGAAGCCATTATCGCCAATGATGAAAGGAGGGCGGTCCTTGTCAGAGTCTCTCTTTGAAGGTTGACGTGTCATGTCTCTTGGTTTGAAGGCAAGGTCTTGATGTAGCATATGAGATGGGGCAACCATTCTCGCGTCAGCATTGCTAGCAGTCTCACTCATTGATGTTGAACCCTCCACAGTTGAGCCCTCCCAGAAAGGACCTTGTCCTTGTCCTTGACGTTGGACATTCTGTGCTGGCTCCAAAGTCGGTCCTCGGTGCCGCTGTACGTTGGAGCCTTCTCTGCTATGACTGATTTGATGACTTGGGCGAGTAAAAGCGGGACGGTTCGAGGCAGAAGGTAGCTTTGCACCGCCGGTGGCGGCAGCAGCAGCAGCAGCAGCATCTGCAGCCCGAGCATTTGCGTTGGCATTGACAATAGGCATGCGTGATTGATACTGAGGCTGAGACCTCGGTGGTGTACTAGGAGCAACTAGAGCTTGTGTATTTGCATGTGGTTGGCTGAGCAAGACGTGGCCCTTCTGTGGACTTCCAGAGTGATCGTGGGCAAAGGCGCGGTCCTCGGCCGAGACTGGTTTGGCGCCAGGGCCATTGTTCATGACCCAGGCCTGCATCTTTGTTCTCGAGTTGTGTATGAATTGGGGCGCCATTGAAACGGCAATCTAGCTCTGCTGGCAGCACTTTGATAAGAACATTGAGGCGAGGCCAACAGAAGCAGCGGGAATTTTCTTTTGTTTTTGTTGTTGCCGCAAGAAACGGGCTCAGGTAACGACGCGTGATGTGAGCTCAACGTGTTTCAATGGCGAAGAACCGGGACCCCCCAAAAAAAGCCTGGCAGGCGAACGACAGTACCGGATTATTTGTATTATGCTGCCATTCTGCCCAATTGCAATGGTCAATATTGGGTCGCAACGTTGTCGCTCGGGATTTAGCTGGGTTGCATACGAGAACCATCCAATTAATGGAGTTGCAGTGTCCCAGAGGCGCGACTGGAAGAGAAGTGGTTTGAATTCAATGCCTCGAGGTACCAGGTCGCGCAGTCATGTGACGAAACGCATGGGCCAATTGCTTCCCTCACCCGCCCGCCATGCTTCCACACGACTCGTCGCCTCATCTTTTTTTTTTTGGCATCTTCTCCATGTAGTATATATGCTAGATGAGCTGTCCTGCATGTCCAACCGTTTTCGCGGCCAGTCAAATTGGTGAGGCCATCGAGGATTAAAGCCCCAGGACCCTTTCGAGTCCGGCAGCGCCAAGTCGAGTCACGAATAGGATCGGTACCACTCTCTGCACTGTCGGCCAAGACCCTGGGGATCTGCTACTAGGGTTCGACGTTGCAATCATGTATCCCAAAAGGCATGGGGGTACAATCCGACTATACTGCAGTATGGTTGGTTTCGACCAAAGCCAACTGTCCGATGGCCCGCGATTCGTTCATTTGACAGCTTTGATTGATTGACCGGATTCTCCATCGGCAAATTGCCCCCAATCTTGCATTCTCACGATGCTCTTCTGCCTCATTGATGCCCAATACTGCTAGCTCCTCTATATGATTGACAAAGACAACGCACATTCCTTCCAGCGTCGACGCAATCCTTTACTCCAACACTTTTTTCATGTGAGTTAGGTGGAGAGGCATGGAACCGGAACCGTAGTTCCACATATATGCGTCTCTCACCACGAGAAACGATTCATACCCCCTCCGCTTATACCACGACTCTGTTGAAATCTGGTGATTGAATTAGCGGTCCGTGGTTTCTCTTATAATGCAACAAAGAATTAGTGTGTTGGCCTACTTTGGGAGCTGGGATGCCATTGTCCAGGTATATGTGTTTTTGGCCCTTTTCACTCATCTGCAATTCCTCCAGCATGGTGTCCAGAACCATTAAATTTCCATTGTATGGCTCTTTTGTGGCAAGCTTCTCAGCTATGTCCATTGCACGAGCACCAAAACCTCCTTTTTGAAGAGCATCTATATATCAAAATAATTTGGGGTTACTCGTCAGATGTGTGCGAATAGGATTAAAATGTTTGTCCTCCCACTCACAAGATACGTAGAGTTGATGGATCCAGACAACGCCTTTCGCCGGCAACCCGAGCTTGGTATCGTCGTCGGCTGAATGGACTTCCAACGCTAGATGACCAACAGGTATGAATGACTTGCTGCTGGGTTCACGAGGATCAAGTCGGATCTTGCGTGCGGTATCCGTGATCGGAATAGCCTCCTGGTATTGTTTCAACTCTTATCCCGATTACACAAAGTGCTATACTCACCTTGGGGAATCGTGTTATGTGAGACTCCAGCAGGGCATCGCGGTCTGGCAAGTCATCGGCAAGCGCCTATTCAAGAATGAGTGAAATGATCCAGTATGACACCCAACCAAGAGTTATGTGCATTGTTTGGGAAAGCGGGTTCCCCTGATCCCCAGTCTATACCATGTCAAGGTACTTACAATCCAATAAAACACCCTGCCTCCCCTCTTGGCAGATTCAATATACAATGGGATTTCGTCGGACCTCCAGCCACATGCTACTCGCTGTTCATACAATCTTGTCACCTGTTCTTCAGAGGTATGATCCCACGGAACCAACTGGACTTTTGACCCATGCTCGCAGCTCATTATGGCAAATAGTGTCTGTTGTAATAGATATCGACACCGCTTGACTGTAGGAGAAGAAGAAGAAGAAGAAGATAAGTACAACTCTCTCGAGCATAAAACTCGAGACCATAATGCGTGAGATAAGAAATATCAAAGTCTGTGGCACAGCTGGCTTAGTACAATATGCTCAAGCGGCATTGATTTTACCCGACTCAGGCCGTGACTAACTATTGCTTATTGTCCGAAACCGGCCCTGTACAGGTCTCTGAATTGACATGTCACGCCTTTTGACATGAATGACAAGTGAATAAGATATCGAATACTTCCATCCCTTTCAATATGTGACTATAAATCTCAAGAACTCACTCAACTTGCGATCCATGAGCAGAAAGTGGATCCTTGCCATCCTGAACCACATTTATCACTATCGTTGGGGTTGCCTAGAGGCCTCCATGTTGAGGCAAATGCTCCGTAGGTGTTCAAAAATAAACACGCCGAATCTTAGTCGAGGGGCAAACAGATCAACATGAATTCCACCTTCGAGGCACTGCCTTCAAAATGGGGATTGAAATTCGCCCAGTAATTGCTGTAGACGTATCCAAGAGCTGGATTTGAAAATGTGACCATCTTGACACGGCGCAGAAAGATGACCCATATATGCCTATCTACAACAAGTACAAGGATACTCATCTAAGGTTCCATGACTCAACTACATTTTTCTTTCAATGCAAATTTTGATGGGGAAGAAAAGTTAGTACACAGGCACCAGGGACATAAGACAAGAGGGTGTAGATAGTACAGTCGGTACCTGATGAGGTAAGAAGAACTCTAGAGCTCTGTTCACCTATAATAGCGACTGACGCCCAAAAAGAAGATGCTCATTGGTTCAAAATGGCTGTCGCATTAATGGGCAATTGCACTGCCTACAGGCTTTAAGCTTCTAGATCCAACCCACTGGAGCTGTGGGGCAATTTGGTTTCCAAGATCTGTAGCGCCAGCCCAAGCCTGCAGCTGGAGCTTGTCAGTGTGTCTGTGTCAGCTACGTCAGTTCTTAGTCCTTTTTTCCCTCTTCCTCTTTCCCACCTCGACTACTGGCTACTGGACGCGGTTCCAGCTTCCCCATAACCGCCGTTGACAATTCACCTTTGCTGAGCAAACGGGCCGAGTGTTGGTTCGACCGTGTATAAAGCAGGATCGCATTCGGGGGACTCGTCGCTCTTTGCTGGTCAACGGCGCATGCGTAATTTGGGCATTCCGACGTACAGCCTCACAATCCATCTCCAACGGACGTCCTTTCACGATGCGCCTCTACCTCCTCCCCATCTCGACGCGGCGGACTCTGCTCTACTGCCAAAAATTCAACACGAATACAGCCGAGGGCAAAACATATGTCGACAAGACAACCGCATGGGCGGCCAAGACCTGGGCCAGCTGGGAAAAGAAGGACAGCGGCTGGCAAAAGACCATTGTCAACTATGGCAACCAAGCCTTTCGCCGCATACCATATGAGGAGTGGGGGCTGAAATCGGTGCCTCCATTGTCAACGAAACGGCGGGAAGAGGAACTGCTGGGCAAGGACAAGGTCGAGGTTGTCTTTCCTGATACCGCAATACCTGCCCCCAAAGCACTCGGAATTCTGCAGACGCTGGCAACGGAGCGAGCATCGTTACACAGGCAGAGGTTAATATGGTGTATTGTGGGCATGCCCATCAGTGCGCCCTTTGCGTTGGTTCCAGTGTGAGCTTTTATTTCTTGTCCTCTTGGACTGAAAAGAGTATTTAATTGGCTAACCCGCGACTCTCAGAATACCTAACCTGCCCTTCTTCTACCTTGTATATCGCGCATGGTCGCATTGGCGCGCACTCGCTGGTGGAAAACACATTCAATTTCTCTCCGAGAACAAACTACTCTCCCTATCACCATCTCCCATTCTGGACAAGATATACCCTACTTTGCTGTCCCAGAATGGTGTAGCGACCACATCATCAACCGGGAAGCCGAAAATAGAGGAACCAGCAACCCCACATCAGGCCGAAACCCTAGAAGAAGAGAAATTGTTGCTGTCGCAGGAGAATGGACGGCAGCTGGTCGAGGCGCTAGAGATACCCGAACTCGAGGTTGAGATTGAACGTGCTATTTTCCAGGTGGAAACGGCCCTCAACAAAGCAAAGGCCGAATCCTCGACCGAGGCTAGCAAGACGAAGAAGGACGAATAATGAATTGAAAGTCGGAACGGAATGTACACCATGATTGTAAGGACTCTGTACAAAATATATAGGTTATGAACATACACGAATCATAGACGGGCGGGCTGGCTCTAAAGCATGGGTGGAAACAACCGAGCCTCTATTCTTCTCAATCCAAAGATATTCGCGCCCCTCATCTCACGGGAGGCCCACGCTTTCCCTCAACCTCAAGATGGTTCCTTGTGCGAGAAAAATGACGACAGAATACCCATTATGCATATCATGCTCAGCGTCAATAATATACGCTGCTGGGTCATGATCGTCGGCCCTCGTAACCGGTATTCAAAGGAAGGCAACACATTGGATGGCCGCGATGCCTTCAAGGCACCAAAGTCACTGTATGCAACCATGGACTGTTTCTCTATATCAGTTTCCACCATGATGCCCAGGCCCATATTTCCACCGTCAAACGCATCGACAAATAGAGGTTGTTGACCGTAGCCATAGGCTTGTGACGGTGTCTTTTTTATAGCTGCGCTGGCAGGTCCAACGCTCTGTCTTGGTTCGATCTGCACAATCTTTGGCTTTGCAGATCTCGTGACGATTTCCATTGTGGCGCTGTGTACTTCGACTGTGCGCCTCGATGCGAGAGACTTCCACGCTGCTTCTGCTTTTTGTCGCATCAATTTCTGTGAAGGACTGACGGGCCCGTTGCCCTTCTTGAAAGACGTCCGTGATCGACTATATCGTTTTGGCTGGCGGCTGAGAGTCTGGGGAGATGTAGGGTTGAGTGGTGACGGGACGGTCGGTCGGTATTGTCCCTCCCGTGGTCGTGAGGACATTTCTTCTTCTTTCTCTTGGTTTAGAGCAACCTGGGAGACAAACAGTTTCGCGGCTGTCAAAATCTTAATCACTATTGAGTTTGAGTGATGCTTGTATGCGCTCCTCAAAGAATAGGTTGGGCTGGGTATTGTTCCCTTCGACTATTTCACTTGTTTCCTCAAAGGACCCAAACTGCGAGAAGATCAAGAGGGTATTCTCGACTTGCAAGTCGAAATGTGGCAAAAGAAGACCTGCGCGACCCTTTGAATTCTGGGTCCAAGAATGATGCTCCAGCCCAGTCGAGTAATAAGCATCATCCCCCTTCTGGACACAGCTCATGTCTCACTTTTCCCTGAATCTGGTAGATTGCTGTACAACTGGCCTCTAGCCCGCCGAAACGACGTTGTGTCAGGTGTTTATACAAGGGCGTGGTGAGACAGACACTCATTTCTTTGCACATCGACGAAGAAATACCTATAATCTGGATTGTCTGTTTCATTGGCTATTTGGAATCGTTCGAGTCAAGCATACGTGATGGCGGGAGATTGGATCTTATCCCTTTTCTCGTCTGAATCACGTTCAAAGCGAGTCGAGAACTCAAAGTGAATAGATATAAATATCAAGGCAAAAAGGAGGCTGCGGCCTCGGCTGCCCTTGCAAAGGAAAATGTAAAGACATTATCGGTATTGGTTCTTCTAGTCGAAAGTTATAATAATATTTAAGTTATTAAAAGCTGCGATTTTTTTTCCTTTAAAGAAAAAGAGAAAAAGAG